ACAGTTTCGAACAACATCACCACCACCATCATAATTTAAAAAACATAGTGTCAGCATCCAAAAGCATCCTTCAAGAGCCAAGTTAGTGATGAGTGGGCCAGGTGGGCCCACCGCAGAACAAAATTAGAAGAGCCATAGCACAATAACTGAAGAGGCCCCGTCTCATGCCACACAGAGAAGATCCTCTGACACTGAAGGCACAAAGAGACACATGTGGGATTGTGAAGTCCTTCAGATATCTTAGTTTCAAACAGGTGTCCAGGACTACTCTCTGGTAATGATTCTATAAACCTAAGCAGTGGTATGGTAGTTCCTTAGTAAAGGTAAAGGTAAAGGGACCCCCTACCATTAGGTCCAGTCGTGGCCGACTCTGGGGTTGTGGCGCTCATCTTGCTTTATTGGCCGAGGGAGCCGGCATACATGTTTATTGTAGACTCAGCTCTAGTATTGGAAGCAGATTTTTGGGTTGCATTCTGGCATAGGTGAAGCCCTGGGCCGGTTCCGTTTTCCTCTCTACAGACTGGATTTTTCTTGGTGAGTTAACTTGGATGGTGGGACGCGGGTGGCGCTGTGGGTAAAACCTCAGCGCCTAGGACTTGCCGATCGCATGGTCGGCGGTTCGAATCCCCATGGCGGGGTGAGCTCCCGTCGTTCGGTCCCAGCTCCTGCCCACCTAGCAGTTCGAAAGCACCCTTAAGTGCAAGTAGATAAATAGGTACTGATCCAGTGGTAAGGTAAACGGCGTTTCCGTGTGCTGCTCTGGTGCCAGTTCACCAGAGCAGCTTCGTCACGGTGGCCACGTGACCCGGAAGTGTCTGCGGACAGCGCTGGCTCCCGGCCTCTAGAGTGAGATGAGAGCACAACCCTAGAGTCTGTCAAGACTGGCCCGTACGGGCAGGGGTACCTTTTAACTTGAATGGAGGTAAACAGGCAAGGCTGAAGAAAGGATGGAGTACAAGAGGACACCCACAGTATGTAAGATATCTACCTACCTACCTATCTACACACTCACACTCCACTGTTTTAGAAGTCCTTCGTGCCCTATAGATATGTATGTTAAATGGAAATGTCCAGGCTGGTATTGACCCTAGTTCCCCCACTCCATTAAATACGTTTGGCCAATACTTCTTTACCAGGACTCTTGTAAGAATTACTGAGATTCATATATGTGAGCTGTTTTGAAGATTTAAAAATTATTATATACATGCTAAGTGCTCTGATCATTATTTGTGAAGCATCCATCATCCTGAATTGGAATTTGCCAATTGTGAAACCAAATCCACAACTTTCCAGGCAGCTTAACCAATGCATATTCCCTCCCCATTTTTATTTTGCACTGAATCGTGCTGGGCATGACACTTTGATTGTATCCACATTCTTTGGAAGAGTAGCTGTGCTGTTTGTCCAGTAATGTTTGCGTGGTGTATGTGAGTTTTTGGTGTTTTTAAAAAAGAGAAAGCCCATTGTCTGACTGATGTTGCATGGGGCCTGGATGTATTGGGTGCTTCCCCCCCCCATTTGCCATCTCTGCTGCCCACCCAGCTATGCACCCGCCTGCCTGCCATCCCATGCTGCTTCCTCTTAGGCTTCTCTGTGCAAAGAGTTGAACAGCCTGCAGAGGAACCAACCATGATGGCTGCACCAGCCCCTCTGGCGGCACATGTATAATTAGACTGGACATCTTGTCATCCCGGATCTCCCCAAAGCAGTGCTGCCTGCCGCCCTCATTGAGAGCCTGACCTGCCTGTGATAACAAGCACTGCAGGAGGGGCACCAACCAACCCTTCTCTCTCTGTCTCTCTGCCTCTCTCTCTCTGCCGCAGGTTCAGGAGGCTCTGCTTGGCATGAAGCAGAGAGACTCATGCTTCGACCAGCTGGGCTCTGCAGCCACATTGCCTTCAATTAGATCAAAATTAATGATAACTCCCAGATTTGAGCCCCTTTAGGCATGGGGCTGAGCATGCAGCTGGCATGGTCTGAACCAGGGCAGAAGAGGGACCTGAGAAAGGGATGTCGTGCCAGCTTCAGCCAAGGTGGGGCTAGGATCCAGGGACCAGCAAGCTCCCAGGGTGGTTTCTAATTCATTGCTGCTGCCACCTGCCCACAGTCATGATGGGGCAAGGATGTCACCCAGGGGAGCAGCTCTGCCTGAGTCAGCACAGGGGGAGCAGAGTTACTACCTTGTCAGGCTTTGGGCTGGGTTACTTAATATTTCCTTAAAATAAAAATAAAATTAAAATAAAAATCTTTATCTGCCACCTGCATGCCTTTTCACCTGCTACTGGCTTGCCTACTTCATCACTCTCAAACTCTGGGAAATGGTAAGGCACGGCTGTTATTAAAGTGGGCATGTTTATGCTTCACAATGCCTGTTTGATGATACTGCCTCCTCTTGCTATGGGATGCTCAGTCAGCAGGGAACGTTTAGCCCTTTTGCTGGCAAGATCCAGGGGGTGTTATTGTTTTTATTTTATATTTTATTTTTTATTTTATATATTGTGATCATTTCTGTGAACTGCCCAGAGACCTTCAGGTATAGGGTGGTATATAAATTCAAATAATAATAATAAAATAATAATAATAATTCAGCACTAAAGAGCAGGCTTTGTAGGGGAAAGTGGTGGGCCAAGGCATAGGATCCAGTTGTAACAATGGATGTGTGGATGAACCCTAAGTGGCAGCCTGCACTTCTCCCTGCTAAATTTGGATTTCCCCAATCCCTGAATAATCTGTTGGGAGGAGGAGCTACTGAAGCACATAGTGTGGGTGGGCGTTTTGGGGTTGTTTTTTTACATGTGTGGTGACATTTTCCCATCTATTGTCTCACCCCCTACTTCCATTTTGCTTCCATCAGCCCAAAGGAAAAGATGTAGCCTGCCTTTTCCCACCAGTTGTTGCTGAAAGCACATTCCCTGTATTTTTAAAATAGCTTTTTTTGTACAGAACTGCTTTTGAACAACATAAGTGTATTAACAGCAAAATTAAAATTTGTGCTTGTGAGTACAGAAGAGTCTGGACCCTCAGTCTAGACCAGCAGTCTTAAAGAGACACAAACAGTATTTAGTTAGTTTTTGGTTGTTAGTTTATGTTGTTGTTATTGTTTTGTGGATTATGAATGCTGTAATGCTTTGTAAATTTTATAATATGACTTTTCTTGTGGTTGTGCTGCTTACCCTATTTTTTTAGTTGTTTGGTAAATAGAAGGTGATTGTTCTTTTGATTTGTAATTGTTTTACTGATGATTTGTTAATTGTTTTATATGACTTACGTTATAATTGTGGTGTTTATTATGTCATTTATTGTTTGTTAGCTGCTTTGTGACCCGTCTGAGTGAAAAGCAGCATAGAAATATAATGAATAAATGAATGTGGGCTCCAAAGAAGGAAGGGAGAATTTGGGGCGGGGGTGGGGAGAGACCAGCATGTAAAGGAGTCGGCATCACCCGTTCCTCCCGTCTACCCCTCCACTAATTTCCAGGCAGAATCCTAGGCAGTGGATGTAACCCTCACCCGAATCTTTCTGCCTTTCTTCCGTCTCTGCATTGATTAATCGCCTCTATCACCTCCTGACACCATACTTGGCACTCACTGACTAGAATTTTCGCAAACGTTGAACGGATGGAAGAAATGCATTGTTTAACACGGTTGTGATAAGGCAGAGTGATTAAAGAGTGGTAAGGGTTAACTCATCGGCATTAAGGGATTCGGAGCCCGGGAGGCCAGAGAAGCGACCCCCGCCTGCTCCCCGCCTCTGAACCGGACTCTTTCTGCATGTCTGAATGTGGCCTCCAAGAAATAAACTTGAGCAGTCCGGGCAGAGGGGACGGTGCTTCCTGAAGAAGGTAGACGGGGTCGTTCCTCCGCCCCACCCCATTGATTTAGGACCCCCGCCCTCTCCCGTTATTAATATGGTGGTTCTCCCCCCCCCCCGTTTATTCCCCCTTTCCCCTGCCTCGGTGGTTTCCGTCTCCGTCCCCGTCCCCCGTCGCCCTCTCCTCCTCCTCCTCCTGCCGCTGGCCTGGAGCCACCTTGGCCTTCCGCCCTGGGCATCGATCAGCGCCCGCTGCTCAGCCAGGAGAGACCTGTCCTTCCGTATTGACCCGCGGGAGGGACGTGTGTATTCCGTGCCAGTCGATTGCAGGGATCGAAGGCGTGTGAGCGTGGCGCTCCTCGGTCCGGATTAGCCCGCTGGCATCGGCCGGGCGGAGTGAAGGTCGCTGTGACCGGCTGAGCCTCGGGGCGGGGGTGGCAGGGCCGCGGGGCTTCCCACGGCGAGAGTCCGCGCGGTTCCTGTCTCCTCGCAAGGCGCGCTTTCCGCCGCTGCTCCCCCCCCCCCCCCAACAACAAGAACAACATCCCATTCTCAGGGAAGTCGGACACGGGTCTTGCCCCAGCCAAGCTGGGGGTGGTGGTGTTGGGGGATCACCCTCCCCACAGCTGAGAGAACACGCGCTTGGCGTGCAGAAGGGTCTCCGGGCGCAACCCCCGGGTCTCCCTAGCTGAGCAGCTGCCAGAAGCCACCGAGAGCCACCAGCGGCGGCGGCGGCGGCGGAGCGAAGTGGGCCGCTGGCCTGGCTCCGCAAGAGGGCGGCTTCGCAGCGAGCGCAGCGCGCGGGGCTCGGCTTGCCGGCGAGAACTTTGCTGGCTTGAGGCTCTCCGGAGTCCTGGGCTGCCGGCGCTTCCTCAACCGGGCAGAGTTGGCGCGTCTGTCTGCCCCGGCCGCCGCCGCCCCACCCGCTAGGCCGCACTGCTCCCCGCCCTCCCCTCGCAGTCTCGGCCCCCTCTCCCTACTGGGCACCCCCAGGCCGCCTCCTCTCCCTCCTCTGCTCGGCCTCCCTGGTCCCGCGCCAGCTGCAGTTGCCGGTGGGGGTTTTCCCTGGCCCTGATTCCACTTGGCCAGGCACGGGCGGGGAGGAGGCGGCGGCAAACAGACCCTTTTGCAAAAGCAATTAGAACTGCCTCCTAAGCAAACGGGACTGGAGAGAATCAATGGTGCAGGGAAAGCGGCTGCGCTGCAGGCTGGGTCTGGGCAGTGCCGCGGTCCCGGCTGCGCAACCTTCGTTTTCCTCCAGAAAGCACACAGCACACACACACCCGGACCCGCTCCTCCCCACCCTGCACCCCCGCGCCCCGCACGCCTGCTCCTGCCCTAATCCCCAGCAGCTGCGCTCCCTCCCTCCCTCCGATCAATAAGCCTTTCACTTTTTGCCTCTTGTTTGTTCCGTGGGGAGCGGGATCGATGGGAGGAGGGGGCGTCTCCTCGTTTCCGCTCCCCCTCGTTGGCCGCTCCTTCTCCAATTAGTCAGCCCTGGAGCCTGCGGGCGGGGGGGGGGTGTATTGCGTGTGAGAGCGTGTGCGTGTAGGGGGTTGTTGTGCCGTCGCTGCCCGTTGGACCCGAGCACCAGCCGACGACGCGGGAGGAACGCAGTCCTCTTGTCGTCTTCTTCCCTCTCTCAACTTTTTCCTCCCCTCTCTCGTTTTCCTTTGCTTTCCTTTTGCATCTTTAGCGAGCAGTTTTTCAGATCAGCGGAGATGGAGGAAGGTAGGAATTAGGCGGGGAGCAGTCAATGGGCAGCTGCCTTGGGCACTAGCAAGGGGTGCTCACTTGGAGGAAGTGGGTGGCAGGGAGAGAGAGAGAGAGAGAGAGAGAGAGAGAGAGAGAACCTGCCCTGCCTGAAGAGCTTGAGCAGCCCTGAGCAGCAGCAGCAACCCCAGCAGAGGCTGCCTTGTGCTGCCTCCTTTCCTTGGCACAGACTTTGCCAGCTTGCAAGCGATTCAAACAAGTGGCTCCAGCATCACTTTGGAGTGGTGGCTCCAGAGAGCGAAGAGGCTCCCGCTGCCCGGCTCTTCCTTCCTTCCTTCCTTCCTCCTTGCCGCTTGCCTGTCTTTCGCGAGCTTCCCCCGCTTCTTCCTCCCTCCTTCTCCCTCTATTTTTTTTATTTGAGGATGAAATAATGTTGACATGCCTTGAATTATTAAGTATCCCCTGGATTTTATTAGCACACGATGCCTAAATGCTGCCTGTATCTGGTGGGGTCTTAACCGGGTGTGCAGAGGAGCGGCAGCGGCACACACAGCGGCACAGGGAGCGGCGGCAGCGGCGGGCAGCTCTGACAGCTGGGCTTGTGCAGATAAGCGGACGGAAGCACCAGGAGATCACTAGTGAGACAAGGCACCGAGGCAGAGCCCTCCGCCCGGGAGCTCCCAAGAGGCTGGGCCAGGCTCCCCGGTCCTGCTTCACCTCCTCAGCTGGGCTGACTAATTTAGGGGCGTCCTGCAGCAGCCAGGGGAGAGCGGCCGGTGCCGGGCACCCCAGGCTCCCGCTGCCTCCCCTCGCTGGGGGGGTAGCGTGCTGCCTGGTGCCTCAGCACAGATGCCGATTGAGATTGTCTGCAAAATCAAATTTGCAGAGGAGGATGAGAAGCAGGCGGCGAAAGAGGAAGGGGACAAGGAGAGCTTGCTAGAGGAGCCCAGCCAGCCACACCACCGTGACCTGGCCACCTTTGCCGGGGCCAGCACCCTGCACGGCCTGGGCCACATTTGCCGCCCAGGGCAGCTGGGGGTCCGCCAGGCCCTCTGGGCGCTCGCATTTGTGGCCTCTCTGGCCTTCTTCCTGTACCAGGCGGCCCGGTCAGCGCTCTTCTACCTGGAGCACCCGCACGTCACCACCCTGGACGAGGAGGCGACCCAGAAGATGATATTCCCGGCTGTGACCATCTGCAACATCAACCGCTTCCGCCACTCGGCCCTTACTGACGCTGACATCTTCCACCTGGCCAACATGACAGGGCTGCCGCCCAAGGACCGTGATGGACACAAGGCCTCTGACCTGCTCTACCCCGACCCTGACATGGCCGATATTGTCAACCGCACTGGGCACCAGCTTGAGGACATGCTCAAGAACTGCAGCTTCAGCGGCGAGAACTGCTCTGCGGGGAACTTCACGGTGGTGAGTACTCCTTGTGCCTTTCCTGCGCTCTCTAGGGCATTCTGTCAAACACTGGTTGGAATGAATGCATTCCTGGTACCCATGTTTATGCTAAGGTTGAGTTTGCGCCTCAAGTTTCACTGTGGGAGAAAGTAATATAGGAAACTGCCTTATATCGAGTTGTGACACTTGTTCTGCCTAGCTTAGCATTGTCTACACTGACTGGCAGCGGCTCTCCGAGGTTTCAGAGAGGAAGTCTTTCCCAGCCCTACCTGGAGATGCCTGAGATTGTATGTGGGACCTTTTGTGTGCAAAGCAGATGCTCTGGCAGTGAGCTGTGGCCCTTCCCCAAAGACCAGATTTTGTGGCCCATGAACAGCTCTAGAGCATGGGTGATGGGACGCCAGGTACGTCAGGTAAGATGCAGGCAGGGAATACCGCTGTATGCAAGACATATGAAGAAAAAGAGAGGCATGGAGATAAGCAGATCGGGCACTAAAGGAAATGCCCACTTCTGGTCTGGGCAATTCTTTTTCTCTTGCTAGAGTAGCTTGAGACAAGGAAGAGGGGATAACCCTGTAAGTTACGTGAGGAAAGCTGTAAGTCTGGGATGGGGAACCTGTGGCCCTCCAGGTGTTGTTGGACTCCCATCATCCCTGACCATTGGCCCAGCTTTCTGGGGTGGAGGGGAGCTGGAGTCCAACAGTCTCTGGGGGTTTGCAGGTTCCCACAAGCTTGTCACAAGCTCTCCAGATGCTTGGAAAAGATGGGAGCTCCCTGGGCAGTGCTGGCTACACTTGGTGGTTCCAAGATTTTGTCTTTTGTATCCTCAGAGATGCCGTTCTTTCCCCATTTGAAAGCAGACTGTGCCCCCAGCTTGGTGCCCATGGTGGCACTGTCACGGTCCCGGCCAGGGTGGCACAGCAACCACTCCACCTTCCTCTTCATGGCACTTTTTCTGGCATGGCTGTGCCTGCACTATCAGGGAGGCTTCCCGCCGGGTGGAATGAGCTGGCCCCGCGCTTGCTCTAATATTGAGTCTGAAAATCACAAATCCCCGCTGTGGTTTGGGGAAATAAATGTGCTGAGCGGGCGGAATACCTGATGGGACCCTTTTCAGACCATAATGACTCTGGAAATGAGCTGCTTCTCTCCTGCGGACATTGGAGGCTGCTTCGCCTTCTGATCACTGTGTGCGGAGGGGCGGGTGGGGGGGAGGGTGGTGCAGGGCAGGGAGAAGCTTAGAAGGTGAGGCTGAGAAGAGAGAAGACAGGGCCATGCATGAGCACGCACGCCAAGTGGATCTAAAGACCATCTTCCTCTCCGGGGCCTGCCACAGATGTACTCTCTTGTCCCAAACACTGCTATGGGGGTGCGTGTCTGGTATGGCAGACCCAGAGGAAACACACGGCTCAGGACCCAGGAGCACACTACACCTCCCCTGGGCCCTATGTGGAACCTGCCCCACAGTTGACAGGGGTTGTCTGCTGTCCTTGGTCGCATGAACCCCTTGCAGGCTGTGTCAGAATGCCAAGAGACTCTCTAAGTTTCGTGGGTCTGTGCTGCACTCACAGTTCAATTTTTTTGCTCAAAATCAACACTGAGAATATTCTGCAGTCTGTAAATATTGGACAAATGAAGCTGTAACCCCTGGAAATCCTGCTCTAAGTAATACTGCACACCTCTTGACTTTGTAACCTTTTTGCTGCTGCTGTTACTGGAATGTAGCTACAGAGGGCTTTTCTTCGGAGCAGCAGGATGGGGGTGTTTAATATTCCCCTCCCCTGTGTTGTTTTCTTGATCCACACCTGCCCCCTCCTCCAGCTGCTGTTTGCTCCATTAAGGCAAAACGCAGGACAAACAGCAGTTCAGGAAGAAAGGATTTTTCAGCAAAAAAAATGATGCAGCAAGGAAGGGTTAAGCACCTCCCTTCCCATCGCTGAAGGAACTGGCAGTCCCCTGTGATTGCATTTTAGTAAAAATGAAGGAAACAAGCAAACAAATGCAAATAAATAAATGTTGGAAAATCCAGTCACAATTCTCCCACATAAGTTGTCATGGACCCCAGAATTTCACCAGAAATTGCCTACATTTTCAAACAAGATTTTTGACTCATGGAGGGCTAGAAACTTGCTTTTTTATTGTTAAATGGAAGCTTTTATCCCCCCCCCCCCCGCATGCTAAATTCTGGCCCAGGACTAAATTCTGTGCTTATGGATGGGGGATGCCCCTCCAGTGGGCAGCCAGTGCCAGAGTCATTGCTTTGATGGTTTCAGGAGGGATATCCCGCGATGGCCCCTTGGGGGCAGCACATTTGAAGGGCAGCGGGGTGGGGGAACAGGACCTAAATCTTCACTTTTGGGCCGGTTTTGTTAGTAGCGTGGGATATTCCTGATCTCTGATTTTAACCAGTTTCGGCAGCTGCAGCTCTGGATTCTGAGGAATCCACGAAAACGAAGGGAAATGGGGCGTTTGTGGGGTGGGGTGGGTGTGTAGAAATTAGGGACCAAGTGGCCGTGTGGTTCGGAAAGGCCCCTGAGGAGGCAAACATAGTCACCGTTCTCCTTTGGAAGGAGCTGCCGCCAGCGCCTGCCCTCGCTGTGGCTGCTCTCCCTTGCCTCGGCTGCTGAGCTGCCTGCCGCTCGCGTCGTTGCATCGCATGATGAATCCCCTTTAAAGATCCTGTAAGTAAGAGCCGCGCTCGGTAAATGATCTCCCTCTATTTAGCGTCACAAATCCACATTCTTTATGGGACGGCAAATTAAGGGGCCGCCGGGAAGATTCCCCAGCGTAAGCATCTCGTGTGCAGTAAAGCCCGGCCAGCGTAGTAAATCTTGGTGGGCCGTTTGCTGAGCCGCAGCAGCGAGCCTCCCTCTCCCCGCACCGGCCCCAACTCCTGGGCACCCTCTGCTCTGTTGGAGCTGGGGTGGGTGGGAGGACTTGCCTTGGTGAGTGGGCTATGCACACAGGAAACGTCTTGCTCCTCCACCACCTTCCCTGCAGTGATGGCTGCTGAATGTGTGTGTGTGTGAACCCTGTACCTTCGGCTCAAGAACAGCCCCCCCCCCTTTCCATCACTTGAATTGTGCAGGGAAAATCAATTGGCTCTTTGTCCTCTGCTGGACAGGAGATTCCCCAGCAGCCTTGTCCTTCCCTTGTACTAGCTGAGCAGGGTGGGTGGGAGCGAGGGATTGGCAGGTTCTGCTTCAGCCCCTTTTCTTCCCCAGTATCTGCGCAGGGGGAGGGGGCGTGGAGGGGTCACCGGCACTTGCCTCTGGGCAAAAATGGGATGGGCACTTAACTCCTTCGGCACTCATCAGGCTCAGTAGCAGCCCCTAACCAGCCACTTGGGCTGGACGATGCTTTGTGGCTCAGTTTGCCCTACCTTGGCTGTTGTGAGTGGATCTGGACCCCATTGTCCATAAGCAGAGGGGGTCCTATCCTAGGGCTGCCAGGGACAGCCCCCTATTTACAGGGCGGTCTGCAGCTTCCCATCAATGCCAGCCCTAAATTTTTGGGCCCTTTATCGCATATGTTTATGTAAAGGAGTGCAAGGTGCAAAGAGCTTTTCAAGGATAAGAGGTGCAGTTGATGGAGAGGTTATGAAGGGAGGGCAGAAGGAAGTGATTGGGAGGGGCTTTGCTCTGCAGAGGGGGGGGGCAATGGAAGCTTGTGCAGATCCACAGGAGGGGGATATGCTCAGGCACACCAGTGTGCACACTCAGAAGAACAATTACCCAGCTGGCACCTGCTCTGCAGGGGTTCCTCTTCCAGCACTTGTAGGGGAGGCTAATGCATTTCTAAAAAATTGGAATCGATGTCAAAGGTGGTGTGTTTTTTGGTTCTTCTTCTTCTCCTTCTCTATTTCTTATTATTTTAAATCCCTTGCTGCCAATCTCATCATCCTGGGTTTTTTTTTTGGGGGGGGAGCATTCTGGGGAAGGTTCCTAAGTATTGGTTGTTGTTTCTATTTCCCATCTGATCAAGTCTCTTTTCTTCAGTCCTGGGGAATTTGTGGGGCGTTTGGAAGGAAACTCTCCATGGGAATAGCAGAGTCTCCGAGCTGTAACCACCCGGAGTAGTTTGTGTGTATGTGTGTGTTTGTGGAGGCAAAGGTGACGTGGGTGTGCAGACAATCAAAATGCTGCAATTGTGTCTTGCAAATCATCCAAAGAATTAGAGGACGACATGTGGATGAGATAGCGTGGAGAGAGCAGGAAGGGCTGCGATCCTGATTAAAAAGTGCTGCCTAAGAGAGGACTTTCCTGCAGGTCCACATTTTCAGAGGGCTTTGTTGATGTGAGGGTGCTTCCTCCACTAAACTGCTTTGCTTCAGCTTCTCCAAAGTGGTTCCTTGCCTGGAACTCAGGGCGTTTAGAGGTGAGAATGAGCCAGGGTCAGAGAGTGTAGGCAGATGTTGATCCTAAGGCATCCCTGGCTCTACACAGCAGGGATCCCTGCCTGGTGGACTGTGGGCTTGAAGCACAAAAGAACACATGTGTGTTCGCTCTCTCTCTCTCTCTCTCTCTCTCTCTCTCTCTCTCTCACACACACACACACACACACACCACCCCCTCCCCCAAATTGCTGTTGCTCAGCCTGGCTTTGCCGCCTCGTTCCCCAGCTGTATAATCAGTGGCACCCCGTCTCGGTGCTGGGGCTGGCGATGACCTTTCCTCCACAATCGTACTTAATAAATGTCACATTTTCCAGCCTATTTTTACTCTGGGTAAATGAGTTCCCTGCGCCGCCTCCCCCTCCACCTGCCACCTCCTGCCTGCCCATTGGTGCAGCTCCCTGGCCACCACTGTTCAGAGGCAGCCGTGCAATCCATTTCCCTAACCCCAGCCCGCACAATGGAGAGAAGTGAGAAAAGGAGGCTGCAGGCAGTCCCAGGCAGTCCCGTTAGTGTTGGTGGCTTGTAGTTGGGAGGTAGGTGGCAGAGGGGGAGAGAGGGAGGATAGCCTGCTTCCTGCCAGCAGAAGGAACATGGGTCCGCCTGAGGAGAGAACAAATCCCAGAAGGATGTAAGAGTGGGCAGAGGCGATTTCTGCTTTGTTAAACAAGCGGCTGGATTTATGTGGCCTGTGGCAAGCATTTGGACTTGTTGGCAACCCATGCATTTTGGCATCTCACAGAGGGAAAAGGTGGGGTTGGGGGCTGCCTTTGCATATAAGGGTCATCCTCCCTTTCTTGAGCCCTCTTGCCTCTCCACCATCTTTTACTCTTCACCCCCAGTGCAAATTGCATCCTTAGCAAGTGTACTGTCCTCTGATGGCTTAAGGAGCTATCATTGCCACACTGCTTTGTCATGCTGGCTGCACCGCCTCTTCTCTAGAGTTCCCTTGCTAGCCCCAAAGCCCGCACAGAGAGGTGTCAGCGTCTGTTGCAGATGACATCTCCATATCCCATCCAATTTGATGTTTGCTTAGCAACATAGGAAGCTGTCTTGTACCAAGTCAGAGACTTGGTTCTTCTAACTCAGTATTGCCTACACTGATTGGCAGCAGCTCTCCAGGGTTTCAAGCAAGGGGATTCTCCCAATCCCATATGGAGTTGCTGGGGATTGAACCTGAGACCTTCTGAATGCAAAGCAGATATTCTATTACTGAGTTGTGGATTTGCTTCTTTATTATCTATTCCTCCTTCCTTCCAAGGAGCTCATGGCAACATAGGTGGTTCTCTCAGTCTTCCCAACCCATTTTATCCTCATGGCAACCCTGTGATGTAGGTTACGTTACAAGAGAGTGACTGGTTCAAGGTCACCATCTTGTCTTGTGCTAATGCTGACATATTTCTGAAGGCTTGCTGTGTTTGGGGTGTTGTAGCAAAAATGATAAATGCTGGTTTACAGACTTAAAAAAAATGTTGCAGCACAATATCTGGTTCATCAGTTGTGTGGCATGGAGCAATGCACGCATCCGATGAAGGCAGACCACAAAAACTTCTTATGCCACAATATGTCTTCAGCATGCCACAGGACTCTTCATTGCTTGTGCTCATCCTGGGGCCCATAGACTGCCTGGAAATCCATGTGGATTTTAGAACCAATAATTTGTGAGTTACCCTGTTGCTCTAAGGTGAGAAGATGGGAATGTACCTCCCCTTTTCCATAAACAATTTTATTTTGAACACCCATAAGGTCATTTGAACATCTCTCAGCTTGTTCACACATGTAAATGTACATCATTGGTTATTCAGTCCTTGGTGATACTCAGAACATGTGAAGTCTCTTGCCTGGAAACAATTCATTCAGCCTTGTGTGATATGCAAGGTCTGTCTTCTACGATGACTTCATTCACTCAAGCAAGTCATATTGACTGTACAGTCAGCGAGTGGTGGTCACACTTGTGTGCTGTTCTTTGGCAAGATAATGACTTAGAGGTGTGTATACAAGTAGACTCCCCACAATTCCTACCCCATTCTAGTTTTACCTCCTAAGCCAAATCCCTCTACCTATTGTGGGGTTTTCCCAAGGACAGACCAATCTGTTAACCCACATGCTCTGCTACTTTGCAACATGGAAGAGAAGGAGAGGCCACCCATCCCTATTCCTGGGCTCTGGAGGCTGTGTAACTTTTCTGTTCCAAAGCCGCTAGCTGCTCTGACATGGGGCAAAGGGTAGCGGAAGGGATCAGAGTGGAGCTGTAGCCGCAGAAGGGTTGTTGGCCTTGGCTCTGCAGTGAGAGGAGGCCGATGCTGTGCTCCATCCATCAGAGCTGCCCGCAGGCTGGAAAATGCTAATAAGCAACCAGCAATGAGAGGGAATCTGTGTCCAAAGCATCTGAATAAGTAACCAGTCCCAGGAGCCGATGCAGCCTTCAGGCCTCTGCACCCCTTTCTCCATTCAACCAATCAATTCTGGTTCTGTGCAAAGCTACTTTCTTGGCAGGGTATGCTTGCTGCTCTGAGTCTGCCCTGGATGATTTGGCCCTTTTTGTGACTCCACAAATTGCAGAAAGCATACCTTCTGCAGATACAATGTCCCCCAATTTTGGCATCTCTTTGGCTCGAGTGATGCTTTCTCCATCCTGCCAACCCAGAAGTTGTTTCGCATGTCCCTAGCACAAGCAGACTCTTTGTGAAGGTACTCCAGCCAGAGATGATGAACCTGTCATTCTCCTGATATTCGTAGACTCCAGTTCCCATAATCCCTGATCAATGGCCATACTGGCCAGAACTGATGGGAGTTGGAGGCCAACAGCATCTAGAGGGCTGCAGGTTCCTCCATCCCTGCCATCAGCTCTTGGTTCAGGCCCTGCCCAGGAGTACCTGGCAATCCAAACCTCTTTTTGACTTGCAGTAAGACCAGCTAACAGAGCATCTTCAAACCTTACCTATACCCCTTGGGCAAACAAGCCCTAAAATACTAACATTGTGTATGACTCTCAGTGTCGGTCACTTGGACAGGAATAGACAGGTCCATTTTGTCAGGATCCAGTATATCTGGAGTAGTCTTTGGTTGGATGCAAAGCCCGCATCTGTGCTACCTAAGCGTAATTAATGGGGCTGCCCTTGTTCTGTGGAATAGCATTCCTGTAGAGATACAACAGGCACCCAGTCTCTTCACTTTCTGGAAACAATGGAGGACATTTTTGTTCCAACAGCTTTTCCCAGCTGGATAAAGGGGTATTTGCCATGAGTATTTCTGTATGGTGTTAGTTTTGTTTTAAATGTATTTCCTGAGGAGTTTTCTTTCTTTCTTTTTTTGCATGCTTTTAACTGTTTTAAATGGTTTTTATTGTGTATCGCCTTAAGATGGTTGTATAGAAGACAATTAATAAATTAATGATCATCACATCATTATCATCATTTTGGGTTTCCTTTGATTAGATGGATTTGGAAGCCAGGAAGCCAGAGGGTGACTCAGGCTGATCTCCCAGTCTTTGGTTGTTTCCATAGTCTGCACTTCTACATATCACAAGGCAAAGGGCAACCTAACCGTAGTTGTGTTTGCTGCTGCAATTGGCTGAGAGCCTATGCCTCTTTCTGGACCTGCAAGAGAACCGGTTGCCATGGGCAATAGGCAGAGGCTGAGTGTCACAACATCCTCAAGGCTCTGCTGAGCCCACTTAAGAGATATGAGATCCTTGACCAAGCCTGGCTGGTACCCCCCTGCCCCCAGCTCAGCATCAGCAAAACCATGCTATCTTCAGGGCAGAGAGCTGTCTCTAGAGTCTGACCTTCAAGGTGTATGGGACTGGCTGGGCTCCCCTGTTCTGTCCCCCCAATCGCTGCTGAGCGAAAACTTGGCAGAGTGGCTGGCATGGACCCCACATCTCCTGACAGATATTAATTGTTTCCCAGGAGCAGTTAATTAACTGGGGCAGGAGCGCAAGCAGCCTTGGGAGAGCGGAAAGCCTCATTAACTCCTGTGGGGGTGGGGAGGAGGGCAGTGAGAGGGAAGGAAGCAGTTAGATGGAAATGCGGGGGCATTCTTCATCCAGGGTGTGTGTATGATGAGTCAAAGTAGGCCCCGTTGGGCGGGAATCCAAGTCTTTATCCCTACCCACCCATCAAGAGAGATAAGATAGCATTGCTCATTGTCTCTCCCCCATCTGCTTCATATTTCATCCCAGAATGAATGAGAAGTCAGCCACACTTGGAGAAAGTCAAGCCTGGGATAGCAACAACGGAGTGTCAGGTAGACTTGAGTCAGAAAGGGAGCAAGCAGCCTGTGAATATTAAGGGAGGCCGACGGCAACCCCAAATCAGATAGGAGGGCCTGGTGTGGTCAGTAAATGTTACTGACACCCCACTCCGCTAACCCCAGGGCTTGGGGAGGGTGTCAGTGTAGAGCGATTTTGCTTGCCTGGGAATGGTGGCACAGCCCAAGAGCAGTCGCAGTTGGGAGCAGAGATGCCGTGGGGGCCAGCAGGCTCAGCACCGTCGCCGTGATTGAGATCAGATTGCTGCCACGCATAAAAAAGCTATCTTCATAATTATATTTAATGAATTGACTTTAAAAGCTCTTACGCTCTTATCTGGGTTAATTTAATATTACACACTTAATAAGCCTGTCTGTAATACTGTCAGAGTATGCATGAGCGCTGGGCCCAAGGAGCATCCTTCAAGCCACTCTTCCCGCTCGGTGCATGAGGGCAGCAGGTGTATGTATGTGCCCGGGTCCGCCTATCCACTGGTGCCAAGAAACAACGTAACCCTCTGGTTTGGAGCCTTGAGCCACTGACTCTGCTTTCCTCACTGTGGCTTTGAGACTGGAGCATAGTTTCCATTTTTGTGGGGAAGCAACTCCTTCAGTTACAGATAAGAAGGGAGGACACAGCAGCCAAAAGGAGCATGTGACCAGAAAGCAGCTGAGCCTGGGACAGCTCTGAGAAGATCCCTTGCTTGATCCCTGCTAATCTGCAGCAAGATCCCTCTCTGATGGAAAATATACTTTGGGACTTGCCCCCTGCAAGTGGGATAAACTGCTCAGAATCCTTTAGAGGCTTTTCTTTGTTGAAGTCTTAACTGTTCCCGCTCTGGGATTTTTTCTGTTGCCTATAGAGATAGTGTTGGGTTTCCTACAGGAATATCATCAGGCTCCATCCTCTGGGTTCACAGCGAACCAATGAATTGGGTTAGGGCTGCTGGGCTGAGGAATCTCTTTCCTGCAATTCATTCCGGATGGTCTTCCATTTACTTCCATTTACCAATCCTTTCCTTTGCCGTAGACAGAAGAGAGAGAAGGGCCACAAGTTTGCTCCCTGTCTGCTTTGGAAAACCCCTCCCTCTCTCAAGCCCTACTATTCCCATAAAACTACAATCCTAGCAAGTCTGGAAAATGCCTCTAGGAGCCATCATCTTTATACATTGAGAGAAGTGTTCCTGCTGGGCTCTTTCAGCCCAAATAAATGCTTTGTGGAACCAAGAGTGGCCTTGGAGCAACATAAATACCCCCAGATCTCTCTCTGGATCACTTACAAGCCTGATCTTTCTTTAACGGAGCAGCATGCTTGCTCACAGACACTGGTTTCTCACACAGACGGAGTCTCTTTCAAGCTGCCAGAGGAGTGCATAGCTGCTCTGTTTTTCCTGGCAGCTGGGTGCTTTTCGAGGTCAGGGCTCCAGGACACAGAGATACTGTCCTTGCATCTCCTCCTTTGTCAGCCAGCACACGGCAAATGCCATAAAAGGATGGACAGTTGTTGCAGTCTTGCTCTCTGAGAATAATGATAAATATTAAGGCAAAATCTGCTTTTAAAAAAGAGAAAAAATGCCAACCTTTGTTGGTGTGGCAGTAGGCAAGCTTTCAAGTTACACTGAATTCATCATCAGGTGAATTAGAAAGCTTATTCCAAATAGCCTGCTATATAGCAAAGTGATAGCCTACTAAACAAAGCCTTAGGATTTGTTTTTGTTTTTTAAAAAGGAGGGAGGTCATAGTCCCTGTGAGATAAGAGGCCAAGCCAAACACTGTGACTCTGGAAAGTCTACAGCTCCACTACCTGCTTCCCTCCCCCTTTTTCCTTCCTGCTCTGAAAGATGCAGTGGCAAGTGCCCTGAGCATGCCCGAGGGGCCTGGCTCTGCCATATGGGGATTAGTAGCTCCGGAGCTGCCAACTTGGTTGAAGAAAGAATTGTGTGCATCCTCATCAGCCTGACCAGACCTGGAAGAGTTTAAATGGGGCAGAATCATACAACACCTCCAGCCATAAATTCCCACCCACCCTTCACTTTCATAAACTGTAAGCCGAAAGGGTTGATTCACACATCCTTACAACTAAATGTGTGAACTGCCTCCGTTGAAGGATATAGTGTCTTGAGGCAATGTCAAGTCAGCGATATGAAAGCTTTGTCTCTGGTCATGCTTGTTTCATGCAAGTGAGGCATCACTAGATGTTGTAGTTTCTGAATTATAAGCGAGCCCATGTGAACTCTCTCTAAGGTGAGGTGGAGCATCCACATGGAACTGTGTTTCCTTGCATGGAACAAAGTGTGTTTCCATGGTTGGTTTTCTTGGTTGTTCTGGTAGTGTAAAACTAAACCATGGCTTTGAAGTATTCTGGAGTTTGCACATTCCCTTCTCTCCCTTCCCCTTCAGGGTTCCTTCCCTTTTTGGTTTGTGCCATGTCACAGTTGTCCTTTCATCAAAATGCCATTCGGACTTGTCCTGCAGTCCAGGATTGGAAACCAAGGTTTGATCTCTGATGGACAGAAAGGAAGCGAGGTCTATGGTTTGAACTATGCCATAGAGTTAGGCTTCACTGGCTGTGATAGACTAAGATGAAGTTGTATCTCTGTAGTTTGGAATATTACTCAAATTCCCTTTTGGTTTTACAGCAGTGGTGAGCAACTCACATTTCCACTTGTGGCCTTCAAACTCCCATCAGTCCCAGCCAGCCAGCATGGCCAGTAGTCAGAGATGCTGGGAAGTTGTAGTCCAACAACAACTGGAGGGCTAGGGGTTTCTTATCCCTGGTTTAAAGTAAGAATGGCAATCAACATTTAAGGCATCGGCATCAGTTACACAAATTGACTGCCCAGAATGAGAGAAACTTACATAATTTGACCCCAGACATGTGATGTAAGGCTTTCAAACTTTATCATAGCACTGTTGAGTAAAGCCATACCCCTGCTAGAATATATAAAAGGCCCCTTTGCCAGGGATCAGTGTTGTGCTGGTATATGCATGCCCATATTGGTGGGTGTAAGCCTGCAACTTACGGGTGATGTTGGCTTGCATATATGTCAGGCGAAGTATTTGTGAAGAGCTCTTGTTCCCTGTTCTTGTCTTGTGGTAGGGGAGTGGTACGTGATTTTGTATAACCTCACTGATCTGCCTCTAAATCCAAAACTGACTGATGGGACTTATTCAATAGCTAGGATAATAATGATACCATAATGTACCCCAAATAAAAGAGATGCTCGTTGTATTGGGAGGCGGTCGGCACACCTTAATATAATTAACACCAGGTTTAAGTTAAAATTTAGGTGCAGAATACGAAATCTTTTAAAATATGTTAGAAAGCCTGGGTGGAGAAAAAGGTGTTTACTGCTGAAAAGATGTCATTGTAAGCCCCAGACAGGCCTCTCTCTAGGGTACGTCACCACTGAAAAGGTCCTTTTAGGCAAGGATGGGGAACCTGTGGCCCTTCAGAAGTTACTGGACTCCAGCTCCCATCATCCTTGACCAGTGACTGGTGGTGTCTATGGCCAACTACCTTTGGAAGGCCATGAGTTCCCCATTTGCTCTAAGGGTTGATCTCCTGTTCTGCAGGAGGAGTAGCAATCTGCATCTTACAATCCACACTTCAAAAAAACCCAGGGATTTTTTTGTGACTATTACACCTCTAAGGCAGCCATAGGAAATGGCCCGGTAGGAGTTGTGTGAGCAGCCATCCCTCTCCCACTGTTTCACAGAACCACCGTTTTTTTTAGCAGACTGCGTGAGGGCAATAAATGGACGAAGCTGTCGCAGGCTCTCATAGATGCCGAGACAGTGAAGAAGAAATAGGAAAGTGGAGGGGGATTTACAGAGTTATGACCTGACGGAGAGAGGAGTGAGTAGCCTGCGTGTCACTTTTTTGGGGAGGGGAAGAATGGGCATTGAGAGATGTTCTCTGAGAGTGTATCTGTATTGGATTGAATGTGTGCCAGATGTTCCCAGCTGCAACTGTGGGCTGAATCTTTGGGCTCGGGGGTTTCCTGGCAGTACAGTCAGGGTATATTCTGGTGCCAGGTGCCACCAGTCGTCGATGTGTGGGAGGCGACCATATTTACGCACCGGGGGTTCCCGAGCTCCCTGGAACAGGGTTTGTATGACAGTGCCTCTGCCATTAGGCACTCCACACGGTTTAGCGTGGAGAACAGAAGGTTTACAGAGCTGCGCTAAATGACGCAAATGGTTTGAGGGCCGTAAAGAGGGACAGTTTTATGTCAGACGACTCTATAAAGCACGGCTGCTCTGCCATTGATGAGATATTGGGCTTTATTTATAGAAGACCCTGATTGCGCTAGAGGCCAGCGTACTCTGAACGCCAGCCAGGGCCTGGGGATAAGAGGGCGACTCATTTCCATGCAGCTGCCGTCTCCGCTTTCACACATTAAAGGGGGGAAATTAACAAGTTTGCAACCAGTCAGGTGGAAAAAACAATAATTGTTTAAAACTGTGTTTCCCCCTTTCTAAACCGCAGACCGCCTGAGACTCCCAACACGCGTGCAGCACTGAGATAACAAAGGGCCAAAAGGTCAAGTCAGGCCTAGCAAATGAGAGAGGGGGGGAGCCTGGATTGTCCCCTGGCCGTTCTGCATTGAGCTTGTGTTGGGCTCCAAGAGTCTCTGCCTCTTTGGCAGCCCATATTTAGTGCTTCTGCAGTGGAGGGCAGTAGAGGAAGAAGCACACGCACACAACACGTTCCTACATGCTCACAGGGCCCTAATGGCAATCATGTCTTGTGAAAGGACAACAGCTTGGGTGCACCCGGGAAACAATAGGTCCAGCAGCAATTTGTGCATATGCTTAACAGCCTCCCCCAACCTAGTGCCCTCCAGGGGTTGTGGGACTACAATTCTCATCATTCCAGGCCATTGACCATTCTGGCTGGGGCTGAGGGTCGTGGGTTCAAGCCACACATTGGGCAGAAGATTACTGTGTTTCAGGGGGTTGGACTAGATAACCCTTATGGTTCCTTCCAACTCTACAGTCCTGTAACTCTATGCGTCTATGAATACCTGGAGCCTGGCCACAGGCTGCTAGGGGAGGCTTTTTTAATACATTGCCCCTCGAACACCGATTAGAGAAGCAATACAGACAGCTCCAAGAATCAGAGTAATGGTTTTGTGTCTTCATGACCTGATTGTGACATTTACAGTCAGCTGAAGGAAGCTTCATATGCCGCAAACACTGAACAAAGAGGGCATGAGATAGAGAGGTATTATTATCGTTATTTATTTATACGGAAATTTCTGTCCTGCCCTTTTGGTGCCTACGCACCACTCAGCAGTTAACAACAAATAAAAATCAAACATTAAAAATACTGTGTGTGTGTGTGTGAGAGAGAGAGAGAGAGAGAGAGAGAGAGAGAGAGAGAGAGAGAAGTTCAACAGATAGGTATTCAGCCAAAGGCTCTCTTTTATCTGTTCAATCACTGCTTAGAGATTTTGTAAACTATTTCGTGGTTTATAAATGGATTTAAATAAATAATTGAAGCAAATGTGTGACCAAACCAGAAAGCTGAGTCTCCCAGGGCAAAGAGTTCCACAAGTTAGGTTTAGTCACAAGGGAAGGCCTTTTTTCTAGTCCCTGTCAGCTGAGCCTCCACCATAGTCTGGACACAAGGGTCTCTTTGTCAGATTTTAGGACATGGACAGGCTGGTATGGGAGCAGGTGGCCCATGAAGGCCAAATTAGACAATATATTAGCTTTGTATTTGTGTTTTCAAGTACAGGTTGTTGTTTTTAAAGAAAAAAGAAAAACAAATTGCTAGTGTGGTTGGCTTGATTCTGGCTTAAACTTTAGTGCAGGGATAGTTAATGTGATGCCCTCCATATGGTTTTGGACTCCCAACTCAAATTAGCCCCAGCCAACATGGCCAATGAAGAGAATAGGTAAGAGTTGTAGTCAAACTGTGTCTAGGGCATTTTAACCTTTTGCAAGGAGGTCCATGGTTCTGCTCTGCATTGGGGGCCCCATGTCAACAATTTACCTAGGCCTGCTGCGCTTCAGCAAGGTGGCTGCATCATGTGTCTGCCTTCAGGCAATGCTCCGTTGTACATATGCATTTATTTATTACATTTTTATATCATCTTTCCAACAAAGAGCTCAGAATAATACATGGTCTCTCTCACCCCCAGTTTATCTTCCCAAGAAGAGAGAGAGAGAAGGGAGGGGGAATATGAATGACTGCCCTAAGGTCAGCTAGTAAGGTTCATGGCTAAGTGGGGATTTGAATCTCCCCGTTGTAATCCAAAATTCTAGCCACAACACCACACGAATATTCTCATGATCTCTCTCTCTCTCCCCCCCCCCCCACTTCTTGTGATCCTACCTGCTCAAAGGAGGGGACGAGACAATGTGATTATGCAAATCAGGTTTACTTTTGTACATGTTACACAGTTTACTCCAGTGAGCATTTGTGTGCAGGGCAGGGATGGGGAACAGGGCTGTGGAAACTGTTGGAAGCTCTATGTTAAATGTGAGCCTTTCCTGGAAGGAACTGAGAAGGCGAGGTGAAGGGAAACAGCAAGATGGAGCAAACTCACCTGTGAAGGGGCAGGGAAGCTGCTCCAGTTCCACCCAGGTTCTCCCACCTATGCAGAATGAGTGTGGGATTTGACCTCATTGCATTAAGAAGCCTGGTCTGATAGGAAAGGAGATTGTTGCCCCAGCTCCCCAGCTTTGACCTGTAATCCCACCTCATCTGATCCCCTAATGAACTGAACAGCAGCTCAGTGACCCGTCCAGCATGTGAATGGCTTGGCTTTCATGGCTGAAGAGCTGCACAGCGCTGATAGGAATGGAAGTTGCAAGGGATATGAGCCTATACTGCCAAAAAAAAAAAAAAGTGGTAGAAACAGAATCACTTTTAGATCCATGTCTGTTCAAGCAGGTGTCCCATCTGCAACAGTGCCCAGCCTTGACATTCCCGTGTTGCTCATCAAAGCTTTCTGAGCAAATCCCTGCCCTCTCTCTGTCCCGTCCCTCCCTAAAAACAATCTCTGTCATTTCTCAGTAATGTTAGTTGTCCTGTGAATGTGTTGTATCAATTGGAACTCATTCACTGGGTTTTTAAATTGTTATTCCCTTCACAAGTGAGCTTCACAGTTTGTTTGTTTTTGGTTATAGGGTTGGATGGTTTCTTTATTTTTAAAGTTAAATGTGTGTGAAAATTCCTGCCTTTTGTTTCCTTTAAGACTGCCGCCTCTTTACATCATCTCATAGTTTGCTGCCTTTTGTATTGTACAAAGTATTTCACAGCAATGGAAAACATAGAGGGGGAATTTCATTGCTTGGTTAGACCATCTGGGAGGTGTGTAAGCTCTTGGGATTAATGGAGTTCTTGCTCAAATAGAATAAAAATTAAATGAAAACTGATTACCATCATCTCAGGAATTATGAAAATTATAAAAATATTGTGGCACCTAGAAGATTTGCACATTTATTATGACATAAGCTGGGGGGCAATCTTTCTGGGCTTGGGACACATTTGGAGATCTAAGAAACAGATGTGGGCACCACAAAATACTAATTTCATAGTAGAGAAACTGACAGTGCTCAGAGACCCTCCCAAAACAACCAGGCAGAACAGCTACACACTCCCCAGAACGAATAAAATGAAAATGAAAAAACAGGGACACACACCCAACAACAACTCAAATAAATAAATAAGTCTCAATTTAAAATAGAAAGGGTGGAATTGTGCCGCTCAGTGATGAATGTTCTATCTATGCAAGCATTGCAGCTTACCACATGCAGGGTTCCCACTGATAGAGTTCCTTAGTTGAATACTGCCTAAAGTTTGGGAGGGGCAAGGAGCTTTGGTGGGCACTGATGGGGTGTGTGTATCAGGATGCCATACTCCCCACAAGCGTCACATTGAGGACCCCAGACAAAAGCTTTTGTGGACTACAGTCCACTTCATCAGATGCACAAACAATCCCAAATTGGAAGATACATGTGATTGCCCACTCAGGATTACACTTCCTACATCTGATCTTGTTTATTGTACTGTATGTCCTTACTATATATATTTTTACCTTAAGTCTTGTACTCCATTCTGGGATTGCCTGTGGTGATGAAGAGCAGGCTAAGAAATGTTTTATATAATTAATAAATATGTAGGGAGTCTTATGACATCTTAAAGACTAGCACTGCCAGAGGCGCCAACTTGCGCCAAAAATTGAAGGGGCCGACATCATGCGCATGATGTCACATGTGTGACGCACGACGTGTTGTGTTTTGGGAGGAACCAGGGGGTGGAGCCGAACACTCTGGCGAGCGGCTGCTCTCTCACCCTCAGCCTCTGCCATGGGCCAGGAGGAGGAGGATGCAGCCCTCGCTCTCCACTTCCCACTGGTGGCAGGACACATGCTGAGATCTCCCTCAGGGTTGGCAGATGCGGAAAGCCCATGGTTTAGGGCCGAGGAGAGGAAGGGAGGTGGAGGCAGGTGTTATGCAGCAGCAGCAATAGCCATCACGGCCCCCTTCCGAAGCCACCTTCTTGTGGCCTTGCAAGGTGTCAACAGAGAGCAACCGCCTCCTTTTCCCAACTGGCTGGCCAGCCAATGGCTATTATGCACATCCTTGTGTGAGAGGCCCCACCTCAAAATGTATACAACATATACACAATATATATACACAGTTTAAAACTTTAGAAGTGCAAACAGCATTTCAAACAGAGCTCATTAAAACAACATACTAAAAAAAACCCCGAACAATTAAACCCCGTGTTTACAAGAGCTGTGACTGAGAGCCGGCGCATCCAGCCCCCTTGGCTCATGCCCGGTCTTCCCTAAGCCCCAACAGAGCTCCAGTGGGTCGGGGGGGGGGGGAGAAAAGCTGAATAGGGTGAGCAAGTGCTGGGCGGCAGCTGTATTCCCAGTGCTTTCTTGCAGGAACAATGCCCATCAACTGGGGGGGGCACCTCAAATATTGTACGTTTGGGGGCGAATATTATATGTTTGGGGCCCTCAGCCCCTATGAGTTGGCACCTATGAACACTTCTGCTCTTCTGGAAATATACACCTTGTATTGAATTTTTTAAAAATGCGTGTCTTGATGCTAAAATTCAGAAACCTGGTGGATCTTGAAAATGCCAAAGTGCATGGAAGCCTTGCTTCCCTGGGTCACTGGGACACAATGTGACACCTCCATCCCTCTCTTGACTTATCTTCTATTATTCTTGATTGATGTGTGTTAAAGGGTACTTAGCTGCTCCTTCCTCATTGTGTCTGAAAGATCAAAGCCTTGCCAAACTTGTTCCACTTCAAGGTACTCCTTTCCCTACTTTGTCTCCTCTGTTAATTATCTTGTAGCAGTTTCATCCTCTGTCTTTGTCTCCTTTATAAATTGATGTCCTAATATTATTATTGCATCTTCTGCGGTATGGAAATGTTGCCTCCCCTGACTGTTTTGATTCAGCCTGTCTGTGTGCTTAATCTTTTCCAGTTCTGCTGTGTCTTTTCTTCCTACCTTTCTTTCCTCCTTTTTTCGTAGGTAAGGGGTTACCAAAGCTGTGCATGGGCACCCCTTGTATGCACATGCCATTGGCTTATAGAAAAGTGCTGAAGCTATTTTCTGTATTATTCTTTTTTTATCCCTTTCATAATTGCTCCTAACATCTCGGCTGCCTTTTGACAACTGCAGCCCATTGATCTGGTGTTTTCTGGGAGCTAGCCACAAGGACTCCCTTAAATCTCTTTCCTCAGTGGGAGCAACCTTACACATCATAACTCTTAGCCCAAAAAGAAGGGTTGCTTTTCCCAGGATGCCTCACTTTGCACTTGCTGGCATTAAATTTAATCTCCCATTTCATTGTATCTTTTCCCAATTTTATGGGATCCTTTGGGAAATCCTCCCAGCAGCCTGCTTTAGACTTAAATGGTCTTGAGTATCAACTGCAGGCATCACCTAACCCTGCCCAAACCTCTGCTTAAATGCCCATCTTTTTTTCTCAGTTACTATTGAACACTCCATTGTTTACTTCTCTCCAGGATGAAAATGGACCACAGATCCTTGCCCTTTGTGTCTTATCTTGTAATCAGTTGCTCATCTATGAAAAGCAGCCCTGATCTTATCTCACCCAGCTACTTAATTTTCTTAAAAGCCTCCAGTTTCAGTACTTGTCAAGAGAACTTCCGAGAAAATTGCTTCCCTTGTACCCATCTTCTTATCTGTTTTCTCTCCCCCCCCCCTCCCAACTTCACTTGGGATCTTCCACATCCCCTTTTTGCCTTCTTTTCTCTGTTGGTGGTTCTGCACATCCTACGAGTAACTATTGCTGGTGCCACAATGGAGGGAAATTCCTTTCCACCTAAGCACTAGTTGCCTTACATAGTCTTACATAGCATTGGGGGTGGCACTATATGACTGGAGTAACACTCTTCTTGTGTGCTTTGGTGCAGTCCTAGCTCAGTCATTGCAACTGATACTACTGATCTCTGTGCTGTACTGCTTTGCAGATGTGAGAGCTCTGGAATTCACAGAAGGATTCCAGTTTTTGCAACTATGATGAAGGCCACATTCCCTAAACTGGAACTAGTTTTACGTGTTGGGGGGGGGACTCCCCGGCTTGGCTTGGCTTGGCTTGGCTTGGCTTGGCTTGGCTTCTATTCTATTCTATTCCCACCTAGCCCCACAAAACTGGGACTCAAGGTGGCTCACAAAAATTCTAACAAATGCAGATAAAATGCATTTAGTTAAAAACATATTAAATGTTCTTGTTAAAAAATAATTAAACTATCTTTGAAACCAAAACAACATTAAAAAAACTATTTACTAAGACACAGATGGGCCGGGGGGGGGGGGAGGCCCGGCCAAACACTATAGCACACTATTAGGAGTCCTTTCCTTAAAAGCAGTCAGTTCTCCAAGCCTGCTGGAATAAAAAAAGTCTTCACTTGCCAGCAGAAGGTCAACAAGGAGGGAGCCAGTCTAGTTTCTCTAGGAAGAGAGTTCCAAAACCTGGGAGTAGCCACCGAGAAGGCCCTCTCCCACGTCCCTGCCAAGCATGCCTGTGAAGGCACTTTTAGTGGCTTTCTGTCTTGCACAATTAGGGAAGTTTAGCTCAGCTTTTTATTTTCAGGGATTGACAAGGGAAGGGGATAGATAGTGGAATTAGGGTTGCCAGATGTCCTTTTCCCCCCGGACACGCCCTCTTTTTCATGGGTAGTCATAGCAATCCATAGTTAAAAGCAGAAGTCGGCCAATGGGTCCTCTTTTTTGCTTGTCAAAATATGGCAACCCTAGCTCCAGCTTTTCTACTTCTCATATCCAGGACATGCAAATGTGGACAAGTGGTGGGGGTCAGTGCCAGATAGGTGGGAATGCAGATAGGTGTTCTGACATGGAAAGAGGAGCTCCATCTATCAGCTGTTGGGATACTTTGGCTAATCCTACTTGTCTTCAAAGAAGTGACTAAGTGTGTGAAGAGGCAGCCTTGATTTACAATCCTAACTAGGTTCTAGGGCTAAGCTTATGTCTGGGAGACAGGCGGAGTGAGCTCAGCACTTCTTTCCCAGTCCCATTGCATTGGAATGGGGTGGCATGTGATGCAGAGAGACTGCAGAGAGGTGTATGGGAAGAATGTCCACCGGCTTCAAGCTAAGTATTGGCTTGTGACCCCTGTGACTGAAGGTAGGCCCATCTCAACAGCTGCCAGTGCCCTTGGGAGAGGGGTGGCAGCAAAGTGATGTGAATGGGGCCCTGATTGATGCAACTGCTCATTATCCCCTCTCCATCCTAGGCTCTCCAGGCCACGGATGCTGTCAAAGTAGCCTCAGCAAAGGAAGCATCCCTGCTGTGACAGCAGCTTTGCGGTGGTTGTGCCCCACCATGGCCCCTGACTTCCTGCTCTCTCCCCTCCACCCTTCCTCCCCATTTGCCTGTCTGTCCACAGCCTGGGAGCTACTAATAGCCAGCTCTGTTGTGCAGGGAGCGCAAGGGTGATAAATAATCTCCAAACAGAACAATTAAGGCTGCATGTGGCGGCCTCTTGCTCCCCCCATCTCCCCACACACACACTCACACTCTTGTGCACTGCGTCTGGGACTCCTAAGGCGGCGAGAATCCCTCTTCATTAATCAAAGATCAGCTACAATTACACTCACTAATTATTTGCAAAGACTCTTTTGTATTTTCTGTCTCTCCAGCAAAATGCTGATTGGACTCTGCAGAGGCTCCACTGCCCTTGGAGACTGAGGACGGGGGAATGAGGATGTGGGTGGAGGAACACTCCAAAAGCGCCCAATCTTTGGCCTTAACTATCTATCCAGCATCGCCACTAAGCAGACAGGTCTGTCCGCAGTGCAATGGGGAGATCATGTCCATGCAGTACCCAGAACCCACAGGGGCTGCAAGCTAGGGTGAGATTGGGATCACAACCGGGCAGGGGTTTGGGGCATTATACAAATTAAGACAAATCGTAGCTGTTTCTTTGGAATAATTCTTTTTCTGCTGGCTGTGCAGGAGGGCAAGTAATATGGCAGATGATCCCTTTGTCAAATGAAGATCTTAAAAAGGTAAAGGTAAAGGACCCCTGACAGTTAAGTCCAGCCGCGAACGACTCTGGGGTTGTGCCGCTCATCTCGCTTTACTGGCCGAGGGAGCTGATGTTTGTCCGCAGACAGTTTTTCCAGGTCATGGGGCCAGCATGACTAAGCCGCTTCTGGCGAAACCAGAGCAGCGCATGGAAACGCTGTTTACCTTCCCATCGGAGCGGTACCTATTTATCTACTTGCACTTTGACGTGCTTTCGAACTGCTAGGTTGGCAGGAGCTGGGACTGAGCGATGGGAGCTCACCCCGTCACAGGGATTCGAACCACCGACCTTACAGTCAGCAAGCCCAAGGCTCAGTGGTCTACACCACAGCGCCACCCACGTCCCAAATAATGAAGGTCTTGCTCCGTCCCTTTTGGCTCCTGAAATGTCACTAGGCAATACACACACACTTTCAAACTAATCTCCACTGTCATATGGGCTAGACGCTTCCTTGCTTATTGAAATAAAGTCTGAGGCTCTTGTGGGGTGTTCGTGCACAGTGTTGCTACATGTCTGCATACATATATGCACTGCTTATCTGTGTGTGCAGGAATGCATGTTATGTTTTTGCAACCTTTATAAACTAATTATAATAGAGTAGAAAGGGGCATCCAAAATGATCAAGAGCACCTCTGTGGAAAGGCTAACTCAGAGGCCATGTAGTGGGCCCAAACCAGTGGAACTCACTCCTAACTGAGAGTAGACAGGCACCCTCCTTGCTGAACTTCAGGGGCATGGCTAAGACTTTCTTGTTCCCGCAGACATTTTAAGATAGTGCACAGTTTCATGATAAATTTTATTGTTTGATTGTCCCATTTTCTGTGCATTGTTTTCATGTGCACTAGTAATGCAAATAGTTGTTATATAGGACATTCTCTCTTGGGAATATTGAGTTTGAGATGACAATGAATCATCCAGGCAGAAATATCAGAGAGGCAGTTGGAGGTTAAGGCCTGGACCGAGGCGGCTGTTCACATGCAGAGAGATAAAGTTGGGGGTCATCTGCTTACAGCCTTGCGGGGACAGTTTGTGGGTAGGGCCATCTCTCCAGATAGGACCAAAGCTATGCGCTAACCCCTTACCAGTGCTAGGCATGGAGAGAAGTAAGGGGAAACGGAGAAAGTTCAGTGTATCTCTTCTCCCCTTGCCCAAGTTGGAGGACCACAGATTCACATGGCAAAAGGCCCACTTCCTCCTGAGCAGTCCTTAAAATAGGAGCAGAACCGAAAATAAGGGGCTGTTTCCCACGAGATGTAGGTGCGCCTGGGGCAGAAACAAAGGTCCTGGCTTCCTAACCCTCCCTCTTCCCCATTTCCCACTGGATAGTTTTATGCTTGTCTGTGACCCCTCAGTGATGTACATTGTGCTCCGCGCTGGCCCTGACAGCAGCAAGGCCGTGCACTTGCTCTGTTGTCTGGGAGACTCTCCATCACTCTGGTGCTGCTGGTGCCGATCGTATCTCTCAGCGCTGAGCGTTGCAAGGATGTTTCCCTAGGAGAGTTCAGCTCGGCACCATTGCCTCCTCCCTCAGCCCAGAGCCCCCCTTCCCCCCCTGCTTGCCTAGTTCCTGCTCCGACATCCTGTTCTCTTATCGCCTGACATGGCCTTAATTAACTCTGGCCTGATAACGGGCCCAGCTGCTTCTGCACAAACCCCATCCTAACACACACACAGAGACACTGACACACACTACTCAAGTCAATCATGTGATTGTGCTCAGAAAGGTGAGTGTGTATGTGTACCATCATGGTTGAGTGGAAGGGGTTAGTGTGTTTAGAAGTGGTGCAAATGACCCCTTCACTTAGGCACAAATATAGCAAGTACACATTTGCCAGAATTGTGTGTGTGTGTGTGTGAGAGAGAGAGAGAGAGAGAGAGAGAGAGAGAGAGAGAGAATCCACATATCCACAATTTGCAAATAATATGCAAAATAGAAGACGTGTGACTAAAAGCCCTCATAACTGGAATTCATGGTGCAAACACACATTTTTAATTGGTTGTACTAAAGCCAGCTAGTACATTTTGAGCAGGCCTCAATCTCCAAGGAAGACAGTATGAACCTTTGTCAGTGGGTGTAACTTGGAAAGGAGCATGAAGTATATTACATCCCTTCTGCCTGCATCAGCCTGCAAATGGCATTCCAGAACCTAGGGATCTTAGGGCAGCTGTCCGTATGAGGGGGCAAACATGATTGCTGTGCGCACATTGACCTTGCACTGCAACATGGATTATGTATGTGTCTGGGAACAGCCAGTGCTTAAGCATTATGCGCCTACATATGTGTCATCTACACAGCTATGGTAATCACCATTGCAACTTCAGTCTAAACAACATTTTATTATGCAGGAAAGGAGAGGAAAAAGGGGCCCTCCAGCTGCTGATGGATTCCAACGCCGAGCATGGCCAGTGTTCAGGGGTGGTGGGTGTTGTAGCACAGTAACATCTGGAGGACCACATGTTCCTCACATTTGTTCTAGACAACATTGGTGAGATGAGTGGAGCCCTTTAAAGTGATTTTGTTGTGGATGCCTTTCAGAATGCTCCTAAACACATCTAAGAGCTGGTCCTACGATTACATATAGGTGGCTGCCTAGGGCAGTGCTTATAGCAGTGAAACACATTCAGCAAATGATGAAAGGATCTTCCCTCTCCATTTGCTGTCTAGGAATCAATGTGCTTCAGTGGCTCAGTGACAACAGGCAGTGAAGGAAGGACAAAGCCTGAAGCTAGAATCAGGCAACAGGGTAAGGGAAGTGGATGTGCAAGCAACCAAAGCAGCCTAGAGCTTAAGTCAGGAATGAGAAGCCTGGGGGCCTCCGGATGTTTTTGGACCACAGTTTCCATAATCCCTGACCCTTGACCTTTCTGACAGGGACTGATGGGAACTGGAGTCTAGCAACATCTGGAGGGCCACAGGTTTCCCCTTCCTTGGTCTAAGGAGACAAATTGTAGCATGCAGCATGTTAGGACCTGAGGACAATAGTACATTCTGGGGTGCCAAAGAAATTGTGTGAGGCAGGGCTCACCATAGTAATAGAAACATAAGTTTGTAGAGTTGGAAGGTACCCCAAGGGTCATCTATACCCCTGCAATGCAGAAATCACAGCTAAAGAATCCCTGGCAGATGGCTATCCAACCTTTGCTTAAAAACCTCCAGTGAAAGAGAGTCTACCACCTTCCAAGGTGGCCCATTCCACTGTCAAGCAACTCTCACTGTCAGAAAGTTCTGGTGTTTACTTGGAATCTCCTTTCTTGTAATTTAAATCTGTTGGCTTGAGTCATATCCTCTGTAGCAGGAGAAAACAAGCTTGCTCCATCTTCCATGTGACAGCCCTTCAGCAAAGTGGCCATCATATCACCTCTTCTCCAGGCTAAACATACCCAACACTCTCAACTGTTTCTCATAAGGCTTGGTTTACAGACCATTTATCATCTTGGTCACTTTCCTCTGTGCACACTCCAGCCTGCCAATATCCTTCTTAAATGGTGGTGCCCAGACTGGACAAAGTACTCCAGGTGTGAGCTGACCAAGGCAGAATAGAGTGATACTTTTACTTCTTTTGATTTGAACACTATGCTTCTGTTGATGCAGCCTAGAATAGCATTATGTTTTTTTGCTGCTGCATCACACTGTTGACTCCTATTAAGCTTGTGGTCTGCTAAGACCCCCTAGATCCTTTTCACATGCGCTACTGGCAATCCAGGTGTCCCCCATCTTATATTTATTTGTGCATCTGGTTATTTCTACCTTACTGTTAGAATCTTACGTTTGTCTCTATTGAAATTCATTTTGTTTCTGATTCTTAACTCTTCATTGGTGACAGTAGATATGCCCAATATCCTTGTTCCCTTAACCAATTTCTAGGCTAGGGAAAGGGGTGGTTTGGATGAATGCCCACTTTGGGCAGCTGCCCTTTGGTGGAGACCAGGGTTTATTCTGCCCCTCAGCTCTCCAGCCTTCCTTTTCCCTGTCCTCAACGCAGTCAATTATTATATCACTGAGGTGGCAATTCAAATACATTCCTGGCAGTTCATCCACAGCTCTTGGCAAATATTAGCCAAAGGGAGATTATTCCAGAGCAAAGTTTGCTGATGGGTATCTCTGAATGTTTGATCTCTTCAGACTCATCCAAGTCACTCTGCCTACCTTCCTCACTCCCTCTGCTCAATGCCAGCAGCTCCAGTACAATATGTGGGTGCCCCCCCTACATTATAGGGCACACGTAGACCTATTACCATCTACCACTTCTATTTTCCTGGTTTGAAAACAGCAGTCATTTTTCATGAATTTCCAAAGGCATTATAGACCAGATGCAACATTCAAATGACCAGTAAGGGTCTCTGTTGTTGCTATCCCTTCTCCAAGAGTGAAAATGTAGGTGGCATCTTGGTTATGGTGGAGAGGTGCTGTAGGGTAATTGGCTTTTAAAATGGGGAGGTTGGGTAAATTGTGACACAGCAAAGGGGGAGATTGGTGCCCTGTACCAACAGCAATGGGAGGGGACTCCTCTGGGTCTGATGGATCTTTCTTCAAAGACAATGGAAGTGGTGGGTGTTCTCATTCTGTTTTGTTTATTATTGGATGGTATATACACTGTTGATGTGGGTTGGGGACTTGATCAGTGCCTGAAGGGGAAACAGCTTCATGCACACCACTCTTGCACTTTCTGAAGAGCGGAATATAAATAAAATGAAAGGATAAATAAATGTTTATATCCTTACTTTAGCACTGGAAATAGGGCAGGAGAGTGGGGGACGGGGAGCACAAAATAGGGCAAATGCAATGCAAGGTGTGTGTGTATGTGTATGTGCGTGGGGGGAGGTATTTTTCAGGTAGTATTTGCTCTGCCTTACCCCTATTGTTCTACCTGTGGCTGATCTATCTTTAGGGATGGTCAAAACCATTTTTAAATGGTTATTGTTGTTATTATTGTTATTATTTTAATGTTTAAAAATGCAGTTTGCATTAATACAAATGAAGAGCACAAAACAAATCTAAAATGATTCATAATATTTAATAGTTTCAGTATTCTTCAAACTTTGCAGAACTTCCAGAAAAAGGAAATTTTGCAAGTGTGAATCAGCTAGCAAAAACACACACTCACTCACATACACCTTGCAAAATGAATTGTATCCTGAGCTTAGCCAAAAATGAGCAGCACTCAGGGGGATGCGAGTTCCTTGATGGAGACAAGCTAAGCCTCATTGCAGTGATATTCATGGACAATCCTGGCAGAAAAGTTGTCACCCGTTGTTAACAGGCTAGTTTGGATAGGAGATCTTACTGCTATTAAGGAGGCTGACCTGGAGGATCACTTCCATATTCAGATTTTTGCTATAGTACCACCCTCAATTAAATGCACACATGGTTGAACTGCAAAACTATTTTAGTGTGGTGAACAGTTGGAATGGCAAGGTGAGTGGTGAATGCTCAAGAAAACTTCATTTTAATTGCTTCACTCAATAGATAGCTCATGACTAAACACAGTTTTAGAGCTTCCCAAAGCAGGTTGAACAATGAAGTAGCAAACAACAGTCTTGAGCGTGTGACAATGGCTGCTTTATACAGATTTGACTGCTCAGTCACCCTGTCACCTGCACCACGATATTTAAAGTAGAGCCTGACTCCACATTCACATTCAGGGCTGGCCCAAGGCATTTTGCTGCCTGAGGTGGAGCCCTCCCCACACCCGCAAGATCAGGCGCATAATATCCAATATTGGCCAAGTCATTTTTGAACCTGAAGCAAATAATCCCACAAGTGCCTTTCCCCCTCCCTGGCAGGAAAAATCCAACAACAATAATAGCTTGCCATTTGCCGTCATTTCAGAGCACCCAGAATCAGCTGCTTCAGGTGCCATCTCTCTTTGCCTTATGGTAGGGCTGGCCCTGCTCACATTCTCCTGGATATGAGGCAGATGCTGCACAGGTTGCCAGCTGCCCTAGAGCTTGCCCAAGCTAGGCTTACAGGCGCTTCTGTGGGAGTCACTGTTGCCTTGGAATGCCGGATCCTATCATGTCTGTTTCATTGATTTAAGCACCGCCGAAAGGGTTTTAATCAGCCGTTAGCTGCCTGCTTAGGCATCAGGAACAAACCCATCAGCCAAGAGAGAACCACAAAGGGCCAGGCCCAGGGCTGGAGCGGTCCCAACTCTTTAAAGATGCAAATTGGCAATCAAAGATCAAAGCCGTGAAGTTGGCATAATCTCCCTTAAAAGGGTTCCATTATTAACGAGCTGGGCTTGTAGCTCACCCTACTTCACTTGCAGCTTCTGATGAGGCTGCCAGGCTGTGCCCTCCTTCCCTCCCACCGCCTCGGCTGCAGGGGGAAGGATGAGAGGCAAAGGAGTGGGAAGGTCTCGCCCTGTTTGTTTTTCTCTCCTCTCTAATGTGTTGGTGTCAAATTCTCCTTGGCAGAAACTACAAACCCCCGGAATCGAACCACAGGGACACGGGGAGAGAGGAAGAGAGATGTCGTGTCTGAGAGAGAGATACAGAGAGAGGAAAGAGTAGGGAATGATTCTTGTATGGTGGGCTAGGTTCTCCTGCGTAGAACAGAGGATTTCAGCATGGCAAGCAAAATCTGCCGAAATTCCCTGTTCTATACGCAAGTATTAAAGAGCCTTGTTTTCTTTCACATCTCTCCACCCCACCCCACCCCCAATGTTAATGGGCTCCTCAGTCCCACCATTGCCGACACCCTGGCTATCGCTTCTTTGGGCATCCTTCTCCTGCAGAGACATGCATATCATCTCTCAGTTTTTATCTGATGCTCTAAGGTCCAGCCTCCCAAGACATTTTGCTTCCTGAAGCAGAGCAGCAAATAGTGCCTCCCCTCACCCCATGCCGTCAAAGTGTATATAGCACCCAAGGCTGGGCAAGGCACCAAATTTTTCCGTGTATAAGACGCCCCCATGTATAAGACACCTCTACTTTGGGTTCCCCAAATTTAGAATATTGGCATATGCACTATCTGTGTATAAGATGCCCCCCCCCCCCGATTTTTAACCTTATTTTAAAGTAAAAAAACCCCTAGTCTTATACACTGAAAAGTACAGTAGTTTGATTCCTGAGACAGAAAATCCCAAAAGGGACTTTCCCTCTACCTGGCAGAAAAGGTATCAGCAGCATCATTATCACATTGCTGCCTTTTCATAACACCGCAAAATCTGCTGCCTGCTTATGGCAGCTGCCTCACTCTGGTAGGGCTAACCCTGTATCTTCTTGGCTTGCCTCTCCCCACTCCCTTCCTTGCTTTCCTAATGAAATGAAGGGGAACATGCCTTTCAGCCGCTGGGCTCTGGAATAAGGAACAGAAGCCATAAAAGGACATTCACTCAAAAACACTTGGTTAGGGTTGCTTGCCTTACCATTTAACTTGCCCACCCCTGTGATCACTAGCCATGGAGGGACCCCCCCCCTTTCTGTATTGTGTGTCTTGGCAAACTGGGGAGTTTAATCCACAGTAATGATTTGCATGAAGTCAGGAGGTGTGGATAGTTAATTTCATGTTAATTATTTTGGAATGCAACAGGGTGATTTTGTTTGTGCTGCACAAATGAGCTGTGATTGGAGACAAAACACCTGAAATGAGGGATACAATGAAAGGCAGGCACCCAACTATCTAGAAACAAAAAATAAATAAATAATAGAGACAAATTTAATTTATGGAGAGCTGTGTATGAGAGAGTGGGACGAGGGTGTGAGTGAACTGGGTGGGTAGAGATGCTCGAGGGATTTGTTCTCTCTGAATTCTGGTGTGAGCTGACCTGATCCGCCTTCTCCTAGGCTATCACGAAGATCTGAACACATAGTTATCCTGCGGAGTTCGCTCTTTGAATTTTATGGTGTAGTTCTCAGCTCAAAAAGCCTACTTGTTTTTAATTGTTGTAAATATGTTTATTTTATTTTTAATTGCCTTGTTTAATCCCTGAAGTTTTTGCCACCCACTGGGAGAGCGAAGGGTGGGATAACCATTTAATAAATATAAATAAATAAATAGTAAAATTTTAGGGTGAAATACATTTGAAAATGCATACTTTGAGAGAAAACAGATTTATAATTCTGTATCTTATGAGAAAAAGCATTCAAATAAAGTTTTTTAATGTATATTTAATTATGGGGGTGGTGGTGCGGATTTTGTATCTAAGAAAGTTTGCAGATTAATGCAGAAATGGGGCAGAACAGGCTTACGAATGATGCTGTGCAAAAGTGGCATAGAACTGGAAATGAAGTGATGTAACCATTCCTACTGATGTGAGCTGTAAGATTGGGAGGAGTGGCTGGTGATATGCAAGTGAGGAGCTGGTCCTGAGCCCATTCTGCCATCCATAGTAGATTACTGTGGCCATCATTTTTGTCTGGTGCTCCTGATGCTTCTTCCTGAATCGCTTCCTTAGCACATCTGAAGGGGTCCCTTCAGTAGTAATGATAATTGTGGCACACAGCAAAGTAGCAGTCCCTAAGACCAGCGGTGGAGCAAGCCAATCAGGCGTGTGGGGTGGCACGCGTGCCCTGCACCCCGCGGTACGAGCCGGGGCAGGACACTCCACCAGGCCTCTGAAGAGTCTGCCTGTCTCCTCCCTCTCAGCCACCCTACAGCTGAGGGCGAGGTGGCGGGCGGACCGTTTGGGCAGCGCGGAGCCTGTGGGCGCCCAAGCCATTGCGTCACTCCCAGGAGAGATGCATGGCCTAGGCACACTGCAGGCCCCGCAGTGAGTGCCACTCGCCATTTTGTCACACCCCTCAGTGGTGACACCCGGGGCGTCCTGCCCCCACCACCACACCTTCGCCCCTGCTTAAGACACTATGGTTGCAAGCAAATGAAAAACAGAAGAGCCCTGTAGATGAGAAATGGGGGCATCAAAAGGATAATTAAAGACTCAGGCCAGGGCTGTACCTGGCCATGGGGTGAATGCAGACATTTACCACATGGTAAATGTGGGAAAGCCTCGGTGCTTGATAAAGTCCCCACTGTTTACCATGGCATTACAATGTGTGGCATGAGGAAACAACAACAACAGTTTCCTTAATTCAGAAGACCAAAGTAAACTATAGTATAAAACTTCATACCACTTGGTGAGTGGGTTACCAATATCGAAACAGTGTGTAACAGTGAAGAGGAATGGAGATTATGAACTGTGCAAGGGAGGACCCCCTCAGAGTGTCCTGCTGATCCTTCACCCCATTGCCCCCAAATGCACTTGGCAGTCTTGACTCCCAACACAGCAATTTGCTTCACCCTGTGCTCTCGCCAATTCATTCACCCCATTGCATGTGTGCCAATTCTGCAGCTACAATTCAGGCAGGCACATCCCTTGATAGGTGCAGAAGGGGACCAACTTGGCCAGACAGGGAGCACTCACAGGGCTGCCTTGCCTGTCCTAACCCTGCTGGTACTTCCCTAGTTGTATTCCCTAGTTGGCTGCATGTCCATCTCTACTGAGCTCCCTGTATGCACACTTTATGGCAGGTGTGGGGAAACAATCAACCCTCCAGATGATTTTTTGGACTACAATCCCCACCATTCCTGGCCACTGAGTATGCTGGCTGGGGCTGATGGGAGTTGGAGTCTAACAACATCTGGAGTGCCATGGAGGTTCCCTATCCTTGCTTTATACCCTTGACCATGGTGAGGTGACAACACCTTGGAGGGAAAGGATTCTGGATTTTAGACACAAAAGCAGGAGTTATAAACTCATGATCACTTGCTAGGGATTTTGATTGCCCCATGTCCCATAATTTCAGGCTAGTTGTAGTGTGAAGCTCACTCCCTTCTGATTTGGTGATGGTGAACCATTCCCCCACCCACCACCGCTGTCCTTGGTACTTGCAGAGAAAGATAGATGGGGCAAGAACAGTGATGCCCTCTGAACTACATGGGAAATTTCCAGTTCTATTGAACTGGAGGAAGGAATAGTGGATTTTCGTCATGAACAGCATATGATTTACTGCTGAACTATGACACTCACATCCAAGACACCTCTTGCCTTCCTTTCTGAGATGCTTGATTTTTTCAAAAGTCATGCATGCACACCAGGGGGACCCTGACCAGTGGCCAGTCCCCTGGTACATGTACAGATTATTTAAAAAAACAAATTTATTCATCTTCTGCACTACCACTCCACATGCTTGTTGAAACCGTAGTATGTGAACAGCCCTGCCAGGTCGACCTCTTGCCGTGCAGGATTTTCTTCCACTTCCCAAACCATTCTCGAGATTCTTCTATATGGCTGCCCGGCTGGCTTTAATTGCCAAGCCACCAGGGCCCATGACGTGCCCCTGGGTCTCCTGCGGAAAGCCGCTTTTTCCGATGTTTCCTGCCGAGCTGACTCTGAGAGCTGCCTGTGCTGTTAACCAGGCATGGAAATTCTGGCACCATCATCTGGGAGCTGGTGTGACAATAAATCTTATCAGCAGAAGCACATCCTCTCCCGGAGAGATAGGCCCTGCTCCGCACACCCTGGAACACAAGTCTTGCATCTGCACAATGTCACCGTGAAGGATTTTGCAGATAACACCACGGCTGGGTAGGAGATGGATTCTCTACCAGCGCCCAGAAGTGCGATAGGAGATGAGGCCTTTTGTCTAGGTCTTCCCTCTTCCTTAAATCTGTGATGCAGCCAGGCTATTAGCAGGGGGATGGGACAGTGGAAAAATTAGTTTAGGAAAGCTACAAAGACACAAAAAAGACAAAGGCAAGTCCCCGCTCCACAGCAAGCCCCCAGAGAGCCCTGGTTCCAAACGCATAAGAAGTAAGGCTGTTGCAGGTTACTGACTTGTATCTCGCAATGTCTGAAGCTCTTAACAAAGGGTAAAGCAATGGACTAGCTTTCTTTTTTGTGTGATGGCAGAGAGAGGCTGGGCAAACTCGGGGGTCTATAAACTACTACATGGGGGGGGGGGCAGCTGAGAGGGAAGAAGTCCCAAATTCCCAGTGTATGCAGATGATCATGTTTGGTGTAACATGAGGCAGAGAGTACAGAAGTCAAGTTGTTTATGTCACAAAACCTAGCTCATGCATTTGTTGGGACAGGCACAAGGACAGCCTTGGAGTATAGTGGTACCTCGGGTTAAGTACTTAATTCGTTCTGGAGGTCCATTCTTAACCTGAAACTGTTCTTAACCTGAAGCACCACTTTAGCTAATGGGGCCTCCTACCGCTGCTGTGCCGCCAGAGCATGATTTCTGTTCTCATCCTGAAGCAAAGTTCTTAACCCAAGGTACTATTTCTGGGTTAGCAGAGTCTGTAACCTGAAGCGTCTGTAACCTGAAGCATATGTAACCCAAGGTACCACTGTATATATAACATACCTTGACTGCGTGATGAGGTTGGGCTGTGTATATTCCCTAATGCTGTAATCCACTGCTTAGAAAAGCAGAACTGGGGCTCAGGATTTTTGTTTTTATTTTAGGCAAGGTACTAGTCCTTAGAGTTGTGAAAATAGGCTTGTAATTGTTTCTTGCAAGAGAAGTCAGCCCAGCCCCATTCACACAACCCACACCGCCCTCTTGAGTTGGGTGGATAGGAGCATCCCTGTGTTTTCTGCACCACCAGTAAGCATAAGGAGTGCTTGTGCTTTTCCCTTCCACAGCAAACGGGAGAACTCGGGCGTCTCTGGCTTAGATGTAGGCATAAAGTGTGTGTGTGTGTGTTTCTTTGCTAAATAGAGGCATGCAATATTTGTGCGTGTGTGTGTCCCTCCCCAGCACGAAGCGCCTGTGCCAGCGATAAGCGTGCCGAGGGCGCTGCTTTGGCCTGGCAGGCGTCCGCTGCCCCAGGCAGGTCTTAGCCGAGTTTAGTTTTATACACTTGCTCGCGCGCGCGGCCGGCGCGGTCCTGGGAGCGGTAATGAGATGGAGGCAGCAGAAGGACGGTGCGATAAGGCAGCCAGCTCTGCCCCAGCAGATTAAATGCTGGGATTAAGCAGGCGGTGCCAGCGCGGCTGGCGTTTTATCTCCGCAGCGCTCTCCCCTCTCATTCTCCCGCTTGATAGCGAACATTTTCAGAGCTGTCAAGAGAAGAAATTGCTTGTTAACCCTTTGAGGGCCGATCTTAGCCCCGGAGCGGGGACGTGCAGGGGGTGGGTGGGGAGAGATTCCTGTTCTTAGCTGTCCAGGGAAGTGACTAGAGCCCTGCAGGCTGGTCCTTTCCGCGCCGCCCCCCAGCCCCTGTCCCGTTATATGCCTTAGCTGGAGGGAATCGGTCCTTTTTTCCCTCTCCCCCCCCCCATGCAACCATCCAATTCAGGGCTGCAGCAGCAGCACCAATATAATTGTGACCTTTTGAACAGAGCAGCCTAGGAGAAGCTGGTGTGCATCTCTGGAGACTCCAAACAGTAGCATCTTGTGCAACGCTCCTCCCCCCCTCCAAGGGGAAAAATAAGCTTCTTTTTTCTTTACTCATGTGTCATACCAGCCCACACCCTCCAGTCCTCCTAGATCAGAAAGAATTGTAGTTATGGCCAAAGCTTTCATGGAAAAGGAGGACCCACTTCGCACATGGTTTGTATTGTAAAGACATATCTTTTTGCCCAGGCTTCCCCTGACCCATGGGATGGGACCCTCTTTTATTTGTTTGAATTCTCAGGATTCCCATTTCTATTTGTTTGTATACACAATGACTACTGCTTTACTGGATTTTGTTGTATCTTTGTTTTAACGATATTGTCTGTTGGCTTTATGTTGTACACTACTGCAAGATTTTTAAAAAATACTAAGCAGCTTATAAGTGTATTATAGAAAAGAAATAAAGTGTTAGTAGATACATTACTACATGGCAATGTGGCCCTGAGGCCATAAAACACATGAGTTATAGTATGCAATATTTGTATGCAAAGCTGAAAGGCAGGCTAGCGCCACGCACACCCCCCCCCCAGCAAGCCATTAATGCTGTTAGTTCATTGCTGTCCCTCTAGTCTAGATGTGATACCATTCATGCAATTAGCACTTTTGTGAATGGCTCTTTTAGAGTAAATAGCAAGATTTGGCTTGGGACTGCAGAGCGGAGCAAATTGTTATCCCCCCCCCCAGTACCCCAGTATTCTGATTTGGATCAGGGACACACACCTGCTATTTACTCCTTTAAAAAACAATTCACAAGGTTACTAATTGCTTGAAGGGTGTCCCACCCACTGGATCATGAGCACCTTGTCTTGATATCAGTTCTGTTCAGGGAAAGGGAGCATCTTCTTTTCTCTTGAGTAGATGGTACACACCCCATTCTCCAGGTAGCTGTTCAGAGATGACCATGATCAAAACCCTTATCTGGTGCTCTTTAAGGCACTTCCTGTCAAGCTCTTTTCCCGCCCCTGTGAGCTATCCTGATCACTGCTGCTTGTTCCTTGCACTTTAATTGGCTTCCCAGTTTGATTCTTCACCTACTGCTGCTCCTTGCCAGGCAGGACCAGGTTACCCTATCCTGTTACCTGAGAGCCAGCAACCAATCCCCTCTGGAGCCACACTTTTTTGAGCACACCACTAGCTATTCCATCTGAATCTTCTCCTGTGACTTTTCCCATCTCTCTTATGGATCATTTTACCTCACAAATACACAGTCCCCCCTTTCTGCTGCTCTTCTGTCTCTGCTCCCCCTCCCACTGCTGCCTTTTTAGATACTGGAGCAAACCTGGCCTAGAGTGGGCTCTGCTGGCATCCTTCTGCAGGCTGAAAATGGACCATTTATCCCTGTGTTTATCCCTCCTCACTTTTCTGCCTCAGTGCCAGTTTGTGATCCATGACAAGCCTCTGCTTCTCATCTCTAGATGGCTCCATTCTCTTCACAGACTCTGCCGAGGAGAGACATTTGTCAAAGGCTTTGTTGAGAGTCCCAATAAATTCCTGTTCCCCTCTGTGCAGAAATCATTCTCCTCGGCTAAGGAGGGCATTGTTCTTTTCTTACTGGGAGCAGAAGCTCCTGCAATGTGCCAGGCTCAGTTACTGTTCCTGATCTTGGTGAGGAAAGTGTTGGTGGCTGCCTTTGTGCTTCTGCACGCTTTCTTTCTCCAAGATGCTTCTCTGTCTGAATTTGCCCCTGCTGTCCCTGTGGAGTGGGGTGGGGAGAAAGAAGTAGGGGAATTGTATGAATACTAGGGTAAAGCTCTATAGCAAATGACTATGGTCCCACCTATCAAAATTGTGTTAGGAAGACATTGCTTGGCTCTCTCTTTGGTTTCTAAAATGGGCCGGAAGTCTTAAGGCCATATCCCTATTGTAAACAAATGGGTTAAAAACAACAACACTACCCAAGATTATCTCCCTCCTTTATCCCTGCACATTTCCCCATAAGGCTTGGGGCCCAGTTACCTTTAGTCAGGTGGGAACAACATAAAGAAAGCCCTGCTGGCAACTGCTAGGCAGTTGCGCATCTAGTCCAGCATCCTGTTCTCTCAGGGGCCAACCAGATGCCAATGAGAAGCACCATCTCTTCAGAGAGGAAAGTGAGACTTTGCTAAATTTCTGAAATCCTGACCTTAGATATGAAGGTGCAGGGCCGTTGCCAAGTGTTGGCCATCCAACCTCTGCTTAAAAACCTCCAAGGAAGGAGAGTCCACCACCTCTCATGGGAGTCTGTTCCACTTCTGAACAGCTCTTACTGTCAGTTTTTCCGAATGTCTCCTCTTTTTCAGGCTAAACATACCCAGCTCCCTCAAGTGCTCCTCATAAGGCTTAGTTTCCAGACCCTTTATCATATTGGTTGCCCTCCTTTGCACATATTCCTTTGCACATATTCCAGCTTGTCAACATCCTTCTTAAATTGTGGTGCCCAGAATTGGACAGTTTTCCAAGTGTGGTCTGACTAAGGCAGAATAGAGTGGTACTATTACTTCCCTTGATCTGTTGATGCAGCCTAGAATAGCATTAGCTTTTTTTGCTGCTGAATCACACTGTTGTCTCATGTTAAGCTTGTGGTCCACCAAGACCCCTAAATCCTTTTCACGTGTACAACATTTGCCCACCTCCAGTCTGTAGGGACCTCACCTGTTCTCAGATTTGCTGCCTCTGTGTCAAGCTCATCCACATTTTAGCCATTAACAACATGCTTTGTGGGTCAGTAGCTTCTCTTTAGCACACTGCCATCAAATGTGCTATGATTTCTCCTGGAAAACAAAGAGGAGGGCTAACTGATAAGCCAAGAGATGTAGAAGGGAGCTGCTGCATATGAATTCCTCAAGCAAAGAATGACAAAGAAAACTGGTCTCAGGAGAAGAAAGAGAGCTGGCACCGTGCTGTGTAAACAGTGATGAAGGGTGGACCAAAGAGATTCAGACCCCAGCTGCAGAATCTTGATTTCTTCCTTATCCCCTACCCTGGCAAGCACATAAAAAACAAGTTTTAGTTCTTTGAAGAAGAGATGCTGGTGCTCCAAGGTGCCAGGAAGCCATGCTTTCTGACCAGGGAAGCCCTGTCTCCCATTGCCAGGTGCACCGCAGCTATCTCAGCTCCACTTTCTTAGTCATGAGGGGAAGAGTTCCATAGTGTAATGCTAAATGTTTCAAGTGCAGGAGCTCATCACAATAGCCCCCAAAGAGAGATGCGGGCAGGTAAATTGATCAGTTCACACAGATGCGTACACCAGAGAACAGCAGTACATAGCATAATATCCAATTCCTTAGGATGAGCATGACGGCTATGCATAGTTTCCAAGGAGTAAGATGTACTTTGCTTTTTATTTGCATAGGTTCAACCTGTTAAACACATTGAGCTGTATCAAAAGACCATCATCGAGCTGAAAGGCAATCTTGAACTTTTAAATGGAAATGCAAACGATCTTGGAAAGAACTGTTGCCATTTAAACTGCTAGCTTGAAGTAAGAACTCCATCAAAGGAGAGGAAAGAAGTCTCCAACTCTGCTTCATTCTCCAAGGGTTCATCCACGCTTCTGCTTGTCCTCCCACTTTCTCCCAAGGAAACCTGCTCTTCACCGCTGAGTCAAAGCAAACGTCAATCAGGTTTTCTGGGGATTGACATTTGCTCCGATTCAGTGGTAAAGAAGTAGAGCAAACAGAAAACTGCTCAGACCCCTGCCTTGAAAGCATGGAACAAGTGGCAAACCTCTCGGACTCATGATTTTTAGGCACGGGAAAAGCAAAGTGTGGATGAGTCCTTTATGCTGATTTGTCACAAACTTGAAATCGTTGTTATCACCTCACTCATTTGATGACATCACCACACTTGTTCTGAAAAAAGTTCCAGAAATGTACTATGGAAGGCCCATTCTTGGGGGCACTTTTTTTTTTGTTGCTCAGGACTAGCATCCAAAACAAGTTGAATCTCTACTCAGCTTCAGCCATGCTTCCTAAGTGCTCTGCTTCCTAAATGCATGTATACTTTCTTTTGCCAAGAATGTATCTTTGAATCAAATTAAATTAATTGTGTGCAACTCAGCAGGGTGGCTAGGGAGGATTAATTAGCGTTATATCATTGGGGTACAAATTTCTTGGGATTAAGAAACAATTGCCCCAGGCTTTCATCCAAGGCTAGGCAGTGGTCCTGTTGCTCAGGCACAAAAGCCAGTAAAAACGTTAACAAGCCCTAAAATAAATTTCATGCAAAATTTATGTAAAAAGAGTGTCACTTGGGCTCCATAGTAACATAGTTCAGAAAATTAGGCAGGGTCTGCCATCCTGTCCAGCCACAGCCTCTCTGCCCAGCAGAAGTTGAACCAAAACGCCATGGAACAAGAGTCCTTTATGTCATCGGACTGCAGGGTTTTTAATGGGGGGAAGGAGGTGAGTGAATGGCTACAGAGAGAGGAAAGAAGGCCAGCTGAAACTACCACTGATACAGATACCTGAATACTCTCTTTGACAATCTGGTGTGCATGAGGATGGAAAAAATCCCCCCCCCCAAACAGGTGAGGAGGCTCTGAAAAGGAGCAGGGAGAAGCTTTGATCAACACCACAGGTTCTCATTTACCGTATTTTTCGCCCCATAGGACGCACCGGCCCATAGGACGCACCAAGTTTTTTGGGGGGGGAAATAAAGAAAACAAAAATTATTTCCCCCCAGGCGCTTGTGGGGCCGGCAGCGGGGAGAAGCGCTCTGCTCCCCGCCGCCCGCCTGCAGACCAGGTCCGGGGACAGCGGGAAGACACGCTGCGCCTCCCAGCTGTCCCCGGAGCTTGCGGGGCAGGCGGCAGGGAGAAGCGCTCTTCTCTTCTTCTTTTTTAATAAGATATTTATTAGGATTTTTTAAAATATTACAATAAAAAATGAAAAAGAAAAAACATACAAAATAAAAATGATTAAAAACACTCAGATTTTCCATTGCTTATTTTTCTTTAGCTTGTTTCCCGGACCTCCTCATACCTCCCTTTTTTGTATTCCAGTTCAGTTTGTTGGTTCAGCAAATCCTTACCCTCTTTATTTATCCTAATCTTTGGTCTTAAAATAATAACATTAGATTTTTACCTCTTAATAACCCCTTTTTCATATTCCCTTAAAGCATTACAGCTAGAAACCACTTAATTTCTATCCAACATCATTCTAACATTCATTAATTTTACAGTATTTCTGTAGATAATCTTTGAACTTCTTCCAATCTTCTTCCACCGACTCTTTCCCTGGTCTCGGATTCTGCCAGTCATTTCTGCCAGTTCCATATAGTCCATCAGCTTCATCTGCCATTCTTCCAGAGTGGGTAGATCTTGTGTCTTCCAATACTTTGCAATGAGTATTCTTGCTGCTGTTGTGGCGTACATAAAAAATGTTCTATCCTTCTTTGACACCAATTGGCCGACTATGCCCAGGAGAAAGGCCTCTGGTTTCTTCAAGAAGGTATATTTAAATATCTTTTTCAGTTCATTATATATCATTTCCCAGAAAGCCTTAATCCTTGGGCACGTCCACCAAAGGTGAAAGAATGTACCTTCAGTTTCTTTACATTTCCAACATTTATTATCGGGCAAATGATAGATTTTTGCAAGCTTGACTGGGGTCATGTACCACCTGTAGATCATTTTCATAATATTCTCTCTTAAGGCATTACATGCCGTAAACTTCATACCTGTGGTCCATAACTGTTCCCAGTCGGCCATCATTATGTTATGACCAACATCTTGTGCCCATTTAATCATAACAGATTTCACCGTTTCATCCTGAGTATTCCATTTCAACAGCAAGTTATACATCTTTGACAAAATCTTAGTTTTGGGTTCTAATAGTTCTGTTTCTAATTTTGATTTTTCCACCTGGAAACCAATTTTCTTATCCAAATTGTATGCCTCCATTATCTGATAATAATGAAGCCAGTCTCGCACTTTGTTTTTAATTTCTCAAAACTCTGCAATTTCAGTCTATCTCCATCTTGTTCCAAAATTTCCCAATATTTCGGCCATTTGGCCTCCATATTGAGCTTTTTCAGAGCTTTTGCTTCCATCGGTGACAGCCACCTTGGAGTTTTATTTTCCAATAAGTCCTTGTATCTTATCCAGACATTAAACAATGCTTTCCTGACGATGTGATTTTTAAATGCTTTGTGTGCTTTGACCTTGTCATACCACAGATATGCATGCCATCCAAATACATTGTTAAAACCTTCTAAATCCAAAATGTCAGTGTTTTCAAGAAGCAACCATTCTTTCAACCAGCAGAAAGCTGCTGATTCATAGTAAAGTTTAAAGTCTGGCAGGGCAAATCCACCTCTTTCCTTTGCATCTGTTAATATTTTAAATTTTATTCTAGGCTTCTTGCCCTGCCAGACAAATTTAGAAATATCTCTCTGCCACCTCTTGAAACAATCCATTTTGTCCACAATTTGCAATGTTTGAAACAAAAACAACATTCTAGGCAATACATTCATTTTTACCGCAGCAATACGGCCCAGCAGTGAAAGCTTCAAATTTGACCAAATTTCCAAATCTTTTTTCACTTCAGCCCAGCATTTTTCATAGTTGTCTTTAAATAAGTTCCCATTTTTGCTGTCATGTTAATCCCCAAATATTTAACTTTCTTAACCACTGTTAAACCTGTCTCATTCTGAAACCTCTCTCTCTCCATTGGTGTTAAATTTTTCTCTAAAACCTTGGTCTTTAACTTATTCAACTTAAATCCTGCAACTTGACCAAATTCTTGAATCAGTTCTAAAACTCTTTTGGTACTAGATTCTGGCTCCTGTAACGTCAATACTAAGTCATCTGCAAATGCTCTCAGTTTGTACTGTTTGGCTCCGACCTGTATACCTTTAACCAACCGGTCCCTTCTAATCATGTTCAGCAGAACCTCCAGGACCGATATAAAAAGCAATGGGGAAATTGGGCAACCTTGTCTTGTCCCTTTTTCTATCTTAAATTCTTCCGTCACCACATTATTTACAATTAGTTTAGCCTTTTGTTCTGAATAAATTGCACTTATACCGTTTTCAAAACCTTGGCCTACCCCCATCCCCTGTAGGTTCTTCTTCATAAAACTCCAAGAGATATTATCAAAAGCTTTCTCCGCGTCCACAAATATCAAAACAGCTTTGGTATTTATGTTCACTTCTAGTTTTTCCAAAATATCAATTATATTCCTCAAATTATTGGACAAGTGTCTTCCCGGGAGAAAGCCCGCTTGATCTTTATGAATCTCTTCCATCAATACTTTTTTCAATCTCTTGGCCAAAATGTCTGCAAAAATTTTGTAATCCACATTGAGTAACGATATGGGGCGGTAGTTCTTAAGCTGAGTCTTTTCAGTCTCTGTCTTCGGTATAAGTGTAATGTACGCCTCTTTCCAAGACTCTGGTGCCCTTTTCCTTTCCAATATTTCATTGCAGACTTCCTTTAAAGGTTGTAATAGCCACTCTTTCAAAGATCTATAATATCTAGAAGTCAGCCCATCCGGTCCTGGAGATTTGCCTAATTGCATGTTTTGAATGGCACCTTCTACTTCCTGCTCAGATATTTTGTAATTCAGCATTAATTTACTTTCTTGGGATATTTTTGTAATCCATTTGTCTTCAGAAATCGGTCTATATCAATTTCCTTCTGTGGCCCTTGTGTATATAGTTGTTTAAAATACCTCTGGAAACAATTTCTAATCTCAGTTGGGTTATGTATATTCTTTCCTTCCACTTCTAAATTTATAATAGTATTTAGTTTTTGTCTTTTTTTCATTTGCCAGGCCAGCAATTTCCCATATTTGTTGGCTGATTCAAATGTTTTTTGTCTCATTTGTTTAATTTTCCATTCTATTTCTTGATTCATCATTTCCATATATTGTACTTGATATAACTTTATTTCTCTCAAAATCTCCTGCGACTTTGGTTTTGCTCTCAATTTCTTTTCACTTTCTTTTATTTTCCCCAAAATTTTATCTTTCTTCTCATTTTGACTTCTCTTCTTTATTGCATTCTGTTGTATCAGAAACCCTCTCATAACAGCTTTACTTGCGTCCCAGATTACTCTTTTTTCTACATTAGTATTCATATTTATTTCAAAATAGTCTCTCAAGGTTTTTTGGGCCTTTTTGTACACTCCTTCATCTCTAAATAAGGTGTCATTCATCCTCCATCTGAAGGAGCCAGTTGATGTTAGTTTGAACTCCATCCTTACCGCATTATGGTTGGAGCAGGTTTTTGGGCAGATTTCCACTTTCTTTAACTTTGGTGCCATTCCTCTAGTTACCCATATTTGGTCAATTCTAGTCCATGTCATCTTAGCTTCAGAAAAGAAGGTTCCCTCTCTTCCCAAGGGGTTCTTTGTTCTCCAAGTGTCCACTAAATCAAAATTGTCTATCATCTCAAAAAATGTTTTCGGTAGTCTACCATCCTTGGTAACTACCTGTCTTTGTGCCTTATCCATGTTTGTAGAAACTACTCCATTCATGTCCCCATCAAAATCAGATTGTAATCCAAATAGTCCAATAAGGTCTCATGCAACTTTTTAAAGAATTCAGATTTCCCCTCATTCGGTGCATAAATTCCTACTATCAAAAATTTCTCTCCTTGAACTTGGATTTCAATTGCCAAAAATCTTCCTTGGTCATCTTTAAAAGTTAATTTCGGTGATAATTTCTCCTTTGCATATATCACAACTCCTCTTTTTTTGACTTTGTCAGATGATATAAACTCCTGTCCCAATCTCTTATTAATCAGTAGTTTCCTGTGTAACCTTGTTACATGTGTTTCTTGTAAACAAATCAAGTCCAAGTTGTACTTTTTTTATAAATGAAAAACACTTTTTCTCTTTCGAGGAGAGTTCAAACCATTACAATTCCAACTTAACAGTTGCAGAGCCATGATGGGGTTACTTCGCTTTACCTCCAACTGCGCCAAGTGTCTGTTCTTGTTCTGTCAGTGGTGTCTCTTTCTCTGGACCATGCAATCCAAAGGATAAGTTTGCTATGTCTAGTATTCCTTTTTCCAGTGCTTTTGGCTCTTCTCCGGATTCCACTTCTTTCTGTAGATCTTCTCCGTGATCCTTCAGAAACCTATCTTTGTCATTGACTGATCTTATTTTTATCTTTCTTCCTTTATATTTAAAGGACAGGCCTTGAGGGAATTCCCACCTAAAGATGATTCTGTTTCTTCTCAGCAGGGCAACCAGATCTCCGTAATTGAGCCTTAAGTCCAAAAGATGTTTTGGGATGTCCTTGAATATCTCCACACTTGAATCGTAAATTTCCAAAGTCTTTTGGTAATGCAGATTCAAAATTTTGTCTCTCTCCTCTTTTGTTCGAAGGGTAATCAAGCAGTCTCTCACCTTATTCCTCCTTCCTCCTCTTCCAAGTCTAAATGCACTCTCTATCTTGAATTCTTCCTTCCTCAAATCCTGTTGCCAGAAATCTGCGAATTCCTGCGTAAGAAAATCAGCCAAATCATCTTTCTCACGTTCTGGTACAGCCCTGATTCTTAAATTTCTTTGTTTCTCTTTCAGTTCAATCATAGACAATGTCAAACCGTGGTCCTCCAATTACTTATATACCGGTGGTATCTTCTCTTGAGTAGCAGTTGCTATATCTTTTGCTTCTTCAGCTATCTTTCGAGTCGAAGCAGATTCCTGTAGTAATTTTTCAATGGACTCTGTATTGGTATTCACCTTCTGTCCCAAATTATTAATGCTTGTAGTATTCTGGTCAATTTTAACTGATGCTTCAGCTACTTGTTTATTTGTTTCAGCTACTTGTCTAGCCAAATTTTCCAAAGATTCATTAATTTTTCCAAGTGCCTGTGCCAAAACGTCTTCGGACGACATAACTTTTGGTTTATCCTGTGGAGGTGCAGCCCCTGGTATTCCAGATGGTCCAGATGTTGAAACCCTTCGCTGCAACGCAGTATCTGTCCGATAGGGTCTGCCAGACCTAGTAGTTTTTTCCTGCGCCAACTCTAACTTTCCTCTTCCATCTGCCATAACACTCTCATGGGAGAGAAGCGCTCTTCTCCCCGCCGCCCGCCTGCAGACCAGGTCCGGGGACAGCGGGAAGACGCGCTGCGCCTCCCAGCTGTCCCCGGAGCTTGCGGGGCTGGCGGCGGGGAGAAGCACGCGTCTCCCCGCCGTCAGCCTCCAAACCACATCGGGAGACAGCGGGATGGCGGCGTTCCGCCTCCCCGCTGTCCCCCGACCTTGTGGGGCTGGCGCTGCGGCTCTCCTGAAGCCTGGAGAGCGAGAGGGGTCAGTGCGCACCGACCCCTCTCGCTTTCCAGGCTTCAGCGAAAGCCTGCATTCGCCCCATAGGACGCACACACATTTCCACTTCATTTTTGGAGGGGAAAAAGTGCGTCCTATAGGGCGAGAAATACGGTAACCATTTATTTTGTACACCATCAGTTCTAAAAAAAACACCCTTGACTTTTGGCCATCCAAATGGACTGAACACCAGTCCCTTCACTCCCTAATACCCCATTTTCCAGCTGTCCTCTCAGAGTTGCTGTTCTCTATAACACAATGCCACCAGCATTGGAACATCAGGCATAGGAGATCTCCTTTTTTCCTTTTAACTATAACTCCAAGATCTATTAACCAGAACCAGGTGCAAAAGATATACTCAAAGAATTAAAAGAGTTCTGAGCCCAGGAATTTGCAGTGAAGAACTGAACTGAGTTCACAGTCTTTCCGTACAGAAAGCCATTCCTGGAACCCCTTCACCAGCATACAAAATTTTCTAACTGGGGGGCGGATGGGGCAGGTGTCATTTTGCAGCTGCCACTTTTAAACAGTTGGGATTCAGATACCCTTGCCAATCTCTTGGAGACCTTCCATTAGATCCTGATCTACCTTCTGTCCACACCTAGCATGCAGCTAAACAAGCTAGGCAGATCGTAAACATGCTTACTCTCAGGTAGGTGGAAGACTTCTAACTCCCCTTACTATTTGCTAGGGGGGTGAGATTGCCAAATAATGTGTGATTTATTGTGGTGGAGCTCATATGTGAGATAGGAAGGTTAAACCCCATGTACCATGGTGCCTATACTGATTGTGTTCTCCCACAGTTGTTTTTTAATAACTCCTCTTCTCAAAAAACAGATAACACTCATCTAATTCAACTCTTTTCTCTCCCCATATTGCAAATGGTGGCAAGTTAGGGTTGAAACTTGAGTGATTTTCCCAAGTTCACCCACTGAGGTGAACCAGGGACCCTCCAACTCACATATTATCCTCTTAGCCACTACAATATTATGCTCTCAGTCATTGCTTCTGCAGAATTAGTCCCATTCCACCCTCTCATTACTCCCAACCTTTCCATGCTGTCTCAATCACTTTTCTTCCACACTTCATGCACAAAGAGTTTCCCGCACTGCAGGGATTTCTGGTTCATGAATCTCAATGGGATGTCTTCTGTCCTGGTGGCAGGATGATAGGCATGGTAAAGGCTCCTAGTTCAGATCTTTGCCAATGCAGTGGTTTGGGGGTTGGGGTGGGGGAGAGGAGAATATTTAATAGTAGGGCATGGGTGCCATCTGGTTGGGTTCTCTGGTGCCAGCAATGGGCACAGTGTTATGGGTAAATCAGGGATCAGGAGGCATACTGGAGGGATGCGGTCTTTTTTGGAAACAGCTCTGGGAGCCACAATCTTAAATTGTGACTATGGCCTTACAAGCTTGTTTTAGGAAAGGCTTGCTTTAGACCCCAAATGACAAGGCTGTTCCTTCTGCCCCTTAATCACATCCAGTGCTTCTAACAGAAAACCTAGCCTGGCTTCCAAACCTTGCACATGCCTGGCCTTTCAGAACCAAGCAGTACGAACCAGTGACCAGTGCAAGAGTGACACCCTTCCTATTGGTGTTGAGCCACTCTTGCCTTGTTTGGGGACCTGCCTGCCAGGGGCTCACCAGTGCAGAGCAGTCAGCTCCAGATCAAGCAATGGGAAGCACTCTCTGTAGCAGCAGCCATGTTACAAATGGCTCAGTGGAGCAAATTCGTCTGCAGTGGAGCTGCAACCACTGGCACAAGTTAATTGAAACCAGGAACAAGCAGCAGAGGAACATGTCCTGTATGTTGTAGTCAGACATGGCTACGGTGGCATCCCTAAGAAATGGCAAAGGCCAGAGAGTGGACTGAGAGAAATGGTGAATTGGGTGACCCTACAAGGCAGCTGCTGGTGGTAGAAGAGAACAGGAGGCCTGGAGATCCAAGGCAAAGGCAGGAGCTGAGCCAATTCCAGCTCAGGGTCTGAAGTAGGCTGTTTGGTCTGGCAGCTGATTAAAAGCAGCAGGGGCCCATGGATGAGAGGCTGTTGTGCCACAAGTGTAAGAGGCATGCAGTATGCAGGGGCAAGATGAAATTCAAGTTGTCTGGGAAGGGGCTCAGGACGAGGAGGGAAAGGGAGGGGAGGGGGAAGACAAGTGAGAGGGAGGGAAGGAGGTATCAGAAGTGAAATCCTATCCCACTGGGTCAGAAAATTGCTGCAAAATCAGGCTTGAAATGAATTGAAATTGCTGAATCCAAACGGATCTAATATCCCAAGCCAACAGCAATAGGATGCTGGTATCTGCGCTGTGTTTCCCTCATGGAGCAAACAGGTGGAGGATGTCAGTATGCATGCTGGTGTACATTCTGGAGGAGGGGAGGGGAGTTGCAGCTGAGAAGGAGGAGAGAGGGGAGACTTCAGGGGGAAGGGGAGAGGAAGACTGAAACTGTGGAGATCCATGGACTGCAACAAAGGGCATTTGATGAATATGATTTGTGTGTGTGTGTGTGTGTGTGAGAGAGAGAGAGAGAGAGAGAGAGAGAGAGAGAGAGATGCATATGGGACAGTTGGAAAAAGCTCTGACAGCTAGGAGCGCCATCTCTGCTGGACACTGACTTTGCTGAGGGAGCTGATGTCCAGGCCGTGCCCCTGCTCTGACTTTGCCACTTACACAAGTTGAAACTTCTGCTAGTGTCCCCGTCTCCCTGGGCCGTCTCCCTTGGCAACGGGCACTTGTGTGACTCCAGCTCAGCACTCTCACTTAGCAGGCATGGCTTCTGATTTCCACGGCTGCTTTCATGGATGCTGCGTGCGCTTCCTCTTCAGCCCCAAATCTCTGTGCAGCACCCGTAGACAGGAAACCACACGTTCCTGGTGCCTAGAGAACCTTTGGGGCCCTGGGATAACCAGGTCAGAGGTGGTTTTAGGGTAGCACGACCAGTTCGGCTTCACTGGGCACCAGCGCCGCAGGTGGTACCGTAACAATGATGTAGAACAGAGTGCGAGTGGCAAAGGCTGCCACTGTAAATCAAGAGCCCAAAGTCCACCACTGACCCACAAATTCTCCCTGTGTTAACCTGCCTTTGGGAATAGGATGCAACACAGTGTGCAGGGAGGCCTATTTGGCTGCTTTAGGCTCTTTCTCCTGTGTGAAGCGTTGTAGGCCATGCCATTTGGTTGATGAGTTTGGTAGCCAGGTGGTAGTGAAGATGGTTGGAAGATGACTTGGAGAGAGAGAAGATCATGCAGTGAGAACTGGCAGCGAGGCCGCAGAAATACTGGCATGCAAGTGTGGTAGGAAAGACTTTTCCTGAACATCCAGGGACTGGACAAGTGGTACAGCAGCTGTAACAAAATCCTGGAAGAAACATGAACGGGTTCCAGCTTTCAGGGCTGCCAATTGAGCTAATTTGCCATGAGCTCATTTCCATGTAGGCTGGCCAGTATCTGTGCCAGGGCTGCAGGTGATCCAAGTTATGAGGAGCCTCACAACAGCTATCTCATATGAAGCCAGGTATGGAAAAAGGAGTCGTGGTTGACCCAAAATGATCTCGCAGGCCAACCTCTGAGGCCTGACAGGGCTAACTAGGCCCACGGGCAGGAGGTTCCCTACCAGGGCTCTAATGTAAAGTGGTGAGCACAACAAAACAACTTTCCCCTCTCAGTGTGGCTCCCAAAACAGAGGAAAGCTATGCAGGAGTGGAGTTTTGTGTGGAAAAAACTGTGAACTCATTAAAAACAAATTCCTAGGCTCAAAATGTGATAACAGGAATCCTTTTCTTTAAATCTGTACTCTTCTGTGCTTGGCTCTGATTGGTAGCACTTGAGGTTCCAGTTCTCTGCTACACTGTACACGCATATGCGTCAGTAAAACCCTTAAGTGCTTTGGAGCGAAACTGTCACTGAATCCACATGTACTAGTCTTTCAGGCAGCCTTTGGAAAGACAGCCTAATCACGGAGATAGCAGATAAATGCTCACAGATTAATTACACCATTCAGTAGTGTGCCCCTTGGGGTGACCTCAAGGGGATTATTTCCATACATTTGAGTGAGCTCTGTATCCTTTGCCACTGCCTGTTCTCCAACTGCTCCCCTCCCCGCCCCATAGCCTTCTCATTTGTGACATGTACAAAAAGGATATGATGAGTCCCATAAACCTATTTACTAGGGTGTCACATTTGTATCCATCCACCAAGAAAGAGACATTGCTTGAGAGAGGGGGCATAGTTCAGTAGTATAGCACATGGCTTTTGAGTAGATAACAGTGGTGAGGGGACACCCCCCCATGCCACCTCAATGTTGTTGAACTCTAGCTCCCATCAGCCCCAGTCAGCACAGTCAGGGTTGGGGATGGTGGGAGCTGCAGTCCAACAACATCTGGAGGATTACAGGTTCCCCAGTCTTGGCGTAGAAGGTCACAGGTCAATCCTTGCCACTAGCTGTTTAAAAAACATCTCAACCAGCCTGAGACTGGAGAAACCCCTGTTTCCCAGAGTTGCCGACCTTTTTGCAGTGCTGGCAGCTTTGCAGGGCTGGAGGAGGCGGGAGCGGCTGGAGGGCGGCTCCTCCGGCAGGGAAGAGGTGGAGGCTCCAGCCGCAGCGCTGCTTCACCGAGGCGGGCAAGGGCGGCGAGCTGATGCCGGGAGGCACCGTGCTGCTCCCAGCCTCTGCCTCTTCCCTGGCGCCCGTGCCGTGGTGGCCACGGCAGGCGGAGCCTCCTGGTGCATGGCGGAGGTGGGTGAGGGCAGCAAGCTGATGCCGGGAGGCGCTGCATCCAGCCTCCGCCTCTTCCTTGGCGCCCTCCAGAACTTGGCACCCTGCTGCCCCGCGCCACTTGCCTCTGTGGGCAAGATGCCCCTGTATGTAAGCTTCATATGTTAATATGTCATTCTCTGTCAGCAGTATATAATTAAGGATACTTAATTTAGAACAAGAATAGCCAACAAGGCACTCTCCAAATATTTTGGACTTGAACTCCCATCAGTCCCCCAAAGCATGGCCAAAGTTCAGGGATGGTGGGAATTGTAGCCCAAAACAACTGGAAGGCACCATGTTGATTACCCCTGATCTAGGAGCTGCCATTTCTTTTCTTTTAAATTAAAGGATTTTACTTGGGTAATAGTAGTACATTGGTACCTCAGGTTAAGAACTTAATTCGTTCTGGAGGTCCGTTCTTAACCTGAAACTGTTCTTAACCTGAGGTACCACTTTAGCCAATGGAGCCTCCCACTGCTGCTGTGCCACCGCCGCGCGATTTCTGTTCTCATCCTGAAGCAAAGTTCTTAACCCGAGGTACTATTTCTGGGTTAGCGGAGTCTGTAACCTGAAGCGTCTGTAACCTGAAGTGTCTGTAACCCAAGGTACCACTGTACATACAAAGCCTCTGTTTTCAAGTCGTAGAATCTTACATACAGATCTGTAGCATTTGTGGTGAAATGTTATTGTTACAAGCAATATGGGTTTGTGAGGTAAGAGAAGTGGGAAGAGAGAGGGGAGGAAATGGGGGAATAGTAAAATTTTATTATTTCACATAGTATATGAGCAAAGCTTTTATGCCAGTGTCATGTGAGTGGTTACTTTATTTTTGCTAGCGATGCAAGAGACCAGAGGTCTTGGTTGATTTCATTTGGTTAATTGCAGTGTGTTTTGTTGGTGTGTAGTGGGGGGTGTTGTTGGATCAGGTTAACCATATCAATTCATATGCTATTGGTGGGGATTGGTCATTTCTTGTTGGCTTGCATATTTCACTTGGTGTATGTGTAGAGCTGAGATGAAGTGGGAAACAGGGAACTCTACTACTGAGGACAAAGCAGTCCACTGATTCTGCATCCTCATGGAGTAACCCGAGATCACAGAACAGGGCCTTGGAAGTGCCAGCCTGGGTCTAGTGCTTCTCAGTAGTGCCCTTCCTCAGGCTAAGCTTCCTTTCCTCTATTCACCCAGTGAATTCACCCATTTAGGCTCGAGGCTTCCCTTGGGCAAGCTGGGTGCTAGCCGTGGCAGAGAACAGTGGGGAAAGGTTGCCCTGCTCGTCACATCTCAGAATGACTCAGAAAGCAGGTTCCCTTGTCTCCCATTCCTTTTCGTCTTCAGTGGACGCCGTCACCAGCAGAGTGGGGTTAGCAGCTCTGGAGAAAAGAAGAGAAAACCCCCGCCGGGGCTGAGAGAATGTTTGATGATGGCGGATGATATAAAAGCTGAGCTATTTCTGTCAAGGTCAGAGTGTAGCCGAGGTGGCACTGGCAGCAGCGGCTTCGTAGAGCAGGGAAATGAGGGATCTCGTCAGGAAATTACCCTGCTAATGGGGTCTCCCTGGCACACAGCAGGCGGGAATCCCAGACATTCTAGAGCTCTGATGGAAACAGAGGCAAGAGACCAGCACAGGGGTCACTGAGGGATGAGGGATTGGACTGCGAGCTGGGAAAAGAGCACAGATAAACTGAAGGGGCAGAAATGAAGGTCCCCAGGGAGAAATATTAGGGCCAGCTGTTGGGTGGTGCGTGGGTACAGCAGTCTATTTTGCTTCCATAGAGAAGGGCCTATCTTAGCCTTACAGTTTCAAAAATTTAGAATGATCAGGGTTATATCTATACATGCTTTTGCCAATTTACTTTGGCCCCATCTTCACTACACAGTTAAAGCATTATCATACCACTTTAAACAGTCTTGACTTCCCCAAAATAATCCTGGGAGCTGTAGTTTGCTAAGGCTGAGAAAGTTGTTAGGCGACCCATTCCCCTCATAGAGCTACAATTTGCAGAGTGCTTTAACAATCAGTGCCTCTTCTCAGGGAACTCTGGCCACAGAGATGCCAGCTAACTCTGAACACGGTGGTACCCCATTTGTGTTTCCCTTTGCATTTTGGACATACCTTCACCATCACCACCACCACCATCATCCTTTAAAATCAAATGAGGAACCTCTGCCCTGGGGTCTGAATATGACCCTCCAGACCTCTTATCCATCCCTCAGGACTCCCCAGTCTACGCCCCTTACTAATCTATTCTATCCTGGCAAAAGCACTCAAGGAGGGTGTAGAGTAGGACTATTGAGGGGTGTGGCCTGGGGAGAGGGGTATGGTGTGGAGAGGGGGTGTGGCCTGCAATAAGTCCCAAGGGCCAAATAGACAGGCCTTGAGGGCCATATTTGGCCCATGGGCCTGAGGTTCCCCACCTCTGACCTAGATCTTATTTTCCCCTCACACTCAGAGCCTCCAGGCCATTCTTTCCACATATATCAGGCTTTCATTGACCTACTTTTCTGTCATATTCAGCTTCCCAGGCCCCTGTCCTCGTACACTCAGGTGCTCTCATTTCTATTGTTGTCCCTCACATTTGTCTTTGCTCCCCTGGGACACTCCCTAGTCCCAGGTGCCCACAGTTAGGCAGTTTTTGGCCTATTCCCTCCATAACCTGCTTTTCCTTCATGCGTCTTAACAATGGCTTCCCCCTGGCTGTATAGACCCCTCACCTCCACCTCCACCACCTACCACACTCTCCAACTGCTAACCCTGAGGTTTGTTTCTCCACATCCCTTGTCTCCCCTCTTCTGCCTGAGCCCCCTCCCTCTCACCTGCCAAGCTCCCTGGATCTATGGGCTGCCCTTGTCGGACATAAATTTCCCCTGGCCATTCCCTGCCCATAAATCTTTCTGCTGCAGCTCCCCAAGCGCCGCGCTTCCTGACACCTGCCCTGCCCTGGACCATCCACACCCCTTGATTTAATGCCAGGCAGATTTCATTACTGCTGCTTGCTCTCCTCCCTGGGTCGTTAATGAAGATGTTAAAGGAGAAAAGCCCTGCCCCCGACCCTGTGCCCCCACTCATGTCCTGCACTCAAGTGCATCCGCTGCAACTCATCAATCTCTGCCAGCATCCGAACTGTTCACAATGGGTGTCACCGCAAAATGTAGTGTTGTAAACCCTCCCTCTCCTCCGCCATGCTCAGGTTTCATAGGCTCATCTCTCACCCATGGGCCAGCAGGCAATCCTGTCCTAATTCCCCTGCCAGGGGATGGAAAATTTGGGGGAGGTGCCACCCCCGATTATTCCAGAATTTTTCACAATTTTAAGGGGGGCCCCCCACATTTTTTCTGGGTGTTTTCCAGGCCTTCACATCTCTAGCAGGCTCTGTCTCTAGCAGGTACCATGCTCTTCTTTTTCTGGGTGTGTTACTGCCTCCTCATCAGAATTCAGTTCATATATTCATATGATGTGTTTGCCTTCAACTAAGCTAGGTGCTCCCCCACTCCTCCAAAAGCAGCTTGCAGAATGAACCCTATACAAATGTGGTACCCCTAGGTGAGCTTGCAAGCTGAGCGCAACACATAGGCAAGGTATAGTTGCACACTAATCCTTTAATAAACCTCCTTTTGCGGCCTGCTTATACCCCGTATTCGCATAAAGGGGGCATCATACGAGTACACTGGGGGGGCACACTCCTGCCTCTGGCATCAGATATGCCACCTGGCCCCATTTTTAGATGTCCGTATATTCACATAGAGATGCAGGTGGCGCTGTGGGTTAAACCACAGAGCCTAGGACTTGCCGATCAGAAGGTCGGCGGTTCGAATCCCCGTGACGGGGTGAGCTCCTGTTGCTCGGTCCCTGCTCCTGCCAACCTAGCAGTTCGAAAGCACGTCAAACTGCAAGTAGATAAATAGATACCGCTCTGGCGGGAAGGTAAACGGCATTTCCGTGCGCTGCTCTGGTTCACCAAAAGCGGCTTAGTCATGCTGGCCACATGACCCGGAAGCTGTATGCCGGCTCCCTCGGCCAGCAAAGCAAGATGAGCACCGCAACCCCAGAGTCGGTCATGACTGGACCTAATGGTTAGGGGTCCCTTTACCTTTACTTTATATTCACATGTCATGAAGGGGGCTCTTGAGACTGCTAAAGGCAGAAGAGGGCTGTGAAGCTCTTGGCAGACATCTCAGTTTGGTAGTCCACAAGTTTGGAAGAACAAACTGCTGCTACATGTTTGTATGCTTTACACAACCTCTTTGCTGTCCCCACATGGTGCATGGCCTGTCCTTCAGTCATGCACTTTCCAGCATATTCTGAGACCCACAGGAGAAGCTCAACTTTGTGCTCTGCTTAGTTGAAAAACAGATTAGACATGAGTTGGGCTTTTCCTGTCACGGCACATACTGTATTCTGTGGATCTCTCTTCCTAGAGTGGCCCATCTGAACCCTTCATTAAAGGTCAAAGTGGCATTTAGACTAGAAAACAGTTTTACAGAGGATCTGGAGATCAATAACAGAACATCTGCTTCATCCACAGCTCTGCTGGTTCACTCTGGCCAGGTAGAATCATAGAATTGTAGAGTTGGAAGGTTTGGAGGTGGGTTTTCCAGGATTCTCCCCACCCTCTCCTGCTTTTTAACTTTTTTTTCTTCCCATGGGCATTGAGGGCGGGTGGTCCCCCCCCTTTCCTGGAGGGTATCAGGGATGCTAAGTTTTGGACCCTGCAAATCCAAGATCACAGCCAACACATCCCATTGTTCCACTCACACAGGACCACAGACAGAGCAGTGGTGGTGCAGCTTCCCACTGTCCATGGCAACAAGGAGATCTCCACCTGTGGATCTTACTTTCCACCTGCTGAGAGGGAAATCCACAGCATCCAATGGCCCCTTTACTGCCCTCCTCAAGAGTTTAGGATCACTCCCTTAAAATTATTCTGATTTTATTATGTTGTTTTAAAATTATGTTTTATGGTAGGCCACCCTTGTTAAAATTTTGGGAGGTGGAAATGTGTAGTGTTTGTTGGTTGGTTGGTTTGTTACTGTGTGTATCTTTTTAAAAAACCATTAGCCCCCTTGATTGCCCTGGTAGAACAGTGAGAAGACAAATGCTTTTAAGAAAACCGTAAAAGAAAATAAATACAGTTTAAAATAAAGACATGCAAGAGCACTGATAAAAGGGAATATGGAACATGCCACAAAGCAAAGGAAATTGCTTTTCACATCTTCATGTTCCATGGCAACGAGTGCCACCCCAGAGTTGCCAGGTTGAAGCCCACCTTTCCATTTGCCGCTGCCTCTGGCGATGGGGCAGTGATGGTTTATCCTGCCTGCTTCTGCCTTCCTCCACCTGCTGTGCAGCACACCTGAAATCTTGTTCATTACAGCAGGCGAGGGGAGGCAGGGGACATGCACAACAGGGCGGTGGGAGGAACGGATAAGAGAAAATGCAGCTGCCTTGCTTCCTGCTGCTTCAGGAAATTTAAGACTGCAATTCTATGCACACTTACCTGAGTCTAAGTGTCGTTGAGCTCAGTGGGTCTTCCTTCCTGATAAACAGGCTGCACTGCGTCAGAGCAGATCTCCAGGTTGTGTCCTGACAACCCTAGTTCCACAGGCCCTGGCGGACACTGGTACCCAAACATCACTTCTCTGGACCTGTATAAACTTGTCCCATGGGCCCCCCTTCTCTCCCTCACAAAAGGCTTTGTCTGTTTTGAAAAACTGGAAGATCATTTGGTGTTCTTTCAGGTTTGTAGGTTCCTTTTCCCCAAGGGTGAGAAGTTCCCTTTAGCCACTGCTTGATGTCTGGGGGATCTAGTGTTAGTTTGTCCATATGCTTTCTGGAGATGAGAAGCCTTACTCCCATATGTTTTGGGCCTGTCAATCCGCTCCACCGTACTGGCTGCCAGTGTCCATGGAATCTCCATGTCCCTGATTAATATGATGTTTGTCCTTCCTGCCTTCTTATCAGTCAGCTGCCACACCATCTTGGCTCATCCTGCCTGTGAAAAGGAAATACAATTCCCACCCTCCACGGTTCAGGATGTTGCTTGTTCTGTTCTAACTCTTCTACTGATTGGTTCTAAATTGTCGTCGTCGTCATCATCATCATCATATTCAGATCCCGTCCATCTAGCTGGGTTTCCCCAGCCACTTTGGGTGGCTTCCAGCAAAATATAAAAAGAATAATAAAGCATCAAACATTAAAAACATCCCAGTACAGGGCAGCCTTCAGATGTCTTCTGGAAGTTGTGTAGTTCTTTATCTCCTTGACATCTGATGGGAGGGCGTTCCACAGGGAGGGTGCCACTGCCGAGAAGGCCCTCTGCCTGGTTCCGTGTAACGTCACTTCTCACAACGAGGGAACTGCCAGAAAACCTTCAGAGGTGGATCTCATGAGATCATAGGAGAAGTGGGCGCCCTTTATAGATATTGGTGAATAGTTTGCATAAACCACCTCCAAGTGTGATCCTCAGTTAAGCTAATCTCCCCCCCCACTCCGCCCCTCAGACTAGGCCTCCCTGGACCTTTGGACCCAGTAAAGTATTTTTTTCACTCACCATGCAAATAATTGGGCTTTCAGTAACACTGGAAAATGAAAGTGAGCTCAAATTGGAGGCACCATCAAAAGGAGTATTTAAGGGGGTGCCATTTTATCCACAGACTTTCCTCAAACTAAGCAATGGCAGATGGATCATAGTTGGACTGCCCAGTGGCTATCTCTGAAGCATCTAGACTGAGCCCAGTCCCATGATTTGCAGAACGTCTGTTGCTGAGCTCAGTTTGTTTCCATCCCAACACCTATTGATGCAGTCACACCCCCCCTTTAATATAGACACTTTGCACAATTCCTGGGTAATTAAGGAAGGGCCTCCCCACCATCTTGGGGAAGAAAATATGCCTCTTTCTCAATATTTCCATAATCACAGGGACTTTCAACACCAGCACGAGAGAGCAAGGATGGATACGGAGAAAGAAAATCCCCTAGTATTTGAACATCACAGAAAGGATATCAACATCAAGACAACAGCTATATAGCTGAGGGGAGGGGTAATGGGGGGTTTTTTTCAGGGGGAGGAATCAAGGATTCTTAGAGCTTTCAAGGCTTATCTAAGCACTGTACAGGCATAGAACTGAAAGGGGGAAAATTAATTTCGAGGTTAGTCACAAGCTATGTCAACTGTCCCATCTCACACACAGTGCAGCTGACCCCTCCCCACTTGCCCCCATTATAACTGGCCCACTTTCCACCCAGCCATGAGGCCATGTTTGGGTAGGCACGGCTGCCACAGACATTGCACATCGGCAGGGTTAAATCAACCTATTAGGCAGAAGCTCCCAGCAAAATGACATTTCCTCTCGCCCGGCAGAGCCAGGAACTACCGTCCTCAGCTGTGAGAAAAACTAATATAAAGCTGCCCTTGTGTGAAGGGCCCGATGGTATCAGGGAAGGCGCAATAAATCTCAGCAAGGAACACATTCACTGAGACGGGCACAGCCACACACATACGGCTACTCCACACTCTCAGAGACTCATACACAGATATCTCCTTAGGAGACCCCGGGTCTTTCTCTGTCGCACACGACACATCACCCTACACAACAACCACATCCAGCTGCCATGGGCAGGAGCATTGTTGGCCCCAGAACAGGCGCATGTAGCTGTTCCTCACACACACTGCTACCCTGCTGCCTGCCGTATTGATAACCCTCACCTACAAAACTAATATATCCTTCACCATGTGTTTGCCAGCCTTTTTTGTGGACAGAATCCCTGCGTCTATGACAGTCACAATTCAACAAGTACAGCACAAACATGCAGTGATAAGGAAAGGCTCACCTGTTGATTTCTTGAAAGCCATGCAGGTGCTTGTGACGTGCAACTTGTTGACACAAAAGATGGCAACCCTCACTTAACCCTCATGCCTGAAGCGTATGGCTGCCCCTTAGAGCAGACAGGCCCCAAGTATTCATCAGAGAAGGAGACAATTTTAGTCTCACATTTCAATCCAGAAACAAAATGCATTCATATACAGGTGTCTCACCAGCACGGGCACAATACAACACTGGCCATTACCCCCCCCCCCCCAAAGACACATATATACAGAAACAGAGCTATTTCTCTCAACACATATGTACATGCACTTGGGCATCACTACCATGGACAATAAGAAGCTGTACCCTATAGATATAAACTTATCAGTGCTCCCTCTTACATATCCCTTGCAGACTGACCTCTTCTGGCATACTACTTTGTCCCATCTTAATTTAAATAATTAAATAATTTAAAGTGCACATGAATGTAGAATTCCTCAGTAAGGAGAAGTGAACCCTAGAACCAAAGAGTACTGAAATAGGAAGCAGACTCTAAAAGACCTCATATTTTGTCAGTGCACCCGCTTACTCCAAAGAAGTTGAGACGGTTGCAAACACTTAGGTTATTGGCGAAATGACATTTCCCCCTCCTTGGGCTCCCGGGGATTTGGCTGCAATGGTGGTGTGTACAGTGGCCCTGTCTAATTCAAGATCCTGGACTTAGTCTTCTTAGCGCCCCCTCCTCTTTAGAAGGCCATGCCTTACTTCAGTTGTGAAGCACACAATATTTTTCCTCCTTGGCACCATTTTGTGCTTTGAAACAGCTTCTACATTTCTGATACGTTAGAGAAAAAAAAAAAATTCCAAATGAAAAGACCAGTTTGCCAACCCTATTATAAGAAGGAATTCTTACAGCATGTGCAGTTGCACATTTTTAAAAACACCAACACTAAAATCATAGCACTACAGAATAACATGGTGCTTTTTTTCTGCTGCCTTGATGCTAAACACATTTGCTTAGGAATAAGTGCACCATTTCATTGCAAAAAGGGGTAACATAAATTTTAAGTAAATAAATAATTAGATGATCATCTGTAATCATGACTGCCCCCTGACAGTACAATGTTTTTAAAAACAAAAAGAGAATGTTGTGACCAGCGTCAGCCCGGTGGGCCCCTGTATGTCTATCTCAGCCTAGGTGCTGATGCTGGGCTTGTTTACTTCTGCCTCCATCAGCTGCTCTTTGGGTGGTTGTGTTGTGTGGCTCTGGACTTCAGTTGCAACGTCCAGCCCTAGCTAAACAACCAGGTGTGCAGTGGCAACGGCTCAGTGATTGGTAGACACACTCCAGATAGGGGCTACCCATTGGGCCAGTGACTGCGGCTGAGGGCCATTTGTTATAATTTAAGAATATGCAAGGTGGATACATGTGGTGGACACAATCATGTTTTAAGTGACCATTTGTGACAGGGAGCCACATGAATGCAGCTCCACGCAAGTGAAATAAGTGTGTGCAGCCATTTTAAAACCAGCAATTTTAAACATGACATTCCTTATACACACAATGTACAATCATAATCCATGAGGGTTTGGAAGTTGGGGGGGGGGGTTGGAGGGAATATGTCCAAATCTTAGTCACTCTATAATATATAATATAATAGACAGTTGCCATCTCCTTGCAAGTGCTGCCACCTGCTGACTAACTGGAAACTTGGTGCTATGAGCACAGGCTGGTTTTGCTGAACTTTGAAGTAAGTCCAGCCTTGGCTGAAAATTTTGCTAATAAGGGTATTCAGATCAGCAGTTTAAGGCTTCTTTGTTTTTCATGATCATGCAAAGAAGTGCCACAGCCTACTCTGAATTCTCTCTTCCACCATTATTTGCACCCCACTTCCTCTCTTTTTCACATGAACATTTGTGCTTTTATGTCAGAAATCCTTTTGTTGTTTCGGGGGCATCATCTCTCTCCTCACTTGGCCCAAACTAAGGGTGATTACCACCTCCAATATTTATATGTATATATTCTTCAGAAGGCAGCTATTGGTGAGAGATTTTGGAACATAGCCATGGGCATGAGAGGAAAGAAGTCCAACTATTTTTCCTGTGCTTGCAGCCACGGTCCAACACCAACACAGCTGGAGTTTGTAATAGCTGTGGAAAGGGAAACAGACAGGCTCAAACGTTTAAGAGATTCATGGCACATTTAAAGTACTTATCTATGCTAGGGTAACAGCTTTAAGCTTAGATGCAGATTTAGAAATCATTACTGGAATTTAAAGAAATACAATGCATCTTGCCATGGTGGGGAAGGCCATGTGTGTCTGCTCAGTCTGCCACTCACATGCTCACTGTTGACGGACAATTTCAGCGCCCCTGCTCGCTTCCTAGGGTTATTCAGCTTTAAACTAGGGACGGAGTGGAAAACCCTTCCAACAGAGAGTGCCTTCAGAGAGAAGACTTTAAAGTAGGACAAATGGCCACCCTCATGATCCATACAGGAATCCCAACAACCTGAAGTCACTGCATCTTCCTCACGTGGTACTTCTCTGCTAACAATCCATGGCCTAACCACACTGATGTACAAATGCATGTGTAGGAACCAATATTCAAGGTTAACAACTCCACCCCCACCCCCGGCCCCCCACCCCAAAAAAATGACCTGGGAACTCACGGGACCCTACCCAAGTAAATGCCTTATGTGTGCTTAATCTATAGCTACATGTGATAGATTGTTTTAAAGAATGCTGGACTCAGTGAATCAATGTTATTCTGCCCATTTGGGCTTCAGCAGAGTTACTGTCAACTTCAGGTTGGAACAGAGAGCAGGCCCAACCAGAGCCAGAGTGCAGTAATTACTCTGGATTGAGATCGGAATCTGGTATTTGACCCTGAGATAATCTTATCTCTTCAAACTGTTCTTGGTAGCATAGAACATCTTGCTATATCGGAGTATGACTTATCAGCTGTATTTTAAGGCCTGGGAGATGTATGGTATATCAAAAGAAATGAGCAAATGTATGTTTAAGTAAACTTTCTAGTTTAATATAGAAAGCAGAAATAAAAAGTCATAGGATTAAAGAAGTGTGAAAATTAAAAATAACTACATGCAAGCTGGCTGCCTCCTCCTCCTCCGTTTAGTAGTTTACTCATGTGCCACTTTTCCATGGTGAACCATGTTCAAAGCAGCTTGCAGTAGCATCAGAAAAGTTTGCATAATAAAATACAGCCAACATTTCAGGATCATTCACTAACCTCAAAGCATTATAGTTAATAGTCATGTAAATATTAAAAGGCCAAACGTCTCCCATTAATATGCACTAAGATTAAACAACCCACTAATAATTCATACTGTGGCCTAACAATAGAAAGACAAAAATACAATCCAAACAGCAAAAAGAGTGCATTTAATCCTAAACTAAATGTTGCCCCCCAGCAACAGCCCCCTAACAATACATTCCGGTGGAAGTTTGCTTAGAAATATATTCCATTGTGTTATGTAGTACTTTCCTAACCAAATAAATGTGCATCGGGTTGCAACCTACGTCAGTCAATGCAGGCCTGGCTCTCCCAGGCCAGATGGAAATAAGCCAGAATGAGAAGCAAGATCCTAATGAACATTGGCAAGCGGTGACAAGGCTTGACAAGGCAGTAAGCTTCCATTGCATTGGTACAAGAGGTTACATTTTCAAAGGCCAGAAATCCAAGTCCAAAGCAGCTGCTTCCCACTTGTAGTTCCAAGTCACATCATGGATGCAAATTGACAAGAGTCTCTTCCAGCAAAGATCCATCATAGACACAGCCAAGGTCCACATAGAGATCCATCTTTTTTCCTTTCTTTAATACAAGAACCTCCTATGTTTTTTTCTAAAGATCTCAAAATCTAGTATGAGGGATTGCATTCGTAACCAATCACAGCCTTCATTCACTGTAAATCAGCTATTCAGATTACCAGGATGTAAAACAAAAGCCGGTTTCTGAAATATCACATTCAACAATGTTAGAATCCAAGTAAGAAATCTTGCACTATCACATCAAAAATAGTTCCCTATATCCTGTAGCTGGGATAATGTTGGGATAAACTTTATAGTTTTGCCATTAAGGTAAATGAGCAGATCTTGTATATAGACAGTCTGTAGTCATTCACATATGGCACAAGAAAAAGGAAATTCCTCACAAAAAAGGGCTATATCCATATTAATTAAATTTAAAGCCACATTGAGTGTTGATGAGCTTTCTTTTCTCAGCTATTGAACTGGGTTTCTTAAACTGGTCTGTTCTGTTGTGCTTAGCATAAAAACATAAAGTTGAAGCATCATTAAAGAGGTACAAACCTCCCTAAGATTGGTTTGAGTAGACATCTTGTACTGCCCTACTTCCTCATCACTTTCCCATCCCTCCTCTGTCCTTGTTATTTTTTTACAATGGATTTCTGTCATTGTACCTGTTTACATTAAATAACCTAGATATGACTTGATAATTTTAAAAAATATTATTTAACAAAAGGTAAGCATAGCTACTTCCTGATTCTGGAGCCCAGCTAGTGTCACATTGTTGTCTCAAGGCCTCCACCCCTTTCCTGCACAACCACATCAAATTTATAGGTGTGGTTATGAATGTTCTGGTACAAATGCACAAACTCCATGGTTTATAATTAAAAAAATGAAAAGACCAAGCTTGCAGTTCCAGGACAAGAAAGTAAGTAAAAACTGTAAACACATAAAGATTAGTACTTGGAAAGCTAAGGGTAATAAAATGAAAATGGAACTAAATGAGGCAGGATGCACCATGACAATTGTGCCAGTTGGCAGAATGGGCAATCATCATGAATTGGCTAACATTAGCGTAAGCTCTGTTGTATCTTATTTATGTTATTCTTATTTCAGACAATTCCAATAATTAAGGGGACAGCGATATTTAAAGAGTGGCAAAGAGCAATTTCAAGATATATCTGGCAGGGTAAGAAGCCAAGAATTATGTATAAGTTATTAACGGATGCGAAAGAAAGAGGCGGCTTCGCCCTGCCAGACTTGAAATTATATTATGAAGCTTCATGTCTCTGCTGGTTGAAAGAATGGATAACGTTAAAAATACTGAGTTATTGGACTTAGAAGGTTTTGATAACAGATTTGGCTGGCACGCATATCTATGGTGTGAGAAAAGAAAGATTCATAAAGGTTTCGAAAACCACATCTTTAGAAGATCTCTCATAGAAATATAGGAGAGATATAGAAGTTTATTAGAATCAAGAACTCCCCACTGGCTATCTCCATTAGAAGTTATGAGTCTTAAGAAAGTCAATATGAGGGGGAACTGGATTACATATAAAGAATTGATTATAAAGGAAGGAGGAAAATGGAAAATGAAATCCTATGAAGAAGTGAGAGAGTATGTGTATGATTGGTTGCATTATTATCAGGTTAACGAAATGTTTAAAAAGGACTTAAAAGAAAGAGGTTATGAGGTAAAAGAATCGAAATTTCAAATAGAAATAATAAACAATGAAAATAAAATTTTGTCCAAGATGTATAAAATCTTGCTAGAATGGTATACAAAAGATGAGGAAGTTAAATCGGTTCTGATACACTGGGCCAGAGATTTGGGTTATAATATACAGTTTAATGATTGGATAAAACTGTGGAATGAAAATATAAAATTTACGGCATGTACTGCGTTAAAGGAAAATGTTATGAAAATGATTTATAGATGGTACATCACACCTGTGAAACTGGCAAAAATGTATAAAACATGTAATAAGTGTTGGAAATGTAAAGAAAAAGAAGGAACATTTTATCATATGTGGTGGGATTGTAAGAAGGTGAAGGGCTTCTGGGAAATGATATATAATGAGATGAAAAGATGTTGAAATATACGTTTGTTAAGAAACCAGAGGCTTTTCTTCTAGGAATAGTAGGAAATGAAATAAATAGAATGGACTGTAAACTTTTCCAATATGCAGTAACAGCAGCGAGAATATTATTGGCCCCAAAATGGAAACAGGAACAACTGCCGACGCTCGAAGAATGGAGAATGAAACTGATGGAGTATGCTGAACTGGACAAACTAACATGAAAGATCAGATATATACGAGATCAAAAGTTCATTGAAGTCTGGGGGAAATTTTCAGACTATCTGAAATGCGTATGTGATGAGCAAATAACGCTAGTGGGATTTCAAGAAGTTCTGTAAATGATAGAGGACTATTGTATTGATGAAAACTAAGTGTGTGAAGGTTTATAAAATGCAATATAAAATTAGGAAATGCGTATTTAAAAATTTGAATAATGGATGATTGTCAGAGAGGTTGAAGGAAGTCTAAAAGAGAAAATATGTGATAAATTTAGATTGGATACTATAAATGTATGTTGGAAAATTTAATAAATAAAAAAAAAAAAAACCATTAGCGTAAGCTCACAGAGATAGATAGATAGATAGATAGATAGATAGATAGATAGATAGATAGATATAGAAGGATGGGAGGGAGGGAGACCACTGCTGAGCCTTGATAGGGTCTGACTCAAGGAAAATATTAATTAGGTGGCCCAAATCTTGGGTCCAGTTCACACATTATGGAGAGGCAAACCCAAGTGCATGCTCAACAGGAAGCTGTATCCAATTGTGGGCCCTTGGCAAGTATCCTTGCATGCTACATGTAACCTTCACGTTGTACATTATTTTGTGCACACTAAGAACAGGTGTGCCTCTAAGAATGTAGTGTGTGGGTGGGTCTCCTTCTTTTAAAGGTGCTCAGAATACACCTGTGCTCCCCATTTGATAAGGTTTCTATTCCCTATTTAGAATTCTGTGAACCCAAGTTGGGATTGTGACCTTTTGCTCCTGATATGACTACATGGCTTTAGCAGCTACGTGACAAGCTCAACAGATAAAACTGTTAAAGGCACAAGACCTCTTCCCGAAATAAAGTTGGCAACCCTAGCTGAAGGGCCTGAATAGTTGGCAGCCTATTAAGCATAGAGCAGTTTTCCAAAGCAGCCCTGGGCCTATTTGACTGCAAACACCATACACTCCTTGTTAGGGGATGAACAAATCCCAAAGCTTCGTTTGCACCCTGGCACCCTCCAGCCTTCAGGATGCGGGGTTTTTAAATGCTGCCTCCCACAGCCTTGAAGGGGAAAGGAAGGTCAGAAACAGAAAAAGGCTTGTACCTCCGCAATGCTTAATTACTGAGGGAGATCAGCTCCAATTGTTGGCTGTAATCAATATTTATTAATTACCACAATTAATTGTGATGCAGAATTAGGGCGGTAATGAGTGGAGTGTGTAATCAGGAAGGGCTCGTTAGGCAACCTGCAAGCTAGACAGGGGGCAAGCTGGCAGGCAGCCACTCGAGAGCCTCTGGGAGTGACAGGAACAACTGAAACAGATAGGAAGGGCTTTGAGGGGGAGGAATAGGGCAGCAGCAGCAGGCAGGTGCATAAAGAGACTGTGACAAGTGATGTTGTGGGTGCCGGTGTTCTGTGCCCTGTGGCAGGCCCAACATGCCTTCTTCATTAGTTTTGTCACCTCCTTAGCAAATGTGGATCAGGCCAGTGTCCCATCTAGCCCAGTATTCTGTTCTCACAGAGGCCAACCAGATCTCTATGGGGAGAATAGGATCAGGACTTGAGGGCAATGGCATTCGCGCTCCACTTTTGCTCACCCGCAACTGGTACCCAGAGGCATACTGAGTGGAATTCAACTAACTAGTCCCACTAGAGCAGGGGTCAGCAACCTTTTTCAGCCATGGGCCGGCCCACTGTCCCTCAGACCTTGTGGAGGGCCGGACTATAATTTTTTTTGGGGGGGGGTGAACGAATTCCTATGCCCTACAAATAACCCAAGATGCATTTTAAATAAAAGGACACATTCTACTCATGTAAAAACTGGTTCCCGGACCATCCGTGGGCTGGATTTAGAAGGCGGTTGGGCTGCACCTTAGGTTGCCTACCCCTGCACTAGAGGAAGCCAGGGCAAGGATTTCCATTAGCATAGTGGGGCTTCCCCTCCCCCTGCACATACAAACACACACACAATTGGTTTGGGGGGTGATCAGGAGAACCCCCAAAACTGCACATCGGGGGTGGGGAGGTGGGAGGGTGTTGTTCCATCTGACAAGCTGAAAAGCTTACATTGAAAGAACAATTGCCATAGTGCTATGCTAAATTCCTCCTGCTGTTTCCAACAGTGGAGATAGAACATAACCATTGTGGCTAGTAGCTTTATCCTCTTAAAATGGGTAACCAATACCATTTCTTGTGTGAGTGTATTCCTAAATGTAACTGTAAGTGCTGTGTGAATAAGTATTTATTTATTTTTTAATGTTTGTCCTGAATCTTCCATCATTTAGCTTCATCTGAGGGCCTCAAGTTCTTGGAGATGACCTTGCAAGGCGAGCCATTGGCATTCCACTGGAACAGATTAATATTCATGTGGGAAGCGTTTAATAAGCCCTAGGAAAGTCTTTGCCATTGTCAGATTGCTGGTGGACATTGTCTCCCTCCTCATTTGTGTGGCAAGTGGGTCTTCTGAGCCACAGGCCCTTCCTTACCCAGTGGAGTAGGAATTGTCTCAGTGGTGGAGGAGGGGATGCTATATTTGTGGATGGAGTCAGTATGGCCAAGTTTGAGAGAAACTGGCAGTGTATTTTACCCCACACCAGAATCTGGCAGTGAACTGAGCTGATGTGAACCCTCTTCACAATTAATCATGAGAAGGTGATGCACCCTGCCCCCACCCTGGCCCACCCTTGACGCCTAAGGATTCAGCATAGATGCCTGAAAAGGAGAAGTATATGTATCTTCTTGGGAGCACTACAGCTTTGTAGAAGTAAAGCTTAGTGCACAGAGGCAAGGGGCTGGGGTGGGAGGAAGGGAAGAGAAGGAAAGGGAGGATGGGAAAACTTCACAGAATGGCATCAGAATGGGTTCAAACTGTGCTGGGTTAATGTGGTAGGGCGGCAGAGAAGGAAAGAGGCATGGAGCCATGACAAGACAGCCTCAGGCCTGTACTTTGCCATTGCCTGTCAGGCGTGGCCATAGAGAACTTTGATACAGCATAAAGTTTGATTCCTGTTTTTCTCAGCTGGATTTGAAAAGAGGGGTTGGGGACTTGCCGTCTGAATTATTCTGTTCATGATACCTTTACTGCCTGTTCTGTGAAGCCAAGTGAAATGTTCTAAGTCTGAGCAAAAAAGGCCTCCCAAAATTCTCCTCCATATTTGCTGGAAGCAAAGTTGGAGGGAAGGCATTTGCTGAATATTCTCCCAGAGCAGAGTGGATTGGGAAGGCAGAATTCCCCAGCAGCTGAGGAAGCACCCCCCCAAAAAAGCAGTGGGTAAACCTGGGAAGCCAGTATTCAAGTCCTCTCTTAGCCGGAAAACTCACTGAGTGACCTTGAGCCAGCCATAGTCTCTCAGCCTAACTTACCTCACAGGGTTGTTCTGAGGATAAAGTGTGTGCCATTTTGAACTCCTTGGGTGAAATAATGGAGAGAAGGACTGGAAAAAGCAAGAGCCAAGCCCACAGCTTCTTACACTGATATGAAAACATGGTGCCATCATCTTCAGTTCTCCACCTATTCATGGGTGAATTAAGGTAGGGATGAGGGACATTTCATTGATTATTCCCTCGGGGGAGTATTCTCCAGCAATCAATCAATCTCCTTTATTGGCATAAAAAAGTATCATATACATGGATCAGAACACAAACACAGTTAACGAAACGTAGTGCGTGGGGGGGGATGACAACCTGTGGACCTCCTGATGTTGTTGGGCTACAGCTCCCTCATTCCTGACCAATGGCTATGCTGGATGGGACTAGACAGCATCTTAAAGAGCAGAGCCATCACCTTGCCAACAAAGGTCCGTATAGTTAAAGCTATGGTTTTCCCAGTAATGATGTATGGAAGTGAGAGCTGGACCATAAAGAAGGCCGATTGCCGGAGATTTGATGCTTTTGAATTATGGTGCTGGAGGAGACTCTTGAGAGTCCCATGGACTGCAAGAAGATCAAGCCTATCCATTCTTAAGGAAATCAGCCCTGAGTGCTCACTGGAAGGACAGATCATGAAGCTGAGGCTCCAATACTTTGGCCACCTCATGAGAAGAGAAGACTCCCTTGAAAAGACCCTGATGTTGGGAAAGATGGAGGGCACAAGGAGAAGGGGACGACAGAGGATGAGATGGTTGGACAGTGTTCTTGAAGCTACTAGCATGAATTCGACCAAACTGCAGGAGGCAGTGGAAGATAGGAGTGCCTGGCGTGCTCTGGTCCATTGGGTCACGAAGAGTCGGACACGACTAAACGACTAAACAACAACAAATGGGAGTGGGAGTCCAATAATATCTGGAAGGCACCACCTTGGCTACCAATCACTGTAAGAGTGGTGGTGGTACAAGCCACACCACACACTCCTGGGCTACTCAGCTGAATGGACAGTAGTAGTTTCAGGCTCTTGACATTCATAAGGGGCCTCTGAAAACTCAGTACTCTGCTGTGCTTGATGCTGGGGAGGACACCCTGTAAAACTCTTGTCACTGCATCACACTAGCAAATGAGGCTTCTGTGCTGCCAAAGTATCTGCAGGGAAATGACAGTGGTTCCCTTTGAACACTGTAGACAAGCTCCCCCTCCCACATAGTGGAGGCCGTATTGATTAAATGGTCCTATTGGCAAATGGTGCAGGTGCATAAGATTGAGGTGGAGGAAGCATAGAATCTGGAATGTAATGGGTTCTAAATCAAATCGCAGGGAGGGGAAGATGTTAGTGGCAGACCTTGGATTAAGTACTTAATTCGTTCCGGAGGTCCGTTCTTAACCTGAAACTGTTCTTAACCTGAGGTACCACTTTAGCTAATGGGGCCTTCTGCTGCTGCCGTGCCGCCAGAGCATGATTTCTGTTCTCATCCTGAAGCAAAGTTCTTAACCTGAGGTACTATTTCTGGGTTAGTGGAGTCTGTAACCTGAAGCGTATATAACCCGAGGTACCACTGTATCATAGTTGCAGCGCCTCCCAAGGCTTTGCACTCAGTGTGACCGAACTGGTTGCAGTCTCCTAACTCTGTCTCTGCAGATGTATTGGGGTTGGCTAAGGGGTCGATCACACTTGGTATAGGCCCAAGAGATTTGATTTTGAGAGGCAGACACAGAATCCTTTGGAACTGGCAAGCAGGGGATCTGGCACCCAAACCTAGCAATTTAGACACAACCAGAGGGTAGCTCAGGCTAACAATGCCTAGGGGAAAAGTGCTCTGTCTTGAGGAGGGGTCCTGACTAGCAGGTAATTGTTGAGTGCGCTGGCCGAACACAAGGTTACTGTAGGCAATTAAAAAAACAAATAATGTGGGGTGATGCATGCACACACACCCCGTCCCCAGGAGATGCGACAGCACCTTCAGCCGTCTCTTACCTGAGATAGAAATGGGTGTTTGAAGTATTAAGGGCAAAGGGAGGGGTGTTGCTGCTGGGATCCACCCCTTCCTTCGCTCATCACAGAGCAGCCAGTGGCATCTGACACAATTGGCTCACTGTGGTGGAGGGGACGGGGGGCTCCCTGCAGAAAGGAAAACATTGCAGATGAGGATATTGACTTCCCTCGGGTGGAGCCCCTGGGAAGATCTAGGACACTCAGCCTCAGGGCTCCGCTCTGCCCAACGTCATCCGTTGAGCCGGGGGTTTCTCATCTGTGGTGAAGATGCCCTTGTCCTGCTGCCCAGATGGGTCCCCTCCTGTGCCCAACTTGGACGGCTCCCTGGCTCAGCTCACCTCCCGCTTCCTGCGTGCGACCAAGCTGCACGGGCTGCACTACATGGGCTCACGCCAGCAGTCCTGGGCACAGCGTCTGTTCTGGAGCGGGGCTTTCTTGACATCGCTGGGGTTGCTGTGCACATGGTCAGCCAACCGGATACAGTACCTGCATGCTAAACCAGTGCACACCAGAGCCCACATGAGCTGGTCCCCCTGGATGCAGTTCCCAGCGGTCACCTTCTGCAACCATAACCCAGCACGCTTCCTCCAGCTCACCAGGCCGGATTTGTACTCAGTAGGACACTGGCTGGGGCTGACCTACAAGAACCACTCCCTGCTTCCCAGCGTCTTGGAGGAGTTGCCAGAAGAGCAGCGCCCCTGGCTTAGCCGCCTGGCCAACTACACCCGGTTCCTGCCATCACGCCTCTCTCCACATACAATGGAGAGTTTCTTCCATCGCATGGGACATCAGATTGAGGACATGCTGCTGGATTGCCACTTCCAGGGCAAACCTTGCGGAGCTCAAGACTTCACCCCTGTGAGTGGCTTCCGTTCTGCACCAGGACCTGGGGAGGTGGGGTAAAGAGGCTGCAAGGATGAATAGTCAGGAAAACAGATTACATCCTTCTTAAAACACTTGGAATCAATTTTTGTGTGTATATGCAATAGGGAACAGGGAAGAGTTAGAGGATATGTTTGCTTTTTCAATGCATGTTTGAATAGCAGTGTAGCAGCTCTCATCTGCATTAGCAGCTTGAATTGGTTGGTGGTAGTCATTTGATTTTAACAAATCAATCCAGAATTAAAAGGTTTCAACTTGTGTGCCCTAAGGGTGCAGATGCAAGGGAGCAAACTGCACCCTAGATGAAGATATAGCAGAGCCTCCGTCAGGGAAACTCGTGGTCCATTCACTTTGACTCTGCAAAAGTCCCTGGGTTCAGTTCCTTCCTGTGTTGTGGGGAGACAACATTCATTCGCTTGCCAGAGACACTGTCTCAATCTAGACTGTTGCTGCCTCTCTTTGATCATCAGGCAATTGGCTTCAAGATTTGTGTTGCTGAGCTGCAGAACAAACATAGCACTTGCAACAGCCAGGATCTGTTGCCATGAGGGTATTTGCTCCCCTTATCCTCTTAGTCCCATTTGACTTGGCAGCTGGTCCAAAGTGACTGTGACAGTCTGGGGCGCGAATGCACACACACACATATACACACAGGCTTCTTTTGGGATTGCCTGCACCTTGGAACATGCTCCAGCATCTTCTGCAATGTGTAGGAGTTCCATGGCAGCTGCTGAGAGGTTCTATGGCAGATGAATCACTCTGGAAAATATCTCCTGCAGGGTGGAAGTCTGAAAAATACTCATCAAAGCCATACTTTGTGAATGGGTGCTAATCACAGATAGGGAAAGTGGATAAGCTAGAGTCACCTGCATGTGTCAATTGTGTGAACAGAACATTGTGCAATTATTGGAGAGCAGCACAATGTTGCTGGTCCTGCCTCTGCCACCAGGCATTCTGTTGGTCCTGCTCCAGGATGGCTGTTCATAGATATAAGCATTGAAGAAGCCTACACATGAGCAGTTGCTGGTGTGGAGGCTTCCAGGTGATTGGCACTTCCAACCAGAAAGGTGTCCCAATGATGATGATGATGATGATACCCCATCCAAGAAGGCCTTCTGCATCAATAGCACAATCTCTCACATGGAGGTTTCTTCAGTACAGATGTCCATGCCAACAGAAAGACTTTCAGGGGCAAGCTCAGCAGTGTACTCAATGCCAAGCAAGGGCCAGTAACACAGCCCTGCTCCCTGGTTATTGTGTGATGCCCTAAGGCGGCTTAGGCTGATGGAATTTCATAAGAGAGAGGGCAGGGAGACCTCATGGGGCAACCCAGAAGGAGGAAGAGAGAATTACAAGGCTTGAGGCAGACAAGGTAAACGTTTGGTGGCAGTGGATGGTTGTTTTTCTGCTGCAAGTGATGAATCCCACTGCAATGGACTGAGGTACTATGAAATCTAAAGTTAGATCTAAGTATACTGGGGGGTTTTTTTGGGGGGGGATGTTTGAGAAAGAAATATCGGCTATTTTAGTTTTGTTTTCCTGCCGATCAATATTGCCTCTCCCTAGTGTTTTTAACAGCATTCCTCTTGTACCTATTATCGTCTCACTTTAAAAAACTACTTGTTTGCTTTGGCACAAACTGTTAATTTCTGTGTGGCTTAAGGTGTTGACCTAAGACAGTCAAATTATTGTGTGTATCTGGACACTGTAGAAATAAACCAATCCTAAATATTGCTGATGGATCCCAAAGGGTTCAGTACCACCAGAATAGTGGTGGCCAAAGAAAGAGTTAGTTGCTGTAGAGTGATTGGGGTCAGTATCCTGACCCAACCTGGTAAACACAAAGCGGGAAGTGCTTGTTTCAGAATGATTTGAGGGAGCAGCTGGGCTTTTTGAGGGTCCTTGATGTGGGAGGGGGCACCATCACAGCTTGGGACCAACACGGGTGATGTATCAGACGCTGACTTTGAGGTTTATTCCCCTTGGTTATTTTCAGTCCCAACCTTGTCCTGAGATGAAGTGGCCCTGCTGGTATATTCTTTGCCTCTATAGCTGTATCTCCCCACCACTGTCCTGCCCCCGCTTAGTCTCCAAGGGTCAAGTACCATTTATCCACTTATTTCCTGAAATACAATGTATGCCATGAACTCACAAGAGCTGTGCTGGATCAGATCAAATGCCTCTCTAGTCCATCCTGCTGTTTGTCACAGTGGACAGCCAGGTGCCTTTGGGAAGACTGCAAGCAGGACATGTCCTCTGACTCTCTGAAGAATCTGACACCCTCTTTTTCAGTTGTGTGTGCCTCCCTCCTTCCAGCTATATGGTGTATTGGGTTCAGGCAGGATTTTTATACCCAGCTCTCTCCTATGCCTGAGAAACTTCTCCCCCAGTACCTTGTAGGGCTTACAACTTAGGCAGGCAGAGCTCATAGATCTTGTCAGGGGAAGAAGCCATGGTAAAATGGAGGCAGAGTAAAGGATAAGCCAGAAGCTGGAATAGCAGAGGGGTTGTTCCAATTCTGGGTCAAAGGCCTTGGCAGAGTTGAGTGGGGAAGCTTCCTGCTCCTTCTGGCTACGCTGGCATGCACAGTATTTGTTAGGCTTCTAGGCATGATGGGCCCTTTCTCTAATCTGCCCCTTTCTCCCCAGGTCTACACACGCTATGGGAAGTGCTACACATTCAATGGCGACCGGAACAAACCACGAGTGACTCGCCAGAGTGGGATGGGCAACGGGTTGGAGATTATGTTGGACATCCAGCAGGAGGAGTACCTGCCCATCTGGAGAGAGACCAGTAAGAGCTGGGAGAGTGCAAAGGACGTAGAAACATAGGACACTGCCCTACAACAAATTAGACAATTGCGCCTTCTAGCGCAAGGGGTATGTGTGCTCAGGCCTGGGGGCCAATTGCAGCCCTCCAGGCCTTTGACTGTCCCTAGGAATTCTTCCCAGGCCACATCCCTCACAGCCATGGTCCATAACCACCTTCATTTCTTTTGCCCGACTGTAATGTGTCCTTGAACTGCAATAATGCCTTTCACTTGCCTGGATGGAGCGATGAAGGCATAGAAACCTCTGACTTGTGTGGGACTGGACTTCCGTTACCCTGCCCACCACTGGCCTGCGACACCTGGAAAAGGTTTCCCACGAGGCAACAACCATCAGGCTGAAAAAGGCTTCCCATGCCTGATACAGTTTATTATTGCCCATTCTGAATTCAGAAGCCCTCCAGGGTTTCAAAGGAGGGGTGTTCCCAGCCTTGCCTGGAGATATCCGGGATTGAACCTAGTGCCTTCAGGATGCAGAACATGTGTTCTGCTACTGAGCTAAAATGATGGAGTCACTGTGCCAGCAGCTCTAATCTCCTTCCTCCCCAGCTCCCCTTCTCTCTGCCTACCTCAGTCCTCACTCTCCTGATAACAGATTCCCTCTTATATGGCTCATTGATGGCACTATCTACCCCCAGAAGCCAGTGGGAGTGAGCAGGAGGGGTTAGCTGCAGTTTTGTGAAAGTAACTAGAGGTTCACCAACATTTTTTCAAGGGAAAGAGCACCTAAAAAAAACCAAGTTCTACACCCTAATCAAAGAGTTAGGAAGCACAATAAGAAAATTATTCATTACAAATATACAAACATAAAAAGCATTCATCAAACAACCAGATGCCCTAATTACTATACTGTATATTACAATTTTAAAAAATGTCACCAAGATCACCAGTTTAAGACACTGATGTGCTGGCATATTCAAATGGATGCTCCTGGCAGCACATTTGTGATATTTTTAAAAATTATAATACATAGCAGTAACCAGAGCTGTTTGTTTTATTAATGCTTTTAATAAAATCAAGAGTCCCCACTTGATTAGGCGTCAATCAGCTGCTCTGCTCACAATGGTTGGAAAGGACAGGAATGTATGAATGCAAAGGATAGACATGAAGATCTCATTAAATTACATGGCTAAATTTATTCAGCTAAGGTCTAGCAAAACCTTCCTTAACTATGGCCTCATTCCTTCCCCTTGCAGATGAGACATCATTTGAAGCCGGAATTCGAGTACAGATCCACAGCCAAGATGAGCCACCCTACATCCACCAACTGGGGTTTGGAGTCTCTCCAGGTTTCCAGACCTTTGTGTCCTGCCAGGAGCAGAGGGTAAAGACCATGAGACAAGGGGAGATGAGTGCAGGGCTGGTGGGGTGCGAGGAGAAAAGGGCTCCAGCTTTTTGGGGAAAGTGAGACTAGATATTGTGTGGGGTCTGATAACAGTAAGGGGGCATAGAGAGATAGGCCTCTGGCAGGGACAGGTAGATGCAAAGTGTCATAGTCACATTGAGCAAAGAGGTAAGGATTAAGCATTGCTCCCAGTCAGTGAATGTTTATCCCTAGAACCTCCCTATGAGCTGTTAGAGAGGAGGACTAAGCAGTGGCTTTAATGACATGCTAGTCAAACATCCCAAAAGGATCTGGACTTGAATGTCACTGTAACAGGCATTTGATAGCCTAGGACACAGGACTCTTACCTGGTCTGGTTCATTCGGGCTAGTTGGAATGAGGAGAATTGGACAACCTCAATATCTCTCCCACCAGACCCTAGCCTGTAGATAGCAACCAGATGTGATGCTGTTACAGTGACCTGCACTTAGCAGGCTGGACCATGGGTCAACCAGGATTTTTAAAAAATCAGTTGATTGCTTGCAGAGAAGTTAAATATAAATGATAGGTCTGCTTGCTGACATCTGGAAAAAAACCCCAGCAGCACAGCACATCTTAATGCTATTCAGCAAACTCCACAACATCTCAGCTAACTCTAATGCAGTTTGAATGAAGACACTGAAGTGTTTACAGATCTTTTGCAGGGATTGTTTTGTGCTTTCTAATGAGGAGAAGCAAATCTATACACTTAAACTGGTTTAATGGTTATTCCATCTTTCCAGGGAACCGTGACATTTGTAATTCAATAGAGTAATAAGAATCTTAGGAAAGAAAAATCTCAGCACCTAACCAAACTACAATTCCTAGGTTTCTTTGGGGGAGCCATGAAAGTTAATATGACATAAAAGCAATATAAATCTGTAGTGTAAATACAAGGTGCTGATTTTCTCAGTGCTCCGGGAAGAAATGCCTAAATCAGGAGGGGGCAGCCTTTTTGGCTCATCAGGCCAGATCTTTATCTACCCCTTCCCAACCGGCAATCTTTGTCAGGTGGGCAGGACCACCCACACATCAATCATATGATGTCATAATGATGTCATATGATTGATGTGTGGATTGTCCTGCCCACCTGTCAAGGTTGGCCCACAGGGTTGGGGGAAGATAGCGACCAGGCAGGATTGAGCTCCCCATGCCCCAGTCAATGTGTGATGAATTTAGTCCTGCTTTCTGCAGGGTTTGGGTGCACCATTGAGTTTCCCACCTTAAATGATTGTTTCTTCACAGGCATTGGAATCAGAGGGAAAATCTGAAATGGCAAAACACGGTTCCCATAATCAGAATGAATTGCAGAAGCTTATTTCAGACCCAAAAAAATGCAAGACAGCTGCCGTCCTTTTAGAAGTATTCCTTTATCAGACGTTACATTAATTGCATTGAACTGTGTCAATTTAGTGCCTCATTTCCTTCCTCTACCATGTTCAAATTAAACTCTACCTAGCTTTGTTTTAATTTTAGCTCAGCTTCAGCACAAGGCAGTGAGCAGTTTAAAATTTTTCATACATATCAATGAATTGGCATATGCAGATGAGCAATCCTTTTTTCATCTAGCCGGGTGGCAACTCTGATTATTCATCAAAGAATTTCACAGCATTACAATGAATGAAAGAAAAAATCACCGTAAAAAAAGTGTTAAATCAACATTTGTCATTTGAAGGCTCATTTCTTTGCATTCTGCCAGCATCTGTCAGAAAGAAGTTGATCACATCACATCATGTAGGCTTTCTCATTAGATATTGATCTTGAAATACCACCCCCCTCACACACCAATCACCTGCCTTTGTAGGGCTTATGCTTAGTATTTATATAGCACATTTCAAGTATTCAAGGTACACGTTATTGATAATGTAGTACAAGGTACTGAGTACTTTATCTCACTAGCCTTACACAACATTCCTGTAAGTTGGGCTGGTGTCTTAATAGAGCACATTGGAAGGGAAAAGAGTGCAGAGGCTGTGAGGACAATGACTTCCTTATGGGAGCTTGTTCTTGATTTGAGATTTGAACTGCAGACTTCCTTAGCCACTGCACTAGATCTGTATGAAGAACTGCCCTTTTCCATGGCTCAAATGAAAACTGTGTTAGATTCATTCTGCAGATCTGTAGTGAGAGTACAAAGCGTGCACACTCCGAAATGTCAAGCAAATCTGTAAAATCTGATGCAACTGTATTCCCATTAATACAGAGCTCGCTGGTGGTTTGAACTTCCATGCTGATGGGGGGCAAAAACCAAGCACCACTAGGGTTATTTACAGCTGAGCTTGTGGGACATTGGGAGCAGATGGGGCCTGGAGAGCTGAGCTGGGAAATGGGCTTCAGTGAGAGCAAAACTCCCTGCCCCAGAGCTGCATTGAGAGAGGCATTCTTGGTCCCCCAGCTGGCCAGGGCGCCACTTTCTCTTGGCTCTTAGCCTGCCCGCCTTCTCCTGCAGCTGACGTACCTGCCCCAGCCCTGGGGCAGCTGCCGGGCCAGCGTGAAGGGGGAACAGGTTCTGCCCGGCTACGAGAGCTACAGTATTGCTGCTTGCAGGCTGCAGTGCGAGAAGGAGGCTGTGGTGCGGAACTGCCAGTGCCGCATGGTGCACATGCCAGGTAAGGTGACCCACCACCACCCCTCCCCTTAAGTCCCACGGACTCCAGGACTCTCTCCTTTTGCTCCCTCGTTGATGTGCTGGAATATGAATTCATTTCTGCCATGTGCTATTTTGACACTGTTGTCATTTTCCTGGACTGCTCTTGTTCCTTTAATGGAGCAGCCAGACATTTGGCAGCCAAGCAAGTGAAGCTTTCCCCATAATCCATTTGTGTGCCAGGAAATTTTTGTGTGTGTCATACAGTTATTAAAGAGACAGGAGCTGGGGGAGACATAGAGGTAGCACTGCCACATACCCACCCTGCTCTCAGCCTCTTTGCACTGCCATATTCTATGCCTTCTTGGGTATTAGGATCCCTGACACACTCAAGTTACTTGTGGGAGAAGAGACTCTCTTGCATAAGCCCCTGGTAATTGTGACTCAACTTGCCCATAGTGCAGATCTTTGCCCTGAGATCTCCCTACTGGAGCAGAAGTGTGGCCCTCCATAGCGACTCCATGCAGGCATGTGAGCACCTTAGGAAAAGATCATTCAAATTATGTCTCCTCTGGCCCAGCCCCTGGAATGTGTTGGGCTGGCTGTAGCTTTTCCTTGCCTTCCACACCAGCAGCTGTTCTGCCTCCTTCAGTCTCCGCCCCCCCCCCAACAGCCATCTGCCACCTTCCAGGGCATCTCATCACATGAAGTGGACTGAAGTCCACAAACCCCCATCTAGAGAGCGATCAATCTGACAATGAAGTCCTGGGAGGACTTGGGTATGTATGTTTAACGTGGAGAAGAGATGATTAAGAGGTGATACAATAGCCATCTTCAGTTATTTGAAGGGCTGTCACATAGATGATGGAGCAAATTTGTTCCCTGTTGCTCCAGAGGGCAGGACCCCAATCAGATTACAAGAAAGGGGATTTCAACTAAATGTTAGGAAAAACTTCCTGGCTGTACGCACTGTTTGAGAGTGAAACAGACTGCCTTGGAAGCTGTGAGGAGAAGGGCTTTCCTTCATTAGAGGCTTTTAAACTGAGGTTGAAAGGTCACCTACCAGGGATGTCGTAGCAGTGGATTTCCTGTATCCAATGAAGAGTTGGACTAGGTGGCCACTGAGGTCCCATCCAACTCTAGAACGTCTTATCAATACAGGAAATTTACTACTACAGTGTCCCCGTTAAATTTCAGTCCATCGTCAGCTCAGGACTCATCCAGACTTCCTTTTGTGCGGCATTTCTAGGCTTTAAAGCTCTGTGTCCGAGTGGTTTTGTTTTGTTTTGTTTTGTTTTTTGTCTCTGCACTTTCCCTGGGAAAACCCTTGTTTTTACTGCTGAATCAGAGCAAATAGCAATCTGCAAGGGGGAAGCCCTTCTGTCAGCAATCCTAGGCAATTGCCTATAATTGCCTAATGAAGTGACCAACCTTCTCTCTTAACACCACCGAGTAAGAGCATGAACTTGAATTGGGGTGAGGAGAGGACCCAACTCTGTATCTCACTAACCAGGTCCTTCTCCATCAGGTAACGAAACCATCTGCTCGCCCAACGTTTACATTGAATGTGCTGACCATACACTAGGTAAGTGCTTCAGCAGATACTGAGCAGCCTGATGAGGGACCTGGGGGGAGAGGATCTAGTCAGCCGGTAGAACGGAAGGGGAACCCCTATTAATTGTTGTAGACACAGCTGCGTGTTTGATGGCTTAAGCCATTAAGCGATAAGGCTGAACAGTTTTTGTTTGTTTTGTTGTTTGTTTTACAGCGTTTATAGTGTGCTCTTCATGGAATATTTTCAATCCCAGAGCAGGAAAGAAAGTAATAATCAGAGGGGAAAAACAACAATATACAACATTACAAAAACTGGTCCAATAAAAACAAATTAACAGTTCTATCATAAGTCAAGCAAGTTTAGTATGGTGGTTTGTGAGGAAGAGTCAGGGAGGCTAATACCACAATCCCTCAGCTGGGGTCTAGTGGGCTGGTACAGAGGAGAGGAGGGCAGCTGTCACCCTGGGGTGTGATGGAGAGGCATGTTGTTGGGCTGCATCGAGGGCTCCACTGACCCTCTCAGACACGTGTTCGTATCCCAACAGGAGTCCCAAGAGGATTTCTAGACCATGAGACATTGCCTCAATAGGCTGTGGGTCTTTTGCCATGGCAGGGATGAGCAGGCAATGGCTCATTTGATTGCTGTTCCAAAGTGTTCTTATCCTGCCTGACGTGCGGCTCTCTGCTCACAGATACAGCAGTTGAGGATTCCCAGGAGCGCTGTGTCTGCCCCACGCCCTGCAACTTGACCCGCTACGGCAAGGAGATCTCCATGGTGCGCATGCCCAACAAGGGCTCGGCCCGGTACCTTGCTCGCAAGTATAACCGCAATGAGACCTACATCCGGTGAGTGCCCTGTTGCTGATGCGCAGCCCACAGGCTGTGGGAGAAGCACCAGAACATTATAAACAAAAGTGGGCTAGGAGGGAACTGGGTTGGAGGAATATATGAGCCGGCTCAGCCTCTGAATCCTTTCTCTCCCCTCCCCAACTCCCCTTAGGGAGAACTTCTTGGTGCTGGACATCTTCTTTGAGGCACTGAACTATGAGGCGATTGAGCAGAAGAGGGCATACAACCTGGCAGGGCTTCTTGGTGAGTGAATCTGCTCCCCTACCTGCCACCTTCCTTTGGTTAGGGCTAGTGCTCTTGAGGCAAAGCAAGCTTCGAGAAGGAAGCTACACAGGCAGGCAGGCAAATGGGCAAGAACCTGTTTGCGATTCACACCTTATGTTGCTGAGACAGAGACATGACGTGGGCTCACCAAAATCCCAAGTTTTTATGGCAACACAGGTGTCACCTCATTGGCCTTTCCCTGTCATCTGACAGCATCTCTGGCTGTTTGCTGCAGTACTTACTTCTGGACTCCATCACTGGTGGTGCCAGCAGTGCAGGCCCAACAGCAGTTCCCTCTTTTGACAAGCCGCCACAGCAAGAAGGCGCCTGGCCTGGACTTTATAGAGCCCCACCCCCCTTCTCCCTGACACACCACACTTTGAGGCCTGTGCTGCCTTACTCCCTGCTGGGCACCCAACCAGTGTGCAGGGAGGTACTACTCCCATAGCAGCTGTGCTCACACACCTACTTCATCCTCTCCATGAGGTCTTCCTCCAACCTTTTCCTCCAGTGCTAGAAGGACCCTGGTGCCCATTGCTTTCAAAAGGCGCAGGAAGCTAACCCTGAAGGAAAGCAAAGTCATACCAATGCTCCTGCTGCTCACTCTCTTGCCTTTCCCCAGGCCACCACATTCAGTCACCATTTCTCCCTCTCCCATTCCCTGATACTCAATAAAAGCAGCATGGATCCTGCCTGAGGCCCGGTCACCCTCCTCCCTGCAGAGGCCTTCCCAGTGCTCAGAGTCCAGCAGATGACTTGCTTTTCACCATCGTCTCCCTTGCCCTAACTGCCTCCTTTTCTGCCAGGGGACATTGGAGGCCAAATGGGCCTGTTCATCGGGGCCAGCGTCCTCACTGTCCTGGAAATCTTGGACTACATCTATGAGGTGAGGGCCCACCTAGGGGAGAAAGAGTCTTGTGTTGCATTAGCTGTGACTTTGTACTGGGCTGAGCTTAGAGCTTGTATCGAGGGGGAACCTATAGCTCTGGCACCCCCACTAAGATAGTGCTGTACCGTTAACTGCTGACACCTTACACAGAGCTGGCAAACTCCCCATGTTGTCCTAAATTCAATGAGTTTACCTGCCGTCAGCACAGGCTATGCTATCTCCCCAAGGTGGTAATAACCAGCACCTGGACCACTTCTAGAGCAAGGATGAGGAACAAGGGATACTTGGAGTTGGGAGTCAAACAACAGCTAGGGAGCCACAAGTCTTCCCTGCATCCAGTACTACAGAATGAGCTGGTAACATCTCCTGCATCTGGACAGCTTCAGTGAACTCCAGCCACAGTGCATGATAGGTGCTTGCTATGGTCCATGTAGGATGCCTGGCTGTTCATGACTACCTGCTTGCAGGACTTAGGGCCTCTGAAGTTATTTTCCAGGAAGAAATCTAGCTTGATGACATCATAGGGCGAAGTGGGAATAGAGCAAAATGCAAGTTGGCAGGAGTTGCTGTGTGTATATGACATGTTCCCTACCGCAAAGTGATATAGGGGTTTAAACACACATGGAGCTGCCACTCTCTGCCTTTTGCTGTGCCCCAGGTGATCCGTGACAAGGTGGCCCATGGCCTACGACGCCCCAAGCCCCCTCTGAAGAAGCCTTCAGGCAGCATTGCCACCCTGGGACTGGAGGAGATCAAGGAGCAGGTACACTTGTTTCCCTTGCCACCCAGACTATTTCCTGCAGCTGCCATAAAACAGGGAGTGGGTGGATCGCTGGAAGGAAGCGAGGTGCAATTCTTTGCCTTTCCCAGCTTTGAACCTGGTCAGCTAGAGAGGGATGGGGAGGGCAAGAGAGAACAATATTCTATCTCTTTGCATATTTGTATTGGGTAGATCCACACAATGCCCACCAATATGAAAAATGATGTTGGAGAGTTTGTGTCATTTAAGCACGAGAGCCTCATTTTGTTTGTGGACCACTGCATGCTTTGGGCCATGTGGGCTGCATGTGATGTGTGTCTGTATTTCTTAACAGCGTTGGCTGGAAGAGATGCACGTTAATGTGTCAGCTGCTGTGCAAATTCTGTGTATTTATTTATGAGATGATTTACAAACTGCTAACTGATAGAATACATCAAGGCAGTGTACAAAAAAAAAGAATTAGAAAGCTATAAAATCATAAAACCATAACATATAAAACTCAGGGATGGCTCAGTTGGTAGAGCATGAGACCCTTAATCTCAGGGTTGTGGGTTTGAGCACCACGTTGGGCAAAAGGTTCCCTCATTGCAAGTGGTTGGACTAGATGACCCTCATGGTCCCTTCCAGATCTGTGATTCTAAAACAAATGGCCAGCACCAAATCAAATTAATTCTCTTAGAAATGCTTGGCAAAACAAAATGTTTCCAGAATTGTCAGTGCCTGTTTGATTTCAACAGGAACAGTGTTGCAGGTTACTGGTACCACCATGCTAAAAGCTTTGGTTTGTATAGAAATTAAACAAATATGAAATAACTATGAGACAGTAAGTAGGGCTTCTCCAGATGGTCACAGTTTTCTGGCCAGTTTATAAAGCACAAGGTGGTCCTTCAGGTAACTTCAGGTTAGGGCTTTATACACTGACAGTAATACCTTGAACTTTGTTCAGTAATGTGCTGGCTTTCCACACCAAAATGCTGATGCGGAGCTGCTCTGGCCAAAAACTGGACCGCAGCATTCTTCACTTGCTGCAATTTCTGAACCACCCTCAAGGGTAACCCAATGTAGGTAACACTGCAGCAGTCCAGTCTAGAGGTCCCCCAGGCATGCAACAGCGTGGCCCATGTATTCCTGTCCAGGAGGCATACAAGCCCAAGCTGGAAAAGGCATTCTTAGTCACCAAGCACCCAGTGACAGTGATGTATCCAAGAGTACTCCCATGCTATGTACCTGTATCTTCAGGGAGAGTGCAACTCCATCAAGAAAAGGCAATTTCTGAAACTGCCCATTTCTGAAACTTGGGAACTGCACACCCACAAAGCTTCCATCTTACCAAGCTTCAGTGTGTATCGCCATTGTCATATATTAAAGTGCCTCAACACTGGGTGTGACGTTGTATAGTAAGCAACAAACGTTGCTTGAAGTCTTACAGTTTTGTCTTTTTTGTGCTCTGGACCATGAGAAGAGAATCAGACCAAGGTCCATCTGGTCCAGCACCTTTTTCCCACCAACTGTGTCAAGCTAGATATCCCTGGAAGCTCATAGGCAGGAAATAGATTTGATGGCTATCTAGTGTTGAAGTTTTATCCTGCTAAAGTTTCATTTAGCTGTCATGTTGACAGACCAACATGCTGAGTTCTCATGTGCAACACATGACTGTGCTGCTGCAAGCAGTGTGTGGACATGCTCCTATGAGTATATTTTTATATATTTGTGTGAGCCCATTGTGATCTGGGTAGACAGCGCCTATATACCAGTACATACATGTGTGCATGAATGTATACATATGCACATACATATGTTTCTGTTTGTTTGTGCATAAAAGAGGCAAGACTGCTTGTGCGATGCCTACAGAGAAGGCTTTGGTTACATCTGTGAACCTGTCGTAGTTAAAATGGGGAATTTACTACAAAACCATCCTGGGCAATAAGTGTTTTACAGTATATAAACCCAGAGAGCAGTCAGTGGATGAAAGCACCTCCTAGCTCAGCTTGAGCATCTGTTCACTCTGCGTCTCTCAAGTGCAGCAGATTCAGTGTGGCCAGACAAGTGACAGCTCCTCTCTGCTTTCCTCTTGCTGCATCCCACCTGACATGGGAAACCTACAACAGGGACCAGAATATGGAAAGCTGGTTACTTACGAAGAATATGAGTTATTGCCTAGTGAAATTGACAAGTGTACTTTCCAAAGGTTCTGAGAGCTAAAGGAGATGTTAGGCCTGTGCTTCTAAAGAAACCAGTCTCCAATCAGGAATGATTTCCAGAAGTTCGTTTGCGGTGTTTATAGAAGGTGTCAGCAACTGGAAGCCGTGAACCAAATCTGTCCCTCTAGGCAGTTGAGGAGTGTGAGATGGTTCCTCCACTTAGAGAGATGGAAACCAATGCCTTTCCCACCACCTCTTACAGCAGTGGAGGGGAATCTCCAGCCTTCCAGATATTGTTGGACTCCCAGCTCTCCTCAGCCCCAGCTAGCATGGCCAACTGTCAAGGATTATGAGAGTTGCATTCCAGAGACGGAATGTCTTGCTGGCCCGGGAATTTACAAAGATAGCCTTTAGATAGCAAATCTTGCCTCCTTGCAAATAAATAATAATCCTAAAGAGAGTGTAGAGAGCACTTGATAAAGAGACAAAAAAGAAAATCAAAGATGCACACTGGTGTTGGGGGTTTTTTTCAGGAATAGTTTCTGCAAAAGAATTGACCTACTTTGCTAACAGTTAATGAAGCAAATTGGTAGGGAGAGGAAAGATGGCAGGATATAACAGAACAAAGAAATCTAATCTATAATAGTAACTATTTGAAAAACAAAAGATGTGACCTGGCACTGTACCACAATGACTCTATTTAGCTTTAAATCAGGGAGTTAAGTAGTGTAAACATTCAAAAACCAACACTGCACCCGTGAAGAAAGAGAGGCCCTGATATCTGCCGGCTGTTTGCTCACCTATGGAAAGAAGTGCTTAGAAAATGTGTATCTAACAAGATGCTGATAAATCTCAGACCCCGAGCAGGAAGAAGCTGATAAGGCCATTCAGCTGCAGAAAGAGTTGACTGGGAATACATAAGAAGTAAATGCAAGCTAAAATTGCATCAAAGAAGGATCCAGGCTATGTATATTTTAAGAACTCCTCCAAATCAAGGAACCTGACCCAGTGAGTTCCACCCACAGAAACAGGCTTTTACACCTAGATCAGCTGCAGTGCACACTCAACAGGCTGCCATTTGGAAGGACAAGATGGTGCCCAGAATGAGATGGCTGAAAATAGAACTGATTGAATTACCCCCTCCAGATCCCTGTGCTGAAGCAATTTCTGAGTAGCTGTGAGTGCAGCTCTGTGCAGATTTATGTAAAGATCCTGGTACCATAGATCTGAGTGAAGAGGTCTAGGAAATGGGCTTTGCATTTTTCACTTTTCTAAAAGGTTACACGTATGAATTTGAAGGCAAAATCATTGTTTGCCTCTGTTATTTTATTGCACAAATAACAATAAGGATGTCAATTAAATCAACCAGAGGCCTGGTTAAAAAGGAATGTTTTTGCCGGGTGCCTAAAGGGGTATAATGAAGGTGCCAGGTGAGCCTCCCTGGGGAGCCACTGCAGAAAAGGCTAGTTCTTGTGTTACCACCCTCCAGACCACTTGAGGAGGCAGTACACGACGAAGGGCCTCAGAATACGATTTCAGCATCTGGGTAGGTTCATATGGAAAGAGGCAGCAAGGTATTGCGGTCTTGAGTCGTTTAAGGCTTTATAGGTCAAAACCAGCACTTTGAATTGGGCCTGGAAACTAATTGGTAGCCAGTGCGGTCAGACCAGGATCGGTGTGATATGCTCAAACCATCCTGCTACAGTAACCAACCTGGCCGCTGAATTCTGCACTAGCTGAAGTTGCCTGTCTTCAGAGGCAGTACAACGCATTGCAATAATCTAACCTTGAGATTACCAGAGCATAGACATAGTAGTTAGGCTATCCCTGTCCAGTTAGGGGCATAGCTGGGCCACCAACCAAAGCTGGTGGAAGGCACTCCGGGCCATTGAAGCCACCTGGGTCTTGAGGAATAGCAAAGGATCCAGGAATACCCCAAGCTACAAAACTTCTCCTTCAGAGGAAGTGTAACCCCATCAAGAGCAGGCGACCTCCCACCCATCTGGTATAGGGAACCGCCCACTAACAGTGCTTCAGTCTTATCTGGATTGAGTTTCAGTTTGTTGGCTCCCATCCAGTCCATTACCAAGGCAAGACACTGGTCCAGCACTTCCACTGCCTCACCTGCAGAGGTAAAGGAGAAATAGAGCTGAGTGTCATCAGCATAGTGCTGACAATTTACTCTGAACCTCCGGATAACCCTGCCCAGTGGTTTCATGTAGATGTTGAACAACATAGACATCAACAGTGAATACAGAATCCTGTTTTTCTTTTTAAATGAAAAGTGGGCATCTCAAGACTTCCTCATATAGTAGTCAATGGTATAATAATGGTCTTGTGCCTTCCTGGGCCTGTTAATCATTAAAAAGAAACCAGTCTTAACATACCTGTCCCCAAGTGTGCAAAGGAAATGCTACCAAAAATTGAAGAGGGCTCAGGCCTAGCTAGCCTTGGTCAAGTGCAGCACTTTAGTTTTCACAGAGGTGTAAAGAAGACCAGTACCATTTTCTAGACTATGCAGAGGCTCCTGCTCCTGTGAACCACAGCAGACACCTACTGAAAGGAGAGAGAAAATATCTAAGACCTACCAGATTGTTTGGTTAATGGCCTCATTACTACATATCGACATTTTTTCACCGAGATGAATGGGAAGAGAAATAGATGGCAGAGATGGAGAATGAGGAACCATTTGCGGATTTAGGCACCAAGGATTTTTTTTTTTATAATTTCTTTTTCCTGCCTCCACAGAAGTATCTTTGTCCTGATAACCTCTGCACCGTTAGTCAAGAAAAGGAATGCTTCAGATCCGTTGAGTAGGAAAAGGTGTGCTGCAAATTCCAGCTTGTGACTTTCTCCCCTGCAATATGATTATAGCTGCCGGAAATAAAACCCCTTAATACATTACTCCAGGGTAACTGGTCTACTTGGAAAACACGCTAGGCTGTTCTTCCTTGCTCAGGGCACAAATCCCAAAACCAGGGAGGAAAACCAACAGCATAGTGTGGTTGGGCTTCAGAAGCTGGCAAATGTGAAATGGTACGCAGATGCACAAATGTAGCAGCTCTGGCTCTGCTGACTGTTGATTCCCTGCCTGGTACTGCCCAGCCCATGCAAGGAAGATCAATGTGGAACTAAATTGTATCTGCTGTATCATTAGTGGGACCCTGAGACCAACACAGATGCGCAGTTCTTTGTACCAACTTGGAAGCACTGCCCCACCATCAATCCACTGCAAAGTAGCATGTCATCGAGGACGTTGGAAACAGATGGAGGATCCAGGTCACCCTTTGTTTAGACATGAATGGATGGCTCGGAGGCTGAGATTCAGGAACAGATTCAAGGACACAGAACCCGGAGAGGAGAAAATTTAGAGACACATGGAGGACTGGGAAGGTGGAGGCACAGGCTACACAAGAAGGCAGCAATAACATGAACGAAGCGTACTGAGAGCTGCTGGTGCCAGGCGTGGAGAAGCAAGGAATAATTGGTGGCTACCAAAGAAAGGCAGCCGCCTGTAGGATGAATCCATGCAGTCTGCATGAGATCATGTGTCAGCATTGGAATACAAACAGGTGGCTTTCTAAATGATGAGCTGGTGCCTCTACCTAAGAAGAGTCTGCTGGATCAGGCTCAAGACCCACTTGGTCCAGCATCTTGTTCTCACAGTGGCCAGCCAGATGCCTAGGGGGAGCTTGTGCACAGGACTTGAACACAACAGCACTTGTGGTAAACCACTCAAAGATGCAGAGTGGAGGAAAACTGGGCCAGCACTTCTATTCTGGGTGCCATTTGTCATGTAGTCTGTTGGTTCCTTCTGACCCAGCCTGGATACAGATAATTTCAGGTCAGGGCTGAGTCTTTTTTGCGGACAACAGCCCTCCCACTCTGTGTTTTCCAGCCTACGTTCCCTGTTTCCGCTGCTTGACCTTTGGAAAGCTGGAACAGCTTAAAGGCCACAGGTTCCCTCTCTCTCTCCTTTAAGCATTATTCCTTGGTGGTTTTCCTGTGGTGCTAGAACGATACAAGATTTGGAGCCCTGCGAACTCCCCCCCCCCACACAAATGGGTGTTCCTGCTGAAATGGTCCCTTTCACAGTTGCCTCCTACCTAACCAACCTCTAAAGGCAGGAACCACCCAGAGAAAGGTCACAGAGGATGATCTTAACATTCAGGCAGGTCTGCATGGCCATGCGTATACAGCAATATAGTGTAATCAGGGCAAGCTGTAATGGTGCAGTTGGGCATTTCCTGGGGCCCCAAGGCCAGCAAGCGACTTGCTGCCTCAACAGTAGTGCCATTTTCATGTTACTTGGAGGATTCAAGAAGATCAGAGGCAGCATGACTTGAATTCTAGGTTGGCATGGCCCATAACATCTAGGCTCGCGTGCTCCCCAAATCCTGGAGCTGGCACTGAATTGTTTGTTCATGTGTGAGTGAGCATGAGAGATAGGGAGAGCTGCATTGCCTGCCTCTAATCTCATGTGAGCATGATGGTGAGCGAGTGACATATACCGCATGCCTGTATTACGGCATGAGCGGGAGCCGTTCCGCTGGTGCATTCAATATCCCAGGAGCCCTGATGTTATATAAAGATAAAACACAGGAGGCAGAGCCAGGGAAAGCCCATCAAACATGCCGATTTTTGGCTGGCTCTGGAGCCTTTGGACAAGGAATAACTAATTAGCAGCTGAGTTTACTTTAATTTCCTGCTGCTGCCAACATTTAAGTCAATAGAAGCTAGGGCTCCTTGAAATTCAACCTGGCTGCAGCAAAGAGCTGTAAATAAAGGTGCAGACAGAGAACTACCCAGACTGATCTTCGTATTGTGGCCGTTCCAATGCCACCTCTGATGAGTTGGCCAGTAGGGCACTGAAGGCAAAAGAGGCCCATGTGGCTGCAGCAGGACCTCTGGGCATCACCCCAGCAAAGCTGTGCTCACTGCTAGCACACTAGCCAAGATGAAAGCAGCATTTTGTATTCCACTTGAGTGGTTGTGGATTTACAGGCTTAACTCTGGACCCAACCCGCTGAAGGAAGTCCTTTGTTCTCATCTTGGCTTTCAGGACATGAAAGCTGCAATCCTGAGCCATTAAAATCAATGAGGCTGTTGCTGTCGATGTCTCAGGATTGCAGCCAAACATCCCAGGGTTACTCCTGGCATGGGATATATATCTTTACTGCAGTAGACTCAGTACTGTCCACTGCACACTGGCACACTCCATGTGGCTCAGGGTTGAATTTGGACATTGGCTCCTTAACAGCATCGTTTGTCGGCACAGAGATGAGCTATTCAGGGCCGACTGAGCTGTGATTTCTCGGCTCCTTCACTTTCTCCTTTTTATGTTTTTATTTTAACCTCACATGTAATAACCATGCAGTTGCATATTACTTTAGTTTTTATCACAGAGATGCACAATAGCACAAATCAAGAGGATGTGCCCTAGATACAATGCGAAGTACATACCATAAGGACATACGGAGAGCCTACCAGGTCAGACCAAAGGCCCATCTATCCCAGCATCCTGTTCTCGCATTGGTCAGCCAGATGTTCAGGGAAAGCCCACAAGCAGCACCTGCGTTCAGCAGCACTCTCCCCTCAGTTGCAAGTCCAGCAACAGATATTCACATGGACCACCCTACGTTTAGTACTTTCTTGCTTAAAATCTCAGGCAACTGTGCTGGGAGAGTCCTTTGCCCGACACCCTGGACAGCCACTTCCATTGAGAGCGGGCAGCCCTGAGCTAGTTGATGGTCCTGTGTTCCCACCTAGTGCAAGGCAGCTCCTTGTAACCTAAACCAGCCGCATAGTAAGAATTGCAGTTGCATCTGATTTTTTTTTGGGGGGGGGAGCAGCTGTGAAGTTGGGAGAGACCGCAAAAAAGTTGCTCTTCCTGCCCATACCTGTTGTTTGGACTTAAACCCAGGTGGGCTGTGGAAGGGCAGCAGGTGGGATGGGTAGAAGGGGTCTTATAAACAGCAGAGAACACCAAGAAGGAGAGGAGTGCTTACAGGATAGAGGAAGATTACAGTGGTGGAAGAGTAGCAGGAAAAATACCAAAGAAGGAAGATTCCTCATGCCAGCTGGTTTGCAGGAGGGATAGGCACTCACTCGTAGGATGAGCTGGGGCTCTTTGGTCCAAGAGCAGAAACCAGGAGAGCAGATATAAGCCCTGTCCTCTGACATAAGAGGGGATTGAGAAGAATCTGAAAGGACTTGTGGAGAACACCACACTGTTTTTCCAACTTCTCATAGTGGAAACCTTATGAGAAAGTGTTGATTTCTATTGTAGGGGATGGATTAGAATCTCCCCCCACCTCTAAAAAAAACAATGGGAGGGGGGTCTGATGCCAAACACATTTTCAGCCACAGAAGCAGTGGAGCAACAGACACCTTTAGGACATGCCACTCTGCTTCAGCATAGGATATATCTAAACAGAAGCAGGAGAGATGGATGTTGTTCGTGGTCCCTCCAGGTTAGATGCACGCAACAGATGCCTCCAATCAATACTTATCTGTGGCAAACAGCTAGTGTAAAATAAGCTCCAGCGTAGGAGATCAGCTGTGTTGTCACAGCACCACCTTGTGGACAGAATCATTTTTTTCTGAGCAAGTACTGTAGTGACAGTTCATCCTTTCCTGCTCAAGCGCCTGGAGGCCTTGTCTTCAGGAAGGATGGTGGCAAGTCCAGTAATATTATCATGTAGTCAAAGGGAGGCTGCCTTTTCTCCAGGAACTTCTGGCTTAGCCAGGCATAACATGAACCCAGCAGTGGCACAGTTAGGTCACCCCTGTGCTGGTAAGCTAATGAGCACATGGAGGGTGGTATTCAGCTAAGTTTTACTCAGCGAAGACCCATGAAATTAACAAGCATGACTAAGATAGATCTATTCTGAGGAAAATTGAGTTGAACACGATTTAAACACACACCCCTCATTCAAGCCATTCTATCTTTATCCACATTCCATGAAGTGCATGTTTGCTTGTTTGCTTGCCTAATGTTTCTTGGAGATGCTGTACAGTATTTGAAGTGCAAGCTTTTGTGTGTTTTTGACATGCTAACTGTTTTTCCTGATTGTGAAAGGCATTTCATGCGGTGCACAGGCTATGCTTTCTGAAGACCCATGGATGCAACTTCCACCTTAACCTATAATTAATCCTGATCCAGCAATGGCAGCTTTCTAGCGCAGCAAAAACATTATCCATGGGGTGTAGAACCTCACTGGAGAGAGTGGGAACCTTTTTCTTGTTTCATAATTGCAGCCGTCTCTGCCCTGGTCCCTTACCAAGGGAATATTGCAGTGAAATGGATTAGACCAGGGGAGTATATATGGAATGAAAACAGAATATGTAGTTTAGACAATGATATTCCCACATAGCAGCTCCATGAAGAAATATCATCTGTGTGCAGCCTCAGCTCTCCGCATTAAAATTACTAATGCACCTAGAGACCTCCGCTGTTAAAGACCTGAAATAAGTTTCCTGCCCGGGAATCCCACATTTTATTAACATTGGAATTACTACTTAATCAACATGAATTGTTCCCCTTCACCTTATTTATACATGCAGCAGCTAAGAACCATCTCTCTGGTCCATTTAAGAATGAGATTGGACATTCTAATCTCTCTCATAATTTTCTCTTTGAATAATATCCACCCTAAAGCATGATTCCTGAGCTCACAGAGCCTCTCTGAATTTGATGGTGTGAAGTATACCATGGTACAGCTTTACCCTCGGGAGCTATCATTTCATCTCATTCGCTAAATCACACAGGGCACTGCATGTTTCTAACAGCTTTATACCCACAGCTGTAATTATATTTAGAGTCTTGATCTCATCTGACATGGTTGAGTGTGGCATCCCTCCAAGTGTAGATTCCTATTCCATGGGGTGAGATTCCCCCCCACACACGCACACATATCCCACCTTTAAGGGTGTGGGAGATTTAACAGGGCTACAGGCAGGGGGTCAAAAGTAGAGCAGGCTCAAGAACTTGCACTGGGAAGGAGTTATATTGCTCTCCAGTAGTGGAAATGGGGGACTAGACAAAAAAGGCAGGTGACTGTCAAGAAGGTAGGGACTGCCTAAACCTGGCTTGGTACATGGGATGCCTGGAGAGAGTGAGGTTGTCAGAAGGTGATGGAGCTGTTTAAGGAAGAGCTGAACAGGCAAAGCCTGTGATAGAGCATTCCAAAGGCCCATCTCAGAGAGCAAAATTTAGGAGTGGAAGAATATTGCCATTCTGTGCCATAATCTTAACAGCTCCAGCCTTTTGCTACCACCACAGAGGAAAAGAGTTCCTGCTAGTCCATGTTTCTTCATCCTGCCTCTTTCTCATTTCTGGATGCATCACCAGGACCAGGGCCAGGCTATTGGCGCCCTAGGCAAGGCTAATTACTCACACACACACACACACACACACACACACACACACACACACACCATAGCTAACTTAAAATTTCAAGAACAGATGTCCTGCAGAAATACAGTTCTCCAAAATATTATCAGAAATTTTTAAGCTATAACAAAAAATAATCTGAATAAAGCTGCCCCTCAAAGGTCAGTCCTGCACTGCTCTGAGGCCTGTGCGCTGGACAGCTGCCTAGTTGGACTGATGGTAGCACTGCCCCTGGTCATCACACTGTGGAGATGGAAGGGGCAGGGCAAGGCCTAGATAGCATGCTGATGTTATATCACTTTGCAAGAAAGCAGAGATGTCTCTCCATCACTTCTTGTCACATGCAGCCTTCCTGGAGGAGGTCTCCCTCTAGGAAACTTCAGCAGAATGCTCATAGAGCTCCGTACCACCCACCCACCCAGAGGTACCAGCTGCTGTGCTGACCGTGTTTCTTTTCTCTCTTTCTTTCTCAGAGCTCCTGTGAGAGCCTGGGCCGCCACAACGAGGGCAGCTACCCCACAGGACTTCTGCCCAACCACCACCACCGCCACCACTACTCGGGCCAAGGGGTCTTCGAAGACTTTGCTTGCTAAGCCAGCTCGTGCGCTGCTCCCCCCAAACAGCAGCAGTGCCTCTGGAGCAGCTTGGGGCACAGCAGGCTCCGGCCTGCGCCAAGAAGCCTTTTCCAAGTGGCCAGGCCAGGCCTTCCTCCCACCTCCAAAGGCTTCCAAAAAGCACCGTGGTGCTTTTATAGCCCCCTCCCTCCTGTAACTAACCCCCTTCCCCAGTCCAGCTGGTCCTGCCCCTGCCCTCCAGGGCTCAGCAGCCCCTCCCCCAACAAACCTTCCCCATACTGAAGCACAGAGAAAGACCGAGGATCAGCTGCCAAGAACAGGGAGGTGGAATGGACTCTAAACTGCTCCACTGATAGGAAGCAAGGCTTGACTGAGGCAGGCAGCCTGCCTGGAATTTCACAAAGTGGGAGGAAGGGGGACATGGAGCACGCAAGGGAGCAAAGAGGGCGTCACCAAAGGTAGAGGCAACTCTCTCTCCCAGGGCCCAGTCTATAACACAGTAGCACCACACAACCAGCTGCTCACACAGCCCCACGTGGCAGCCTCTGCCACAGACTCTGAGTAGCGGGAGCGCTGCTCCCTCCAACACCTCTCACTTTGTCCTGTCTTATCATTACTGTTCCTACTTACACCTCTTCCCTCAGCCTCCTTACAAACATACATTTCCATGTACCACTATTTTACATGCACACAGGGGTGTCTCAGGGCAGGAAAGAGGTCCTGTATCCCACTGGCTGCTGCTGCTGCTGTTGGGCAGTGAGTGCCAAGATGTACCCCACTGCTCACTTGCTGCTGCCCCCCACATTGAGACTGTGCCCACAAGGAGGTTTAAAGACCTGCCATCCTGCCCACGTTGTGCCCCTTTACCATATGGGTACAGGCCCCTCACCCTCATGGCTGGCCAGCCATCACCCATCCCTTCTTCCCTCAGAACTGTATATTTGTACATAACTGTTTTGGGTCTGTGGTTTTTAGCCGGCTACACTCAGTCTTTTGTTGCTGCAGCTGGCCCCTGCCGGCATCACTAAACATTGCTGGTAAGGCAGGACACCACGACATCGACGTCCAATCTCAGGTTCCCTCCCAGCTCAAGTGCAGAGGCCGATGCTGCAGGAGGCTGCTGGCACCAACAAAGCCCGAGTTCCCTTGGGGCAGCCCCTTCCCAGATGTACAGACGCCCCCCTTCCCCACATCTTCCACCCTCCTCCAGCAGTATTCAGGGTCCAAGCCACACAAAAACACCCCACCCTCAGGAGAAAGAGCCTTATGGGTCCCATACAATGTCAAGGGAGGATAAGGAGCCCAGGCAGCGCCCCAGGACTCAGATCCCTAGGCTGAAGCACTTAGTAGCAGACTTGCCCAGTGCATCCGCGTGTGGGGAGTGTGGGTGTGTGCGATGACTCCTCAAGGGCAGCAGGGGGAAACGTCAACTTTCTCTTTGCAGCAGGGCCCTGAGTAAAGGTACAACAGGAAAAAGCCAACCAACCTACCTTGTGCTGTCTTGATGGGACAAGGGAATACCCCAGAACCCAGCTGTGGTCCTCAGCCCTCCATGTAGCAAACCAAAGGGGGCTCCAGCATGCACCGTCGAGACACCTCATGGTGTCATGCCCCACACTTAGGGAAACGTGCCTGTACTCCTGGGGGTGCATTTTCAGGAAGAAAGGTGGCACAGGAATATGCTGCAAATGCCCCCCCCTTCAGTGACAACACCAAACTCTTGCATACACCACCTTCAAGAGCCAAGAGCAGTCAAGGCATTTGACTGCTGCAGAGGGAGTGGGAGATTGCAGATCAAATCTGCCTGCCTGCTGCATATGTGTGTGACTCCAAGGGTGCAGGCTGCAGGAGACTCTCGACTGGGACCCAGCCAGGGATCTTCCCAGGAGGGGGTCTGTTAATCCCATGACTTTACTGAGCGCAAGTCGCTGTTTTACAAATGTACAAGTTTCTCCCAATAAAGAGGCACAAGTAGAACTCCAGCCTTGTTTCTTGTGTCATCAGTGATTCTACCCCACTATTATCTAGAGCTCCATCCTTCCTTGGTTTCTTTCCAGCTCTGCTCCTATCAGGAAAGGGATGGGGGAAAGGCACTGGACCATGTGAGATAACACTTGCATTGAGGCAATGTCCTCCTGCCAAGATGTCCAAATGAATGCTCATTAAATAGCCAATACTGTCTAATCACAAACAACTCAGGCTGAATGCTCATCTGCAGGCAAGCAAAACAACACCATCCCTGGCTGCTGGAGACAGGCAATCCTTACACTCATGTAGCCAGCAGACCAAACTAGAAGAAATGGTGGGAAGGAGATCCCATAACTGGATTTCTTACTGGTCGGTTGGTTGTAGCACAGGGAGTTGGACAAAGCAGCCATGGAAGAACCCCAATTGAGTGGGATGAACAGAGCTGGGGAAAGGTATGTTAAATTCTTTCTCCCATATATGCAAGCTTCCCAATAATAAATCCATAATAGGCTAAATCCTGTACAAGTATATCTTAGCTGCGATTCTGGCATTGCAGGGGATTGGACTATATGGCCCTTTGGGTCCCTTCCAACTCTGCAATTCTCTAATTTTACGAACATAAAATGCGTTTGACACCAAGGTCTTCATCAACTGCCTAATATAAAACAAAAACAAATTAAGTATCATGAATCAACAAGGTTTACCTCACATACTCACGAGAGGCTTCAAGTCTGGAAAAAGATGATAAATTTGTATGGCGGCTGGTTATATTAATTGGCCCAGGAAAGTTTGCTTTGATGAACAACAATTCATTTATCCAGAATGGCTATTTACACTGGAGATGTGAAGTAATTGTTTCGCCTTCCTCCTACAAAGTTTAACATCCAAGAGTCAGAGCTTATTGATTTGCTATGTTTATGGTTTCATTTCATTCATGTTATATTAAAGTACTGCTAAACAGTTGAGGGGGAGCAACCCCACTGAAGAGCTGGGACAGATAGGCATCTTACAGAGGATACTGTCTTGAATGTGTGTGGGGTGCGTGATTTCAGATGGCGTAAAGCTTAATAGCATAAAGCTTACTGTGGGGGTGGACACTCTCATTCCTTATTCTTTTCTACATATTTTGGCTATTATTGGCAGCAGCCTGGTCCTAAGGGAAAGATGATTCAACACCATATTGCAAAGAACACAATTGGGCCCATCATTTGGGGTGGTCCAAAGCTAACTGTGGGGTGCACCCTCCCAGCTGCTCCTTTGTAATTGTTGTCTGGGCTCACCACATATGACTGGCCATTGTCCCAAAACTATGGCTTTGACTGGAGGACAATTATTGCCCATCTTGAAGAAGACGGTCACCCAGTCATGGTGTGTACATATAATATGGAACAGACCAAAGCTTGTTTGGGGGTTCAGGGGCATATAAACTTTAGGTCCCTTAATAATAGTTCTGACTGAGCTTTGTTTTGAACTCTCAGTGCAAACAGGGAACTGGTAACCAAGTTCAAGATCAACTCAGTCAGCCTCCTTGTCCACTAGGCCAAACAAGGATCTGCAACCCCACACCCAAAAAGAAAGAAAGAAAAAAGAACAAGTAAAAGGGATGAATTGACACTACTCTTTGTAAATATTAAAGGCAGCGTGATAGGAGATTTCAGATTTGCCTGTGGTGAACAATTTGGGTGAATATGTGCACAGTGCAAGTACTCTGAGAACTCACAAGTTCACACAATGAAGCCAAATGCCAGTCTGCACCACCCAAGCCCTCCTAAGTGGTCCTGGATACAGAACCATTGGTACAAGCTTGACTGCATACAGAGCAACCAGCAATAGCTGCCAGTTTAGCTCTTTAGGTTTCTTAACCAGTATTCTGGAGCATGTGACTCCCCTGTTGTACCATCAGTTTCTAGGCTCAGCATAAAGTGAGCTGTCAGGAAGGACAGAGAGATGGTCAGGAAGAAAAACTGGGAAAACGCTGCTCTTTCTTAATAGGCAATATTTCTTTCGAGCTAGAGGCAAATAGACACAACAAAATGTTAAACATGCAAGTTAAACAAAAGCCTCCCTTTTCTCGGCTGATAATTGAGCTGGGCCACTTCAGCCAAGGCATTTATCTTCCCAGCCTACGTTCTGATAACCCATTTTAAACAAATCCACCCTAACTCAGCATGTACTCCCACTGCTAGATAAAAAGTTGGGTGGAATATATGGGAAGTCTTATCAACAAAAATAAACAAAGTTGACAACAATATGCTAAAAAATCTCTGCCTATATAAATGCTGCTGCTAGCACCTAGGACTTTTTTTCAGCCAGAACTCAGTTCCGGCACCTCTCAGGTGAGTGCCATTGCTATTATAAGAGAACAAGGGAGGTATTCATGGTGAGTTTCAGCACCTCTTTTTCTAGAAAAATAACACTGCTGGCACCCATTAGTAATCTGTACCCCTCATTCACCTCCAGGGATTGCCCACCTTTTTTATACCTGGAAGAAGCATAAACCAAGTAACAAGGCTTTTGAAAGCTAGAACACGTCACCAAGTTATAGTAACAACAGGTGAGTACAAAATCTGGCGCAATGTGTTTATGCTCCCAGGTAGCAAAAAAATGATGGGTTGACTTGCTTCCTTTTGTCCTAGAATCTGATTTGCAAAAGAGAGTAGGGCTCCAGTTAATTAATCACATCAATCTTATTAGTTGCTCACTATAACAAATTATCCAAGTGATATACAAAAACATTCAGAGCTGAAAAGGCATAAGGCATTTGCTAGAACTGTGATCACTGTTTCCAGTTGGGTCAACAACCCTAACACAAAACAAGTGTAAGTGCACTCCCAAGTGCACTTAAGATTAAGTCCAGAGTTGTTGCTCCTCTGGTCAGTTCCATAACCAATTGTTCTAGGTCACAGTCAATCGGAGTATCTAGACCTCTTTGTCATGACCAGATCCCACGTGTACACAAGTCTACGTGAGGGTAACTGAAATTACACATCGCTATGGCACTTCTTCCTTTGGAAGCTTACTTGATTTCATTCTCCGTATAAAGATCACCTGGGCATTTTGGTCAGGGAGACAACATTACGTTCCAAGTACTAAATTACTCTTGGGGTCCAGAATCTCCACCCACAGAAATTCTGTGGAAGAGTCTGCTTCTTTGGGGATTTCTGCTTTGATGAACTTTAATATACAGAGCAAGACCACCTCTGGTATATGGCTGCTGATCCTTCCTATGTAGCCTGTATCCAGAGATGAGTGTCCTGTTCCACTCTTCCATCTCTCCATTCCACCAGGTTTTGATTATGTCCACTGTGCTCTCCTTTGAGATGAAGCCCTCCAGTTTGCCCAGCTTGACTCAAAGGCTTCTAGTCTGGGCATACTACGATTACCGTATTTTTCGCTCTATAGGACGCACTTTTCCCCCTCCAAAAATGAAGGGGAAATGTGTGTGCGTCCTATGGAGTGAATGCAGGCTTTCGCTGAAGCCTGGAGAGCGAGAGGGGTCGATGCGCACCGACCCCTCTCGCTCTCCAGGCTTCAGGAAGCTATCTGCAAGCCTTCGGAGCGCGGCGGGAGTGCCCACCGTGCTCCGAAGGCTTGCAGATAGCAGTCTGCAGCCCGAAGCCCAGGGAGCGCTGCGCAGCGCACCCCAGGCTTCGGGCAGATATCTGCAAGCCTTGGGAGCCGGGAGGGAGATCCCACCGGGCTCCCAAGGCTTGCGGATAGCAGCCTGCATACCGACCTGGTTTGGAGCCTGACGGTGGGGAAAGCAGCGCTTCTCCCCACCGCCAGCCCCACAAGCTCGGGGGACAGCGGGGAGGTGGAGCGCCGTCTTCCCGCTGTTCCCCGACCTGGTTTGGAGGCTGGCGGTGGGGGAAAGCAGCGCTTCTCCCCACTGCCAGCCCCACAAGCTCGGGGGACACCGGGGAGGCGCAGCGCCGTCTTCCCGCTGTTCCCCGACCTGGTCTTTGGGGCTGGCAGTGGGGGAAAGCAGCGCTCCCCCCCCCCACCAGCCCCAAAGAGCAGGTCGAAAGGAACCCAAAGCCTCCAGAGCCCAACAGGAACTCCCGCTGGGCTCCGGAGGCTTCGGGTGAACGCACCTTGAACGCACAGAACGCACCTTGTTTTAGAGGGGGAGAAGAAGAAAAAAAATTTTTTCCTGTTCTCCCCCTCCTATGGTCCGGTGCGTCCAGTAGAGCAAAAAATATGGTATGTACTGGGTTTCTCACGCACCCTTCACTACAAGTTCCGAGGGCAAGTTACAACATTATACAATAATAATAATAATATTAGAAACGGTTAAAACAAGTTACTACAGTCAGAAGAACTGGGTGGATCCTAAAGTCTATAAATCTCAGGTATCAAAAGGCCAGTGGAGAGACATATGAAGAACCCTATAGAAGGGAGGGGCCACACAAACCTTAGTGGGGAGAAAATTCCACAGGTTGGGGCTCCCACAGGTAAGGCCATCTCTTTGACCTCCCCCTCAAACCCACAATTGCCCCACCTGCTGAAACACTGCCCCTGCTTCTGAGTGATGGCTGAATCAGGAGAAGTGCAGCACCTCGCAGATTTACTGAATTCCTGCCCAGACGACTCTGTGGGCAACCCTATTAGCAAGGACAACATTTTCTTGGTTAGAAGTATTTGGGGTACCAGGCAAAAGTCCCAGTTCACCCTTTGCAAATCAGTTTTGTGATACAGAGCCCAAATTATATAAACTGATTAATTTGCATTGAATGATTGTGATTTTATAATGTTCTAATTTAAACAAGTCAAGCAATTTAAATAAATCATAGTACAGTTTTAATTTAAACAAAAGTGTAGGAGGACCCAGCTAAACATCAGGGTGGACTCTCTTTCCTTGGATGATTTTAAGCAGAGGTTGGATGAACATCTGTCATTTATGATCTAGCTGAGATTGCTACATTGCAGGGGGTTGGTCTAGATGACCCTTGGGACCCTTCAAACTCTACAATTCTGATTCTATGACCCAGCATCAGGCATATGAAAGGAAGATCATAGTTTTAATTTAGTTTTCATTCTTGCTTGCCTTGCCCTCACTCTAGCAAACTAATCTCTCTCTCTCTTTCTCTCTCAATCTCTAACCATTAAACTGTGCTTTGTTGACTGCAAGTTCCTAATTCTCTAGCCTTTTTTAAATCTTCAGTTGTTTGTCAACACACATCAAAGTGTCCTTATATATTTCAGAAAGGATTAGCAGGAAGGACACGGGCTTAGAAGGGGTGAGGAACGGATGTTCATTAGCAAGCAATCATCTTCTGGAAAGAAAAAAATAATGCTTATGATTAAATGAACAGAATTTGAAGAAGTCAATTTTAAATCTAGCTCAGAAGCGCAAACGGATCAAAGAAGGGAATATAAATACACCCCTTAGGCCATGACTTGTTTTGGAAATTCAGAATAACCTATATCATTTGAAATGCATGGACCTCCCTCAGTTGAAATCCTCTGGACCAAACCAGTATAAATATCAGACTGTGGACTCTCAGCTGCTCTTACATAGCACATCACTGGCATTTCTATGGGACAACTTCTAGCGACTGTGGTTGAGAATCTGACTTTGCAGGCCCCTTCAATCTCATCTTGTCAGTTATGTGTGTTATGCTCTGCATTGTTCTGTCTGGTTTTATGAAAGTAGAGCAATAAATTAAGCAATTCCTGCCTCTCAAGTTCTTTGCTTTAATTTAAATGACAACATATTATACCTTTGCAGCACATTATTTCCCTCAAAGAATTCTGGGCACTGTAGTTTCTTAAGGGTTGCTGGGAATTGTAACTATGTGAGGGATAAACTACAGTACCCAGAAGTTTTGGGGGTGGGGTGTGCTTTGAATGTACTTTGTAAATAGAGGGTGGGGAATGGTTTTCACATTGAGTGTTGTATTTCCTCATGGAACCCTCTGGTGCCAGTAGTGGACAGGGCCACAAGCAAAAATGAGTTGGGCAGTGGACATGACTCTTTCTACGGTGGGCTACATTCCAGCCAAAGGTTTCCACAACACACACACCCCTCCATCCAGGCAAGAAAGACCCATTCCCAAATATTCAAGGACACCAGTGTGAACAGGGCTGGGCAAAGAGTCCTAAGGGGCTGTATAGTGAGAGGGCTAGAGAGCATCATTTATGCCTTCAACCTGAGATTCCCCATACCTGATCTAAATACTGAAGGCATAAAAACCATACGTAGGAAGCCTCTGCAACACTAATCAATTATGTCATTTCTGGTGGAGTAGTGAATTTGTAATAGAGGAAATCATTAGGCACATTTTACAAACCAATCCAGTATTGCGCCTCTTATGAATCTATGAGGTGGCCCTGGAGCCCTTATTGTAGCCTGTCCATGGCCTTTGCAAACCTGGTACTCATCAGTTGCCATCAACTCCAGCCAAGACGGCTGAATAAAGACTCCACAGTGTTGCTATTGGTTGCAGCCAGTCAGGAAACAGGCCTGCACTGCAACACATCTATAGCGTGCTCCATAAAACTCATGACACAAACCACCATGGAGAATTGCTTTAGCTGGGAAGCCCGCTCAACAAAGTAATCTTTCTGAGGGGCAAAGCAAGAGTGACAGGTTTTAGGAGACATGGCAACTGGGGTTCCCCCCGCCCCGCTTTATAAACTAATGTGAAAATCATGTCTGTCGCACGTATTGTGTGAATCTTTACAGAAAGACATTCTAGTCATCTTCTCCATCCCTTGATAGCATTTTATTTCTTACCTTCAATAACGGTGCTCTTGATTTTTTCTCTTTCCTGCATTGCATCCATCAGCCTCCAGAGTGTAACATACCATTTTGACATTTTCTGGTATCTTTCCTATGGCTCTGATTACTGATTTGTATCCTGTAAAAACACACACTGCATTTTTTTGTTCCCAATTTGTAATCACAATAATAAAAAGGCTGTTCTTATGTGCGTGGAACTAGTATGAATATACAGTGAACTGACTGGCCATGTGGTCCAAGAGCAAAAAGAATAGCATTGATTTATATTTCACTTGCCATTTTTCTCCTGGTGCAGCACAATCGCATATTACATGCATTTAACTTATGTGATATCAACTATAGGCAGTTGAATTCCCACAAGTTATAAGCGGAGTTGGTGCATGGAGAGGGCCTTGCTTGAGAAGCAACACAGTGAGCTTAAAAAGCTCACTGCACTACATTTTCCTGGAGCAAAATTTAAACTCTCTACTTTTGTTTCCTGAGCAAGGCTCCCACAAGATCTCACAGGAACTTGGGCAGCCCCAAAAGACCTTGTGAGGGCATCCTGGGTCTGCTGGAGCTCACACAGGGGTTCAGTTCTAAGGGTTTGGGTATTATGCATTTTTGCATATACACAGAACCCTTGGAATTGAACCCTGCATAAGATACAATCATACTGTATTATGGGCTGTCCCACCCACCCCAGACCACGTTTTCTTTTGAGTTGTAAACATGTGGCTTGCCCTGCCCCTCACCATCAAGAAAGATTTACATTTCTAAAAATATGGACCATTCTTTTAAGCAAAACAGAACACTGACTGCTTAGGTGTTCACAAACATGGGCCATCACAGAAAACACTCACAAAATGTAAGTAAGAATCGGATGCTATTACATCAGAAGTTCAGAAACAGTTTGCTCTCAGGGTGAAAAGGATCACTCTGTTAAGGGGTCTCTGCATCATTTCTTTACACGACTTATATGCCAACACTCATCATTCATGGTTGGAGAAAATGCTATGCCGTTTTAAGTGGCTGGCTTTTTACACTTTTTGGAACACCATATCCTGTCCATTACATGTATGGGGACAATTTGATGGGTGCTGCTCCCACACCCCTACTTCCATTTTTTTCTATCAACAAAAAAGAAAGGGTGCACTTTTCCCACCAGTTGGTGCTGAAGGCATGTTCACAGAGCAGAAGTACTCTTGCCAAGAAAAAAAAATGTAAAAATAAAAACAAAATTTGCCCTTGTAAGTACAGGAAGCAGGAAAGGAAAAGGGAAGGAATGCTTGGCTTCCAAAGAAGGAAGGAAGGAAGGAAGGCAGTTCTTTTGTGCAAATTGGCATATCAGAAAATCTGTATTTCAAAAATACTGTTTCTAAAAAAAGGTGTGCATGCACAAGTAAACAATCTTTGCCTCCACACCTACAACAGATGTCAGAGTTGCTGATGTATTATTTTTTGCAGCTCTTTTATGCAAATCTCATAGATAGCTAGTATTTTTTTTTTAAATGTTTGTTTTAAGATGCATGCACACAGGTAAACATACCAAGGCGCATGCCCACAAAAGATCTCTGGCTCCTGGAACTTATGGTGTGTAGGGTGCACTCATTGCGCGAATGAAAGAACAACACACAGTGCTACTGTATCCCTTCAAGCATCACCCACTAGCATGAATAGGAAACAGACAGGTTTTGGAGGCATACAATTGAAAGCACTCATGTGTGGAGGAAAACACACATGCACATTAGCACCCTAGTGTGGACACAGCTACCTAACTACTTGTATTACATTCCTTGAAATACACATCGCTGCTTTCTTTTCATCTCCAGGGAATCATAAGTTCCAATACATAAATTAACTTCTATCGATTCCACAATCTCTCTCCATCATACAAACCAGGCATGCATATAGCCTAGAACAGAAAAATCATAACCAAACACTTTACACTTTATGCTTCGCTCCAGTTTATTAAAATGCAAAACAACATTTTAGTCGCCAACCCGCCCCAAATCCAAGTTAAATATAAACCCACTGGAGAGCCAAGCTCCAACTCCTCACGCGTGCACAAACACAACTGCACCCTTTCTGGGCCTTGCCCTGGACCCAGCGCCAGGCTGATTGACGCAACCCGCTCTGCTTAACAGTTCTGAGTCAACCACACATGGCAGCAAGATGGGCAAAATCTACGTACCTTCAGCCCAGCGGGTGAAGGAGGGCTGGCAGCCCCAGAAATACTGTTCATCCCCACCATGCCAGAGCCAGCCTGGCATCAGGGGGCTGCTTGACTCTCCCACTGAAAGCACCCACCAGGTCTGTGCCACCCTCTTGCCCCTACCACTCCTAATCTGAGGCTAAAGCAGCCCGAGTCACTGTTTCCAAAAGGAGCAACACCGGACAAAGAGGAAAAAATAACCAACCAGAATCCCTCTGCCCCTCCCACCCACAGAAGATTATCCTGCACCTACACCTGGAGTGTCCATTAAGTTAACACCCAAACTGCAGCAAGGGGACCAAGCAGTGCTCCTGAGGGGGCAGCTTCTTTCCTTCCTGCCTCTATTGCCCCAGAATCCAGAAACCCCATGCCAGCCTCCTTGGCTTCAGCCCACCCCACCCTCACACAGAAGCCTCTTCTAAAAGCCCTGGTGCCGCCAAGGTGGCAGAAGTCCCACAGCAGGCCCTGCCTGCCCTTGCTCGGCTGGCACTTGCAGCTGTTAATCCTGCAGCCCGGGGGGAGGACCTGGGCCTGCATGAGGGGAACAGAGCAAGGCAGAAGTGGGACTGGATCCTGACCACCCGCCAATGCCCGCTTTTGGTCCACAAGGCAACCTGGACAGCCAAGCAGAACCGCTCCCTTGAGGCCCAGCCCGAGCCATCCTGGGCCGCCGCCCTCTGCCGCTACAGGGAAGACGCGCAGGGGGAGAGGGGAGGTGGCAGGCTGGCCCCGGCCCCGGGCTCATGTGCTGTTGCCCTGCTCCTGTTCAAAGAGCACCATGGCCAGCTGCGCCCGGGAGCCCAGGCCCTCCAGGCTGCTCTGCACACAGCGGTGGTACTGCTCCTCGCTCAGGCGCGGGTTGCAGCCGTGCGGCCTGTAGCGCTGGAGGAGGGCCGGCTCCACCGCCCGGAAGACATGCAGGTTGGAGTACTTGACAAACAGGTCGTAGATGTCCAGCGTTTCCAGGATGTCCTCGTTGTCCTGGGCATCGGCCGCCATGCGCGTGCGTGCCGCCATGTAGTCGGCGTTGTAGAAGCAGGCTTCGCTGAAGGCGTCGCGGTCAAAGTGGCCGGCATCTCGCACCAGGTCCAGGCCAGACAGAGGCGGGGGCTGGTTGTGGAAGGCGATGGTGGGGTTGTAGCCCTGGAAGTGGATGGGGAAGAAGACCTGCCAGCTGTTGATGGTGTTCATGCGGCAGCGGTTGAGGAACTCGGCCGTGACCTCGGTGCCCACACCAGCCACGAAGAAGAGCGTGTCCACGGGGTGCTTCTTGGAAATGATGTCCATCACCTTGATCTGGGAGGGAGCATCTGTCTTGACACTGATCCAGGGGATCTTCACCTGCGCATAGCGCCGCTCGTACTCCGCAATGCGTGCCTTCACCGCCCGGAAGACGTCATTCTGGGCCACTTGCTGAGCCTCAAAGGGGTCGTAGATGAAGAGGAAGGTCAGCACGGCGTTCTCTGCATTCTCAAAGGCGGCCGCAGCATAGACCTCCAGGAAGCGCGCGGCATAGTCTCGCTCCGGGGCTGTCAAGGGCAGGATGACGTTGACCCGGCTGGCCTCTGTCACGTAGGGCATTGGGATGATCTCCACCTCGCTGAGAGGGCGCAGCAGGTGCACCCGCTTGGCCAGCGACCGGCTGTGCCCCTTCTGGGTCACCACTTCCAGCTGCAGGTCCAGGGTGTACTCCATGCCTCGGGTCGGGTCAAAGCGGCGGTAGCCGTTCAGCAGCTGCTGCTTCCGGACGTGCAGCACCGGCTGGTACCGGTGGTTCAGCTCTTCCACAGCTGCAGCCACCACGTCGGCCACGTCGGCTGTGTCTGCGCCACGCAGCTCACACTTGGGAGCTCCATCCATGCAAGAGAAAGCCGCTTCTTCCGTGAAGTAATCCCAGCGAAGCACCTCAAAGCGGGTTTTGGGCTGGAAAGGGGGAGCGATGCCAATGGGCCAGGTGGCACTCAGCTCGCCATCTGCAGAGAGGCTGCTGGTGTTCTGGATCTCGAGCTGCAAGGAGAGGGTGCAGGTAGAGTCACTGTAGGCTCAGAATTTAGTTTTTCACAACTCCCAGCAGTTCCAAATGAATTAAGAGGCACACACAGAAACACATACACACATAAGGCAAACTTTCCCCATGGCTAAGAGCAACTCCCATATTTACTTGGATAATTTGTCTTTCTTTCTTTCTTTCTTTCTTTCTTTCTTTCTTTTTCTTTCTCTCTCTCTCGCTCTCTCTCTCTTTTACACACATCCCTCTACCTTCCAGGTAAATCTTCATTCAGAGGACCTGTGGTTCTCCAGATGTAACTGACTCCAGTTCCCATCATCCCTGAGCACTGGCCACAGTGGCTGTGGCTCATGGGAACTGGAGTTGAACCACAGCTTCCCCATCCCTGCACTACGGTCAGGTCAGGCACGTCTCTTTAGGATGCCTGACTGGAAGACACAACTAGGTGTCCATGAACGCTTCAAAAAGCTAAGTACTTCCACCCCTCCAACGCTCCCCAAATAGACAAAGCATCCATTACATGCTTGAGGACCATTAAGTTTAACCACCCCTCCAGCATAGCTACCCCGGAGCAGAAACCAACAGGGGCACTGCCAGCTAGACCACAACAAGTGGCGAGCCTGCGACAAACTGCATTGGGGCACCAGACCTCTCCATATGAGCCCAGATGAACTTCTGCCCAACCCAAAGAGTAGCGCATTAAACAAGAGCAGGTTCAGCAAGCAGCAGGGTGTGCCAAGTTATACCATCCAGCCACCTGGTGGCAGTGTGGTCCCACGCTATGAGCCCAGCTCTGGGGCTAGCTTACCTGCACTGTTTTGCCCCATGAAGTAAAAAATAAAACAGTATTGTGGTGAAAGATGGGCCACATGGTTCAAAGCAGCCAGTATGTAAGCCAGTCTCCTCACATGCGCCTGTATATCTCACCACACCCAAATACTGAATCCCATTCTTCAACATTTATTGCATTTAAATTAGGCCACATTAATTAAATTAACACACTTTTGGTTTATATATTGATTCCTTTAGAAAATTCTCCATAAATTATTTCCAATTTTATTTCTGGCTTTCAGTCAGGAAATAAAGTGTTGGGTCTGCCTTGCCTAATGCGCCTGAAGTATTGTGTTAACAGTAGAACCTCAGTTTTTGAACATAATCTGTTCCAGAAGACCGTTCGACTTCTGAAGCATTCGAAAACCAAGGATCAATGGGCAGTTGGCAAAATCAATTGAAAAAATGGAGAAATGCCATTCGGAAGCCATTCGACTTCTGAGGCGCATTCGAAAATGGAAGCAATTACTTCCGGGTTTTCGGCATTCGGGTTCCGAATTGTTTGGCTTCCAAAACCAAGTTTCCACTGTACTTTCTTATATTTTGGGGTTGAGCTGTTAGTCTTGGGCCATAAATTAACTCTGGGAATCAACAGTCCTGTTACCACTCTGTTTGAATATACTGTTTTCAGTGCTGCCATTTTTAGATACTTTAATCATTGATTGCATTTTTTTTCATGTTGTGCACTGCCCTGGGCTCTCTTCTGAAGAGGAGAGGTAGAAAAATGAAGTTTAATTAATTAATTAAAATCAAAATAGGCATCATGAAGCCCCTAAAGTGGCTGGTAACCACATCACCCCCAAGTCTGCGAGAGCCTTCAACCCAGCTCTCCCCACTGCTAGATGACAATCCAAGTCTAAAGAGGTGGAAAAGGCAGCTCCCCTCAGCTTAGGTCCCAGTCCGTAACAATCAGGAGTTGGTTTGGCAAAGGAAGCAAGTGAATTTTAAATACATGTCATTACAGCTTTTACCACCTTTTAAAATGTTTTCATTGGTTATGGAAAAGGTTTCATTGCCCTTTATTTATTTATTTTTGTGCCCAGATTAATATACTGCCATTATTCAAGAAAAGTTCCATTAATTCATAGCAGATTGCAATGGATTAAATATAGTTCGCCTGGTCAAACTATAATTACCCTAATTAATCTCTCTCCTTTGTTTATCTCTACTCAGACACCACCTGCTGCTCAAAAAATGACACCTTATGCTGGTGGGCAATTGAGCAAAACACTTTACATTTGCTTCCTCTCCAGGGAGAGATCTCTGCCCCTCAGGGGCTCCACACTCTCTTCCCCTCCAAGCAGGGCATGCTCTCTCTCTGTTACTCCCTCTTCCCCTTTCAAAAAAAGCCCCCAAATATATTTGCTGTTGTTGTCATCAAGTCCTCCAGGATCCATGGGGGAGGGGGTGGGAGAACTGACCGTCATGTCATTTCCCCCCCACCAAAATATATGCTTTTTCTTTCTCCCCATTTCTCTCTTTTTTTAAAAAGTTATTTTAAAATGGATTTTCATTTTTTATTACACACATTACTGCATATTACTTTTATGTCATAGTCCCCAAGTGCCAACTGGCAGGGGCACTATATAAATAAATCACTTTAAAACTTATTATAACCTAAGGCAATAGACTCAAATATTAATTTACAGCAGCGCAAAGAAAAGGAAAATCCAATGTGCAATAGCAATCAATGTAATTTAATGTAGCTCCTGAGCACCTGTATGCATTTTCGGTTCCATATTTTACAATTTTTCAAGTATGTTTTCACACATCTCGATATTCTGCCGATTTTATTACATGAACCAAAAGGCTAATAGCGGAACCTATGAAGGCATCAATAACACCACCTAGTTCTTGGCTTATAGCACGCAGAGTTGCAGCCTATGAGTCAAGGTCCATCGTGGTAGCCAGTGCTGTGCTCAGCAATGAGATTAAGAAGCAGACAGCTGTCTGGACTGGTCTGGCATTTCCCCAAAAGCAAACCTCCACTTTGGAATCTAGGAATTGCCCTTTTTGGCTGATCAAACATGCAAGCTTGCTGCCTAAACCTCCAAACTTACGACTTGGATTAAGACCTTCATTGAAGGAAACCCACTGCAACAACGCATACTAAGATTCAGCTTGAGGTTATCTGGAATGCATATACAGTGGTACCTTGGTTTAAGAATAGCCCTATTTACAAATGATTCAGTTTATGAACTCCGTAAAACCGGAAGTAGCGAACTTTACCTCGATCGCAGAACGGAAGCCAAATGGTGGAAGGGCACCGGCGGCAGGAGGCCTCATTAGGGAAAGCGCACCGCCGTTTAAGAACACTTTCGGTTTAAGAACGGACTTCTGGAACCGATTAAGTTCGTAAACCAAGGTACCACTGCATATCTATTTTAAAAAACAAACCTATTAACCAAAAATTCTATACATTTTTCAGTTTCACTAGTGCACTCTTTATTTTCCCAGTAAAAAGTGGTAGTTAATAGTTCAGAGAATTGAGGGGTTGGAACTGCAGCTGGAGGAAATGGGTTTGGAATGAGAGAAGCAGTGGGTGGGGAAAAGGTTAAGTGTGCATGGAAGCAAGCCAGCACACACACACACCACTTCAAATTCAGCCCTGCCCCCTCCCCAGCCAATCTCCAGTGGTGAAGCTACAGCCAGGGGTCAGAGCTCAGCATGTGCTGCCAAATATGGAGATTTCAGAAACTGCCAACATGAGGGTTGACACAGTTAAGCCCAAATCCTTGGGGGGGAAAGGAAAGGTATAGCTTCAGATTCAAACATCCCCAATGAATGGAGTGACCAACAAAATCCAGAGCGTCCCAGGTTCCCCATCTCCGCCCTAGAAGACATCAGAAGTGAAATGGGCTCAGTTACTTTCTACATCTGAGCTACACTGGAGAAAGCCAGTGTGGTGCAGTGGTTAGAGTGTTGGATTAGGGCGTGGGAGACCAAGTTTCAAATCCTCACTCAGCCATGAAGCTCACTAAGTGAGCTTTGGCCAGTCAAAGTCCCTCAACCTAACCTACCTCACAGGGTTGTTGTACGGATGGAATTGGGAAGGGAAGAGGAGTATACGACAATCTTGAGCTCCTTGAAGGAAAAGGTGCGACATAAATGTAAAAATAAACAAAACATGGCTGACTTTCCTATAGCTGGTAAGCAAAATATAGTGCCACAATGGAAACTGTGGCGGATGAGGATAGTGAACAGAGTCCCCCACTCCGCTCAGCCAGTTACAGACCCAGCTCCAACGTCCTCCCTGCCTTACCTGTAGCTGCTGGATTTCCTGGTATGTGTGCTCCAGTTCCACACGCGCAAAGTGTCTGTGCAGCCGGTACATCTGGACAGGGTCCAGCACAGGGTGAACAGTGAAGGCCGTGTTGAATCGCGGGTCACTCTCTCTCTCAGGGTCAGTGTTCTTTCCAAGTTCAAAATACTGGTAATGCAGGCCCTGGTGGGGAGAAGGAATAAGAGTAGCACATATGACGGGGAAATCCAAGCCATCCATGATAGTACATATAACCATGACATACAACCAGCCGGTATTCCCCTCCAGTTGTAAGGGAACAAAAGCATGTCTGAAGAGGAAGCTCAGCTTTCAACTGGGATCAAGAATTCATCCTGTAATATTGAGTGTTTGGTTCCTCCCCCTAATCTTTGAAACACATGATCGTGTTCATTCCACATTTGCAAGGATATCAGTCCCTTGGCTTAGCAGCACCTACACTGCAACTCCCTGCCCCTTCATATTAGGCAGGTGCCTCCGCCATATTGTTTTTTGGCACCTGCCAAAACCCTTTTCGTTTAGGTACATTAACCCAGATGTGTAAAGTTGGCCTGTATATCAACAGGTAGTTAAATTTTTTAATTGTTACCTGCTTATTTTATCAGGCCAACTAGTTTTTAACTTTTTACCAATAACATTTGCATATATTGTATGTAAACCGCTTAGAGGTTTTTTATGATTCAGTAGTAGATACAAAATAAGTTAAATAAATGAACACAGGAGAGGGACACTACAGTGCAGCTGGCCCTCCTTACCTCACGCTCTGCCACACAATCTACCCCAGTGTAGTCAATGATGCAGCGCCCCAGCCACTCATCGGGATGGGCGCTCAGGATGTCATTCCGGCAGCTTTCCAGGTGAGGCTGCAACCGCAGGAGAAGGGCCCGGGAAAGCAGGTAGCCGAAGCCGCCATAGCAGTAGCGCCCTTGCGTGTCCCCACCAATGAACTCCTCTGGCCGGCCCATGTAGAGCAGAGTGTCAATGCTGAGGTGAGAGGCCAAGCGGTTCACACGGTGGGCCTCGGTGTAGGTGTCGTCCTGCACCAGGAAAACCCAGTCGAAGTCAGCCACGTAATGGTCCAGCACATACTTGACAGTCTGGTACATATTCCAGATGGGCCTCTCGTCGCCGTGCGTCACCACCGTCATGCCGTGAGGGACCTTGCGCCCCCGGGTGCCCGTGAAGTAGACCAATCGCTCCAGCCGGTGTCCCAAGGTGCGGTTCACCGCCACTGCAAGGGAGTGCAATGTGTTCTTCGAGGTCAGCACTCCCACAAAGAGGCGCTGGCGCATGCCCAACTCCGTGCTGATGTATCGGGTCCTTTGGGGGAATGGAAAGGGCAGGCAGAAAAAGAAAGTGAGGCAGTGAAGGAGGGGAAGAGGAGCCTCCAATTTTCCACCACCAACATCCCTTACCGACTGAGGAAGCATCATCTCAGCCCTGTGTTTCTGAGCATATTTGCAAACACCTTCTGGAGCATTTGAAGAGTGGGATCTGCTGAGACAAGGCTTTGCGCTGCAAGCAGCAAACAATCATTTCTCCTCAAGCCCCACTTTCCCCATAAAATGACCACAGCACTTGCCCCACTCGCACATGCCAGCACTGGTGCAGGAGCTGCTTCCATGTGGTGCAATCCCATGCAGCTGCTGGGTGTGTGCAAATGTGAGAATGCAAGTGTTGAATGACTGAGCCTCATGGCATAAGCCTTCACTTAGCTGGGAATGAAAATTGCAAAGGGGTGGGAATGGCCCATAAGGTTCCAGTATTCACACACACAAAAAACCCCCACAGCCACATGGGACTACAACACAAAAAAGTGGCTGGCATGTGTGCGCATGCACAGGGACAACGGTGTGTGTGCCTTAATCTGTAATCAAAATGGCATCTTAAGTGAGACATATGCCCACACTGCTCTTTTGCTACCTTTACCTCTCCAATCCCTCTCTGCTTTCTCTCGCCACTGTCACAGTTTAGCTTGCAAGGTACACTCCCAGAGTGAAGGAATCAGTCCTTTTTTTTGCCTATGCTACCCTGTAAAGCCTGTTGTGTTTGTCCATGAAGTTTTCTTGGCAGGGATACTGGAGTGGCTTGCCAGTTCCTGGTCCAGGTAGATCATGTTTGGTCAAAACTCTCCACTATGACCTGTCCGTCTTGGAACGGACGAAATTAAAAGATCCCTGCTTCTTGGGAGAAAAGCAATGACAAACCTAGACAGCATCTTAAAAAGCAGAGACATCACCTTGCCGACAAAGGTCTGTATAGTTGAACCTATGGTTTTCCCAGTAGTGATGTATGGAAGTGAGAGCTGGACCATAAAGAAGGCTGCTTGCCAAAGAAGGAAATCTGCCCTGAGTGCTCACTGGAAGGACAGATCCTGAAGCTGAGGCTCCAATAGTCTGGCCACCTCATGAGAAGAGAGGACTCCCTGGAAAAGACCCTGATGTTGGGAAAGATTGTGGGCACAAGAAGGGGATGACAGAGGACAAGATGGTTGGACAATGTTCTCGAATCTACCAACATGAGTTTGACCAAACTGCGGGAGACAGTGGAAGACAGGAGTGCCTGGCGTGCTCTGGTCCATGGGGTCACGAAGATATGACTAAACGACTAAACAACAACACCCTGTAAAGCACCATGTATGTAACTGTTATTACATAAATAATAGCAGCCCTGTATGTTCTGTAAGGGGACATGGGTGGCGCTGTGGGTTAAACCACAGAGCCTAGGGCTTGCCGATCGGAAGGTCAGCAGTTCGAATCCCTGCAACAGGGTGAGCTCCCATTGCTCGGTCCTTGCTCCTGCCAACCTAGCAGTTTGAAAGCACATCAAAGTGCAAGTAGATAAATAGGTACCACTCTGGCGGGAAGGTAAACGGCGTTTCCGTGCGCTGCTCTGGTTTCACCAGAAGTGGCTTAGTCATGCTGGCCACATGACCCAGAAGCTGTACGCCGGCTCCCTCGGCCAATAAAGCAAGATGAGTGCCGCAACCCCAGAGTCGGCCACGACTGGACCTAATCATCAGCGGTCCCTTTACCTTTATGTTCTGTAAGTGTACTACAGATCCTCAGGTGTGTCTAGCATTTACAAATGCTCAAGTCCCATTTGTTTCAGTGAGCACCTCCATTAGAACCGTACAGGAAATAAACAGAATACCGTTTCTGCTTCAGAATACTGTGCCAAGGGCTTATTAATAGAGCTGTGCTGTCCCTAATGCACCCAAAATGCTGAGACATAAAGAGTAGAGCAGATGCACAATAATTTAAAATTCCTAGTCCTTTCCAAGAAACCCTGGGGTCTTAAGTGAGTTGCTAAATCAACAGGACACCACATTTGGGAAACCTGTGGATGTCCATTTCATACACACACCCCAGGTGGGTGGGGGGACACATACCGGGACAGGGGTAGCACCAGGGACGGGGGTAGATCAGCTGTTAAGACCATTATTAATCCAAGCATAGCTAGCAGTAACCTGGCAATGGATTAGGACCCAGCATTCAGTCAAAGGCAAGATGAGCTAACTCATATCAATGAGGATGCCAGATATTTCGCAGATATCAACATCAAGGCAACCACAGCCAGGGCTGTCTTAAGCACATGTGGCGCCGGGGTGCAAGGTCCGCCCGGCGCCCCCCCCCGGTTGCCCAGAGTTGTTGAGCTTTTCTAGGGGGAACCCCAAAGTTGTTGACATTTTGAGGGGTGGGCCATCTCAGCAACAACAGAGTAGCCCGAGGAGGTGGCGGCGGCAGAGCAAGGCCAGGACCAGGAGCCGGGGGGGGGCAAGCAGAGCCCAGCGCAACAGCAGTTGAGGATGAGGTGGTGGCAGTCCGACGGCCTCTGCTCCGCTCGGCAGCAGCTGTCAACTCTTCCCAATCCCCGGACTCCAAATCTCGGCCCCGGAGAGCCCGGGCCCGGGTGCCCCACAGCCCTAGCACCTATATGTAAGATGGCCCTGACCACAGCAATAACCAAGAATGTGTTCTGCAACTTCTGTAAGAAACCCAGACTCTCACACAAAGCAACAGAGTATCCCAGAATGCAAACTCATTGCCTCTGAAATCATTTCCGCATTATTCTCCAGCATTATTCTCCATTATTCTCCAGCTCAGGTTCAGCATCTTTCGGCATTGTTCTTTCCACCAAAGGAGATATGAACTGGTTCCCCAGCTCAGAAACCAAGTTTCCATGAAAGCTGAGGGGGTACCACCACCATATATTTGAGTGCAACCCCTACAATTGACAGAGATTCCTTGCATCTCTTAAAATATTGACTCTCACTAAGAGAGCAAGAAGAATGTGTATTTAAAGAAGAGTAGAAAATATTTATTTAATATATGGAAAATAATTGTACATAGCTGAAAACGCTGTCAGCATTAAGATAAATTCAACAGAGTAAACAATATTTGATTGATGTAAAAGTGGAAAATTGGATTTGCATGGTTATAATAAAATATGCAGGAACGTATGATATGTAAGATGAACCATGGAAGGAGAAGAAGGAAAGTCATTGGATATTTTAAAGTTTGTAAAATGTTTCTTTTGAAATGTAGAAAAATGAAAACTCAATAAAAATTTATATGTGTGTGTATATATATATATATATATATATATATATATATATATATTAGTTGCTTCAGTTGCAGCATGTCTAAAATGGCATGTGAGAGTAAATATTTTATATTTGCCATTTTAGACAAATATATAAAATATTTACTCTCACGTGCCATTTTAGACATGCTTCAACTGAAGCCAACCTGCAAGACAGACACCCAGATGGACAAATTAACAAAATGCTAGAGAGGGCAGCCATGGCTGAGCAGATCTCACTTGGCCCGAGTCTTCAGCTTCCATGCTAGACGGCCCCCTAAGGAGCTAATCATAATCCCCAACTGAGTAGCAAGAGGAAGGAGCAATAGTGTAAGGCTCAAGAGTGTGAAGAGAAGGGGAGGGTGTCAAGACTAGAATCCAAACGCCTAGAGAATTCAGCTTCCCACCATAATTTGACTGCTGCAATTGTGAATCTGGAGGGGGCGGAAAGACTCTGACATCTCCCAGTTAGGTAGGGGCTGCATTAAGAAAATGGGGAAGGGGGGTATCTTGGTCCCTGTGACATTACAGTTGGTGTTAGGATGCAGGTGGCCTGTCTCTTACAATAAGTTTCAGGTTTTAATTATTCAAATGCAGCAGGAAACCATTCCTTCCTTCCTACCCACCCACCCCCATTCCACTCACACAGTGGGCTCATTCAGCCCCTCCGCTTCCTGCCCATCCCACCCACCCTCACTCACTCACTCACTCCTGGGGACAACACAGCTCATTCAGTCCCTCGTCCCTGGGCCCCCAACCCCTAGCATTGATCTCACCCGTTTTTGAGTTGAGGGCACGCAGGAGAAAGGAAGAGATGGTAATCCTGGTGCCAGGGATCAGAGGGGGAGAAACAAAGCAGAGTTTCTCCCCGCCCCCCACATCATGACTGGGAAGGGGGTGGGGAACAGGGATGAGGGGGGCTCATGGGGCTCACTTAGACAAGCAATACCCCCAAGGCTGGGAAGGTGAGAAATAAAGGGGCCAACACACACTGCAGAGAGAGGCAGGCAAGGAAGGAGTGGTGGTGGGATCTGGCACAGAGATGCTGAGGATAAAAGCTTGACATAGTTAAACCTTGTAAGGAACAGGACAATTCCCTGAAAAGGAGGGAGGGAGGGAGAGACAGAGAGAAAGAGAAAATGCAGAGAGATAATAAAGGCAAGGCAGTCTTTTGGACTGCCAGCAGGCAGTATTAACCACCAGTAACCCCAGCAAACACAGACAGACACATGCACACACTGAGAGTGGGAAGGAGCAGATGTCACTATAAATTGTCAGAATAAATGACACTCTTAACTAAAAAGAGCAATGAACTGGGCAACCGGCAAACAGAATGTGTGACTATAGGAGCAGCAAGTCTCCTGATTCCCTTTCCTGGAAACACACAAACGCATGCACACACACCCCTCATTCCCATCTCTGGGAAAACAGTGGCCAGGTATGCATGATCAAAGCCTACCTTAAGTAAACCAGGTTAGGTACAATGTTTGTGCAACTGCACACACCCTCTGAGTGCCCACACTGCTTCTCCCTTTCATGCAAGCAGCGAAACAAATTAGGAAGCTACAGTGAGTCCACCATGATTTAAAGTAGGGCTCTAAATCCTGACTTGTTTGGAAGCCCTTAAACACATTTCCCAGTTTGCAAATCCTGGGAAGGCATGGTTAACTGCAGCTTTCTGGCTTGATTCTGCACTTGCACAAAGGGAGAAATGAAGAGAAAAACGGCTGCATTTGAGAGCACAAAGCCCGTGTATATCCTGGCTCATTAAGCTAGGATCTGATAGTCTAAAGCAGGCCAGAAACTTTAGAATGTGGTTCTTTGTCACTGTTAAAGCTCACTATGCCTGTGCCTTTGGGCTCTCCGCACTCCAGACCCAAAGGGAGAAAGTGTTCCCTGCCCACATGGAAATCTCTGCATGGCTCTAATTTCCAGAACTGAGCCTGTATCCTACTGGGTTACACAGAGTTAATGGGGCCACTACAAGACTACAAGACGCAGGTGGCGCTGTGGGTTATACCACAGAGCCTAGGACTTGCCGATCAGAAGGTCTGCGGTTCGAATCCCCGCGAGGGGGTGAGCTCCCGCTGCTCGGTCCCTGCTCCTGCCAACCTAGCAGTTTGAAAGCATGTCAAAGTGCAAGTAGATAAATAGATACCGCTCCGGCGGGAAGGTGTGATAGGAATTTTATGGTCTTAGAATATATGGTAATGTTCATTCTTGAGAATCCCATGGACTGCAAGAAGATCAAACCTATCCATTCTTAAGGAAATCAGCCCTGAGTGCTCACTGGAAGGTCAGATCGTGAAGCTGAGGCTCCAGTACTTTGGCCACCTCATGAGAAGAGAAGACTCCCTGGAGAAGACCCTGATGTTGGGAAAGATGGAGGGCACAAGGAGAAGGGGGCGACAGAGGACGAGATGGTTGGATAGTGTTTTCGAGGTTACCAGCATGAGTTTTACCAAACTGCGGGAGGCAGTGGAGGACAGAGGTGCCTGGCGTGCTCTGGTCCATGGGGTCACGAAGAGTTGGACACGACTAAACGACTAAACAACAACAACAATGTTCATAACAGCACGTACATAGATCAGCATAGGTAGGCCAACCTGGAACCATTTTGATTCCTAAACTGACCAAATGTTTTCTCTGCAAGGTCAAAATGGAAAAGCCTCCCCATTGTCTTTTCCTTCACAAATCCTGTCTTAAGGGTATGTCTGTGTTTGAATAAGGGTGTGAGCCTTATCATTACAAAAGACTGGCCAGGCTCCTCAGGCAATCCAATCGAGTAACCTGCAAGACAGGAAATAGACAAGGACAAGAGAAAAACAATATTGAAATTTCTGTTTTAAGACCACCTTTTCTGTGATGTATCTGAGGGGTGGTCTTAGGTTACACCCCTTCTGTGATGTATGTATGATGTTTCTGGGGGGTGGTCTTGATCTACAGGATGGGAATTTTCAAAAGTCTTTATAAGCCCTTGCACAGCATTTTTCTGGGTCCTCCTCCTTTCCTGCATGTGAGGGGAGCACCCTGTTGCAACAGATCAATAAAGATCAAGCTTACTAGCTGCTTTGCTTCTCAATATTCTCTGGTTGGCCTCTGTTATTTTCTCCTACCAATGGGAAACCCATGTAAGGACTCTATATGGGCTCTTGGATACCCCATAAGGGAAAAGGGCATATTTTTATTTACAACAAAGGTAAACAGTGTTTCCGTGCACTGCTCTGGTTCGCCAGAAGCGGCTTAGTCATGCTGGCCACATGACCCGGAAGCTGTACGCCGGCTCCCTCAGCCAATAAAGCGAGACGAGCGCCACCACCCCAGAGTCGGTAACGACTGGACCCTTTACCTTTACCTTTACAAGACTATTAAGGCTACAGTGACTGCGATTTTTTGTGCCTGGAGCATCAGAGGTGGGTGCGTGGAATGCACCTCTTTCCGAGGGATACTTCCTACACTCCATTTTGTGTGCTACAGAACTCAACTATGCTCATGGAAAGCTGCAAGAAGGATGTTCCCAGAATTGGACACTGCTGATCACAGACCATGCAGAATGACCTCAATCTTCCCAGAAGCAAATTCAGATAAGACAAGGAGTGAGGAGAAGAAGCTCCAGCAGCTGAACCAAGAGATAAGAGGCAAAAAGCCCATCATCTAAGGGGGAGGGGACTGCCATGCTCCCTTAAAAACCTATTCTCCTGACCCTGAACCCACATACTTAAACTATTAGCCTCCTCCTTTAATTTCAGCTGTTATTAAATAATAATACTGCACAGATAGTGCTGTGCTTTTGTTTTAAATTGTGTGGATTTTTTATAATCTTGCAAGTTGAGAAAGGCATCCAAGAAGTGTAATAAATAATTATTATTCACAGATCACTACCAAGCATTAGGGAGCTGCCCCTCTTGCTTTTCTTTCACCTCTTCTCTGTTCACCAGCACATCCTCCTTGAACCAAATAGGCAAACCTTTTTGGAACTAAAATATCTGCCTGATGAAGTTAAACAACAGATCAACAAAGCCAGACTGATACCCAGAGAGAACTTGCTGCAAGACAGACCCAAAAGAGAAAATAACAGAACACCACTAGTAATCACATTCAGCTCCCAAGTTAAAACAGTTCAATGCATCATCAGAGATTTACAACCTCTCCTGGACAACGACAGTTCTCTTTCCCAAGCTCTGGGAGGAAGACCTTTCATTGCCTACAGACAGCCACCCAATCTTAAACAACTCCTCACCCACAATAATACAGCAAGCAGACTTAACATGGACACTGGTACCAGAGCCTGTAATAAACCCAGATGCCAACTTTGCTGCCACATACACCCAGACAGCACCATCACTGGACCCAACAACATCAAACATATCATCTCTGGACTATTTAATTGCTCATCTTCTAACATTGTGTTTGCTATCAAATGCCAACAGTGCCCTTCAGCTCTCTATATTGGACAAACAGGCCAAACCCAATGCCAAAAGATAAATGGACATAAATCTGACATCAGGAATCACACAACAGAGAAACCAATAGGAGAACACTTCAATCTCCCAGGACATTCTATACAAGATCTCAAAGTAGCTGTCATATTACAAAAGAATTTCAGAAATAGACTGGAAAGAGAAGTTGTTGAATTACAACTTATTACCAAGCTTAAAACCATGGAGAGACCTGGTCTGAATAGAGACAATGGATTCTTATCACATTATACATGATAAAGCTATTTTTGGCCATCTCATCCCTTGCTTTTCCTGTAAGACCACACCTATCAACCAATCACTCATTTCCACCACCCTTCTGAGTAATACGCCTCCCCACCCTCTCACTATATATAAAGGTTGGGTGACTTCTGTTTCAGTGTATCTGAAGAAGTGTACATGCACATGAAAGCTCATACCAAGAACAAACTTAGTTGGCCTCTAAGGTGCTACTGGACAATTTTTATTTTTTTTTAAAAATATATTTCTTCTAAATCTTGTATAGTTCTTTATCTCCTCAACATCTGATGCGAGGGTGTTCCACAGGGAGGGTGCCACTACCAAGAAGGCCCTCTGCCTGGTTCCCTGTAACTTTGCTTCTCACACTGAGGGAACCAGCAGAAGACCCTCGGTGGAGAACCTCAGGCTGAACAATGTGGGTGGAGACACTCCTTCAGGTATACTAGGCCAAGGCCGTTTAGGGCTTTAAAGGTCAGCACCAACAATTTGAATTGGGCTTGGAAACACACTGGGAGCCAATGAAGACCCTTTAGGACTGGTGTTATATAGTCCCAGCAGCCACTCCCAGTCACCAGTCTAGCTGTATTAGTTGTCGTTTCCGAGTTACCTTCAAAGGTAGCCCCACGTAGAGTGCACTGAAGTAGTCCAAGTGGGAGATAACCATAGCATGCACCACACTGGCAAGACAGTCTGCGGGCAGGAAAGGTCTCAGTCAGCATATCAGGTGGAGCTGGTAGACAGCTGCCCTGGACACAGAATTGACCTGTGCCTCCATGGACAGCTGCGAGTCCAAAATAACTCCTAGGCTGCGTACCTGGTCCTTCAGGGGCACAGTGACACCATTCAGGACCAGGGAGTCCCCCACACCTGCCCACCCTGTCCCCCCAAAATAGTACTTCTGTCTTGTCAGGATTCAGCCTCAATCTGTTAGCTGCCATCCATCCTCCAACCGCCTCCAGACACTCACAGAGGACCTTCAATGGTTCTGATTTAAAGGACAGGTAGAACGGGGTATCATCCACGTACTGGTGAACACCTAGCCCATACCTTCTGCTGATCTCTCCTAGATGTTGAAAAGCATTGGAGAGAGGACAGAGCCCTGAGACACCCTACAAGTGAGAGCCCAGGGGTCTGAACACTCATCCCCCAACACCACTTTCTGGACACCACCAAGAAAGAAGGAGTGGAACCACTGCATCACAGTGCCCCCAGCTCCCAACTCCTCTAGACAGTCCAGAAGGATGTCATGGTCAATGGTGTCAAAGGCCACTGAGAAATCCAGCAGAACTAGGAAACAGCTTTCACCTTTGTCCGTAGCCCACCAGAGATCATCGACCAGCGCAACCAAGGCTGTTTCAGTCCCATGATGAGGCTTGAATTCCATTTAGAAGGGATCCAAATGGTCCACATCCTCCAGGCATGCCTGGAGTTGTTCAGCAACCACCACTCCATCACCTTGCCCAAGAATGGAAAATTTGAGACTGGGCGATAGTTGGCCATATTGGCTGGGTCCAAAGATGTTTTTTAAGAAGCAATTTAATAACCACTTCTTTAAGCAGGTCTGGAAAGACTCCTTTACATTCACCACCCCACGGAGCCCATCACCCAGCCCTTCCTGGTTCGCTTTTATGAGCAGGACAGGCAAGGATCAAGGACACAGGTGGTCGAATTCACTCGTCCAAGCAGCCTGTCCACATCCTCAGAGGTAACAGATTGGAACTGACCCCATGCAACTTGACTAGACAGGACTCTAGCACTCTCCTGCCCTGGTCCCGCCACCATGGTGGAGTCTACCTCTTTCCGAATCTGAGTGACTTGATATGCAAAAAACTTTCCAAAATCACTGCAGGAGTTCTTGGGGTCCTCACCAAGCCCTGACAGCAAAGGTGGTTCCATTAGATTGTGAACCACCTGAAAGAGTCTCCTGCTGCTGTTTTCTGCAGATACAATAGAGGCGGTGAAGAAGGTCCTCTTCACCATCGCTATCGCCACTTGGTAGGCTCAACGTTGAGCTCTAACCCATGTTTGGTTCGATTCAGAATGAATTTTCTGCCCCCGGCACTCTAGCCATCTCAGCAATTGTTTCATTATCCTCAGCTCCGGGGAAAACCACAGGGCCGTCCAAGCTCCATGCAATCAGAGAGGGCGCTTCAGAGCCAGACAGTCAATAGCCCTGTTTAATTCCGCATTCCAGTGGGCCACCAAGGAATCAGCTGAAAGGCCATGGTTTCTCCCAAAGAATCATGGGAACTGTAGTTTGTTAAAGGGTGCTAAAAGTTGTTAGAAGCCCACTATTCCATGGATTGGGGGCGGGGAGTTGATTTGATGTTATTTTGGGGGTTTTTATCTATTGCTGAAAAATGGAAAGTGATAAATACATTTTTTTTAAAAAAAGTTAGTGGGTGCAGACAACTCAGTATCAAAAACTTGAGTAGCTTGGTGTGTGATATGACTTCTCCCTCCTAGCAGACACACAGCAGTGTCATGTCCTTTGCCATTCATATGTTCTGCTAGGGACAACCATTACTAACACTTGGTGAGCAGCAAGTTACAAGGACAAAATTAACCAAGTATTAAAGTGCAGCCAGGGTGTGTGCCCAGACTTCAGCTGCCAGCATTGCTGGCTGCATATTTTGGAATAAACTGGAAATGTGGAAAGAAGGATCCACAATAGTACAAAGCTATGCAATGATATCCTATATCATCTCCATTTAACACAGAAAGCTGGTACTTCCCTGGTCAGCAATTTGGACTAAGGGAACATTCCACACAGGGAGAAGGAAAACCTTATATGGTGTGCAGGACTCAAACAAACATGCCAAACAATGGCAAATCATCTATGGACATACCTAAAAGTCAACTGACATGATCACATTTTGGGGCTTCTATACCATCCACACTATTTTTGTCATTCTGGATTAAATAGCTTTGTACCAATACAAATGTCCAAGTGCCCCACCATCAATGAGGACCCTTATAGGAAATATTTGAATGCATGTTTACCTATCAATATGTGTTGACTATTCACATGCATGGACAAAGGGAGCCACAAGACTTTTCTGAAGCATAGCAGCCAGCCCTTTCCTGGAAATTACTTGTTTTTAAAGTCTGGAAGAATCACCCACTCAAAAAGCCATAGACTATGGAGAACACAAAAGCAAAACCACCTTTTCTGCACAACTGCAAATTAAGTTTTTGTGGGCATGGTAAATCAGGATATGAGCATACAGTAGAGCACTTAGAAGACTCCACCATGCTCTCAGCTTATTTGGGCTGCAAAATAATAATAATAAAGGAGACAGGGTATAAACCTATCTAAAACAAACAGTCAAAACCATTTTTTGCCTTTGTGGGCTATTCCTAGATGGAGCACTGTGCAGTCCATAAATAATGGACATTGCTGCAAGAAAGGAGGTCAGTTTTTTAAAGGAAATAAGCACTTCTGTGCTAGAAAAGTGAGACCTGAAGAAGTATAAAAAGCTTTTTTAAGAAAATCTTCAAATTGCAAGGCACTGCTAAAAGCAGGCAGAGAGGAACGGTCTTTCTATAATTTTGTTGCCCCAAAATATTCATGCCGTGGGAAATTGCAGTCAAACAAAACAAGAAAACATAGGGCTAATTACCGTATTTTTCCATGTATAAGACACCCCAATGTATAAAACGTCCCCTATTTGGGGGGACTCCAAATTAAGAACACACCCCTCAGCACTACCCGTGTGTAAGAAGAGGCCCAATTTTAAACCTAATTTTTTGGTTAAAACACCTAGTCTTATACACAGAAAAATACGGTAATGCATGAAGGGGTTAAGACCACAGTTCTATTGCTAGACTCAGTTAGGTCACACCCCCTCACCTTTGGTGAGGAAGTGAAGCTTCTTTCCTTTCCTTTCCTCACACTATCTTTGTGCCATGTAATCGACCAGGAAGGACATGTCTGAACTTGCTAAGACTCGTGTTTGCAGCTAATTATCTGTATTTTGTACCCAAGAGCATTCTACCTGTGTTCTCCTTGCTGCAGCATGGAATAATGCATGAATCTGACATTTGGGTTTTGTTAGTAAAGCTTTTAAACGAGTGTGGTTTGCTCATTGACAGAGCGGTAGAGAGGGGCAAGTGCTGTAAGCAGATTAAACAGGATATGAAAAGGGGTCTAACAACCTATATTCCCATGCTATGCTGCTGTTTAACTCTATGCTGGAGATTCTCCTCCGATGGAGTGTGTGCAAAGTCCCGTGTTTTGAATCCAGGCATCCAGCTGGTTCTTTTATTAATTAACCCACACAAGGGCCACAGATCTTATTTTCCTCCCACACATGCAAGTACTCCTTTCTTTTACCATTACAGGAGGAGAGTGCAGAGTCTCCAATACATTTTACACGTTGTTTTTTAAAAACACACAGAGAAAATTCATTAGTCAGTGCAACATGTGGTAGATGGTGATGGGAAATGCACTTTCCCAGTGATAAAATACAGTCTTTTGGAGAACTAGAAAAGTCCAGATCCCACCTTTATTCCATGGAATTCAAGGTGGTAGACATATAAATGCAGCACCCCAAGAACAGGAGGACTTTCATAAAGGAAAGTGCCAAAATCACCCAATAAGCTGTACAGAGATCTGTAGTATAACAGCTAAGAGAATGAACTATGAATCAGAAGTCCTAGGTTTGAATCTCACCTCTACAATGAACTTAGGTCATTGCTTTTTGAAAATAGGCCTTGGGCCACTTTCAGGTGGGCCTCAGAGCCACAGACTGCTTAGTGCCTCCTCATTTGCCTGTCCAGCCCCCTAACTATGCCATAGCCTTTCAGTTGGACCAATATCAGCACAAGCAACTCCTTTTGCAAGATGAGTAATGGTGACAAAGCAAGAGAGAAGTTCAGGAAGAGTTGGAGGAAAGGAAGTTCTTCCTCTGAAGGAAAAGGGACAGGGGAGGTGTTAAAGGGAAATGAGATAAAAGGTTAATATTTTTTATCAGTGGTAAAAGAAAATAATAAACGAACGAACTGAACATAGAAAGGAAGTGGGTAGAAAGGAAGTTTAAAGGAGGAAGAAGTGAATGTAAAAAGACAATAGAGGGAGGGAGGAAAGCAACAACTGGTTGGGGGCAGGGGTGTAAGTTGAGTAAGGAAGGAGAATGGATGATGAAATTACTGGAGATGGGGGTAAAAACCTCTGAAAGGCAGGCAGCGTGAGAAGGGGGGAAATATAAAAGAAAAAGCTTTCTTCACTTTGTCTCTGGATCAACCAAATCTGCCTTAAATGGGGAGGCTGCCAAAATACCTCCAGAGCAAATGTCTGTACTTCACTTGAGGAAAGCTGAAAAACCAAACTCCATATCACAAAGAAAATGCTGCAAGGAATGCAGCATTTTCCAAATTTAAGTTAGATATGATGTCAGTAATTGCCAACTAATGCCAAATTCTGCCTATTTGCCACCATTTTGTGCCTGCCCCTGGCCCTACACTTGGACAGCCAGTGTGGTGTAATGGTTAGGGTGCTGGTCTGGAACCTAGGAGACCAGAGTTCGAATCCCCACTCAGCCATGAAGCTCAGTGTGTGAGCTTAACCTACCTCACAGAGTTGTTGTGAGAGTAAAATGGGGAGGAAAATAATAATGCAGCCCCCATTGAGCTCCTTGGAGGAAAAGGTGGTATATAAATGTAATAAAAATAATAATGCACCACTATTTTTTGACTGGTGGGCCTCAGCAATTTTCAGCCACTGCAAGTATGTCCTAGGGGTAGAATATGTGAAATACCCTGCACTAGGTAGCCTTAAGTACTTACCGTATTTTTTGCACCATAACACTCACTTTTTTCCTCCTAGAAAGTAAGGGGAAATGTCTGTGTGTGTTATGGAGGAAATGCCTACGGGTGGCATGCCTACGGATTTTCCTCCTCTAAAAACTACGTGCGTGTTATGGTCGGGTGCGTGTTATAGAGCGAAAAATACGGTAATTTATCTCATTCTCTGCCCGCCTGCTAAATCAGTAATAATACTGACTTAGCTTAAAAGCTTATAGTAAGAATTACAGAAAGATAAAATAAATGAAATATTTTGAACATCTAAAGTGCTATAAAAATTTCGTCTGCAACGAAATTATGGAGGGGAAGAGGGCACCAGAGTCGTGGAAAGAAGCATATATTACACTTGTACCAAAAACAGAGATTGAAAAGACACAACTTAAGAACTACCGCCCTATATCATTACTTAATGTGGATTACAAAATTTTTGCAGATATTTTGGCGAAGAGATTTTAAAAGTGCTGTTGGAAGAGATTCATAAAGACCAAGCGGGCTTTCTCCCAGGAAGACATTTGTCTGATAATTTGAGGAATATAATTGATATTTTGGAAAAACTAGAAGTGAATATAAACACTAAAGCAGTGTTGATATTTGTAGACGCGGAGAAAGCCTTTGACAATATTTCTTGGAATTTTATGAAGAAGAATCTTCAGGGTATGGGGGTAGGCCAAGGTTTTGAGAATGGTATAAGTGCAATTTATTCAGAACAAAAGGCTAAACTAATTGTAAATAACGTTGTGACGGAAGAACTGAAAATTGAAAAAGGGACACGACAAGGTTGCCCAATTTCCCCACTTCTTTTTATTTCGGTCCTGGAGGTTCTGCTGAATATGATTAGAAGGGACCAGATGGTTAAAGGTATACAGGTCGGAATTAAACACTATAAATTGAGAGCATTTGCAGATGACTTAGTATTGACGTTACAGGAGCCAGAATCTAGTACAAAAAGGGTTTTAGAACTGATTCAAGAATTTGGTCAAGTGGCAGGATTTAAATTGAACAAGTCAAAAACCAAGGTTTTAGAGAAAAATTTAACACCGTTTGAAAGAGAGAGGTTTCAGAATGAGACAGGTTTAACAGTGGTTAAGAAAGTTAAATACTTGGGGATTAACATGACAGCAAAAAATGGGAATTTATTTAAAGATAACTATGAAAAATGTTGGTCAGAAGTGAAAAAAGATTTAGAAATTTGGTCAAATTTGAAGCTTTCACTGCTAGGCCGAATTGCTGCGATAAAGATGAATGTATTGCCCAGAATGTTGTTTTTGTTTCAAACTTTGCAGATCGTGGACAAAATGGACTGTTTCAAGAGGTGGCAGAAAGATATTTCTAAATTTGTCTGGCAGGGCAAGAAACCCAGAATAAAATTTAAAATATTAACGGATGCAAAGGAAAGAGGTGGATTTGCCCTGCCAGACCTTAAACTGTACTATGAATCAGCAGCCTTTTGCTGGTTGAAAGAATGGCTACTTCTTGAAAACACTGACATTTTGGATCTAGAAGGTTTTAATAATGTATTTGGATGGCATGCATATTTATGGTATGATAAGGTCAAAGCACATAAAGCATTTAAAAACCACATTGTCAGGAAAGCGCTGTTTAATGTTTGGATAAGATATAAGGATTTGCTAGAAAATAAAACCCCAAGGTGGCTGTCACCAATGGAAGCGAAAGCCTTGAAAAAGGTCAATACGGAGGTCAAATGGCCGAAATATTGGGAAATTTTGGAACAAGACGGAGATAGACTGAAATTGCAGAGTTTTGAAAAACTAAAAAACAAAGTGCGAGACTGGCTTCATTATTATCAAATAATGGAGGTATTTAAATTGGACAGGAAAATTGGCTTCCAGGTGGAAAGATCCAAATTAGAAACAGAATTGTTAGAACCCAATACTAAGAACTTGTCAAGAATGTATAACTTGCTGCTGAAATGGAATACTCAAGATGAAACGGTAAAATCGGCTATGATTAAATGGGCACAGGACGTTGGGCATAACATTATGTTTGCTGACTGGGAACAGTTATGGACCACAGGTATGAAATTTACGGCATGTAATGCCTTAAGAGAGAATATTATGAAAATGATATACAGGTGGTACATAACCCCAGTCAAGCTCGCGAAAATCTATCACTTGCCCGATAACAAATGTTGGAAATGTAAGGAAACTGAAGGTACATTTTTTCACCTTTGGTGGACGTGCCCAAAGATTAAGGCTTTCTGGGAAATGATATATAATGAATTAAAAAAGGTATTTAAGTATACCTTCCCTAAGAAACCAGAGGCCTTTCTCCTGGGCATAGTAGGCCAAATGGTGTTAAAAAAGGATAGAACTTTCTTTATGTATGCAAGAACAGCAGCAAGAATACTCATCGCAAAGTATTGGAAGACACAAGAACTTCCCACGCTGGAGGAATGGCAGATGAAACTTATGGACTATATGGAATTGGCGGAAATGACTGGTAGAATCCGTGACCAGGGAGAAGAGTCGATGGAGGAAGACTGGAAGAAATTAAAGGACTATCTTCAGAAACACTGCAAAATTAAGGAATGTTAGAGTGATGTTGGACTGAAAACAAGTGGTTTCCAGCTGTACAGGTTAAAGTTAAGGATAGATTAAGATTAAAGATCAAGATTAAAGATGTTTAAAGAAATGGAAATTTGATAATAAAAGGGAAAAATTTAAAGCTATATGACATTAAGATCAAGGATTAGGTTCAAAAAAGTTGAAGTTATATTTTTTAACGTTTTATTAAATTAAAGATTGGGATTAAAAAAGTGGAAAAGAAACTGCTGGACAAATAATGTGGATTGGAATACAAAAGAGGGAGGTATGAGGAAGTCCAGAAAATAAGTAATTTAAAATTGGAAATGGAAAAGAGAGTTTGTTTTTAATTGTTATGTTTTGTGTTTTTATTGTTAAGTTTTGTATTGTTTTTTGTGTGTGTTGTTTTTCTTTTTTGTTTGTTTTAAACTTTAATAAAAAATTATTAAAAAAAAAAAGTGCTATAAAAATTAAAAATAAAAGGTTCTGCAGAAGCCCAAGATATACACTGTTATCAAACAAGCCCTCATTCAGCTACCTCTGGAACAGCAATAGCCATCATTGCTTTTCTTTACTCAAGCCCAGTGCTTTTTTTCTAGAAAAATACAGTAGGTGCTGGTACTCACCATGAAGTTGTTACAGTAAGTGCCACACTTTTTAACAACAACAAAAAGAGGTGGTTACTGTGTACCCTTGCATACCCCCTGAGAAAAGCACTGCTCAAGCCCATTTCCTTTCAAAGGAAACTATTTGTACCGAAAGACTTCCTGAATAGGAAGAACACAGCCCCAAGCTTTCCTGTGGGATGTCATAAAAAAGGAGGGCAGCAGTCTGAATGAGGCAGAAAGAAGAGGGCTCAGAGAACCAGGGATTGGCTCTATTGTACCATGGCCCTCCATAGCTTTTTCATCCAAGGCTGAGTCTTCTCAAAAAGCAAGTTTTAAGCCTTGCAGAATATCTTCGGGAGAAGAAAAGGCAAAGGAGTAAACCCTTAGGTTACTTGGCATCTTGTATGCCTCCTTCCAGCAACTCCTGCAGCCAGGTTGGTGTCAAACATATTGCTCTGCTTCCTTTGGACCACATCAGTGAGGCCGAGAGGGGGGTCTTCTTGTCTGGGCAGCCCAGGACCTCCCATACTTACTGCCCAGGCTTGTGCCCCTGGGAGGTCACTTCAGTGATGCCAACACAGTGGTTCAACTTCACCCGTGGAGGCACACCTCTATGTCACTTGAGATAGGTGGATGCCGACAACAAAGCTCTCCCCCAGCCCACAGAGCCCTGAAGACCCTTAACCAATTTCTGACTGGAACCATCACAGGAAACAGCCCATGAATATGCACATTTGTTCTGAACATAGGCCCACTATGGATGCGCTTACCACATCTGGATACGCAGTTAGGTGTTGCACATGGGAGGCATGGATTAAAGTCCCACCTATATCAGGGTTTAACTGTGTGGCCTCGGGCCAGTCACAAGTCCCCAGTCACCTACCTCCACAGGGCTGCTGTGAGGGCGAACATTATATTGATCGAATGTTATACTGGTTTCATTCAGCATTATTAAAAGATTGCTTACATACAAGTATTTATGTCCACAGGCCAGCAGCTACATGGAACCACTAATAGGTCACATAATGTGGCATATTCCCATCACACGACCCCTGCAGTATAACAAAGAGACCGCAAATTACACCTACCTGTGAGCCTCTAAAGTCCACGGGAACCCGAACAGTGGCCAGATTACCTTGAGATTGCATTTGGGCCAAAGCCCATTTTTCTGTTCCCTTTTCGATACTCACCCTTTGCTCCCCCAAGCCCATTACCTGATAGTTTTCTTGGCAGCCTTGCCCGGGTTGGGAGGCTTGTAGGGCAGGACGCGGGGCTCCCAGCTCTGCTCAGGCTCTGTGCCCATCCCCGCAGGGACGGAGTTGGGCTTGCGGGCAGCGTTGCCCTGCCCGCCTTGGTGCTGCTGCTGCTCCATGCCCCCATCTCGCAGGCTGCCCTGGCTGGGGCCGCAGGGCTCCTCCACCCAGGTGACGCTGAGCAGGCTGAGGGTGAAGCCCAGGGACACCCCGACCACCACAGGCCCCACAGGGCGCAGGAGGGACAGCACCAGGGAGAAGCGCATGGCACCAGTGCGCTGGGGAGAGGCTGGGGCACCTGGGCACAAGCAGGGCAGCGTGGCAAGGGGAGGCTGTCTCGAGTTGAAGGGGTCACCGGGAGGGGCGCCTCGGTGGCCAAACAGGGGAAGGGGCTCAAGGGCGTGCCTTTAAACCTCCTGAGGGGAAGGGGGGAAGCTGTGGGGAGTCCTGAGGCCAAGGAGCCCGGGGGCTCTTGCCCACGAAGGTCACCAGGGGGCCTCTCCGGCAGGCCCAGGGGTCATGAGGGTAACTGGTTCCTGTGAGGAAGGGCCGCTCCGACGAGGCGCCGGAGCAAAGGGGGGGGAGCGAACCGGGTCCCGGCTTCGGGTCCTGGGAAGGGGGAGGGGCCGCCGCTGCCAAGCAACGGAGGGGGCGGGGCGGGCCGGCCCAATTCTGGAACACTTTCGGGATCCGGAGCCTTATTGGTCTAGAGCCGCCCCATCCCGACCCGCGAGGGAGCAGAAGGGCGGAAGGCGCGAGGGGCGGTGGGCAGGGGAGGCGCCGCTCCTGGGTTGTCTCGCAGGAGATCCGCCGCCGGCGCCGTCCGACGTGTCACCCCCGCGCAATCCCCGCCCCCTCCGCTCGACGTCACTGGGCCGGCCGCACCCCCAGCCAATGCCCGCCCGAAGATGCGCGCTCGTCAAAGCCCGCCTTAGGTTTTCTGGACCGTTGATTGAAAGAAGGTGCGGCGAGAGCGGGCGGGGGGTCCGCGGGCCCAGCTGTCCCGCGTGAGCCAGGCAAACTTCCGCTGCTGCTGCTGCTGCTTGTGATGATGCTGCAGGGAGGGAACTGGAGCGCAACCCGTTCTCATGCTGCGAGAGGCGGAGGCCTCGTGGGGCTCCCAGACCTCGGAGGGGTGCAATTTTATGTAGTTTACTTTTTGTTATACCTTGGGAATTTCTAACGATATTTTGCTTTTGTTTTGTGCTTTGAACGCCATTTCTCAGAGCTCAAACTTACAAAAATTGCATACGCTCAACAGTGTTTGCAAAAGAGACCTGTTGGCTTGGCAACCGTGTCAACTGAGCATGCCCAAGCATCACTTGACCTGAAGGATTTGGTGGCAAAATTTGCAACGGAGTGAGATTTTGATGTGCCTGAGACTGAAGCTTTTAAGAGACTTAAAATTTAACATCACTCTTCACAAGATTGTTCAAAATGATTTGTGTGCCAAAACATTTTCTTCTGGTATTTGAGAAAAAATGATGAAACATTGTTGTATTATTATTGCAATTTAAAATAAATTTAACAGTTTCAAGTTTTGTGTTTTTCATTTTTTCTACATTATCCATTTTTGAAGGTGCAAAATAGCACAGCATAGCACACAAAATCAGGCCCCATGCAAGCAGAAAACTACTGGAGTAGGGAGGCACCTTTTGTGCTAGTTACAGGGGTTGCAGCCTACTGTTGTTGTTTAGTCGTGTCCAGCTCTTTGTGACCCCATAGACCAGAGCATGCCAGGCACTCCTGTTTTCCACTGCCTCCCGCAGTTTGGTCAAACTCATGCTGGTAGCTTCGAGAACACTGTTCAACCATCTCATCCTCTGTCGTCCCCTTCTCCTTGTGCCCTCCATCTTTCCCAATATCAGGGTCTTTTCCAGGGAGTCTTCTCTTCTCATGAGGTGGCCAAAGTATTGGAGCCTCAGCTTCACGATCTGTCCTTCCAGTAAGCACTCAGGGCTGATTTCCTTAAGAATGGATAGGTTTGATCTTCTTGCAGTCCATGGGACTCTCAAGAGTCTCCTCCAGCACCACAATTCAAAAGCATCAATACTTCGGCGATGAGCCTTCTTTGTGGTCCAGCTCTCACTTCCATACATCACTACTGGGAAAACCATAGCTTTAACTATACGGACCTTTGTTGGCAATGTGATGGCTCTGTTTTTTAAGACGCTGTCTAGGTTTGTCATTGCTTTTCTCCCAAGAAGCGGGCGTCTTTTAATTTCATGACTGCTGTCACCATCTACAGTGATCATGGAACCCAAGAAAGTAAAAATTCTCACTGCCTCCATTTCTTCCCCTTCTATTTGCCAGGAGGTGATGGAGCTTCAGACCATATTTTGCGCTCTCATCTTTCACCCTCATTAAAAGGTTCTTTAATTCCTCCTCACTTTCTGCCATCAAGGTTGTGTCATCTGCATATCTGAGGTTGTTGATATTTCTTCCAACAATCTGAATTCTGGCTTGGGATTCATCCAGTCCAGCCTTTCGCATGATGAATTCTGCATATAAGTTAAATAAGCAGGGAGACAATATACAGCCTTGTCATACTCCTTTCCCAATTTTGAACCAATCAGTTGTTCCATATCCAGTTCTAACTGTAGCTTCTTGTCCCACTGTGATGAGATGATGAGCTGCTTGTGAGTAAAATCGTATCCCCTCAGAGTTTGTTCAAGTCCACAAACCTCTGTCTGTGACGGAGCCCCTCAGACATGGCTCCTCTAGTCACTAGCAGATTCCGACAGTGGTTGCCTTCGTAATCGCTTCCAACATAAAAGCTCCTTAACGGAAACACGTCTTCTGGACTCTCTGCGTGACAGTTTCCGGCGAGGAGTGGGTGTTCTTACAGGAGGTCCTGAAACCTCCCCACTGTTTTCGCTGGAAGTGTCTCTGAGCCATCCCTCCAGCTCAGCTCCTCTCCCCTGCTGGTTCCCTCTTCAGCTGCTGCGTCTCTCCCAACCTGTGTGAGCCCTTTCACCTCCCTGCTGGTTCCCTCTTCAGCTGCTGCGTCTCTCCCAACCTGTGTGAGCCCTTTCACCTCCCTGCTGGTTCCCTCTTCAGCTGCTGCGTCTCTCCCAACCTGTGTGAGCCCTTTCACCTCCCTTCCGTCCGATGGCAGTTCCCTGACATCCACATAGAGATTTCTCAGGAGACAGATGAATTGATCAGGCCTACTAGCCTACTAGTTACATTCTACAGACAGGAGTTTATTTGTATATGGGGCAGGATTCATATGCAATCTAATATATTTTCATTTCAGGGTCAGCCCAATAGGTGAAAGGCAAAATGGTGTCCGCTGCCCACACGGAAGCATGCAAGCCTGGCAGCAGAATCTTACTTCAACAACTAGGGATGAGGTCCTGTGCTGTACCTAAGCCAGTTTAGAGAGGACAGGAGGGGAAGTACTGAAGCATCTGTCATCCAACAAAGGGAAATAGATGGGAGACCTGAGAGGAACAGCCAGGGAGCTGCCATTGTTGCCCCCTGCCCAGCCCCAGCTGTTCACCTTAGTTTGCCTAATCTTAGGGCTGGCTTTGTTTACATCATATCACAACAGGTCTTTACTACCATATTCTGCTGTATGTATAGATCAGACTTTGTACGTGTTGGGGAAGCCATTTCACATACTGTGGGCTCCTCCAGACAACCTGTTTATTTAGCATTTATCCTGATTTGCTTGTAGAGTTTTTATACCTCTTCTTGTTAGCCATTACCCTCTTTTCAGTGCATTTCCATGTCACCTTTCAAACTGCAAAAAGTCTAATTCTTTTTTAAAGTGGATTTGTTGCACTAGGGCAGGGGTCTGCAACCCGCGGCTTCGGAGCCGCATGTGGCTCTTTTACACCTTTGCCGCGGCTCCGGGGCGGATACTAGCGAGGGGAGGAGGCGCATTGTGCGCACCAACATTCCCCACTGTGGCGGGCGCTGTACTGGCTGTGATGTCGCATGGGGGCAGTGCGTGCATTAGTCACGCACCGTCCCAACGTCACCTTCCCACCCGCTGTCAGATCGGAGGGCAGCGGCGCACATGCTTTAAATGTCACAATGGTTTTGCGGCTCCCAGTGTTTTTTTCTTCGGAAACGGGTCCAAGTGGCTCTTTTTGTCTTAAAGGTTGCAGACCCCTGCACTAGGGCAATGGAGCCCATAGGTGGGGGGTGGGGTGGAGGGCAGCTGCCTCCCTAAAGCAAGTAAATAAATAAAAATACTTAACTGACCAATTGCATGGCAGATAACTCAGTTCTGCCCCCCACCAACATAAAGCCTGCGCCCCTAAAATAAATCCTGGCTAAGCCCATGATGGACCAGCAAATCTAAAGTTCAAGCATACACTTGTATCCCACCCACAAAATGGTGACAAGAGTCATCATTTGTGGCAGACTTTGGGGCATGAAAAGTTACAGGATTTTAGCAGGAAACTACATAATGCCCAAAACATTTTGCAGGCACAAATTGTTATGAAAGCATGATTGTGTATAATCGCCACCGACGATCACGAGCATAAATAATGATAAATGCTTAATAAAAATGATGCCTGAAGGGGCCCGTCATTTAAGAAACAACTTCCAAGGAAGGCGATCCCACAGCTTGTACTCGTCAGGAAACTAATTTCATTAGCCTAAATCTGATGCACTTAATTTGACTCACTTGCAGCTTGTTTTGAAAATGAACTCAGCTGCAGAAGAAAATAATATGGCCTGTGGGTAAAATGATTTTGTTGAGCCAAGGTAGATAGGATCAAGCTATCTAGCATTCCCATTTTAGTGTTTTTCTTACCAGTCCACAGTGCCTTATTTTTGGCTTTGTAAAATTGTTATCATGGTCATTACAATGCTCAAAATTATTCATGCATTAATCCATTAATTACTTTTGATTAAAAACTAATTCTTCACCTCATTTACAGCTGTTCCTGTTGTATCACCTGAAAGTTAGCTGCAAAGTCTCTTTATTTATTTTATCTAGTCATTAATGAATATATTCAGTGTTGTGACATCTAGGGCACTCTTCTCAGCTCCAATTTTGAACTTGATTTATTGTTGCATTTATGTCTAAACCCTACTTAAAAGTAATTTGGCTTTTCATTACAGAGCCTCATAGATCAGCTAAAACCATGTAACATGCACACACACAATATATATCTACAGTATTACTTTTACATTTTTCGTATAAAACCCTAGTATCAGAACATGTGATCCAAGTACCTTCCACATCATTTTTCAGAAGGGTTGCAAAGTTGCAGAACTTTAGGCAGATCCACACCATCCACTTAGAGCAGAGCTTTCCAAGCATTTCATGCTGGTGACACACTTTTTAGACATGCATCATTTCGCGACACAGTAATTCAGTTTTGCTAGCAAACCAGAGGTTAAACTAACCCCTTTCCTGCCCCCAGATGAGTGCACCACCACTGCAGCCAACACACTAACGTGTCATGACACACACTTTGGAAAGCTCTAATTTAGAGCATATCCGACATTTAAATCGCATGGCACCCCCCAAAGAAGCCAGGGAGCTGTAGTTTCCCTCACAAAGTTACAATTCCCAGCATCCTTTACAAACTACAGTTCCCAGGATTCTTGGGGGGGAAATCATGCCCTTTAAATAGGTGTTGGATATGCTTTAAATGTTCAACAAAGAAACACAAAACTAGAACTGCCAGATGGAAAAGGGCACAGGGCTACTGCAGCTTTAACAGCCACGCAGAATAAAATATGCTATCAAGTGTACATTGCATGGCAAGCAACACCTGCTGAAATTCCCTTTTCCACACAAGGTGCAGGAGCCCTGTTATTTCCAGCTGGCCAGACTACATAAAAAACCTTATTTTTATTCCCCTCCTACATCATCTTTACAGTGCCACGCCTAGAATTGGCATTAGCCTCAAGCCACTAGCATTTCATGTACCAGATCTTTAATGAATCAGACTGCAATCTTAAACACACTTACTAGGGAGTAAGTTCCATTAGATGTAGTGGGACTTACTTCTGAGTAAACATGCATAGGATTGCACTATCACACACTGACACACAAAGGCTATCTATACCCAAGGAACACCCCCCCCAAAAAAACCCTCTCTTTTACACAAACACACCTTCAAGCACATTATATTAAAGTTTAATTAGAATCCAAAATCAATTATGAGTCTGATATTCATTCAGTCTTATTATTTTTCTCAGACTCACAAAACTGATTTAATGTGAAAAGCCTGGTGTTTTGCTTTAGAACTCAAACTCAGCCTTGCATTTGAGCTGTTGTGTGGTAGGCACAGGCAACAAGTAACTGAAAGCAGGCAAAGATTTGGGCTGGTGGAGAAGGGGTACCCCATCCCTTCTCTAATGCCAGCAGAGAAACCAAGTGGGCTGCTGCATGGGGATAGAAGTGCCCCCCCATCTTTGTGAGCAGCATACAAATACAGCAGGCTGCTGGAGAAGGGACCAAGCTCATTGTCCTTCATCTGCCAACCTTCACTAGCAAGTAAACAGACCACCCTTTGCAGACTAGTAACTTTTATGGGCTTATTTTCAGGGTGGTTGTAATGATGTATACTTTCAGCTATGGTGGGCAAAGATGGCATTCTGCATTTATTCCTTTGCTATTAATTGGCTCTGTCTCAGCCCATTTACCCTTGATCCTCCCCCCCAAAAAACAAATTCCTTTGATATATGTACACTTGGTGCTTACTGCACTTGGATTTGTGCCATATACTTCAAAGAGGTAGGCTGGTCTGAGCTGAAACTCAGTAGGCCTTGTGCTTTAAGGCAGCAGGAATATGGCTAAGAAAGGTTTGGTGCATCAGCTGCTTATCCCCATCCAGATAAGTGTTAAGCTGGTGACAGGCTAAGAACACTGCTTTACCGGCCAGAGCGACTGGGATTAGGGTTCTGATGCCCAGACAATAAAAAATAAATTTTAAAAATGGTCTGATGTGCTGACAATACACGGGTGACATCACCAAGTCTTATACAACCATATAACCTTTAGAGGTGGATATGCATAAATATGCATTCCTGCTTGACTATATTACTAAGACCTTTAAATAAAGGTTTCTCTAGGCTACAGGCCAGAGCTAATCACCTGGCACAGCAGAGGAGGATCTAAACTGTCTTAGCTGCTAAAGGCTGAGAGTGGGAAGGGAGGAGATGGCAGTAGGAGCAGCAGTGCCTCATCATCATTCCCACACATCCTCCTCCTCCTTCTCATGACACAGGGAGCTCAGCAGATGGTAAGTGGGATTCAGCCTTGAGCAGTTTTGATGACGTGCCTAAGCCAGTGGAATGACTGACCTCTGGGGTTCAGGGATATCTGGCTTCCCTGCCAAGCTCATATCCTTCCTGTAATCCAAACGCAACTGATTTGGCTACTGTCCTACGTGTGAGGGGCAGCAAATAAAAATCCAGCCCAATGGTTGTGGACACGGAGCAGCTGCAGTTCCTGTACCACATGGCAATGAGAGCTAGAGAGTTCTGTGCATATGGTCAGGCCACATTAACAGTTTAAGCCACGGGTCCCCAGATGATGTTGGACTACAACTCCCATCATTCCTAGTTACAAGACTAGTGGTCAGGATGATGGGAGTTGTAGTCCAATAGCATATATAGATAATGTAATAGATATTTGCAGCAGCAACCTGTACTTTGGAACTCCCTGCCTATCAACATTAAGGAAGTGCCATCACTGCTCCTTTGGACAGCTGCTGAAAACTTTTCTGTTTCAGCAGAGCTATCCAGACACATCATTTGGTTATAGCTGTTCTTAAATTTGCTTCAAATGTTTTATTGCGTTTTATTATTTTCTATATGTTTTTAACCGTTTTAAAATGTATTCAGTTGTATTGTTATTACTGAAGTGTTTGCTGCCCTGGGCTCCTTTGGGACGAATTCCAGAATACAAATTTAACAAATAACAGAAAGAACAGCCAAGTCAACCACATGGTGGTAGGAATGTAGGCCCACAGACAAAAGTGGATGGAGCAATGGAAGTGATTCTTACCTTTCTTCAGCAGGGTACATTCCAAAAAAAAACAAATGTGAGATGTTTCTACACAACCCGACCCTCATCTTTTCCTCTTCCAAACAAGCAAGAGAGTGTAGAACCACACACAAAGAGGCATTATCAGACAGAGTTCAACTACCCATTCAAACCAATAATGCTGGAGGGGGGCACAGAGCAGGGCTGATGAGGGGGTGTGGCCTTAGGAGAGCCTCAGTCCTCAGGCAAGTCAAGGCAGAGACTCCAAGGTGGTGGGGCTGCATTCACCCCAGAGACTGGGGTGTCTCAGCACATGAAACATTGTTTACATGGTGTGTCTCTGCTAGTAGAAAGCTTTTCCTAGACAAAACAACTAAAACAAAACAATTCTTTTTTTTCTAAATGGAGTGTTTTTGATTTACATTACAGCAGGGGTGGGAAATGCACTGCACTGGAGCGGGGAGCGATGCAAACAATACAGTTGCAATCCAGCCAGAGGTAGACCGTCGAAGCCGCTGGAGCAATGCAGTTGGGGGCGGGGCAGAAGTGGACAGTCTCACAAGGTGCCATATGGCGAAGGAGCCAGCGTAGGCTGTCCGGCAAGCGGGATTGCACAGTGGTGGTGCACAACATAGTAAGGATCGCAGGTAGTGCGGAGCGCGGGGTAGGGGAGGAAACCAAAATCGGAACGCGAGGCGGGGAGCGGGGGAGGGGTAGAGAGATCCACCAAGGCGGCGATTGATGCAGTGCCATGACAATAGGGAAGCGCCAAGGGCCCGCCGACGCGACGCACTGGAAGCGGGGGGGGGGGGGATGAATGCCTGACAAGTGCTCCTTGAGCGGATAGGATCCCGTGGAGGAGGCTCTGCGGGTGTGCGTGCCTGTGTGACACACGCTCGCCTGTGCGGAGCCCCCGCTACCACCGCCGCGCGCTCCAGGCCCTAAGCGGCGCGGGGGATGAGGAGGGTTGGGGGCGGACGGCAAGGGAGGAGCTGGAAGGGGAACGGAAGGAAGAAGCAGCGGCGGCGGCAGCAGCAGCCTATTTGTTGTGTCCGTGGCGCGCGCCTGGCTGCATCCGCTCCAGGCAGCCTTTCTCGGCCGCCGCGCGCGCGAAGAGCGGCGGAGGAGGGAGGGGGGGCGGCCGAGGGAGAGGACCTGGGCGCTGACGTCACACGGAGCTGTCCCTCAGCACCGGGCCGAGCCGGGCGGGCTCTGGCGGGCCGGGTTCGAGGCCGGACCTAGCAGGTAGGGGGGAACCGCCGCGGGGAAGAGGAGAGGGAGAGGGTTGCTGGCTGGGTCTGCTGCTCCTTGCAGCGCCCCTTGCCGGAGGAGGAAGGGAGACGGAAGGAAAGAGGGAGAGACGGGTGCCGCCACCGCCGCTGGGCTGGGAAATGGGAAGGAGGGTTCGATCGCGGAGCATTAAATGAACGGGATTGTTGGAGAAGGAAAGAAAAAAAGGCGGCGCTGAATGGCTGGGAAGCGCACAAAGAGCGAGCTGGGCGCCTCGGCAGCGCTGGGTAAATGCCAGCGAGAGGAAAGCCATGGATGGCCGTGCCTCGCTGTCTCTCCTGCCCGGGGGCAGCAGGCAGTGGGAAGAAGTTGGAGAGGCAGCGGGGTTGAGTTCACGTGGACGCCCGTCACCCGCGCAGCCATGCTAAAGCAGCCCTGAAGGCCGCCGAGCGAGGGGAGAGATGCGCATGAAGCGGGTAGCGGACGGGTGCTATTCCAGACTGTCCCCCACACATACCCAACAGGCTTCGCTCGTCCAGGGCTGCGGTGAGCCACACATCACACTTTGCCAGGCTCAGGGATTATCAGCCTTCCCTCACCCCGCTGGAAGGGTAGTTCCAAAAAGTGTGTCTGCCTGAAGCCCCTGCTTCTTCTGGCTTGTGTTGCTTGGATGTGATTCCCCGCAGGGAGAACAATAAAAGCCCAGCCTTCTATTTCTAGTTATTAATTAGCATAAACTTATGTCAACAAAGGCAGAGTTTAAAAGAAACAAAAGCAAAATCCTCTATTGGCTGGATGGAAACAATGTCTCCCGCTTCAAAAAGAGAACCATTGTATCCTAAGTCAAGATAGCTATCTGTAGGCATCTTTGGGTCCACCAGCCCAGGATCCCCTGGGGACCCCGTCTTTCCAAACAAAGGGAGTCTGGCGGGCTCCCCAGAAGTCTTTGCAGCTCTGTATCCTAGCAACTCTGCAACTTCCCTTATGGGATCTGCCAGTCCCAAACAAGAATGAAACCTGGTCCAGCTTGTACTAGTGGCAGGAACAAGCTGATAAGTAGATGGAGCAGGCTGAGGTGTAAATGGATGAACAAAGCCAGTACCGGTATATGTCAGGCAGGCAGAGGGGAGAGATGGAATGCAGGCTGGTGGAGCTAATCTACACCAGCCACCATAATGCCAACACAGGAACTACTTCAGAAAAGTTGTGCTTCCTAGAGAGGGGTATGAGTGTGGCTAATTTAGAGCTATCACCGCAGCATCACATTTTCCAGTCCTGCTTTCCATTTGAATTGATAGCGGTCAACATAGGGATTGGGTGTTTTCATCATACTCAATACTTGCAAAACAAAATAAGGAACCCTTTCCAGAAACACCTGCAAGTCCAAGGTTGGATGGGCAAGCTTTGTGCTTGAGAATAGAAAAGGTCAGCATGTCTTGCTATGGAATGGGATAGAGTCTGTCAACCAGATTGCAGTAGAGGGCTGGCACTGCATGGAGCCAGGCAATGTGAAGAGAGGCTATGGTATGGTCATGTGAGATTTGCATGGAACAGGAAAGCATCAGGTTCTTGCAACCTGGCTATGCCCCAGTAAAGTGCATTTCTCCTTTGAACCTGCCCCATGCTTTATATCCTTCAGACACACTAGCTACAGGCACAAAACAGCTATCCTATATTAGGGCCCTCCAGTCGGCCACTGAGAGGAGCATAGACAGGAAGATCCTGAGCTAGTCCTTCTCTGGTCTGGAGTAAAAAATTCTTAGGTGCAGGTCACAGGCTCTGGGTAGTGTGTGTAATGCTTGCAGCTGACTTTTGTACCAAGTGTGGTTGATTTGGGTGCTTCCAATACAAGTGTTACAAAATCATTTTTAAAAAATCCTTCCTAGAACATAATATAAATACCTTATTGCCACCTCTGTGAAAACTCTGTACAGTGTTTCCTTATAGTGCAGCTAGTGCAACTAGGAGTACCTGCAGGACAGGGCCCTGTCCTGCAGATACTCCTCAAAGTACTACCACTCCCCTGGGTTACTCCCAGGTTAATAGGATTCTCTCATTAGGAGCTTTTCAGCAAGCTGTCACTGTAATCCCAGTGGCAGGAAGAGGATAAGGCGCCAAGGATTCCCTTCCATATTGCACACAGATCCTATCAGAGTAGGTGTGCCTAACCCTAGCACAGAAGAAAAGTTCCTGGCATAACATTGTGCCCTGGCACTTTCCCCTAAAATAGGAACAGCTTGGTTATTTATGTTTCTGCATCCTGCAGCAAAAGGTGAGGCAGTGTCTTCCTAGTCCTTTCACAACTATCCTTACCCCACTCCTACTAAGTAAGAATCCACAATATGCTGTCATATCCTCCTCATAGTGTCTTCTGTCTTTTTTCCCTAAAACTTCACATGCAGAATCTACATTGTCACAACCTTTTCTTATCACCTCCCTTGCTGAGAGAACCTAGGATTTCAGTATTGGGCACAGCTCCTTTGTGGAGTGGCCTGGTTTCCAGGACAATCCCAGACATACTCCAATCAGGTTTCCAGGGAGTGGTATAAAGAAAGTTCCTCTGCCTCCCTATTCCTCTTCCCTATGAAATAATCAAGATTACATTTGTAGGAAAAGGTCAGTCTCCTTGCTCTAGTTGAGGGCAAAAGGGTTGCATAGGCACACGTGAAGAGAGCCTGTGGGAAAGTGGGCACTCTTGTCCTCAATTGCTATGGAATTCATCCAGTTCCTGGACTGCAGTTGAGCCAGTTGGCCTGGAACCCACAGCAGGGTCATGATTCTCCTCTAGCTGCCTTGGGGGTGGGGAGCAACACTCAAATATATTAAACACTAAAAAGTATCAAGGTTTGAGTTTCCCTGCTCCCACAGAGGAGAGGAGAGGTCACAGGCTGTGGTACCTGGTGCCAGCCTGGGCAGAACCTTGTTTGTTCAGATACACACTTCTTAACATGGTTTACAGATCGAGAGCCCCTCCTTACAGGACAGGTATCTGTGTCTGTATCAGAGCTACTTCTGGGCCCATAGCAGGCATTAGCTAGCTGTGAACTGCATTGGCCTTTCTTCCTCCCTAGGCAACAGGACCACGTGGAAAGAGGGAGATTAGAATAACTGGCAGGGATTTGGTGCGGAGTGGGGGGGAGAGAGCTGGAAAGACTGTGCCACAGAGAAAAACAAATTGGAGCTTGTCTAGAGATAAACTGTTAAGGGCTGGATTTTCCACACTTAGGTTTGGAATGATTTTGGCAGATAGTTGCTGGCATGATGCCAAATGTTGCTGTTTGGGAACAAGAGCCTGACAGTTTGTTTGTGTCAGCTCCATGGATCTGTGTGATTTTCGGAGATATAAACTAGGTGAGTGATTTCTTTTGATTGAATCTTGTTATGGTAGAAATGTGGAGGCTTTTGAGGTGTTCACCAAGCTTCAACTATGCAAGCTTACATGTTATACAGATATGACTAGTTCAACATCTTGCATATTGCTATACCAACAAAAAGTTGGTTAGAATTGGACTAGATGATTCTCAGGAATCCCTTTCTAGCTCTACAGTTCTATGATTCTACTTTGCATTTAGTAGCAATTTTTTGCTCTGAGACCCACATGGTGGCAATGCTTTATTGATTTTAAAGTTGCCATCCCATGTGCACTTACTTGAATTAAATGGGATTTCTAAGTAAACACTCATTAGAGTGGACCAGAATTCCAATCCAGGAGCAAAGTGTTCAACAAGATATCCTGGCATAAACTCCATACACGGACCAAGCATTTTGCTTCCACTTTCCCCAAACCAGCTTACATGTTCAGTGGCAGCATACCTCAGAACACACTTTAAAAGATTAGACAAATTCATGGAGGATAATGCTATCAGTGGGTTATAGCCATGATGGCTATGTTCTTCCTCCCCTGTTGGAGGCAGTATGCCTCTGAATATGTCACCAGGGAGCACAAATAGAGAGGGCACTGTTGTACTCAGGTACTGCTTGCAGGCTTCCCTGGGGCATCTGGATGCTGGACTTGATGGGCCCTAAGGTCTGATCCAGCAGGACCGCTCTTACATTCTTAAATGCTAGGAATAAACAACAGGAAAGGGCTGTTGCCCTCCAGTTCTGCTTTGGGGCTTCTAAGAGGCATTGGCTGGCCACAGGATGCTGGGATGCTGTAGATGGAGCTTTGGTTTAATCTGCCATATGTCTTATGTTCTTACATTTTCAGTTATATTTAGAAGCTGTTTTTAATGACATAGACTACAGAAGTTTGTAGGAGGAACTACATTGGCCACAGTTGTGGGTATTACTCCACCCAGGATGCCTGGATTACCTGGCTCAATTACAATATTTATCATAGACCATTCCTGATTGTATGGCAGGTGGGTGTATATCAACCTCCCTCCAGATCAGTCAGTTTCCCACTGATGTTACTTGATGGAAAATCCTTCATGGCACCTGGTATTCTGAAGATGTTGGGAATGAGCCCAGCACACCTCTAATTTAAATCCCAATGGGTGGCTATTAACTCTGCATTTGTTAAGAGCCTGCCTTAATTTTGCCCATTTTACTGCTGTCAGGCAGCCCTCTGTTTTCTGCAGAGACAAGTGGGAAAGCAACTTTCTGTTAGTTTTGATTATCACTTTCCTGTGAATGGTATACAGTACTTACTTTGCATCTCTTGATCCAGCTTGTCTGAATACTGTATGACATGACTCACTGATGTGCAGATCATGAGGCGATGATCAACCAGATAGTGATGATACAGAGGGAATACAGATGGCCGTGTAACAATTAACCTTGCCAGTTATCTGTGATCTTCTACCAGGTGGTGAGGAGGGTCCATTATTCCCATTGCTTCCCTAGATTTCTGACAGGGGATGGCTGTGGGGGGAATTGTCTTCATTGATAGCATAAGAACATAAGAAGAGTCCTGCTGGATCAGGTCAATGGCCCATCTGGTCTAGCATCCTGTTCTCACAGTGGCTGATCAGATGCCCATAGAAAGTCCACAAACAGGAGCTGGGTGCAATAGTACCTTTCCCACTTGCGATTCCCAGTGACTGGGATTCAAAGGCATATTGTCTCCAACACTGGAGACACAACATGAAGCCAGAAGCCACTGATATCCTCCATGGATCTGTCTAATAAACTTTTAAAGCCTATGGCATGACGTTATGGATGACCAGCTTGTCAAATGGTTACATGCCTACCACAGTGAAGCTTCCATTGGCAAATGACTGACTACGTTCTCCATACAGTGGGCAGCTTTGACTTGAGGTGACAACAGAAATTGAAGTTGCTTTGTCTCTGTGTGTTGAGCTGTGGAGGGGGAAAGTTCAAAGTTCTTAGTGTCAGCCATTCTCGGTGTAACCCACTACCTAGATTTACTTGCTGACATCAAATATTCTATATGTTGTTGTTGTTGTTGTTTGAATGAAAGTAAACCTTAGATCCTTCTAAGAATAAGAACTGGGTTAGCACAGTCCTCCTCAGGCAGTGCCTTTTTCTGGATCTGTAGCTCCCAAACTTGATGGCAGGCCTTTCCATGTCACAAGGGTCACCGGTTCCTGCCAAGCCAGGAGCCACTTGGGAGTGGGAAGCAAGTGGCACCAGGATGAGCTGTTCTGTCCTTCTGTGACACAAGTTGTGTCTGTGGTTGCACTAATAGTGTGTGCGTGATAGCCCCTTTTAATCTCTGCCAATTGTAATGTGGGGGTTTCAGGGGATGTTTGAGGGCTATCAAGGGTCTGAGGGGCCAGCAGGGAGGACACATATTTGGAATAAGGGCCATTGGCACACTGCAAATTTTTTTGGGGGGGGGGAGGAGGTTGCAGGTGGGATAAAAACTGAAGAGAATCAAGGGGGGGGCGTGAGAGAGAAGTAAAGCAACATTCCAAGAGCGGGCGGAGCTTCGTGAGGAAAAAGCCGAGTTGCTGAAACAAAGCGAAAAAGATATAGCCGAGGAGAAGGCCGGCGTTTGGTAATTTCTCAGCATCCAATGGGAAAATGACTTGTTTTCCTTAGCAACAGAGAGTGCACCAATCCGTAGGCAGCATGCTTTCAGTACTAGCGGCCATTGGTGCTGGCGTCAGCGGGGAGGGGGGAATGGCAGACAGACAGACATGCAGACAGACAGAGGCGGCGGGGAGGGGGACGCGCGCACGTTGGGATGAGATTTCCCAGGCTCCTGACCTGCTTGTGGGCTACATGTCTCCAGCCACGCTTTCTTAAAGTCTCCTCACCCATCCCCATGCCACTGAGCCCCTACCCTGCAAACACAGCTCTTCTGTGCTAGGGTGTGAAAGGGGACATTAGTAATAATAATAATAATAATAATAATAATAATAATAATAATTTATTTATACCCCACCCATCTTGCTGAGTTTCCCCAGCCACTCTGGGCGGCTCCCAATCGAGTGTTAAAAACAATACAGCATTAAATATTAAAAACTTCCCTAAACATTAGCTACAATATTTCCAAAAACCTCACCTGTCTGGAAGTGGGTTCAGAAACACCCCACCCCCAACCCCAGTTGCATCATTAGAGTGTCCTGTCCTTTCTTACTTGGGGGCTGCTGGAGTGGGGAGGGCTTGGTTCGTGCTGGACGGATCTGAGCATGTGTGAGCAAGGGAGAACTAACACAAAAGGCTTTTCTCTGTTGTGCCTTCCAGCCTGCAATCCACCAGAAATGAGGAAATGGGGAGGGGTTGGGGTGCGGACAGTGCTGTAGCCTACAACAGCACTCAGGGACTCTCTAATCCGCACTTGCAGCTGCTTTCCAAGGCTGAACATCAGAGGTAAAGAAGAAGGAAGATGCTTCAGCCGACTAACCAGTCCTCCTTTGTCTTCAGAGCTGCTCTCAGCCAGCCAGCCAGCCATCCTGCACACAGGGTTAATGAAACTCAAATCTCTGGCAGATGCTTTCCCGAACTGCTACATCTCCCTCTTTGGTGACTCATTCTCCTACCCCACAGGTTCTTTGAGGAAGAAGGTGGGGTGGGGGTGAGTGTTGGAAGTGGGGGAGCATGTGCGTTGCTAAAAGTATCATCTGTTCTTTGCTCGGTTGCCGTGGAGACCATACGGTGGCGATTCTCTTTATAGCCACATTCCCCCCGCTCCCCACCGCCCCGCTTTTCCATTTTGGAAAGTTGTTGTTGTCCCATCCCTTGCTCAGCGCCCTCCTCTTCCTCCCAGCATTGCTCTGATTCCATTCCGACATGGAATATGCTGCTAAGCTCCCTGGCAGGCTGAGGCTGGGGTGACTCAGTGAGATTGGTACTCCTGGGACAGAGGTGGAGAAAGATCAACGGGAATCCTAGAGGCCCAGCTAGGATGCTTGGCCTGCTCTGCCCCTTGCATAATATATTGCCAACACTCAAACCATCTTTTTGCCTGCCAGGAATGACTAGTTGGACTTGGCTTGGGGCCCAGGGAGTTAGTGGGTGTTGCCATCTCTAATCTCGTCACTTTTTTAAAAACCCTCATTGCAGCCTCCAGAAAAGTGGGAGTTGTTTCTTAATGAGTGGAACAGCCCTGCAGAGTGCGGAATACGTTATGCCTTCAGGTCTCACCTTTTTTGTCCCATCCGCCCTCAATCTCTCTCTCTCTCCACAGATGGAAGCAATGCCATGAGACAGCATCCCCCGCAGGTGACGGGGAGGGAGTGGGGAGCCTGACATTTCCCCAGGAGACCCTGAAGAGCCATGACGTCAACAGTACAGACCCTGCGTTTCCCGCTGCTGCCGCACGTGCCAAACCAAGACTGGACATACAGCTGTGAGGAGGAGATTGAGCGGCGCTACCAAGTGGTACCCTCAGTGGTCTGCGCCATGTGCTGCCTCTTTGGGATCATCTACTGCTTCTTTGGTGAGAGAGGGTTTGGGTGGGTCTGTGTGCTGTCCTAGGTGCCCGGAGGACAGTTTGAGCTGAGGCATGGGGGCAAAGGAGATCAATGAACTCAGTGCCCTTATGAGGCCCAGGGAGCCCATTCCACTCAAAGCCAACCCTGTGTCACAGTATGTCTGCAACAGGCATGAAGTGGGACTCACGCTTGAGCTTGCACTCAAAACTATGGGGGCATTTTTGAATATGCATGTTTAGGATGAGGCTGCTAGGGAGATGGAAAAGGCAGGTTCCCAGTTTTTGTAGCTTACTGCTAGCTTGCTCTATTAGCCCTCCCTGTTCAACACCTAATGCACTAAACAAGGGAGGGGGTTGATTTGTATTTTAATCATTATAATTTTGATATGCAATATGCTAACAGTTTGATATGGAAAAAAATAAATAAACCTAATGTAATTCCAAGCTGTTCCAACAGCAGAGAGCTGTGTTAATGCTTTTGATTCTACAGAATACACCCAAGTGGGTGCTTTAGCCTGTATGGGTCCTTGCCAGTCCATGTGACTTACAGTAACTAGTATTGGTTTTCCAGACTGCATAACGGGGCTCCTTTGCTAACCGCATCAGCGTCCCAGGAGAAAAAGCTAGCACTGTTTTCCCTGAGACACTGCTGTGCATTCATTTATGCATTACACAGATCAGTTGGGAGTGTGGTGAATGCTCATGTAAGGCAGCATGCTCTTTGAAGCCCTGGATATTAGGACTCCCCAGCCTTAGTGATATAAGCACAGAGTATCTTTCTTTGTGTGTAAGTGTAGGACATTGTGTAGGTATTCTGCGTGAGCCTCCTAAGTCAGAGGCCAGGACTTTCAGTGCAGGTAGCTCAAATGAATGTGGATAGCCTGTCCTGCTCAACCAAACAGATGGGCAGCCCGTCCTGTGCTCCTGACTGCAGCAACAGCTGCTAGCATCCATTTCTTCCTTTCCTCAGGGTACCGATGCTTCAAGGCGGTGATGTTCCTGACAGGACTGATGTTTGGCTCTGTGATCATCTTCATGCTGTGCTACAAAGAGCGGGTGCTGGACACCCAGCTGAGCGTTGAGGCCTCCGTGGGCATCGGGCTGGGCATCGGGGTGCTCTGCGGGCTGGTGACCATGCTTGTGCGCAGCGTTGGGCTCTTCATGGTCGGGCTGCTGCTGGGGCTGCTGCTGGCGGTGGCTGCGCTGGTGGTGATGGAGCAGTTCTACCACCCGCCTACCGTCTGGATCCCCATCGGTCTGCTGCTCGGCGTGGGCATGCTGTGTGCAGTGCTCACCTTGCAGTGGCAGCGCCTCTTCACCACGCTCTCCACCGCTGTCTTCGGCAGTGCCGTCATGACTGCCACAGCCGACTACTTTGTTGAGCTCTTCCTGCTGCTGCAGTACGTTTACGAGCGCGTCAAGGTAGCTCCTGCCCGGCCCATCTGCTGGTACAGCTGGGTCATCTTGGGCACTTGGCCAGTCCTGGCATTGTTGGGCGTCCTGGTGCAGTGGAAAGTCACGGCAGAGGGATATTCCCACACAGAAGGTGAGTGTGGTGCAGCAGGGTGGGTAGGAAGGGGGTGGACATTGGTGTAAAATTTGAACTGTCATCTTCACTTGCCTGTGGTTCTTATTGCCAGAAGGAAAACCTTAGTGATTTCAGCCAGGAAGACAGGCTGTGTCCCAGCTGTGGTTATAAACTGGGAGCCATCTTGAAGTTCCCTTTTCCACAAATTTGGCTGAGGGAGAGGGGAGAAGACATACAAGTCTGCCCCCTAACAATTCAATTGAGGATTATTTTTTATCTGTTGTTAAGAATTTAGCAGAAATTAACCAATTAATGCTTTGAACTCTTATTCTGAGTTACAGAGGGTACATACAGAGGGTACCTCTTTTCTCTGAGGGCTAAACTACATATTGCATCCAAACAGATATACAGTAGTTGCAACAAGCCTGTTAGCAGGTGATGCCTTGTATGAAAAGCATGAATCATGCTCAGCCACCTTGAGATTTCTGCTGTAGTGAAAGGAGGCTAGTTCCCTTAGGTAGCAAATGCTGCTATATGTGCTGGCACCTCATTTATCTCAGTGGCAGCTTCCTGGAATAAAAATGGTTTGGAACTTTGCACCTTGAGGCTACAGGTGCATTCCCCAGTCACCACACCTAATACTTCATGTTGGCTCTGCCAATTATGAATTTACCTGGTTATGGGAGGTGGTATCCCAACTCGGCTTTTGGCTTTCACTTCATCCCACAGCAAAGCATTCCAGTAGTGGCATCTGCTTGGTACCTTGGGCCACCCCTTCTGACCACACCCCCTTCTCTTCTCTCTCCTGCCCCTCCCTCCCTCCCCCCCCCAGTGATTATTAGTCGGCAGCAGCGCCGTGTTCAGCTGATGCGGATCAAGCAACGAGAAGAGCGCAAGGAGAAGAAGAAGAAGAGGCGGCCACACCCCCATCCCCACGTGCAACACAAGGCCCACCCACCGGAGCCTGCCTACCGTCGCAAGCCTAATCCTGTGCGCCGATTTGATGGGGATGTGCTCTCCCCAGTGAGTCAATGCCAGTGCCCTCCTGCACAGGGCTAGGGTGGTGGGATTGTATGTATTACACTGCAAAGAATCCAGCTCCCTAGGGGTAAAGACTGATGGGAGTCAACTTGCTCCCAGTTCTGTTCCTCCAGGCTTTCCTGCTTTGTTTCCTTTGCTTTTGGATCATCAGTGACACACTTCCGCCTTAAGAGCCAGCCCTGTCAGTCATGCTTCCCACATTCAGAAACCCATCTGTATAGGACAGAAGTGTCTCTGGCTTCTGCACCCTTTGCTTCTCACACTCCATTCATACGGACTATCTGTATGGAATTCCCATAGAGAGAGGAGCAGGGAAACAGTTCAGTGGGACTCCCAGCACTGTTGGCCACTCCCACCCCCATTGATGCCTCTATATGCAGGAAGCCCAGTGCGAGACAAGAACACCATGGCATAACATATATGGAGGGAAGATGGGTAGAGAAACTTTGTCCAAGTTCTGCTTTTTGCTCTACATTTGGCAGTTTCAGTTGGGATCCAAAAGCAGAGCTCTGTGTCTCTTAACATTTTATTCGTGTGTCTCTGGAAGTTCTCCTCAACCCATGGAGGATTCTCTGCCTAGTACAAATAGTGTTGTCAGGTGGTCCTTGGGGAGCTTTGCTAATTGATGCGGGGGAAAGGCAGTGACTTTCTCATGACATAGTAGAAGAACAGGGTGATCTTTAAATGAAAGTGAACATGCTTAACTATGCCAGCCAATGCATACATCCAGTAAGTCTCTCATCAATTCATTCCCAAAGTCTTCCCAAGTACAAATAGCCTGGGACAAGCTGTGCTCTGTTGTGGCACCCTCCCTGTACTAGGGTGTTGAGCTTTGTAGAAAACTAAGGTATTGTGATCTGTTCAAAATTGCAAGGCAACAGGGCTCTGACAGTGCCCCAGTATGGCCAATATGGAACGAGTGAATGGCAGACACACATTCTTAAACTTTTATGGACAGGCACCATAGAATATTGAATGGCTGTCTGTGGCTTCTGGACATATGCAGATTATCTGTCTAATAATGCACATTTGCTGTTCATACTTTTACTGTTCACACCTCACTGCAGCCCTTAGTTTTCCTGATCACAGCACAGAGAGCCAAACCTCAGCCTCCCTAGCAGTCATTTCCAGCAGGACCAGAAGCTTCTCACTACCCCTACCCCAGGAAGCACTATGAGCCCTTTCCAGTAGATGTGGGAGAAAATAAATCCTATTACATCTCAAGGCATTGTGTGGAAGAACAGCTGGTTCTTGGTTACTTGCAAGGAGAGGGTGATTTGGCAGCCATTAGGAAGGGCCTTGTCCCAGGAATTGAGGTGGGAAGAGGCTGGACCTGCCCAAAGCACTCAGGAGCAAGTCACAGGCAAGTCCTTCCACACAGGGAAGTTTCAATCACAGATGGGGGATGGAGGCAGCACCCTCATCTTCTGCTTTCCTCCTCCTTGTAGAGCTACATACAGAGCTTCCGGGAGCGGCAGACGGGATCCTCTCTCAACAGCCTCCTGGCCAACGCTCATGCTGCCATTGACATTGACTATGACTGTGGCTCCACCGTGCCCCTGACAACGGGCTCTGGCCCTGCAATGCGGGTATAGTGCAGCACCTCCCGCCAGGTCACAAGGACGCTGCCCTCGCACGGTCACGCAGGTCAGGCCGTGTGGGCTTAGCCTAGTGCCTGTGTTTCCGTGAGGACTTGCAGATACTCTTTGCTGGCATTCGTAGACCTGGCCTGGACATGCAGTTGTAGCCCAGTTTCTCTCACACTGCAAGGATATGCGGAATTCTCCCCAGTGCAACTCTGGCTCCAGCTAAGCTGCCCTGCAACAAGGGGCAAGGAAAGCGTACATGAGCAGGTGCTTGGGGCAAAGGGCTGAAGAGAGACCTGGTTGCTAACCCACCCGAGCCAGGACTGCGGAGTGCAGTGAAGGGTGAAAAGGAAAGAGCCAATCGCCTGCATGAAAATGACAAGGAACTGTCAACATTCCCCACCCACCACTGTTGGAGTGACTCATAGATGGAGTGGCCAACGGGGTGTTCCTGTGCTGTTGTCTTGCCACACGATGGACCCACTCCTTGTCCTGGAGCTTTGTCTTTGCCTGAACTGACCCCCGCAAGGACTATTTCAGGGCACAAGTGGTAGGATTTGACTCAGTTCACTCTAGTCTGGCTGGGGCAGCCAGCTCAGGGAAATGGGGTCCTCTGGGCCCCGGGCCCCTTGCCCATACCAGTGCCTGGCATACTGTTTGAATGGGCAACTCAAGGAGGGAAGGGAGGAGGGAGGGGTGGGCATCTGGGCCACCTGGGCTGGGCTGTCTAACTGTTGAAGTGTGCAAGTGTGAGTGTGTGAGCGTGTGTGAGGTGGAGCTGGAGCAAGTATGGGGCATTCGGCTGGTATCCAGGCAATGAGCCTTTTCGATACCCCCCTCCTACTTCCCCTTCCCCCTGTTCCTCATTTTGGAGTGAGGGTCAGGGTAGTCAGGGGACTGGGACTGGGGGGAACATCCATGTACATATTCTTGTTGCAGTTATTTGTATTAATTTATTATTGACAAAGAGTTGGGCCTGAAGAGCTCTGCTGGACCCAGGGTTGGGGGGACAGGGTCCTGCAGTCTTCGTATCTTTCCCTTCAGGCCCATGCCTGGGGATGGGTGTCACCCTTTTTTACCCTACCTAGCCTCAAAGAGCTGGGGTGGGAGTGTCCCCCCTGCACAGGACCCTGTCAAAGTGTGGTGGCCCCCACATTTGGAGCTTGTCTCCTTGTTATCTATCGTGTGGGAGGTGGGGCTGTGAGTCAGTGTCTCCATCTTTAAGGGGACAGGAGCAGGGAAGATTCACCATCTGTTTCAGGATGGGGGCAAGGGAGGGTCCAGCACAGCTCAGAAAAGCCTCTCCTTCATGGAGAAACTGCATGTTTCTGTCACCAATCGCCACTGTTGTCACCACAGAAACCTTGCACTCTCGTTTTTCTTTGTTTTGTCCTCTCTTTCTCTTTGTATATGTGCCAAACGCTGCCGGGCTGCGGCTGCGCAAGTAAAAAAAAAAGCCTTTCAGAGGAGCCTCTCCATGAATGAAATGGGCCACAAGCGTTGGACTGCGGCACAAACACTACCACACATGCATGAGCTTGGATCTTGGACATGGGCATGAGGCAAGCCTGGACTGGGCACAGAAGGAGAATAAGGGTGAGGAATGGGGTCCACAACTTGAGGCAGCATGTGCAGCAGACCTTTAACCAGAAGAGATCCTGAGCCACCACTTTCTGCATGGCAGTAGAATGGCAAACAATGGGTCTGTGCACATGGTGGTGGTCGGGGGGCATGAGCAGAACCTTGTTTGGAGGAAAGAGACCAGAGGAACATAAAGATCCCACTTCCAGAAAATTGGTCCATCTAGCTCAGTACTGTCTGCACCAATTAGCAGCAGCTCTCCAGAGTTTCAGGCAGGAAGTTCTCCCAATCCTACTTGTGGATGCTAAAGCTTGAACCTGAGCCCATCTGCACATAGACCCTAGGCCCTTTCCCTGTGCTGTGCTGGCTGGGACTGATGAGAGTTGTCATCCAAAACATGGACCGCATTCTATTGGGGAAGGTTGCTCCAGAGCAGGGAGGCAAACGTTAAACCATAGTTTTAGTTACACCCCAGACAATCCCTTCTATCCACCCCCATCTGTGGGCTCTCTTCACAGCCCATGGCCCTTCCTTCCTCTTCCCGGACTTCAGGTTTTCCCAGAGGGGTGGGGCTTAGAAATACATATGCACACACCTATCTGTGCTGCCCAGTGTATGCACCCTAGCATGGGGCTCTTCCCACCTCTTTCGCGAAGCCGGGTGTTGCCTCAGCCTCTTTTCTGCAATGGGGCATTGAGAGAAGGAGGAAACAGCAGTCGCCTGTCACAGCAACACACCCACCTACTCGCCTGTAGGAAACTGCTGTCCCTGCAGTTTAAAAAGCCTTACACTGGAGCGTGCTGAAGGGTGGCTGAGGCACAGGTGGCACAGCTCCAGCGCCTCACCATCCTTCTGCTTGTCTAGGCGACTGATGAGACATCCCGCCCAGAAGAGCCATCTCACCTACCAAAGAGCACCAGCATAACAACAATAATAAACAAACCAGGAATCATGAGCATTTAATAAAAGCAGATCTTGCTTCCCTTGTCATGCAGAAGAGGGAGATAGGAAGAGGAATTCTCTCTCTTTGTGTGTGTGTGTCCATTCTTCAGGCTGTCCATGCAAGTGTCAAACATGCTGTCTCCACCTTCCCCTGGTAGCCCCAGGGCTTTCCATGCTCACACATGGCTCTTTTGCTCACAGGGTCTCCCTGATGCTAGCGCTCTGTGGAGAGAATAAGGCATTAGAGAGAAATGCTCTCAAGGCAGAGGCACCGTTCAACCACCTCTTCTTCCCTCAGTGATACTGCTTAGACCAGGGATAGGGGACCTGTGGCCCTCCAGGTGCTCAGTCCCAGCCAACGGGGCCAGTGATGAGGGCTGATGGGAGACCCAACAGCAACTGTGGGGCATCACACTGGCTACCCATGGCATACACAGTCTCTTGTTGAACCCAAGCACACAGCCCAGCTTTCCCTTCTGCATTTTGTCACCCAGCACCAATGTGTCATCTCACTGTCTTGTTGTGACCCAGCTAAGTCTACAGCAGCGCCCAAGACCATGCAGAAGGACTGGTCTTTTTCTCCCATGGTTCTTTCTACAGGACAAGGGTTCACCATTCCGCCATTTTAGGATAAAAAACAGCTTGCATTTTTATGTCCTGGAACACACAAACACACATACCCTCTTCAATTTCTTCCCTGCTACCAACCCACTCTGCTGCCAGGCACACGTACCTCGGACTGTGAGGTGGGCTTTAGAACGGGCATTGCCAATAGTAACTTTCACCATCCCACTCATGCCAGGGGTTGTCTGGCAGAGCCTCAGCCTGTGGATATGCCCCATGCTCTCCATGTGCACTTGTGAGCCGGGCTGCAAGTCTTCTCCATTGAGACTCCACTGCGGGCTGCATGCCGGGGGAGCAGAGATTTCACACTCAAACCGAGCCTCTGCAGGAGCCACCACATCTACGTTCCGCAATGCTCGCACCACCTGGATCCCTTCAGCTGCAGGGGCAGAGAACAGCACCAGTTTCCCATGTGACACAGCAGCCTGCCTGTCCCCCTACAGTGGCACTGCCTGCTTTTCATCATTATCCCCTCTACCCTGGCTGGCAGACAACTTCATACCAAATTCACAGCATTGGTTGCCAACTCCCCTCTGGGCCCACCCATCTCCACCCCTCTGTAGTTCTTCATGGTACTTGCATGTTCCCCCTAACCTTCCACCAGCAGACGGGCTGTGGAGCGGTCGTCCAGTGCATCACATGTATACAGGCCCTCATCTGCAGGCTCAACGCTGTGGATAACGAGGGTTCGGTAGCAGTCCAAGTTGCAGATTTCGTACTTGTTGCCAGCAAAGATCTCTGTGTCCCCACGGAACCAACACACTCGGCCACGAGACTGAGACACTGTGCATTCCAGCGTGGCTTTGTGCCGTGCGAGCACAGTCTTGTCCCTCAGCGGCTTCACGATGCGGATGGGCAGTGCTATGGAAGCAGAAGACACATGCACAAGTTCCAGTTCCTCCAGAGATGGTTGGATCAAAGCAACCTCCAAAGAGGCTCAAGCTGGCTAGGGATGGAGCCTCAAACCCCACACAGGCACCAACCTTTGTCCTTTGCTAGATACGATACATGCCCAGCAACCTGCCTAACATGCAATCCTACCATTCATCAACACAAGTTGTGTGTTCCCTTAAGTTGATACCAACTCATACATGCATCCATTCAGAGATCTTCCCAGATACAGGCCTGCTTGCCCAGACTCCCCACATCACACACACACTTTCCTACCACACCTGCTAATCCCAGCCCATTCTTCCCACCTGCCTATATTTAGAGTTCTTTATTCCATTTATGTTGCAGAGTATATAGGCTGAAAAATGTAGAAGATGTGGCAGAAAGTATCTTATGGTTTGTCAGGTTGAGATTATGCTCATAACCTTGTGTAATGGAAATCTCTGTATATAATAGTACAGCCAGTGACCCAGAGTAACAGAGACCTCCATTTATCAAAACACTGTGAATCCATAACATACATTGGGTGGCATCACACTTCTCCTGCAATGGTCAATCACATCAATTCATGTTTGCCTATCATTGCAATCCATTCTCACATGATAGCTGAGGGCCAATGGTGAAGCAGCTCCCTTACCCTCCACTTCCAGGCGGGCTTCAGAAGCAGCTGCCTTTGCCACAAAGCGGACCTGGCCCGAATCCTCAGGACGGACACAGCACAGGAGCAGAAAGTGCCGGGTTCCTGTCAAAGACATGAGGAATGCCATCATTCTTAAGGGGGCAGGAGGGTTTCTGCTGCCAGCCCCAGGGAGGACAGGTGTGTGTTGCAATGGTGGTAACTGGAACTACAGATGCTGCACGTATCAGCTGTGCTGCTTATTGAGTTAACTATGTGCATGATCCTATACTCCAGATCTGTTGGCTGATGGGCTTTAGAAAGTGGTGGAAGCCCATTGGCATGACACATTGGCATGACACATATTCTGGCAAAACTCTTCCTCCCATATGCTGATGGAGGCAAGGGCTGAGAGGAGCACATTTGCGTCAAATCCTATACAGTCAAACCTTTGGTTTTTGAACATCTCGGCTGCCGAATGTTTTGGAAGCTGAACGCTGAAAACCCAAAAGTGAATGCTTCCGTTTTTGAACACGCCTCGGAAGTCAAATGGCTTCCAAGGTGCATTTCTCAATTTTCCCCACTGAACTTGCTGACAGCCCTTTGATCCTTGGTTTTTGAACGTTTTGGAGTTGAATGGACTTCCGGAACAGATTATGTTTGAAAACCGAGGTTCCACTGTACTACTACCACAGCCAGACCAACACTCTTGGCTGCACAACTTCACGTTAGTCCCACTTTCCATGGACTTCAGTGTGACAAGGGAGGGGAATAGCTGCCCAGCCCCACACATCTCTTGCCCCACCCATGTTGGTGTAGCAGTACATAGGATACAACATAAGCCTGCAGCCTGTCCCACCACCACAGGTAATATAAATTTCATGCAGGTAGACAACAGCTCAAATGATAGGATATATAGCCTAGGTCTGTCTTTTTCTAGCCTCATGTCATGCACAATTAGAGCTTCCAAGAAGGAACTCTGGGGATAGGAAACACTCTGACAGGGTCTTCAATTCTGCCCCACCCATGTCCTTTGTCACATCTCATGTCTGAACTGTCCAGTTCTGACACCCTTCTCTTCCAAAAGGAGGGAGCGGTGTCTTCCACACAGATGGAGGCACTCACTCCCACATTTAGGTAAGCATTCTGTTGGCAAAGGCCAGGCAATCCACTCTAACCATTGCAAACACTGATCAAACACTCCTGAGCACTTTTTCCTTGGTGGATCATGTTACGTAGCTCGTTCGGAAGGGAATCTGCATGCATGGGGAAGGTGATTGCCCGCAGAGAGCTATGGAGTGGAATGGAAGCAAACTTCAGTCCAGAAACTGGCTCATGGTATTAAGCAGACAGGAAAGTCTGTACCGATGGCAAAAATGCCTCTCGCTGTCTGGACTCCGCAATGTGGGGAGCAAAAATGCTGACAAGGCCTTAGTCAAGCTAAGACAGTACGCCAGTACAGAGAAGATACGAAGATTTGTTACTCCATTTGGCTAGCAGCACTAGACGACCTTCATGATTCTCCCTGCACCTCGATAAGGCTTGAGAATACATCAGTCCCATAAAACAATGGTAAACTGTTTCTGCAGATGTCTGCCCCATGACTTGCCAGTTAGGAATACAGAAGAGATTTTTTTTTTGTGAGGAAAAAGTGAGGTGACAACAAACAATAAATCAAAAGGCAGAACACTTGGGGTGTCAATGGTGGATCAAAAAGAGATTGTGCTTAGTGCTACAGCTCACTTCTTTGCTTTATTTTATTTTGTTATACTTCATTTCATTTCAATTTATGTTTAGCTTAGCACCAGTTTGCTAATATGCCTTTGCTTATTCTGGGGCCTTGGGAACCCAGTTTACCTTTTCGCCTTCTCTTTGAGAGAAGAAAGGATTTCTTACTTTGAAACTGCCCCTTCTTTGGTTTTGAAGAAATATTATAATAATATTCCCCTAAACTAGCCCTTTGGGTCTGGATCTCTGACTCACAAGCAATCTTGAGCAGATTTAAATTTTAGCAGTTTTTATATATACAGTTTTCTTATTTAATTTTTGCTTGTTTCCTGGTGAGGGTTAAATGTCACAATTTTGTTTCTCAGTCTTTCCCCTCCACTTGGATTCTTCTGAATCCTACCCATTGGATCCATCTTCCAAATCTCCCCTAAGCCACACTAACTTGTTCCTTTGTGGCACTGCTTGGATAGGTGGATATACTTTCATTTCTCTTTTCTTAATATTTAGACCGTAAGTACTAGGTAACATAGCATTAGCTTGAACTGGTCTGGTGGGAGTGTTAGGTGAAAAATCAAAGTAGAGTTGGTTTAAGTTTTACATCCCACAATTTTTGTTTGCCATAGTTGTTCCATAAGATTTTTTTGATACAGTGGTATCTCGGGTTAAGTACTTAATTCGTTCTGGAGGTCCGTTCTTAACCTGAAACTGTTCTTAACCTTTAGCTAATGGGGCCTCCTGCTGCCGCCGCGCTGCTAGAGCACAATTTCTGTTCTTATCCTGAAGCAAAGTTCTTAACCTGAAGCACTATTTCAGGTACCACTGTATTTTTCTTCTGTCTAATTAGAGCTAAATTTAAAAGGTAAACTTTTTATTAATCCCAACACAACATAGAACAGTTATTTCACTTTGGGGCTTCAGATTGCATATTCATATCCTATTTTGTTTTTTTCATGTAATCATTGTATTTTATTGTATTATATACACTGTTCTTTATATTATCCTTTCCTTCTCAAGGTTCATTAATATATTATGTGCTTTTAATTTCTCTTTAATATTCCTTATGCTTACATCTTTTATAAACTGAAACGCATTCTGCTGATGCATTTCAAATACATTTCCTGGACTCAGTTCAGGCTCTGGTCTCTGGCCACAACCTTCTTGCCAACTGGGGCAAATTAAGGACTCTGCTTTCAGAAAGCAGCACAGATGCATGAAGCAGAACAAGCTGTCACTGTACACTGAGTTCCACTGCTACCCCCAAAGGGGAAGGGAGTGAGTCTGCTTATAGTCAGGACGCTCTCTTTCTCTCCTCCAGTGATGGGGAGGCTGAGGCATGATCACTGCCTGGGCACTCAAGTGGCACCACTCTCTTAACTCCTCACAAGCAAACACACAGAGACCCTGAGACGATGTCCTCCAGTCATTGCTGTCTTCTTGGGCCACCCTTTACTCTTGGCAGGCTGTTTTCCTATTGCTAAAGGATCTTTCCCACACCCCATTCTATGCAGCCTAGAAGGAGAACAGTGGCTTTGGGCTTTTAATTTCAGCAGCGCCCTGTGTGACCCCAACATTCAGCACCCCTCCACATCTCACTTTCCATTGTTTGTCATTGTTGCTGCGCCCCCTGTAGTGCCCTCTCGGCTCAGCACCCAGTGTGGGAAAACCAGTTGCACTCCCCTACATCTGCCTCTGAAGGGGAGCAGCAAAAAGACCAGGATGGATGTGCCTGACGTTTCCTCTGTGGGGTTGAAATCCTACTTTTTCCAAGAGTTTCCTCTAACCTTGCATGTTCTATGACAAACAGGCAGCAGGTGAAGGAGTTTCTGGGGTGAAGCTAAAGCCATAAGGATACTGCACCCAATGTGCCCTGCTGGGGTGACAATCCCACTCAGTTAGGCCAGAGACTCTGTGGCCTTCTAGACACTGTTGGATTCTTAATTCCCTTTTAGCCCCAGACCTCAAAGCCAGTGGTCAGGGATGGTGGGAATTGTAGTCCAAGGACATGTGGAGAGCCAAAAGCTCCCTTTCCATGCCTTTCAGGATCCACTACATCCTGCATGCTGGGCAATACATGCTTTGCCTTTGCCACATGAATTGTGTCTTTGTTGCTAGGGTGTGGTGAGTTGAGATGCTTTTCCCATGCCCTCATTTGCTCTGGCTGAGGCTGGTCTCAGAATGGGCATCTAAAGCAGAGGGGCTCACTCACATGCCCTTGACTGAGGCAGCAGATGCCTTTGGGTGCACAGGTGGGGTGGGTGTTGCTGCCAGGATGTGTGAGGCAGCCAGTCGGAGGAAGGGAGGAGGGGGGATTGATGAGGAGAAGTAAGGATAAGGAGGAAATGGAGTGGGGCTACAAGTCCTGTTGGGGTGCTACCAGGCAAGGCTGGCCTATCAGGCAACATAGGGGACAAATGGTCATGTGGGATGCCAACAGAGATGGACCAAAATGGCTGGTTGTCCTTTGCAGGAGCCATTCTATTTGCCAATGCCATACACCTGTTGATTGGGCCCAGGTATGTCTGCATGTGGGAGTGTCCTCCCTGCTCCTGTTTAGTTTTGGGGGTCACCCCCTGAATTTGAACCAGGAACCTCCGACCTGTTAAACATGAGCTGTTCCACCTAGCTAGGGCTCCTTCTGCAGCTCTTGCACTCATGGTACCTAGGAACGGGTGTGAGGTCTGGGGGAATGCAAGTGCTGCATCATGGTTAGGAAGCTGTTCTTTGATGTCTGGGTTTGAGCACCAGGAACTCCCTCTCTGATATATTTTGTTTTAAACTGATAAAAATATACATTCTATGGGTGGAACTCAATGTTGCGCTAATACAATTGTTCCATCAGTGCAAGCATTGCTGCTTGCCAGACAGAATAAGCTTCCCTCCCCGCCTCCTGCTCTGCCAATTTGGGGTGGGGGTCAGCAGGGGGTGGAGAAGAAACCTCATGGCACTAGTGGGACTCATTGGCTTGGCTCCTGCTGGCACAGCTGTTTAGTTGAATCTGGCCATAAGTGTCTCCCAGGAATAATCTATGCAACAAACAAGAGACCCAAGTAGTGTAATCCAAATGGTATCAGTATATTTCCTAATACAGTGGTGCCCTGCAAGACGAATGCCTCGCAAGACGAAAAACCCGCTAGACGAAAGGGTTTTCCGTTTTTCGATGCGCTTCGCAGGACGAATTTCCCTATGGGCTTGCTTCGCAAGACGAAAATGTCTTGCGAGTCTTGAGATTTTTTTCGCCCCCCCCCTTTTTCTAAGCTGCTAAGCCGCTAAGCCTTTAATAGCCGCTAAACCGCTAATAGCGCTAATCCGCTAAGCCGCTAATAGGGTTGCTTCGCAAGACGAAAAAACCGCTAGACGAAGAGACTCGCGGAACAGATTAATTTCATCTTGCGAGGCACCACTGTACAAATATACATCCATATGTACTTGTGGAGTGAATACTGATAGCTCATATGTCTTATAGAAACAGAGTTGGTGACAAGATGACACAGTGAGCTTGAAGAAGTGCACCTGATATAACTTTCTTGCAAAACTAGTGATTAGTAGCAATTCAAGCTGGAATTTGACAAAGAACTTTCTGCCAAGGAATTAGAAGCTGTCAATTATTCACAGGGGTGTCATTGAAACAGACTTTTTAGCCATGTTCAGTAGTGAGGAGTCATAGTATTAATTTAGTTAGACTCTTTTACGTGGTCATATGCCTGCATTAAGTAAAATACAGATGCAATCTGGATATACTACTTGGTTGTTATATACAGTAGATTTGCTTTTAAAACAAGGCATGCTAAAACTGAGTGGGGATATGTTGCTCCCTTCCCCTTGCTGGGGCTCAAAATCCCTTCTGGTTCCCAAACTATTGCCCTTTAGAGTGAGCCCGCGGAAGGATGCCCTGGGGTATGCCTGGATCACCATGAGTCCTTTGGCTCCCTTGTGTCCAGATGAACAGTGGATGTCATTGCTGGCACAGTCCCTGACTGGTATATTGTGCTAGTGTTTCCAGCAATGCTGGCGACATGCCTGTTGTTCTCCCACTGGTTTCTATTTCCTTTTTTAGTATTTCCCCCTACACTTCTCAGGCAGAGTGCATGTAGGATTCAGTGACTGGTCCAACAGCACAGCAAGAGGCTCGGCATGAGGTAAGTTTATGTCAGGGACTGGCAGGGCTCTGGTGAGTGTACGGTGGAGGCAGGAGGCCCAGGGATTAACCCAGGAGAGGAGACCAGAGATTTATGAGGTTTGGGCTGGCCACGAGGCAGGACCCAGGACGGGGGAGAAGAGGAATAGAGATGGGCACGCAGGACATGTTGGAGGAAGAGTCTGTTCAAGCAAGGTAGGGGCCAGCTGAATCCCCACCATCCCCTGCTCTGCTGCCTCCTAGAACCAGGAGAGGCTTGAAGAGGGAACAGAAGTGGTAGCTTCTGTGTAGGAGAAGCCTCAGGCTGCTCTCACAAACCCCATCAGATGAGGGTACATAAGCTGGGCTGGGGGGCGTGTCCCACTGTTGCTGTAACTGCTCCACAGGGCACAGACCTGGGGACAGATGCCTAGAGGCGAGAAGCATGTGTGCATGTGCATCCAGGGCACAGTGGGAGTTGCTGTAAGTGCATGTGCCTTCCTTTGCTAGGGGTGCCTAGGACAGTACAGGATTGTTTAGCCCAGGCCTTTCGACATTTGTGTGTCTGTTTGCATAAGAAAAAAACGGCTGTTGCCTGGGAGCTGAACATCTTTTGGGAAGCGGAGTGTCTGTTTCAATTTCCCAATTGTTAAACCACAAGATTCAGAAGCTGCAGGAGAAATTCTTTTCCCCATCCCCATCTGTTGCAGGGGTACAGAATTGGATCTGCCCAATGGGCCAGATCCTGAACTCCCCCACCCACCATGGGCCACTGTGACGGTGGGGACCTATCAATCAATCAATCAATCAATCAATCACTACACTGGGTGATAAAGCTTCAAATGAAATAAGTGGGAGTATTCCTGGTTCTTCCTCTCCTCCTTTGTTGATGTGGTTTGATTTCAAGCCACACATTCAAAGGAAGATTTTTGAAATCTGGCTGTGGGTGCAAAGGAAGAACGTTCAGGGTAACAGAGAAAAAGGCACCAAATTCGAAAAGTGCTGACTTTTGGCTCCAAAGGACAAATGAAGAACGTGCTTTGAGTGCTCTCCCAGTTCTTCCTTTTAGCCACAGCTTGAAGTTTCCCACTCCTGTCTTCATGACATCAGGTCAGGGAAAGGTAGGTGTGGTTTTCTAAAATGGCCTTGTAGGCCAACCTCTAAACATGGTAGGCATAATTAGGCCCATGGGCTAGAAGTTCCTCACCAGTGATCTGTTGCAATGACAAATACTTTGTGGAGTACAGCTGCACAGGTGATTGGATAATGCCCACGACAAGTGACTCGGGCTCCCCCACCCCAGGCATCCTGCATTCTTTTGAAAGCAGGGCACCAATTGCTCCAACAGCCTTTCTGTACAAACAGTGCAAATCCAGCTACATGCCCCATTTATTCCAAAGACAGAGTTATCCATGTGCTTAAATCTGCCATTAAAATCAATGGAACAGAAACGCACTTTGCATTAGTGGCAAATGCACATCTACAAATTTATCAGAAGGAACACAGAAAGTTGCATTATTGCTGCATCTGGTTCAGTGTTGCTACATTGACTGGCAGCAGCTCTCCAAGGCTTCAGGCAGGGTTCTCTCCTGGCCCCACCTGGAGGTACCTGAAATTGAACCTGAGACTTTTTGCATGCAAACTGTCTGTTCTGCCACAGAGCTGCAGCTTTTCCACAGATTCCTCTCACATCTCCTTTCTCCTGTGCTGGAGCACACCTCTCTTCTGAAGAGGATATTCTTCTGTAGCAAAGCTATTTTATTATTAGCAAGGCTGCCACATCTTCAGGCATTACAATAGGATGGGATACTATGTCCCTGGTGCTGGATTTGGGCTAGCATGACTTCCACACAAAGACCAAGGACTGGGTACACAGAACCTACAGCTGACCCGGCACATATCTGGTGGGGGTCCAATCAACTATTCTGACAACAGCCATATATGAAAATAACTAAGCAAGTATAGACATCACCCAGAATTGTCAAACATCTCAAGACAACAATGCCATTTACACCACAAAGAACTCATAACCCACCTGCTCAGCAGCCAACACCATAACCAGACACTGAGACCTGTCAGGTAGCATGGACCAATGGTACCAAATAGTATGGAAACAGCCTACTAGAAAATTAACTAATAAACTGAAACTACACGGACAAACAGAAGAAGACGCCTCCCCGTATGGCCCTTTATCACTACACAGTCCAACAGACAATGACAAAATCCAAACAGCACAAACAATATGGCAACCTGATCCAAACACCCACCCACCTCACTCACACACGAAACAAAGATCACCACAGCCAATCACAAGCAAACAATCACAAACTAGTCCAAACCCAACCTCTCTCACCACCAAAGGAACACAAGTGAACAACACAAGCAACGCTGACACCAAACTCTACATACATTAAACATAATAGAAACACCGCCACCCGACCCCACCCCCATCCATCTTCCCTCTCTCCACCCCCCCTTTTTCTTTTTTCTTTTTTTTTTCTTCTCCCCCTAATGCCTCAACAAATGAAACGGATTTGTAAAAATGTTACATGGGAAAAAAAAAATACGAGGCACTACACTTCTGTAAAACAAGAAAATCCTTAATAAAATATTTAAAAAAAAAAAAATAAAAAAAAAAAAATAAAACAAAGACCAAGGACCACATTTCGGTGTTCTGGACAGGCACTGCAGGAGAGGCCTATACTTAGGATGAATACAGATGTCACTTTTCACAGCAGCAACCATGAGTGCTTTAACCATGGTGTGAATCTACCTTTGCAACTTGCAATTCAGCTGTACTTCTCCTAGAAAGCTGAACATGGGATCAGCCATCAGGCTTGCTTCTATCCTCACCTTCCAGGGAGACTCAGGTGCCATAATAAACCACAGGTATATTGTGATGGGAATGAACCCACTCCACAGCTCTCCTCCTCCAGTGTGACAAATTATGATTAATTTTAACTATGGTTTGTTTTTGAAACAAGCCCATTTCAAACTATGGGTTCTGAAGCTAGTCTGTTTCAAGCAAACCATAGTTAAAATTAGCCAGTTTAGGGTTGGGATGCAATGCTAAACTAGTTAATTGAAACGGGAAGGAAAAACTTTCAATCTCTTCCTTGAGGCTGCGCTTGAGCAGGAGGGAATGGAGAGAGTGGCTTGTCCCCATCACAATAAACTATGGTTTATCATGAAGTCCGAATGCAGCCATTGTCTCACAATTTGACTTGTCATCAGTTGTCCCTGAGTAGCTGCAATTCTTGCTTGCCTCGACCCAAAGTTAGAGGGGATCACATCTCAGCACCACCACAAGACAGAAGGGGTTCACTTACCTTCCTGCCGTATTTTCACAATGCTGCTGACTTTGATTCTCTCCCCATCCCGGAACCATTCGCCTTTCACCTCCTCGAGTGACACCTCACACATGAAGACAGCATTCTCGTTCTCTCGCACACGCACATCCTCCAGCTCCCGCACAATCTGAACCTGGCGTTCTACAGAGGGGGAGAAAGCCATGAAGTTGGGGCTGAGGAGCACCTCCTACTGGGTGTCATATGGGCTTACAGGGTCCACAGAGAACACTGCCTCTGACCTGTTTCCACCCCTGACCGTGGGACTCCTTCTGGTTATTACTGGCCCAGAAAGACTGATCTCATCCAAGCAAACTTCCTTTTCCATGAATTGGATGATTTGATGAGAATCAGTAAATACATTCTCTCAGACTATAGAAAAGAGCTGGATTAGACAAAGTGTCTCCCTAGTCCAGCATCTTGCTTCCCACAATGGCCGGTCAAATGCCTTCAACAGCAGCCTCTGATCAGGGATTTTCCATTTAGTGCTGCCCTCCTGAACATCTCCCCTTGGATATACCTGCCGGACCCTTAGGTCATCATTGGAGGCCCTCCTCTTAGTGCCCGCTCCAGTCAAAGCACAGAGAAAGGCTGCAGGAGAAAGGGTCTTTTCAGTGGTGGCTCCCTGACTATGGCATGCACTCCCCAGGGAGACCTGCCTGGCAACAACTGAGCCAATCCGATTTGGAAACTCCCAAGTGGCACAAATCCCATAAGGGCTTGCATGTGGGACCAAATTTTAAAAAGTTCCATATGCAAGCCCCACTTGTAGAGGAACAATTAGAAATGTGCTTTAAGGCTCCCAGTTGTTCTTTTGCAGCTGCATCTTTACCTGCCGTCACCTAATATATAGTGTGGGGCAGCTAGCCATGGCTGGGGGAAAACAGCCTCACAAGCCCAATTAGGACCCCGACAGGCCTCATGTTCTGACTTAAAGAATTCACCATTAGTATTCACTTCCTCTGTCTTCCTCTACTTGGAGCAAAGAGCTTACAAGTGCCTAAGGAGCTTAAGATACTACTAGGGTTTCCTAGTCTCCTAAGGGATATTTACACTCCAGACAAACTGGTTTTACATCAGTTTAATGTTCATAATGTTCATTATTTCCTCCAAAAAATCCTGGGAACTGAAGTTTTGTGAGGTGGATTGAAATTCACCTTTCCCATCATAGAACTACAGTACCTGGGGTTCTTTGAGAAAATGGTTTTTTAAAATCAATTTAAGTCTATGTCACCCCAGTCGTTACTTTTTCTGACAGGAGCAGCAGTACTTAACTGGTCAGTCAAGGGTCAGGTATGCCTCGAAATTATACTGTCTGAATTGGGGGGGGGGGGTCTGACTTCCTCATTCCAGTTGTGCATGAGAAAGCTGGCTGTCCTTTCTTAGGGACGAAGGACAGCACTCTGTGCTTGCCCAGAAACATCTCTATCATTATTATGGCGTCTTGAATGTCAAGAGATATCCTGGCATTAAATCAGCTTTCAAAGCTGAGCCCTGCTCAGATTAAAACTTGAGAAGCTAGAGTCCCATCCTCCCCACTAATCCCCTCCAGACTTTCCTGCACAGCTTGCTTTCTACCGCAGAGCTGGGAGACATCATCACTTCCAGCCCAGTTCCTAGTCCTAAAAAGGGATATCTATGCTTTTAAAGCAACCTTGACATGAGGCTGTCAAATGTTTTCTTGAAGGCTTTTAAGGAAGTACGATTCCTCTCCTGGGCATGCTCTTCCATTGCTGAAATGCTATTATAAGTTAGAAAGATATCCTTTCAAACCCAGCACTGAATGTTTATCCTTAAGCACGGCTTCCTGTACAAGCTGTACAAGCTTCAGGAACAAGACTCTGAGTCACCACGGTGTAGCCGATCCCAAGTCTACCTCCAAGGCACAAGAGAGGCAGTGCCAGGAAGATGCTGCAGGGGGGTGAGTCGACAGCATATGGCAAAAGGGAACAGCAGACAACCCCCCACCCAGAGAATGTGGAGTTAAAGGGCGCTTTGTATAGCCCAACCCTCTTCCTCGACCTCTGATCCCATATGCAGCCCAGGCCATTCATACCAAAGACCCTCAGTTTGGCAGAGGCACGGCAGTCACCAGCATCGCATGTGTACTCGCCCGCGTCTTCAAGGCCACAGTGGCTGAGCTGTAGGAGGCGCCGGCGTCCCACTGAATACATGCGGCAGTTTTGCCCGGTCTGGATCTCTTCCCCATCCTAGGGCAGCCGGGGACACAGAAAAGAGAGGCTGGTTAAGGGCTGAGCAAGGCAGCAAGAAGGAGAATGCCAGAGAGCAGGGGATTGGGTGCTGCTCTCGGGTTCACTAAGGGCACAGTGGGGAGATGTGGAAGCGGGCATCGCAGAAGCACTGGCTCACCCTGCCACAAGCCACGCTCTTTGGAAGGAAAACTACTGCTCTTGGGAGCTCCGGGGAGATCCAGGAGAGTTAAAGGAGGGGGCAATGCTAGAGATAGCACCCTCACCTTGTACCATTTCACCTCAGCCAGGGGCCGGGACAGCTCACACTCAAAGGTGGCTGAGCCTGTCTCAGGGATGCCCATATCCTGGGGAAAGCGCAGCATAGTAACTGGCGGCTCTGCAGGGACAGAGACAAAGGCGGGTGCAGGTGGCACAAAGATGCATCGACTTGGAGACGGAAAAGATCAATGAGACAGCATAACGCTCTGCTTAGTCAAGGCAGGGCACTCCCTGCAGCCCTTACCCAAGTTCAGCATGGAAGGCACACACTCGCCCAGCTTCCTTACCTCTTGCCTTCACCACTCCCAACCTGACCCCACGGTTAGGTGCTTCGCACTTGACACAGCCCTGCAGAAATAAGGAGCTTTGGACATTGCTCCATAGAAACGTGTAAGAAGAGACCTGCTGGATCAGATGGCAAAGGCTTATCTTGTCAGCACCCCACCTCCCACAGTGACCAACCAGATGCCTCTGGGAAGCCCAGAAGCAGGACATGAGGGCAACCATCCTCTCCTGCTGCCATTCCCAGCAACTGATATTCAGAGGCAAGGTGCCTCCGATACTGGAGGCAGTACACAGCCTTCATGACCAGAAGCCACTGATAGCCTCACCCCAGGTGAGCTTGCCATTTTAATGCTATCTAAGCTAGTAGTGATCACCACATATTGTGCCAGCAAATTCCGTAAGTATCAACTGAGAAGTTTAGTGTAACTGCAAGTGCTGTATTGAGTGTAAAGCAGCTCAAAGCAGTGTCAGGCTGAGTGTCTTGTAGGACTAGTGAAGGGATGGGAAATCTCAGGCCCTTGAGGCTCTCTTCAGGCCACCCACCCACCCCTGCCACATCTCTCACAGGCCCTGCTTGGCACCTTCCTTGAATGTTCTTGCTTGGCTGGTATGTGCCCTTGAGAACTCTGATAATACCTTTTGTTTGCCTGGATGGAGGATAGAAAGGGGTGCGTGAGTATGTACAGAAACTGGCCCATTATGCAGAGGCACAATTAACATTAACTGCTCTGCCCATCTTTTTCCCTGGCTCCACCCACCACTGGCATGTGACCACCACTCCAAGAAGGCTACCTAGCACAGAATGCGCATGGCTGAATGGAAATGATGCCCCATCCCTGAACTAGTGCTTGTTGTGGTCAGTGCATGTGAAGGGGAGAGATGCGCATCTCCTAAAACACAGTGGACATGCCCCGGGAGCGGGGGGAGCTGCAGCCCAAAGAATGCATTTGCTGCTTGCAGAAGAAAGTATTAAATACAGCATTCTATGTGAGCTGGCACTTCTGTGTTGGTGCTGAGGATAGTGGCATTGGATGCGTTTTGTTTTTGCTTTGCTCAGCTACTGAAGAGCCCAGACCCAAGGGTCCAACTGGGCAGCAGGAAGTATCATTACTGCGGTTCCAACCCCAGACAGCTGCACATGGGAAGGAAGGAAGGAAGGGGCATGTACAGGACTTTCCTCACCTCAGGGCCATTCCAGGCACTATCCCCATTTGCATCTCCTTCCCATTGCTTCCCCTTGACTGCCCATCCCTGCTGAATGTATTAGGTGGGGCTCATCTAGCACAAGACAATTCTGCCCTTTGCGCATGGACTGCCTTGCCCCAGTACCTTGGACAGTAAGGCGGGCACTACTTCGCACAGTGTCAGCGGTGAAGGCCACGGTCCCTGAGTCGTCCAGCATGAGCCCCAGCAGTGTCAGGCTGTGCACAAAGCCCGTGGCGCTCACTCGGCAGGTGGAGCTTGGCTTCGCACGGATGCCATCGCGTGTCCAGACCCCGGCCACGTTGGCATGGGACAGCTCCAGCTCAAAAGTCACGGTCTCCTTTTCAAAAGTCTCCACATCCAACAGAGGCTTCCTCACCGTCACCCTTCGGGCTGAATTAGTGGGGAAAGAAGGTTAAGAGATTAGTGCAAGTTCCATTTTGGTTTTGTCAAGAAAGCAGCCTGCTCCCCAAGAATAATGGCAGCTGGCTAGGAATGTTATTGATGTATTCCATTAATTCAAATGCATTTCTAAACTGCTTAATTAAAAAAAAAAATGGCGCACACTACATACAATATAAAAAAAAATCCATTAAAACAAAACTACAGCCTAAAATCAACAAAACGGTATTTTATTAAAAAACATATAAAACAGATTCAGGGGATTCATACATAAGGTGGGTTCCAATCTTATGAGTTTGCCTGGGCCAAAAGGTAAGTCCTTACAAGTCATCCTAAGCAACTGATGGTTGCTGCTTCACATTTGGCAAAGGTAAGGACATTTCACAGAACAGGGGCAAGAGCTGAAAATGCCTGTTTTCAGGCATGTAGAGTTTTGTGTTTGTGACACAAAACAAACCTCCTCCAACAGAGGTACATGCAGAGGAGCCTCCTCTGAAGATCTTAAGGTATGGCAGGTTGGTAGGGGGAGGGATGCTTCTTCAGATATTTGGGTCCAAAGCCATTTAGGACATTAAAGGTAAGCTCCTTTTATTGGGCTCAGAAACGAATAGGCAACCAATGTAACTCCTTCAGCAGCAGTGAATTATGATTCTATCTGGCTACACCAGTTAAAATTGTGGCAGCCACAGATAATCTACAGCCAAGATCAGAGAGACAAAAAAGGATGGGGAAGAAGTCAGAGGTTGGCACCTACGTTCTACACTCAGCCTGGCTTGGGTGCGGTCATGCAGGCTCTCACAGCGGTAGGTGCCCCGATCTGCAAGCTCAATGTTGTGGATGGTAAGGGTCCGCTGAGACCCACATGCCTCCATGGAGTATTTGGTGTTCTGCTGCAGAAGGATGCCTTGCTTCATCCATTGCACTTCTGCGCTCTCCAAGCTCAGCTCCACTTCCAAGCAGACGTCTTGCCCTTCCTCAGCCATCAAGTCACGCAGTGTCTGCACAAATATCACCTGAGCCTCTGCAGGAAGAAGTCAAAGATTTGTCAACTACAGTTTCATATCCTATCCTGGCATGTTACCAGGCCATGCCCCCTGCCTCTCTATCAGGGAGAACCATGAATCTGTAAGCGCCAAATTATAACCATCAAGGTCCAGGTGCGTTTGGCATGCTGGTTGGAACAGAATTTGGTACTGGCTACAGAATCCAGCACCCTGAGAAGCTCAGCTTTCGCTGCTTGAAAGTGCAAGGACCTGTAGAGCTACAGGGGGTTTAAAAAAAAAAATCAATTGTGCAGCAGCAGGCAAAATCTCATAAGACAAGGGGTGAGGGTGAGGTTTAGCAGAACTTCCAACAAAGCTTCTATTGCGAGCCCTGCAGGGCTAAAGAAGCAAACTATATCATGCCAAATAAGCAAAGACGGGCAATCGTTCTTAATTTGTTTACTTTATTCAGATAGCAGAATTTGCATTTCCTTAATGCACAGTTCAGAAGCAGGGTGGGGCACATGGTAGATAGGGTAAATACAGGTGTCCCTACTCCTGCTTACTACCAATACGTGCCACCGCCCGGCTACTTAGATGCTCCTTTGATCCATCCCAAAACCACATGCTAGCATCGCCTTTCTTCTTACCTTGCACACTGAGCCTGGCTGAACTCACCAGACCTTCTGCGTGGACAGTGACTATGCCAGTGTCACTCAGCCGGCACTGCTGTATGGTGAGGGTGTGGCACAGCCCAACCCTGGTGGTGGCGAACCGCTCACTGGGCACTATATCTTGGCCATGGTGCTGCCACTTGAGAGCCACGTCATCTGGAGACACCACAGCCTTGAAGGTGGCATCATCCCCCTCCAGCACAGTTAAGTTGTGGAGCTCGGAAATGATTTCCACTGATCTAGGGACTGGGGAAGAAAGTGCTTAGAGTCAGGGATGGCTAGGCCTGTGCTGGGGGGGGCCTGGCTATCCCAGAAGCCTATTGATACACAGTATCTTGTCAGTCCAGTGGGGGTATCCCAGCACCCAGCCCTCATAGCATCTCAGTGGCCCACAATAAAAATGTATGTAGGATTATGGACACAGGTTATTGGAACCAGAGCAAGTTGTTCCATGGGAAATAATATAGGTAGCTGCCTTATATTGAGTCAGACCATTGGTACATCCCATTCAGAACTGTCTACACCCACTGGCAGCAGCTCTCCAGAAATCTGAAAGGCGTCTTTCCCCATCGCAGTCCTATCTGGAGGTGCTGGGGATGGAATGTGGGACATTTGGCATGCAAAACATTGAATGCAAAACCACTGAGCTCAGGCCCTTTCCCCAAAGGACTCACTCTGCACTGTGAGGATGGCGAGGGTGCGGTCATCCTTGCTTTCACACGAGTATTCACCAGCATCCTCAGGCCCTACGTGTCTCAGGGTCAAGGAACGTTCCCGTCCCTCTGCTCGGATCTCCTGGTGTTCGTTGGCTTCCAGCTCCTGCCCATCTTTCAGCCAGAGGACATCACCTTTGGTTTTGCACAGCTCACACCAGAACAACACCGTCTCCCCCTGCAGCGCCAGCACATCTGAGAGACCCCGAACAAACTTCACTGGCAGCTCTGAGGAGGGCAAGGAATAGTACCACTGAGGTGAGAAGGCAAAAGGCAGAACACTTGCTGTCTTACATACTGTGAGTAGTGGTGGTTGTCTGGAAACCTGCAGAAAATCCTGATCATACAGCAACTCAGCTCTTTTGCAGAAGCCCAAGACCCACAATTCTTTCTAAATTTCCAACCTTCATGAAAACAAATAAATATTTGAGGACATAATTTTCTGAAGAAACCCAAAAGATTGAGGAACGGCTTTCACTAAGTTCAGAAGGAAAGGCTTCTGAAGTAGCACTCTTCACTCACTCTTAAGTCTTCCAAATTGCTGAATAAATAAGGAACTTGTGTGAACACATGCAAACATGCATTATTTATGCCAGTCACAGAATTTGAGCACAGGGAACTGGACTCCCTGCTTTCCAATCTTGGCTACAAAAGGGCTGGACTGTTCCAAGCTCTACACCAAGCCAAAAATGCCAGTTGCTGAACCAAGGAACAGAAAATCTTGTGTAAATATAATATGGCAGATAAGTGATTTTAGTTTTTTATGTAGAAAGTACAAGCTGCTTTCATAAAAGTGGTGGCAGGGGTTGGAGAAAAAATAAAAATCCTGTGTATATGAAGTTGCCTTATAGTATACAGTACCCACCCGCCATTGAACCCAAAGTGTTTTAACTACACACGATTTTAGCTTTAAGCGCCATCTCCAGAAAGTAACCCCTGTATAAGTTGTGGGCTTACTGTACTGAGTCAGGCCAGTGTTGTTTCCTGGCCCTCCACCCTAGAATCCCTTTAACTGGAGATGCCAAGGACTGAGTCAAAGAATGCTGGACATGCAAATCCCACGCTCCACCACTGGGCTCGGGCCCCTTCAAAGCAAAGTCAACTCCACAATCGCTAAAGTGCAAACCCAGATTAGGGGGATCAAAGTGGGGATCCAAATAAGAGACATAAGCATGCAGAAGAGGCCTGTGTGCTAGAGCTTTGGTTGCTACTTATTGTCATAAACCATGAACTGCCTTGTTGGATCAGAGCAGAGCCCTTCTCACCCCATATTATGTTTTCTACAGCGGCCAGGCAGATGCCTCTGGAATTATACAAGAGCATCGCAATGGGGATCATCTCACTGTTTGCCCCAAGCACCTGGAAATTAGGTCAATATTGCCTCTATGAATAGAGACAATCTATTTAACTAACACTTCTAATAGCCACTGATTGTTCTCAGTGTGTGGAGGAAAAAATACAGGCTATTTCTGAAATTGGCCGGAGGTCTGTCTCTTCTAGATCAAGAGCAACCAAACAGATAACACCAAGCAAAGCTTCAACTCCACCTGCAGTTCTCTCCTGCTGACTGCCCCTGTCCTTCACTACCTGAACAACTCAGCATAGCTCTATAAAAGTGAGCTTTTAGGCTATCATGTGGCAGGGAGAGGCTCACGGTTTTGTGCTTGCCACATCCCCTTGTAAAGAAAGCCGTCAGGTTTGGAATAAGACTAAATTAGCAATTGCTCCAAGCCAGCCTTCTCCAACTTGATATCATCCAGATGTTTCAGACTACATTTCCCATCAACCCCGGACAGCATGGGAATTGTAGTCCAAAACATCTGGAGAACATCAGGCTGGTGAAGGCTGGACTAGCCAGTAAAGGTGCAAGGCTCACTGGGAATAGATACAGGTTCACTGGGAAATACAGAGACTTTGGTGAAGCAGGCTCCTTTGACCATTGTGTAAAAGGGAGAATTTCAACCCATGTGGCTTATCCCAGTATGGTAGAAGCTGGCACACCTGCCATAATTCTGCCTTTAACAAAATCATTTGATGCAGGCTTCCCTGTGTAGTGGCGTCCAGCTGAGGCTGATGGGAGTTGTAGTCCAAAGCATCTGGAGGCCACTATGTGGGAGAAGCATTAAATTAACAAAACATCCTCACTCCATTTTGAGTCTCACAAGCCATCCTAAAGGGACTTGCTTCCTTTTTGTTCAGCCCATTCCACAGAGCCCCGAAGTGCTGCCAGTCTCATATGGGATTGCCTCCCGTGTTCCCCAACACAGACCTCTCACCTTTGACACTCAGCTCAAAGCGCAGCTGGTCATGATGGGAGTGGCATATGTACTCTCCAGCATCTGCTTTGCCCACGTTGCTCAGCAGAAGGCTGTGGACCCGGCCCTCTCTGCGCAGCTGGCACTGGTCGCCCGCCACCAAGGCCCCTCGAGGTCCTTCCCACCTCACCATAGCTGGCTCCTTGGAGACGATGGCAGAGAGCACTGCACTGCCACCCTCCAGCACCAGCACCTTCTCTGGATGCTCTGGCTTGGGAACAAACAGCACGGGGGCCTCTGGCGGAAAAAGAAGAGGATTAGAGAGGGTAGAAGGTGGTCAGAATGGTCTCCAACATCTGCCCAGCTGAGCCAAGTGGTTCCTTCAAATCCCCACCCTACACCTTGTCAATTGGTGCAGCTAACTCCACTTCTGGCTTTTCTCTTTAGTTGTTCTATGTGTGTCACTCCAACTCTCCCTTGTTACTAGGGAACACAGGAGACTTCCATCAGACCCTGATGTTTGGTCCATGAGTTTCCCCCTTGCCCCACACCACCACCAGGGAGGAAATACCTTTGCAAGGAGGATATTGCAGGTTGATAGTTCACAGGCTGCACGTGGGACCACCCTACAGCTCCTAGCACCAAACACATGCTCCTCCTGTCACAGCACCTTGTGATACCACACACTTTTCCAATCCTCCTCCCACTGCCAATGTCACAGAATGGAACTGCCACAATGGCTGCCACAGGCTTCCAGAAACATAAGGAAGATGGAGGAGTTGGGGGGACTTGGTTCTGGAAGCTTCTCCTTGCTACTGTCGCCCCATCAGGCCTGGAAAGGGAACTGGTGGGCCCATCTTACCTTGCACATACGTTGTGAAATGCACTTCATCGTCCCCAGTGTCACAGGTATAGGTGCCACTGTCACCTGGCTCAGCTTGCCTGATGGTGAGGCTGCGCACTGCCCCCTCGCTGCTCACCACCAGGCGTGGCCCAGGATAAAGGGGACGCATGTTTTTCAGCCACCGGACAGAAGCTTTCTCTTGGGAGAGACGGGCAACCAGGGTCATGTTCTCTCCTTCCTGGACTTCCAAAGGCACATGGGCATCGTTCTTGTTCACAATGTGCACAGGGGGTGCTGGTAACAAGAGATATAAGACCTCCCTCTTAAGCAAGGCAGGGGACATTTTGCTGTCCTGTGAAAACACAGCCAACCCCACTGCAAAGTAGGCAGGCTGGTGAAAGGAGGTGGTCTTGGACTTGTGCCAATAAAGGGCAAGAAATTGTCAAGGGTGGCTGTTTTTCTTTTTTTAAGCTGTAGCTCTACAGCTACAGGGGTTGTATTTTACATAAACCCCAACTAACATATTTTCTCATGGATCATTTATTTTGTGATAGCACTTTAGTACATAATTAAGATTGCCTGGCACAAATTCAGCATTTCTAGACAACAACATATGTGGCTTCCTTCTATTAAGTATTAGCATTTTGTTTGCAGAAAAGATCCTAGACAAAAGAGGTCCAGCCTCTCAAATTATAATAATCAAATACAACAGCATCGCTGGGAAGTGCCATTTGGATTTTCTGCCCCAGGAGTCAAAATTCTTGACATCCACTGTGTATAATTTTCTGTTTGGTGAAAAACAGAATATCACCAGCTTTCATTTTATAAATATTCGTAATAAACCAAGTTTCTACTTCATTCTTTTTGTGACAGCAAAAACAGACTTGTGAGCACATAGGCTAGGCTTGCCATATGTCAGGAAAATTCCTGATATGTCCTGGTTTTCGGGTGTAAAAATGGCGTCGGGGGGAATTTTGCCAAAGTGGCAAAATGTCAGGGAAAACCCGGATGTATGACAATGTGATGGAAAAAGCAGTGGAAACAGCTCCAAAAGCTTAAGATCACTATTTGGGGGGTAGGTTTTCCCCCAAAAGCTCAATAATTTGGGTTTGTTCCCCAAAAAAGCTCAACATTTTTGAGGTCTCAACAACTTTGTGGGTGTCAGGAATTTTGCTTTTTGAAATATGGCAACCCTACCATAGTCAATGTCAGGGAACACTTAATCCAGAGGGAAACTAAGTAGGACTCAATAGTCAGTAGCAAGACTCCATGGTTGCTCTTGTTGCTCCCACCCCTTCTTACTCATACTCATTTCAGGAAATAAAATAAATCATGTAGGGCAAGTGCATGTCAGCAAACTTGCTTCGTTTATATGTGGTAGCAAAATTTCACTGCTTTTGGTGAGCATTTGTATGTTCAAAGTCCTGAACTGCCCTGGCAGTGGGTGCCACAATGAATGGAGCTGAGCGTTTGCCTCAAGACAAAATCCACAGCCACTCTAGAAATGTGTCCTGCTGCCCCCAGCACTTGTTTTTGCTCTTTGGCTTCCTCTTCTCCCAAAAAGGCACAGTGCCCAGTCCCAGATGCTGGAAAGGCCACTGCTCCTGCCTGCTGGCACCCTACCTTCTTGGCAGAGGCCACTGGGATTACTTCCCTGCCTCTCCTCAAAGCACCTGTCCTAGTAGGGGCAGCCCTTGCCAACTCCCTCCCCCTCACACTTAAGAAAAGAAAAACAACCTCCAGTCAATAAGGCCTCCCTTGCTTTCAAGGAGGGCAGCATTTGTTGGCAGAAGGTGCAGAAGTAGCGGCGCCTGAGAATCAGCCGAAGTTAAATTTAACCCCCTCACTGGCAGAGTGCAGATAGAGAAGCAGTCTGAACCCTTCACTTGTCACCTGCCGCGTTCCATTACTAAGTTCCTCTGAGCCTGAAGGTGGGAGCACAACTCCGGCTCTCTGTACTAACCCCCCAAATGCTATCCATGAAGCAGGGGTCACCATTGTGGCACCCAAGGGCATGCATGCACCCCCAGAGGCCTTCCCTGGTACTCACAGGGTCCCCTCCTGTTGAATTTAGGCTTGAAAGAAGCATTCTTTGTAGCTAGTAGAATAGGTTATGGTGTGTGCTTGGCTGTGGGTGGGTGTGTATGGTGCCTACAACATGCCCATGGATCCAAAAAGGTTGACAACCCCTGCCACAAAGCAATGAAGCCAGCCAAGGCTGGCCCAACCACTAGGCAGAGTGAGGCAGCTGAGGCAGCAGATTTTGGGTGTCATGAAAGGGCAGCAATTTGTTAGCTTGCTTTTTGACTACCTCTGGTCCAAGCAATTGCACAACACCAGCTCCTGAGTTCTCCATCCAGTGAAGAAGGAATGGGATAAGCACCATTTCTGAGCTGCCCACCTCTCTGTACCCCCGACTTTCAACCCCAGTCATGGCTTGCCAGTTTTCTCGCTTTTTCTGACGAGGCCTCACCTGCCACTTTAACCGTGGACTCCATTCGGTCAGTGCCTGCATCGCACACATAGGAGCCTGAGTCTCCCGGCTTGGCTCCAAGGATGGTGAGTTGACGTTGTCTCCCATGGGCTTCAATGCGCACCCGCTTGCTGGGTACCAGCTCCTCCCCATTCCGCAGCCAGCGCACAGCAGCACTAGGCGAAGACACCTTGCAAGCCAATACCAGAGCCTCTCCGGACACCAGCGAGTGGTGCTCTGGAACCCCTGTGTTTCCCACAATGGAAATGGGAGGTTCTTAGGAAACAGAGAAAGAGACAAGGTGTCACAGTGTAGGGCACAGACAGGGTCTGCAGGTCTAGAGGAAGAAAGGCACACACAACCATCTGCCATCCGGTAGTCATAAAGAGGGTGAACACAAGCACGAACACAGATAAGATGGAGCAGAGGGGGCACACAGGAATACCCACAAAAAGGTGGGGAACATTGTGCTTTTCTGACCCAACAAAGGATGAGGCAGCAAATTTCAACCCTATCTCACTTCCTTTCCACCATGAAGCAGGCCCAGGTTTGGGGGAGGGGAAAACTAGAGATTCCTTTAAATGGGCAGACCCTTAAAAGCTCAGTGTATTCACATGAGACTGATTTCAGAGGACACATGAAGGACTGATAGGCAGTTTGCTATGAAACATCAAACACCAGCGCATTAGAGCTCATACACTGTGGTGTTCTCACTGCCCACCACTTGCAGCCCTCTCAGTGTCCAGTGAGGGCTGTCATGCTGTCCACAGATGGAGTGATTTCCTTGGGTCTCTTTCCTGGGTGGGCAGCTGTAACAACACCAGAGGAGTCCTGCTGGGTTACACCAAAGACTTCTCTAGTGCAGCATTCTGCTCTCACAATGGACAGCCAGATGCCCAAGCAAAACACGGGTGTAATCACCCTCTTCCCACTTGTGACCCCAGAAACTGGCATTCAAAAGCAGACTGTATGAAATATACTGGAGGTAATATACAGTGATCAGGACTAGCAGCAACCAGTAGCTTTATGACCTGATCCAGGTCACTTTCAGATAACCTGCTTATAGAGCATGTTTGCACCAAGTCTGCAGGGAGGTTGTTTATTAAGTATTCATTCTAATTCCTGGGGAGATTATACAATTCTGCATCAAGCAGTTGTTATCTGACCTTTTCCAGTGAATTTTCCCATCACTTTCCTTATCACAAAAGGTCCAGTTTTGGGGGAAAGTGGGTTTGTTGCAGGACAGCACCAAATCAACTTGATTGCGTAAAAAAACTGAGAGTTTGGAAGTGCCCCCTGACCCCAGAACAGAACTCAATCTGCCAGGGACTTGTCCTTTGTACTTTTCTGCAACAGCTACTATCTGTTCACAGGCACCTTCTGAGTTTCCACATTAAGTGGTTAAAACCCATCTCTTTTAAAAAATGATTTTACTATATGATTTTATGGTTTTATATTGTAAAACTCTGTGATCTATTTCTATGATACAGCGGTAGCTAAATATTTTTATATATAAAAATATATAAATATGTTCTCAACAGCAGTTGGAGATGAGGTGCTAGTATTCTCCAAAACCACCAACATTCTTGAAAATAAGCAAGTAGATATGCATTTGCTTGGTTTTCATAAGTAATTCATGTAGAATACAACTTTTTTGGTACTGAATGTTGATTGTTGTTAGACTGCTGTTTTTTTTTAAAGCACCAAGTATCCACAACTCTCATTATTACTGCAAACATCAATAAGAACAAGTTTTAACTCATAAAATCACCATGAATGATGGGAGATTATTTGTTGCAGAGATCCCACTTAACAGGTGCTTTGAATGATAAATGTTACAAGATGTTATATCAGTGGCATTTCATATAGAAGCTGGAGATGCAACTATGAAGGCAAGCTAATTACATGCATGTTGGTGTCAAGGAGAAGAAACTGAATGCTATTGGCATAAAGAAGCCGAGGCAATAAATTACAGGATATGAATTTCCCACTCTTTCTTTTCCTAACATTATGAGGATCCCTCCGAGAGTCTATTCAAGAGACACTGAGAATTTGTGGGCAACATTACAATAGCAGCCAGAACTGTAGTTGATGGAAACACGAAACAAAAGGTAATGACTGTGAATAAGTTGACCTTTTGCAAATGTACGTGGGAGGACAAATTCCCATCGAAACCTTTTTCTCCCTTACTGAATTTAGATTACTGAAATAATATTGAAGCAATCTGTACACTGGAACATGATGCTCTTTCTGCTGTGAGACTGCATTCTTGCCTTGAAAAAAATGATTTTTTTTTTTAAGGTTCTCAAAAGCGGCCCCTCTCCTTCCAGGCCCAGACCTTACCCTCTACCGTGACGTAGAAGATGATGCTGTCATCACCACTATCACACAGATATTCTCCTGCATCACAGCGCTCGGCTCCCAGAATCACCAGCGAATGGCACGCACCATCCTGCTCCAGACGCACACGGTCTGTGTCCTGCAGCTTCTCTCCATCCTTGTACCACTTCACCTCTCCTTTAGGGCAAGACAGCGTCACAGACAGGGTCAGGTCCTCCGAGGTCAGGCAGCGGTGCTGAGTCTGCAGTTCATCACGCCCCACAATCCGCACTGGGGGGTCTGCCAGCATAAACAAAAGTTCTGTTAACTTTCCACTGCTTCTCAATCTAGTAAACATTTTCACAGCGCTCTTACTGTGCAAAGCATTCTGCAATTCATATTGTGTTCATCCTAACAACAGCCTCCCTACCCAAGAGACTATTTTTTTCCTGGTTGTACATAAAATGCGTCCTAAGCACTGTGTCGTTTAAGAGAACTGGAATGAAGTGAAGTATATCACTTGGGGCACCTAACTTCCATGGGGTTAACCAATGTAATAACATTCTGAGGCTATGGGTCCATTTGACTTGGGGATGACTTGCTGCTTAGGGTCAGTCCCAGTGACTTCAGTTAAGCACCAAGAAGGCTTGCTCACAACAGTGTCAGGGAGCAAAGAGTCCTGGGCACAGCAAAGAATATAACAACGATTACTTCCATTTTCTATACAAAAAATGTGTCAGTATACTGTTTTGGGCATTTTGAGCCAATGGGCAGGTTTACAATGTTAAAGGAGATTAAGATCAATTGAAATAAACAGGGCATAGGAGTTAAAGTGCAAGTGATATAGAGGGCGCTGCCATTTTCACATGTCAAGTTTAAATTGACTTTGAGCCACCTGTCTCAAACTAGCTATGCTATATCCAATCACTGCTCCTGCAGAAGAAAAGTGGCGGAGAGGCACTGGTCAATGCAAATGACGTGAGCATCCGGGACACTGTAGGCTTTATATGCCTAACTGAAGCAATACGTGAAAATATATCTTATCCTCCTCCTACAGAAGCCTCCCAGGGGTCTCTCATCCAAGAGGCTGACCATGTCTACACATACACCTTCAGCAGCATCACGTACGTGTGCGTGTGTGTGTTTTGGGGGGCCCTTAAGATGCCCAATTGCCTTGGAATTTTGCTCCTTTTGTTTCCTTGCCTTCATAACAAATTCTTTTTGGCTTGTGAGACAAATTCCCATATCAAATGTGCATCAGGGCATAAGTTTTCCTTAGCTGTGTGTAACCAGCACGCTTCTCGTGGGCCATGCAATCTTTCTCCATCTCAAGTTTATTAATTGACGGAGTTCTCCTTTGGGGCTGCTTGCTTGCTTCTTTACTTACTCTCTCCCCCCACCAAAAAAAGTCGAAGAACATCCTGTTTCCTGGCCTCCGTCCCGTCATTTGGATATGAGTTCTGAGAAATTGTCTGATAATCACTTACGTGCTGATTCTACTGAAAACAAATCCACTGCCAAGACTACACGCCACTGCCACAAATGCAGTGCCACCTAGAGGCCAAAACAAAAAGCACAGCAGACATTTCCCCCCACTCAAGACTCCTTTTGTTCTCATCAGCACACTGGGTTGTGTACACACTCCCATTGACTCTGCATCCAGGGCACACCCACCACTGGTTTGGGAAGCTGTGTACACATGACATTAGCCACAATCCACATCTATCCTGCAGTTTCTTGAGAAATACTGAGTTTTGATGTGTTTTACCCCAAATGAGCTTCAATACAATTTGAAAACATAAGTCATATTAAGACTTCCGCGCCCCCTCTCTGCCCACTGGCATGGACAGACAGCAGGCAACCTGGAAACACATCCAGCTGTAATGATGTGTATGACAGCATGCAACTATGATTTGAAATGCAGCAGGGCGGAGACCTTGCTGCATTTTAACCAGTAATGTGTACAAAGCCCAGCTCATTTTTAATCAGTTCTCATCAAAGTGTTAGGGGTGCTGTTATGTACTGAGTTGAATAGGATCCAAAATGCAGCAGTCTGATTGGTCCTAGAACAATAGGATCCAAAATACAGCAGTCTGATTGGTCCTAGAACAATAGGATTCAGAATGCAGCAGTCTGATTGGTCTGCAGGAGCCACCCAATCAGGCTCTAGATGGAAGTGAATCCACAACCTGATTGGCCTACAGGAGAATTCCGGAATTAGCCAATCACTTGCAGCCCATTGTGTAAATAATGTATATAAAGCAGATACTTTGAGGGGACTTTCATTCCTCCTCACCACTATGAGCTGAATAAAGAGCATGAAATCCACTTTCGACTCTGAGTATATTTCAGGTGCCAATGCATACTTTATGGAATGGCCATGTGTCTTGCTTTGCAGACAGCATTCCTCTTTTTGAAGGAGTTCTTTGTCTGAAGGGTGGTCCAATCCAAGTAATGTTTAAAAAAACCGAACCCTGAGAAGGGAAAGCAGCAGGAGGGTCGGGCGGGGATCTTGACATTGCCCATCAACAGTGAACACCTGAACAACAGACTGAGCAGGCTCATAGTCACCCTGTGGAATGCCCTCCCATCAGATGTCAAGGAGATAAATAACTATACAGCTTTTAGAAGACATCTGAAGGCAGCCCTGTATAGGGAAGGTTTTTTATGTTTGGTGTTTTATTATGCTTTTATTTCTTGGAAGCTGCCTAGAGTGGCTGGGGCAACTTAGTCAGGTGGGCAGGATACAAATAATAAAATCATCATCATCATCATCACATGCAAATCTGTGCCCTCTGTTAGGGAGGCCCTCTGCTAACATCGCTGTTAACTACTCCAGCCTCTATGGTGGCTGATAGCACCCCTGTGGCTAAGCATTTCCCTGGGTTTCTGCTCAAAACATACAGGATGTCAAAAAAATGTGTTGCAGCTATCCTCAATTCTTCATTTTCCTATGTGGAATTTGCATTCCCCTGCCATCCCCAATACTGTAACTATAAAGCCCAGCTTGGAGAGCTGGCTGTGACAAACCAATAATAAGGGAAAGGCACTTTCTTCATGATTGGCAGGAGAGAACAGAGAAACCCTTGTGCCAAAATCGACAACTGTCCCTCTATACTCCTGTGACCAGAAGTACCATTTAATTAGGTACTTCCTGTTGAGCTTCCTGTTTGCAAGCTACCGTTGCTTATTGGTGTGATGTGGGGTGGAAAACATTTTTGGCACCAAGAAGCTAGGGGGCTCTATCTGAGGAGAAAATGACCCCTGAATCCATGCTATTCATTATTGTCTTGCATTAACCCACCTTAATCGTGCCAGATGCACTCATAAAAAGTTTTCATTTTACAAAGCCGGCAACAGTCCTATTAAGAATACCCTTCTCTAAGCAAAGCAGCAAGGGGATGGGATCCAGTTTTCAATCTCAAGGAAGTGCAGAATGAATACTGTTCATCTCCTTCACATTCTGAACCTCTACTTCACTGGTAAATCATAAAGACACCCCCCACCCCCCACTCCTACTAAGCAGCTGCTACCTATCTAATAAAATTTCAGAGTAATTGAGTCTTAGGGGTTGGACAAGACCAAAAGTCTTCTTCAGCTTCTCCTCTGTGGCTGAAATGAATCTACAGCACATAGCAACATCTTCCCCTGCAGTTTTAACCTTTTACATAACTAAGACTAAGAGAGTGTATCACAATCAGAGAACAAGTCTCACACCAAAAGATAACTGCATGTAAAGAGTAGCTCAATAAAGCAACCTAGACAGGATTGCTACTTTTGCAATGGCCTTCAACAGCCACAGCATTTCTTATCACTGCAGCTACATAACAAGAAAAACTTCACCTGTTGGTTTCAGCCTGCCATTCCACTGCTATAGGCATACAACCTCTGTTGGTAAAATACTGTGGCAATCCTTAAAACCAGACAGTTAAAGCAAAAGAAATGGTCCACTCAGGAACTGCAATAGATCTGAACTGGTATCAGGAAGAAGCAGGGTTTCAAATCCCCTCCCAACCCAACACAGCAGTTCTTTGGACTGGGTAGGAGAAACCTTGGTATGTGGGCCATATTAAAACCCTCCTATCTACAATGTTCCAGGGAACCAGAGAGCATTTTTATTCAGTTCAGCTACATTTTTATGGGTTGTCCATTTAAAAAATTGAGTTCTAGGGCATTTATTTTGGCAAGCGAGCATATCAAGGAAAGTGCATATCATCAAAGTGATCTCACCACTGCTCTGCACATGCTTTAAATAAGCTGATGGTGATGATGGAGCAAGAGGGGATCTTGTGTGCATGAGGAAGAATATTTTCAAATCAATATGTATGAGATGGAACACATTGTTTCTGTGCACAGAACTCCATGAACCTGACATTTGTGGTTTTGGGTCTCTAGCCTTGAGTGTGAAGCCAACTTCAAACCCCAAGTCTCCAAAGCCTAAATCCTCACCTCACCACACACAACATGCATGTCTCTGGTTGTGGCCATCTCTGGAGCCTCAGAGAAAGAAAAGGGCAGCACAAGTCACTTTTGTGCCAGGTGTAGGAAATGCAAATGGTGCTCCCCATAGTAACAGAAGGAGGGGACCCATATCCCTGAAGAAGAGGAGCCTTTTTGCTGGTGGTGCTCCAGCTTTGAAACTCCTACATTGTATTTTATATTTTGGCTCCAGGTTAACATGTTCTTCTTATTTGCCCTGGCTTTTTAAATGTACCGTATTATTATTTACTGTATAGCTGGCTGCATGGGTTTTGGTTTGTTCGTTTTGATCTTGCATGTAACAAATAACTTGTGATTAGCAATAATCCAAAATCTGCCACTAATGATAGGGTTGCATTTGTAGTACGTGGAGTGCTTATGAACTCATGCTCAGAACAACATGCACAAGCTCTCTCTGGACAATGAATGATGTGCAAACATAGTAGAGGGAACAAAGGCATCAAGCGGTACAAGAATGCAGAAAACACAAAGAAAAGCCAGTGCACACTTCTACGCAAGCCAAGGAACCAGAAATCCAGGGCAGAAGATCACAAAAAGCCAATGTTTAGAGCAAACACTTCCCGTAGACTTTAATGGTCAGGGGTGTTTGTTATGAGTCTACTGGCAAAGAATGCTACCAAAGTCATACAAGACGAGATTGCAGGCTCAGTTCTTTAGGAAATAATACTGTTATGCCTCTGCTTTCATTACCAAATTAGAACCTGTCTGGATTTAGGAGATAAAGTCATGTTGATGCCCAGAGCACTGGCTCTGGGGAATGTACAGCCAGTCCTCATTAATAAGCTCCAGGACAACTTTGCTCTGTACAGAAGGCAGTGCAAGGAACGTGGCCCACAATGAGAGTGTCTGGGGTCTGGAATGGATCAGTACATGAAATCCATCCCAGCAACATTGGCTTGGAATTCCAACACCCCCTTGCCCAAACTACCACCCACCCACACTCTTATCTCAGCTCCCTTCCCTGGTGCTACCAGGGTCCCTGAGCACTGCACTCACCAGACACCTGGACGGCGAAGGCCATGGTATCATCAACAGCGTTGCAGGTGTACTTCCCAGAATGCTCTGGGCCAGCTGCAGGGATGACCAGACACCGCCGGGCACCCTCTTCCTCCAGGATGAGGCCGCTGTTAGCCTCAAGCGTGACACCGTCCTTAACCCAGCGGACTGGCGCATTCCCATGAGAGAGCACACAGGTCAGGGTCACTGTCTCCCCCGTTGAGGCCTTCAGGACAGAGGGAGTCCTGCGGGGCTGCACGATCTTCACAGGGGGCTCTGGAAGGAGAGGGCAGGCAGCCCAGATATGAAGCGGCCACAGGCAACACTGCTGTTGCTGGGCCACACCCACAAATTTTTCACTGGAGGGGCATGTGGGAGAAACACTGAGGAAACCCTACGTGTAACTGAGTACCACATACAGTTTGGCCTGACTTCCCCAAACATAGGTCATTCCAACAGTTCTCCAACTTCCCTCTCCAGGAATTATTTTAAAGCCATACTTTTAAAAGGGCTGCTAGAACTCAAAGCAATGCTGGAGGGTGTCTGTACGGTTAAGAGAGGTTCCCACAAATACACCTGGGGGTGGTATCAGGCCTTTTTGCTGCAGCACTATGCTAGCAGCTTACGCCCAAACATTTGTAGCTGGAGTCCTCTGTGCAGAATTCAACTCCTTCTACAGGTTTTGCCAAATTTATATACTGGTCAGAATAAATGTTTGAGAGCTGTTTGAAGTGCAGCCATAGAAGGATGCACTCATGCAAATAGCATTGTTGGATCCCCAAACGACAAGGGAGATTCCCTATTTACGTAGATGGCCTATTTATTTATTGCTTCCTTAGAAACACATTTAGCAAAGCTCTGGCATTTCCACAGTATGCAAAGCCTAAGCTTTGGCCAGCAAAAGCTCATACAATGCATTGTAAACAAATGTTGGTCTAAATAAGAGTTATTATTTTATTGACCCTGTGAATTTTGGCCAGTGGGGATTCCCAAACCACCACTAGCACTATGGAGGCCAATCCCTAAGAGATGGGATCTCATGGCGAACACATAACATGCATGCACGGAATGACAATCCCTCCTTTGTATTGATTATTTGAGCTCTCTCAGGGTTTGCCTGCAAGAGCACAATAAATTTATCTATAAAGTAAAAGGTACAGTGTCTAGGGCTTTGTAGTTCGGAAAAAAGGTGAGAAAGGGGGACATGACAGAAGTACATACAATTATGCATGGTGTGGAAAAAGCGGACAGAGAAGTTTTTCTCCTTCTCAGACTAGAACCTAGGGTGATCCAGGGAAGCTGATCATTGGAAGATTCAGGAGGACAGTCAAAACTAAATACTTCTTCATGTAATTAAACTATGCAATTCGCTACCAGAAAATGTAGTACTGTAATGGCCACCAACTTGGGCAGCTTTAAGAAGTGTTTAGGATAAGGCTATTTGTCACGATGGCTGTGTACTACCTCCAGTGCCAGAGACAGGATGTCTCTGAATCCCAGTCTCTGGGAATCCCAAGCAGGGAGAGTCCTGTTGCACACATGCCTGATTTGTGGGGCTCCCCACAGGCATCTGGTTGGCCACTGCGAGGACAGGATGCCAGACTAAAAGGGCCTTTGGTCTGATCCAGCAGGCCTCTTATGTTCTCATTAGAGAATACTTTAATAATCTGCTGGCGTAGATTAAGTTGGCATCATGCTTGCTGAACATTTCTGGGCGTCAATGTAAAGGCAAAGGTAAAGGGACCCCTGACCATTAGGTCCAGTCATGGCCGACTCTGGGGTTGCGGCGCTCATCTCGCTTTATTGGCTGAGGGAGCCGGCGTACAGCTTCCGGGTCATGTGGCCAGCATGACTAAGCCACTTCTGGTGAACCAGAGCAGCACACGGAAACGCCGTTTACCTTCCCGCCAGAGCGGTACCTATTTATCTACTTGCACTTTGATGTGCTTTCAAACTGCTAGGTTGGCAGGAGCAGGGACCGAGCAACGGGAGCTCACCCTGTCGCGGGGATTCGAACGGCCGACCTTCCAATCGGCAAGCCCTAGGCTCTGTGGTTTAACCCACAGCGCCACCTGCATCAGTGTAGGTACTTCCAATAATAAGTTCCAATTGCACTGTACTGAAGAGGGATGAGCCCCTGCTAAAATTTAAAAGGGCATATATGTTTGTGAAGGCCAGACATTGCCTGATGGGGATGGAAGACCCACAGCACAATGAAACTTTCTTTGGATCACCTTATAAGAAAGGGTATAAAGAGACACAGCGTAATGGCACCTCTGTGTCTCTTGTACTATTCCGTTTGTCCCTGGCATTAATTCCGTTTCCAGAGATTTTATGGGTATAATATACATTGTGAGTGCTTTAATAATAATTCTGTGCCCAAATCTATACACTAATATATAAACCCAGATTTATGGCTGGGACTAGACCAGGGCGAATAACAAGTGACCCTTCACCTGCTGTTGGGAATCCACTAGCATGGCTAATGTCAGAGGCCACAGGTTCCCCATCCCTGGACTAGAACAGGAAAGGCTTCATTTACAGATTAGCCTGTTGGAACTCAGTCTGGGCTATGTTGGGAATGGGGTGCTTAGAATTTAAGTTTCTGCGCTGGTTTAAAGTTGGAACTGGGTTAGGGCTTTGGATGCTTTTTCTCCTACTTCTTCTCAGAACTGCAGGTTCAAGATCAGAGTGCTCACCTGAAACTCTGACATCAAAGGAAACAGACTCATCCTTGGTCTCGCAGATGTATTCACCAGCATCTTCAGCACTTGCCTGCAGGACAACTAGGCGACGCTCAGCACCTTCCATTTGAAGCAACAAGTTGTTTGTCTCATCCACTTCCAGGCCGTCCTTGAACCAGCGCACAGGGGCATTGGGAATGGACACCTCGCAGCTCAGCTCCAAGCACTCAAATGCCTGTATATGCTTCTCTAGTGAACGCTCCACTGGGTGCAAAATCTGCACGGGTGGCTCTACAAGACAAATGTAGGAATATATGAGGCTTCATCCCCTGTGTGAGATGACTTAGAGCCACTTAATTCTAGGAAGCTCTGAGATAGAACAGAAAGGATAGGAACCAGAAATCTCAAATATGGCTTCCTCTAATTAGCGAAGAACGAACATCATGGTTAGTAGCAAGAGACAGAAATCCATACCCAAGTCAAAAAGAAAGGGTGAATTTGGGCACAAGATCACTGGGACTGAACCCTGGAGACTTGCTTACCTGTGACACTGACATTGAAGAAGACAGTGTCGCCCCCAGTGCCACATGCAAACTCCCCTGTGTCCTGAACCTGGGCCGCAATAATAACCAGACGGCGATGAGGCCCTTCGCTCTCCAACAGGAGGCCATCCTTTTCCTCCACCTCCTCTCCATCCTTGTACCAGCATACAACAGCATCAGAGCAGGACAACTCACAATCCAGCACTACACGCTCTGAGACCCGATAGGCATGGGCTGCATCTGCATTGGAGTGCAGAACTCGGACAGGTAGCTCTGCAGGGGAGAAATTTATTTATTTATTATTGCATTCATATCCCATCTTTTCTCCAAGGTGGTCCCTCCCCTCCATCCTATCCTCATATCAACCTTGTGAGGTTGGTTAGGCTGAGAGACGGTGATTGGCCCAAGATCACCCAGGGAGAAACATGGTTGATTGGAAATTTGAACCTTGTTGTACCAGGTCTTAGCCACTACACCACACTGGATCTCCATCATAATACCACCATAGCATAGAAATGTCATAAAAGCATGGAATAGAGAGTGAGGGCATCATTTCTTATGTGAGTTGTTGGGGGAGCAATGGAACAGGAGGCTCAGTGCTGTGCATTTCAGTGGAGCAGAAGATAGTGAAAAGGACCTCTTGGATGAGGTACAGGTGGGAAGCAGGGATCTTGGTGCTTGCAGCATGCCTGCCGTTTTAGAGGAGACTGGTGCTACTGAGGTTATTAACAATCAGTTAGGTATGTCACCTATAAATTACACAAAAACGACAATGAAATAACGAGAGCATGAAGAAAGGCAGAAATATGGGTGGCCTCAAGTAGATAAACTTGGTTCAGGTCCTAAAAGGGCAATGAAGAGAGCGACTGGGCAGCTGTTCTGAGAAGTTGTCACCAGCTCCTGAGTTTTTTCAGCCAGGAACAGCACTTTAGGTCTAATAGCATTTTTGATCTCCAACTGGTGGTTTGGGACCCTAAAAGAGGTCATGAGCTAACATAAGGTATGTTGCACCACCATACAACTAGATGGTAAAATGGGGTGGGGGTGGATAAATGGGTCCATATGAGTTTAAAATGCATCTCAGGTTTGGGAAAGCTGAAGACTACTGGTTTAGGGCTTGCCTCATGCACTCCTTTGACATTTTTTTGACTCAACTCACCATCCACCATCACAGTGAAGTCCACAGTGTCATCAGCTGTGTCACATGTATACGTCCCAGAATCCAGGGGGCAGGCTGAATGAACCAACAGCCTCCGAATGCAGCCCTCTGATTGCAACGTGAAGATGTCATGGTCCACAGGATTTCCATCCTTGAACCACTGGACAGTAGCATCAGAGGCAGAGACTTCACACTCCAGGAGGAGAGGCATCCCAGTCAGGATTGTCTGGAGACACTGGGCCTCTGACACTGGAGCGATGTGCACCTTGGGAGCTGAAGAGAGACATTGTGAATGGGTGGAGCACCTTTGTGCTCCTGTGGCCACAGGAAGGAGGACACATGATCTCAAATTGACCTACAAGGAATCTGTGCTATGGAACAAAATATCCTATCTCAGTTGCCCCTTTAATTTATAGAAAGGGCTCAGTTTCTGAAAAGAGAGGTGGGCTCAAGAATAACTAAATGTCATATCCTCTGACCTGCAATGCCAAATGAAAGGGCCTGGTAATTGCTCAGAGATGTGGGTGCAGGGAGACACTTTGCACATGCTCAGAGGCACGTTGTTTTCCTGCTTCCTAGAGTTCAAAACAGAGCCCTGGTTATGAGCACAGGTGAAACAGAAAGCTTTCCAAGGGGTCCCAGCCCCCTGGCACTTTAACTGGCACTTCCCATTTTCAACTGAGTGTAACCATTTGTATGGCAACCAATGGCGGACAAACAAGATATTACTCTGGACTCATGTGTGGGCAAGCAACTTCCTCCATCATAGTTCTGCTTCTCAAATAGTGGCTTTCAAACAGGGAGCAGGAAGTGAACTCTGTATGTTACTCTTGTCTTTTTCTCTTCCCCTGTTTCAACAGGCTCAACTTATACCAGAGGTGCAGTTGAGTGGGATGTGTCTCAAGTTACAGCAATTTGTAATGTTGAACCAAGACTTTTCTCTGAATTGTGCCTTGGAAAAGATCCAGAGCTGAACTCCAGTTCCCTGATGAGGAGCTTATTGGAGTGCCTGTGAATCTGACAGACAACCAAAGAAGTTTAAATTAACTTTACTGAGAAGTTAAAATGAAAGCACAATATGTAATTGAATCGGTATTGAATGAAGAATTGATATTCAGAGGGGTATGCAGAAGGTAATTCAATTTACAACCAGCGATAGTAACTTTTAGGTGAGCCGTAATTCTCTTCTCTGACTTGATCGCCCATTGGGAAAGAATTTGCTTTGATCATTATTTTAGATTTTGCTTTTATTGTTTATTATAGCTATTGGTTGTTTACTGCATATATTCATTATATAAAATATATGTGGGTGTAAGTGTGTATATAATAATGCTGGAAACTGTGAAAAATTGCAGAGAGCATTAGGTGGGCAGGAGAGAGAAGGACATCATCAATCAGTGGGCCACTGTAGCCCTGTTAATGTTTCCAGTGCATGGCTAGCCTCATCCAACAGATTTGGAGGAGGATGGATTCCCACAGGGGTCCATAAAGTTGCTGGGTAAACACTACTGTCAGTGGAAGCATTTCCGCCTGCCGGGCAGAACTATCTCCCATCTCTTCCCCTCTCATGCTGTTCTAGGGGATCTCCTGACCCTGCTGAGTGGATGTGGGGAGGGAGGGAACACATGAGGAAGGAGTGGGGGAGCACGGGGGGGCGCGTTGATGGAGGAAAATCCTATTGCACTAATAGGAGCCTTCCATTGGCTTCTGCTAACATAACAATTTAGTTGAATCTGGACTAGTATCTTGAATAAATACAGACGGGCAAAATTTTCAAGTGTGAAAACCACTGCTTCTAGTAGGCAGCTAGTGGGCAGGTTTGCTGGGCAGCAAAACAGCAGAGGAAGAGGATAGGAGTGTGAGGGTCTGTGATGAGTCAGGAGGGATGGAGCAAAATCTTGGTTTGTTGGGTGGGGATGGGGGGAAACCCTGCCTCTACCCAAACCTGCAGAAATCACAAGGGGGTGAATGCCATGTTGCTTTCATGATGCCAGCAAATGCTGATAAGGGAGAGAAGTGTAGAGCTATAAGCCCTCAGCCTCTGGAGCCAGGATTTAGGGTGAAAATGGAAGATAAAGGCTGGCCTGCCATATGCTCCCTTCCCACCTCACCTCCCACATTGTGCCAGACAACAGCACTTTTAGTTGCATGGATCTCCACTGGATCCCCAAAGCTGCAATGAGTACTCCACCCATTGGGTCATGATGCAGTCAAAGCTGGAGACTGGCTTGCTGCGGCCATCCTCTAAGCCAGGGGTGAGGTTCCCCACCTCAAGCCCAAGAGCCAAATGTTGCTCTCTGGTCTCTCCACCTGCCTCTCAGGGTTCTCCCCAGCTACACAGCCTCTTCCCAGGCTACCACACCCTTCACTGGTGCTGCTCTGCATCCTTCTCAAATGTTTTTGCCTGGCTGGGACTGCAACCTTGAGAATTCAGATAATGCCTCTTGCTTCTCTGGATGGAGGACAAAGAGAGTCCTGTGAATGTGTGCAGAAACCAGCTTACTGAACAAAGGTGAATTTTGTATTCACTGTTCTGCCCACTTTTCCTTCTGCCCACCACTGGCATGTGGCCCCCTGTATGTTGCTTAGAAAGGAGTGTGGCCCTTAGGCTGGAAAAAGCTTGCCCTTCCCTTCCCTATGGCCAAGACACACCTCCACAAAGATCAGGGGCTTAAGCATGAGAAGCAAGCCCACAGACACATACCTTTGGCCCACAAAGTCATGACAGGATCTCCACAGCCACTGCAGCCCCTGGCTCTAGAGCTGGGAAGGGCTTAGCTTGAGCACAGAAGCTGCAGTAGGGCTCATAGGGCTCAGCACCATGGTTTGGCTTTGGGAAAAGCAAGGGCTGGCACAGCCCCTCCTAACTAAAGCCAGACACTCACATATGATGCAAATGTGCAGCATGGCACAGGATCCGTGTTGTGTAGCAAAACCAAGTGTTGGATTGGAATCTAGGAGAGACATTTCTGTTCATTTCTCTGGGTATCTTGTAACCCCCTCGGAGCCCACTCAGATATGGTAGGAAAGACAATATATACAAACTGTATTGCTTTTCGTTATTTTCAGCATTTCTTAATTTCATTTTCTCATGAACATCTATTCCTCTTTCAATATATATTCAATTACATATTGTACTTTCATTTAAACTTCTTAGTAAATATCATTTAAATATCTCTGCTTGCCTCTAAGGCTCAGGGGTGGCCCATGGGGGAACAAGAGTTGACTTCTGTCTCCTCCCCACCCTTTCCAATACATAAATCAATTAACAGAAATCTGAATCCAGGCCTGTCAACTTCCACTTTCAAAAGCACCCACTGGGTGCAGCTCTAGCTGGCTTCATTCACCAGCTTCTGCTCTAACCACTGAACCCATATAGCTCTGTTGTGGAGTATACGTTTCACATCCTAGGTTCAATTGCCAGTGTGTCCAGGTAGGGCTTGAGAAAAAAACGTGTCAAACCCTGGACAGCTGCTGCCAATCAGTGTAGGCAACACTAAGCTAGATGGACAGGTTGTCTTGCTCAATATAAGGCAACTTTCTTAGAGTTTTTTTCAGGACGTAGCACAGGAAAAGCTCAAACTGGCATTATCTCTGCCATATGGCTCCACAGTGAAGTGCAATACAGATTATAGAAGCTAAATGCAAAAGTGATCCCTGGAATTTGAGCTCAGGTGCCCATGCCCTTGGAACATAGGATGCTATCTTATACCAGGTCACGCAACTTGTAGGTCTAGCTCAGCTTGGGGAACCTTCAGCCTGCCAGCCAAAGTAGGCCTGGCAGGAGTCCTTATTTTCCCCCAGCCACACCCTCCCTCCCACAGCTGACATCCGCGGGTAAAACTGAGGCTACTAAGGAACAATTGGGAGCCTTAAAGCCAGCTCCCAGTTGTTCCACTGCAAGTGGGGCTTCCCTTCAGTGCCTTCTAAATTCTCAAGCAGAGTCAGTCCCTGCTGCAACTGGAGCTTACATTTACTGGTGATGAATTTAAATTCGGTGCCAAATGCCAGCCTGCAGGGATTAGCTCCAACAGTGAATTTAAGCTGGTGTGCAAAGTGAAATATTTCACCTGATGGCATGCTGACATCAGGTGATTGGCAGGCGGGTGGGGCTGACCACCTGCCAAAGTGGCCCATGGAGAGTGTGGGGACATCAGAATCTGGCCTGTTGTCTAAATCCAGTTTCCCACCCCTAATCCAGCTCAGTATTGTCTACTCTGACAGAAGCTTAGGAATGGGCTTCAAAGTGGGACTCTGAGGACATATATGCCATGTATTAGAGTGGTCAGGGGAAGAGTCCCAAGGAAGGCGCCACTGTACATTTACTAACCTGCAACTGTAACCACAAAGAAGGCAGAGTCAGTCCCAGTGTCGCACACAAACTCGCCTGAATCTTGCACCTGGGCTGAGGCAAGGACAAGTCGTCGGAGGGGCCCTTCGTTCTCCAGCAGCAAGCGCTCTCCCTCTTCCACTTCCTCCCCATCCTTGTACCAGCGGACAGGGGCACTGGAGCAGGACAGCACACAGGACAGCACCACACGTTCGGAGGCCTGGTAAGAATGGGACGCATCTGCGTTGGAGTGCAGAATCTGCACAGGTGGCTCTACAGGGTGCGTGTGTGTGTGAGTGAAAGAGAGAGAGAGAGAAAGAAGTTTCAGGAATTAGAAGCAGATTTGGAGACTGTTGGGGGCAGTAGTGTAGTAGCAAAATCAGAAGTGCAAGGTCCCTTCACAGTTACGGTATGTGTCACAGCCACATACCCTCACAGCTATGCCCCTGCTAAGGGTATGCAACTTTCTAAGACTAGGCAATAATCTTATAATTATACAATAATAATAATTAAAGATACATTGCAATGATCAATGCAGGTCTTCATTTTAGTTAGATTTACTATTTTCTGCATACATACATGGAAAATGATTTGGAGTGCTTCAGTATCTTCTTTCAGCACACCATTCTCCTGAAACTGAAGCACCTTGTGTTTTTAGTGTTCCTAAATGTTTCATGTTGGATCGCAAAGTGGCTAAAAAGCCCCCCCCCCCCGTCCCTTCATGCTGATTGGGTGGCTCTAGGAGACTGGAGACCCTGCAGGAACCCTGCTGCAGAAATAATAAAGGCAAAGGTAAAGAGACCCCTGACCATTAGGTCCAGTCGTGACCAACTCTGGGGTTGCGACACTCATCTCGCTTTATTGGCCAAGGGAGCCAGCATACAGCTTCTGAGTCATGTGGCCAGCATGACTAAGCCGCTTCTGGCGAACCAGAGCAGCGCACGGAAACGCCGTTTACCTTCCCGCCGGAGTGGTACCTATTTATCTACTTGCACTCTGACATGCTTTCAAACTGCTGGGTTGGCAGGAACAGGGACCAAGCAATGGGAGCTCACCCCGTCACGGGGATTTGAACTGCCGACCTTCCGATCAGCAAGCCCTAGGCTCTGTGGTTTAGACCACAGCACCACACACGTCCCTTGCAGAAATATAGTGGGGTTAACAACCTGGGAAGGTAGCCCATCTGGGAGAAGGAAAACTCTGATCCTAAACCTCCACTGCCTCACTGCTATACTCATTCAGAAAGGTTTCAGAGTAAATCCTGAGGAAGAATCTGTACCTGCTGCCTTGCAGGACATCTTTGGGAGAAGAAAAGGCTAAGGAGTAAACCCTATACAAATCCGGACAGGAGTCCCTAAGGTGGTTGGATGGCGTCTTGTATGCCTCCTTCTGGCAACTCCTGCAGCCAAGCTGGTGCCAAATGTATTGCTTTTCTTTGGATCACACCAGTGAGTCTGAGAGTGGTGGTCTTGTCATCTGGGCAGCCCAGGACCTCCATACAGACTGCGTAGGCTTGCGCCCTGAGGAGGTCACTTTGGTGCTGCAAACGCAGCAAAAACAACATGGGATGCAGCAATTACAAGTTATAAGCTCAACCTGATTGGCATTAGGTATAAACACTATGGGTTGTCTTCACCAATGGGAGAAATCATTGTGTCTCATTGGTCAGCTACTGCCTGCTTCATAGCTGGATAGCCACTGAACAGTAAAGTGCTGACCTGTGACCATCTGCCTGCTTCAGTGGGTGCTTGGAACTCAAAGTATCACATGACAAGCAGAGTGAACTTCTTCAAATCCATCCACACCAGCACTCCGCCCCCCCCCCGACCTTAGACCACTACACCACTGGTTGGGGGAGGATGCTTGGCAGGTTGTCTTTTTTTCTAACCAAAGTGAAAAGCAGTGGATCAGGAACCAGATAGCAAAGTGAAGGGGGCAGGAGAAACCAATGTGTCATGGGAAGCATAAGTGTGGGGGCAGAGTGCATGCGAAAGAGAGAGGGAAAGCTTATTGAAAATGTCATCTCAGCGTGCTGCCATATTTTTGTTTTTTGGAAGGCAAATGCCATGCTAGGAATTTTTGAGAAAGTGCCTGAAAATAAAGTAGCAAATAACACAACTTCCTTATATAAACCTGTGATGAACCCACATTTATAATAACAGTTATGCATGCCTTGAGAGGGTTCAGGGGTGCAGTGAATGAGGACTGGCCGAAGCTCTGTTTCCTTTCTAAGGAGGTCACTGGAAGCTTACTGGAATTTATAAATATTTGCAAATTTAAAGGTTGAACATAAGTGGAAATTCACAACAGACACTGCTCCTCACTTAGGTTATTGGAAGGCAGCTCCTAGGATCTTCAGAGCTCCCCATAAAGCCTATAGGTCTGACCTTTTTCTCAAATTGACTCAGTCTGAATTCAAAGCTCCAAGCTTAGCTCCATTTGCCCTTGACATTTGGCACTGATCTTAATATTGCCACACTTGAAGGAATGAATTACAAAGAGAGGCTCCAGCCTGAAACTGCTGAATTACAATTCATCAAGGCCATCAATTCTATTCAATTGTTTCCCTTCCCACTTCAGATGTTAATTAACTCAGCACTGTCAACCTGATTATCACCTATCACTGCTTTGTAAAGGGTCACTGTGCTTATTTTGCATATATTTCAGCTCTAATTGTCATTATCTGTACTTTTTGCATTTCATCTGTCTCTGACCTCACTGCTTATAAATCCCCCTCTTACAATCTCTGTGTGTGTGTCTCTACGTATCTACATACATACATCTGCACCTGAGGATTACACTTCATGAATCTGATGAAGCGGACTGTAGCTCACAAACACTTGTGCCATAACTTTTTAGTTTTTAAGGTGTCACAAGATTCTTTGTTGTTTTTGCTGCAACAGACTAACACAGATACTCCTCTGGAAGTAGCAAAGCAAATGATGGCAGAAAAAGGCAACTAAAAGAATTCAGGAGATCAAGTATCTTTCTTGTAAATGAAGTAGTTTGATTTTATTTATTTTTTTAGCTTAAAAAGAAGAAACACCAATGTCTTCTGAACAGAACTCACTAACGGCATGAAAAGGAGTGAATAGGAAAATATTATTCACTCCCACTCAAGATGTATACTGTAAACTAATCCACTGAAATGGATAAGAAGTGGGAGGTTTCAGACAAACAAAGGAAAGAACCTCTTTGCACAAGGTATAATCAGCTTATGATACTGACTGACACAGGATGTTGTGATGACAACCAACATAAAGTTTTGTCAAAGGATTAGATAACAAATGAGGATAGAGTGGCTTACTACTCAGAACAGCCCAAAGTGCAACTCCTGTGTTTATTCAGAGTCAGTAGACCTCTAACCACCAGTTACTATCAACAATGAACATTAACTTCCTTCAGGCATCTGTCTGATGACTGTTCATAAACACAGCACAAAACAAGATGGACCAGTACAATTTATGCAGCATGGCAGTTATGCTCCTCTCCCTGTTGGTTCTGACCAAAGTACACCAATGAGGCCTTTGAAGCACCATGGACTGCAGCACAGAGAAGAGCAAAGGACATGGGTTTGGGAGGGGACATCTCTCTACGAAGATAAATTGATTAGTTCTCTTACCAGTAACAGTGATGTTGAAGAAAACAGAATCACTGCCTGCATCACACACAAACTCCCCGGCGTCCTTCATCTGCACTGAAGGAATGACCAGCCGTCGGTGGGGTCCTTCGCTCTCCAGCAGGAGGCAATCACTTTCTTCCACTTCTTCCCCATCCTTGTACCAGCACACGGGAGCATCAGGGCGGGACAGCTCACAGGCCAGCACCACCTGCTCTGCAACCTTGTAGGTATGGGCCTCCTCAGCATTGGAGCGAAGAACCCTCACAGGAGGTTCTGTGGCAAGAAGAGACATTCTATAGATGGGGATCAGTAGAAAGAAACATGCCCTCTCCACCAACACCACACCAAAATCTTGGGAAGTAGAACAGAACCATATAAAATAGGGCTGGGGGACTCTGGGTCCTTCAGATATTGTTGGACACCAAGGCTGTGTACACACCATACACTTAACACACACGGCTTCCTCAAAAGAAGGTAAACTGTAGTTTACCTCTCAGAGCTACAGTTCCCAGGATTCTTTGGGAGAACTCGTGTTCTCATCAAACCCTTTGCCAACTCTGTAATTTATACTGGACATATAATCTAGATTGCCTTTAAAACTGAGAAATTGTCAACAAAGTGTTTTGGAGGAGAAGCTATGTTTGTCTGCTGTATCAAAAGCCACCAAGTTTTGGGGCACTGAAGAGAACTGATAATTAACAAAGCGAAGTCTCCCTAGATGACAAGATATATTCACTCAAGAGTTCTGAATCTGAAGTGGCTGAATTCCGTGCATTAAAGCTATTCAGCAAAGACCTTCAAAAAAATTCACTACAGGGCAGGAAAGTGTCATGGAACAGCCACAGAGAAGAGAGGTTCAGAAGAAATAACGAATGCTTACAAAGGAGAGAGATAAATAAGAAGTTCTCAACTACATGCTCAGAAACAATCGCTAATGACAAATAAAGGGGGCAGACTGAATCCTCTTTTGGTATCATTTAACTCAAACATGGCTATGAAAAATTACAAAAAGACTGCATTGTCTTGAGTTTTAGAAGTGAAAGGCTCTCTAGCCTTAAGATTGAGGACCATTATTGGCCTTAAAATGCATGTCTGGGGAAAAACAACAAATCTCACACTGACCTGTAACAGTAATACTGAAGAAAACAGAGTCGCCACCTGCATCACACACAAACTCTCCTGTGTCCTGTACGCAAGCTGAGGCAATGACCAGCCGGTGATGGGATCCTTCACTCTCTAGCCGAAGTCCCTCACTCTCTTCCACCTCTTCCCCATCTTTGTACCAGAGCACAGGGGCATCAGGACGGGACAACTCACAGGACAATGTCACACATTCCAAGATCTGATAGGTATGATCTTCTTCCGCGTTGGAGCACACAACGTGCACAGGTGGCTCTGTGACAAAAAAGAAGTGTCACCTTCCTTGGAGGTTTATATGCAGTGGCTGGATGCTTTAGTTGAGATTCCAGCATTGCTGGGGGATGGAATAAAACTTCCCAATACAGGGTTTCCTTCAGATGTCTTCTAAAAGTCAGATAATTTTTTATTTCCTTGACATATGATGGGAGGGCATTCCACAGGGCGGGTGCCACTACCGAGAAGGCCCTCTGCCTGGTTCCCTGTAACCTCACTTCTGGCAGTGAGGGAACTGCCAGATCTTCAGAGATGAACCTCAGTGTCCGGACTGAATGATGGGGGTGGAGACGCTCCTTCAGGTATACTGATGTCAGAGGTGCAAAGGGGAAGCATGGGGAGGCTTGCAAAGCCCTCTGCAATCCTCCTGCAACCCTCCTTTCCACCCACAATGTCAGAGGTGCAAAGCATGGGGAGGATTGCACAGGATGTTGCAAGTCTTTCTGAGGGGCTCCCTTTGCCCTCCTATGTCAGAGGTGGAAAGGAGCTGCACAGGGCACCTTTAAGGAGGAGTGCTGGGGGAGACAAGTTCTCCCTCAAATGGTAACACTTCTTCCTCCCTGAACAACCACTTCTCCCTCCCTGAGCACCCCTTGGCTGTCAAGAAGGCAAGATATAAATAATGTATATTTATGTAATGTATATATAAAAAGTAATGTATATATAAAAAGTGGGGAAGGACAGGGGACAGCTCTCACCTGTGATGGTGATGTTGAAGAAGGCAGAGTCACCGCCTGCATCACATACAAACTCCCCTGTATCATGGATTTGTGCAGAGGCAATGACAAGGCGGCGGTGTGAGCCCTCACTCTCCAGCAGGAGGCGCTCACTTTCTTCCACCTCTTCCCCATCCTTGTACCAGCGCACGGGAGCATCAGGGTGGGACAGCTGGCAGACCAGCACCACACGTTCAGAGTTTCGGTAGGCATGGGTCTCTTCAGCGTTGGAGTGCAGGATCCTTACAGGAGGGTCTGGGGGAGGGGAGGGAGAACTGCACCATGAAAAGCCTATTACTGCCCCAGAGCCTGTTGCATCCCCACTCTAGAATTGGAAACAAACTCAAAAAACTGTGAGCTTAATAATAATAATAATAATAATAATAATTTATTATTTGTACCCCGCCCATCTGGCTGGGTTTCCCCAGCCAATCTGGGCGGCTTCCATAGAAACCAAAAATACACTAAAATATCACACATTAAAAACTTCCCTGAATAGGGCTGCCTTAAGATGTCTTCTGAATGTCAGGTAGTTGTTTATCGCTTTGACATCCGATGGGAGGGCGTTCCACAGTGTGGGCGCCACTACCGAGAAGGCCCTCTGCCTGGTTACCTGTAGCTTTGCTTCTCGCAATGAGGGAACCGCCAGAAGGCCCTCGGCGCTGGACCTCAGCGTCCGGGCAGAACGATGGGTGTTACACTGGGACGTGGGAGAGCCATCACTGCCTCTCCGTCTCACCTGCCTCGCAAGGTTGCTGCGAGGATAAAGTGGGGAGAACTATGCATATCACCTTGGAGGAAAGGAAGGGTGCACAAGGAGGCCTACTTTCAGTGACAGAACCTCGTGCCATCATATCTCCCATTACTAAGAGGTCAGCTGGTTTAGAAGACAGAAAGATGAATTTGTATTTGGAAGACTTGGATTTCAAATGTCACCTTTGCCACAGACTCTTTGTTTGGCCTTGAGCAAGCCACTGTTTGTCAACTTCAGCTCTCCCATCTACACACAACAGAGATAACAGTGACCAATCTTGCAGGGTTGTTATGGAATGGGAATTTGCTCACTTAGCCAACAGTTAAAGTAATTTAGAAATTATAAATGCCATTAACATGTAGGGCTTGGACACAGAATGGCCCACATACAGATTCTGACTTTGCCATGAAACTCAAACTGCCAAGCCACTGGGCAAGTCTCCCTCTCTCAACAAGGGAGGGTGTTTGAAAAGTATGAGAAGCTGCCAGCTCTGCAGGCAAACAGGGTGACATAACTGGGCTCCTGAGTCCCACAGGGGTGCCGCAGAAAGAATGTAGTTGGTAAAGGGAGTCATGGACTCAAAAAGGTTGAAATCCTGTGCTTTAGGTCATTCACAGCAGCTACCGGTACTTCACTCAAGCTTCATTCCTAAGCTTTTGGGCCAACAATGCTGTTGAACAGGTTTCTTTTCTTTTTCTGGAATGGTGACACCAGCAACTTAGCTGAGAAACAACGAAAGGGGAGAGGTGTGTTTGAAATAACCTTTGAAAATCTAATTGTGTGTTTGGAACAATGAAGCACCAGTAGACAATTTCAGAAAAGCTCAGCATTTCAAGTTTATAAAACAGTGATGGAGTGGTTAATTCAAGAGTGTGAGTGCTCTTCACGATAACCCCACAGCTATGCCCCTTCTCAGACTATACATTTTAAAAATGTATTTTTCCCCTCATATAACACACACCATCTGCTTTGCTTAACATTCAGCCTGATTAAGACTTCTTGTGGACTCAAAAGCTTGCTCACTATTTTGTAACATTTTGGTTAAAGGAACTTCAAGGTTTTTTTCAAAATAAAAGATCCACTTTCAGCCTTAGTCATGCACACTAATGTAGCCTACATCTTCCTTGGCTTAACTTATTTAGTGAGTTTCTCTTGGTGAGAGGCCTCATTTATTTGACATGAGAAGGACTGACAAATAGTGCCCCAAGAGATCACATTATTATTAATATTACTATTTCTTACCCTCCTTTCATTTAAAGTTGTAGGGTGAATTAGAAAGCTATTTTAAAACACAGTATTAAAAATGGCTTTAAAAAAACAACTGTCACAATAATAGGGTGTGTCTCCTGAAAATATCTCTCTCTCAGGCCAGGACAAAGAGGTTCATCTTCAGCATACAATGAAAACTACATAATGAAAGTGCCAGACACACCTCTGTGCGCTATTGTTCCTGGTCTGCTACATCACTGTTGTAAAATCTTCTGCAACTTAGGTGCCAGAGTCCAGATGGCTGAGAAGAATGTTCCTACTCCTCAGAAAAAGGAGCTATGTAGTCTGCTGTAGAAAAAAGATTAAAACCCTACCCCAAACTGAAACATGTGGCACCTTAAAGACAAGCTACTTAATTTTGTCATGAGATTTGATAGACAAGAGCCTATTTCATCAGAATCAGAATTAAAAATGGATATCCACCATCTTCATTGTCCATGCATTGGATGAAGCAGGCCTTTCCCTATGAATGCAGATATATATTCCTGTATTGTTTTTAAGTGCCACAAGTCTACTTGTCATTATTATTATTATTATTATTATTTGTCCCCTTATCTGAGCCAGAAAAAAAGGTTGTTATCTATCTGATTCTTTGTACCAAGCTATCAAGGACTGAGCAGGGAGGGCATGTTCAGATTGTGGTGGCCCTTCATTTGGGGGAAATTACTGACCTGTAACAGTGACGTTGAAGAGCACAGAATCTCCACCTATGTCACACACGAATTCCCCTGCATCCTTCACCTGTGCTGCAGGAATGACCAGGTGGTGGTGTGGGCCCTCACTCTCCAGTAAGAAGCTGTCGCTTTCATTCACTGCCTCCCCATCCTTGTACCAGCGCACGGGAGCATTGGGGTGGGACAGCTCACAGGTTAGCACCACACGCTCTGTGACCTGGTAGGTATGGGCCTCCTCAGCATTGGAGTGAACAACCCGCACAGGAGGTTCTGCAACAGCAAAGAGTTACTATAATGGCAGAAAAGGTGGAAAATATTCAGAGGATGGAGCACATTTTCTGAACTGGGGGTGGAAAAGATTGGGCTGCAGGACAAACTCCTGCTGGGACCGGATGGCAGAAATTTCACAGGTGCCCCTTATTTTAAGGGACCCCTTTATTTTAATAGGTTAGACCTTATTCTAAGACCTTAATCTAGCAAGGGTTGCATAACTCTTTTTAGGCCCATAGGCACATTCAGGTTGTTGAGCAAACGTTGTGGGTATCACCCATTCTGGTCTCTTCTCCCTCCTCTCCCCTGGACTATTCCTCCTCCTTGCCCTGAGACAGAAAGATAGAAGGTGCGCGCACACACAGTTATGTTTTCAAAGGGATCTTAGTAAAAGTGTGACCCCGTACAATTAATCTGAGCCTTGATAAGCACATAGAGTTGAAGAGGAAGTGGGAAAGAGTATCAGTCTTCCAATTTCTTCCTTCAGCTCTATGTAATTCGCTTTTCAAGGAAGGAATAGTTAACTATCCTAACCCGCCATGGCCAAGGTGACAGTGTGTGGGTGGCCTCAGAGGGTTCACAGGTGTCAGGGAAAGACCTCAATGACACCCTTTTGCCCACCGCAATGGCTCCATTGGTGACCCAAGTAGAACTTACACTAGCTGATCCTCAAAACTAGGCCAACTTCTTTTTCCTCCACTCACCATCCACGGTCACAGTGAAGCTGATAGCATCATCGCCTGCATCGCATGTATATGTCCCAGAGTCCAAAGAGCAGACAGAGGAAATCAACAACCTGTGGATACGGCCTTCGGTTTGGACACCAAGGCGACTATCATCCAAGGCCACAGGATTCCCTTCTTTAAACCAGTTGATGGGGGTGTCAGGTATAGAGACTTCACACTCCAGGAGTAGAGGCATGCCAGCTGTGAGTGTTCGGAGTCGCCTGGCCTCAGGCACTGGGGTGATATGTACCTGTGGGGCTGGGGAGACACAGCGTGTGAAACCTATGCAAAATGAAACATTAACTTCACAGACAGAACAGGTTATGCCACTTGAAAACACCAGGTACACCTGTGAGAGAAAACCTCTGTCCAGTGTCACATGTGAAAAGCACAGAAGTGACTACCTTGTGGTAATAAGTTGTGGTGATAACCACAAGAAATTGCTGGGATGGAAGAATCATCAGGATATCTGTATTTAAACACAACTCTGAGTGACAGATATGAAGCTTGTGATGATTTGTTCCATCTTTCAACACAGTTGGTGCCAAGGCAATGGATCCATAGGCTTAATCCAACTGTTCATAATCTCCTTTACTCAGAAGAATATTGTGACAGTTCCTGCTTTAGTAACAGTGATTCAGATTAAAAGCCTTCCTTGGGTAATCCTTGTAAATAACTGAAATGCAATGGAAAGATCCTTTAATCATGTCACGCCTCATACACATATTATACAACAGCAGGTATGTTTATATCTATTTATGCACAATGAATTGTAGCCTTTATAGTATAGAAAAAACATTTTTAAAGGGCAATAAAAATTAAAATGTACAGACAAGGCAAACAAGAAGACAAGCTTCCCATTTATTTTAATTGCTTAAACTGTTGCTACCTCTGTTTATCTGATTTTTTGCTTTGTTTTTGGATTGCTGTTTTACTTGTTATGCAATTGCAACTGATGTATTTTATGTTCAGTTGTATTTATGCATGCATTTATGTATTTTAGCTGTGCTATATGTTTTTAATCATATAGGGGAGATGCCTTGGAGGCCACAGAGATCTTGGAAATTAAATAAATACATAAGACAACATAAGTTATGACTGAGATTTTAGATTGGCTGAAATGTATCATGTGCAGGAGGACATCTTATCTACTAGTTTCGGCAAAACTGGATTGTGCCAATTTGGCTTTGGTTTGTGCAAAGACTAGTGCAAATCACAAAAACTCAAAATAAACAAATGCAATTCAGAATAAACTGTCAGAGGAGTGTTTCAAAGAGATCTGATGCAAATGCCTTGAAGCCAGTTGTTGTCATTTACAGCTATAAAGATTCCAGCTGCAAGGAATCCAAGTGGAATAACAGCTGGCAGCTTGGAGGGCTAGACCACATATGGCACAGGAAATTCATGATCAGATCTCCTGCTATATTTTTTTGTTTTACTTGAAAATAATTGCAAATGGGGCTCTGGTTTTGACTGGAACAGCAATACCTACAGAAGAGGTTTTTAAACCTTAACTTCCATGCCGTTATTTCCATCTAAATTCCATCTAAACTATTATTCTCACAGCAGAACAATCCATAGGCCCAACCTCTGTTCTTCTGCCATGGGTCCGTAGATGTTGTTGGACTATAATCCAAAGCAGGCCTACCCAAAGGTCAGGGATAAAGTCCAACAACATCTGGGGACCCAAGATTGAACACTGTTGCATATTATGGGCAAAGCACTCCTCTTTTCATGGGATGGTTGCTTGTATGTAATCATTTTAGGTACAGTCGACCAATTCCTAGTCCGCTACCTAGATCCAACCAAAGGCTCACCTTGTACACATAATGCAGCACATTCCTTCACACCATTAGCCTCAAATTGCACCTCAGACCCATTGGCTGCTAGCTGCACTCCTTTGATCCGCAAAGCATGGTCCAACCCGCTGTGTGTGATTTGGTACTGCTGTCCTTCTTCCCCCTCCTCCTCTTCCAGCCTTTTCCCATTGAAGGACCAGCAACCGCTCTGAGAGGCTGAAAGCTGCACTGAAAAAGTAGCATCCTCTCCAGCATGAACCTTCACATCTTGCAGTCCTTTTTGTATACGAGCCCTGGGCACTACAAAGGCGGACAGAGATGAAGGAAGTCAGCTCAAAATGGGTGAGGCATGCATGTATACACACACTCAACTGACACACACAAATGGGAAGAAAGGAGTTCAGATTGTGGAAGAAAATGAATAGGAGGCATTCAACTGTCTGAGGGTACTTCCAGATGGATAGTTATTGTGGAATTGGTGCTGCTCACATCTGAAGGTGGGTTTTTTGCAGGGGCAGCATCTATATGACATCACCATCATCAAAACGATAGCTTGTATTTTTTATATATCTAATTTAGATTTCTGCACACTGTGAAAAATCCAATAAGTGAAAACAATCCATTATATATCACTGTTGTGAAAGCTTGTTAGCACATTTCTCATGGTGGGTGGTTTGTCACATCTGTGGTGATGCTTCAGTGGGTGGCTTGTATTGCCAGACTCCGCTACTGCAGTTTGCTCCTCACCTGAGCACAACCTAGCCATTTTGTTTAAGAGGCCCCAGTACCAGACAAAAGGCATCTACTTCCACGGATATGCCACATGCTGGAAGCAGGCCTGGTTTGAAGGAGATACTGTCACAAGATCGCCACACAGTATATTGTGAATTGCCTAAGGTGGAGATAGTAATCACAGCACATACACTGCGCTTTAAAATAAAAAGGAATAGGGAGGTCTCAGACAAAAAAAATATGGAAATGAGCATTCCCACCCACCCACCCCCAAAAAGAAAGAAAACCACAAGCTTCCAAAGCTGACTGCAGGAAGCTCATACTAATAACAAACTTAGTTGGTCAAGGTGCTCCTGGAAGGAATTTTTTTTATTTTGTTTCTACTAAAGATACTGGTTAGTTAGTAAGAAATAGCCTAGCTAATTTAGGTGCCCTGCTGAGCAAATATAAGCAGAAGGTAGCTGGACAGAGTAGTGGTCCTTCCCTTTAAATGGTAAGGGTAGTCTAGCAGGCAGGTGGATCATCATGGCCCAGGAAAGCAAGGAAGTGGCAACACTTATAGTGTTTCCACAACTGCAGAGGCCAATGGCAAAGGGCAGTGGAAGAAGAGAGTGCCCCGTGGTTCAATAATAAAAGGTCATAGATCCTTGCAATGTCCATGCTTGAGTAAGGGACAGTGTCCAGTCACTATTAGGGGGCAGAGAGGCTTACCAAGGTGCACAGTGCCTGGGAATTCCACATGGCCACTACATCCATACTGATTGGCAGAACACACACGGAAACGGTAGTCAGCCTCCTGAGGCACACCATCGCCTGGAACTTCAACCATGCTGGCAACATCAGTGGTGAGGCAAGGCACCCACTCAGCTTCTCCTACTGCCTGCCTCTCAAGAATGTAACTACTTGGTGGGCTGCGGTGAACATCAGGTGGTGGGCACCAAGTTAGGAGGGCAGCATTGTTGCGTGACATGCACATCCTTGCTGCCACAGGTGCACTTGGTGGGATCCTCTTGGCACCTAGAGAAAATAATTCAATTCTATCAATTTTCCATCTTATTAACCTGAGGCATAATCCAGAGAATAGATAACTGATCAGCATCTGTCTGTCTGTCTATCTATCTATCTATCTATCTATCTATCTATCTATGGCCACAGTTAGTGCACAAGCTTAAAATGATGCAAGGCACTCCTGTCAGATGACATTATACAACCAGCGCATCCTGTTAGTGCAATAGGACCCCCTCTTCCTCCTGCACTCTCCCTGAATCTGCTCCAGGTTATTGGGGGAACCCCTAGAACAGAGTTAGGGAGGGCCTGGAGGAAGAAGAGGGGAAGGGAGAGGAGAAGGGTACATGGTTCTCCAGTAACAAAGCTTGTGAGTTCGCCAAAACTACAAACTTGATCCTTAAGTTTAGAGGGGTCACAAGCCCATTCAGTACAAACTGAATACCATGAAGCCTCTTAGACAAATTACTTAACCTCCATCTTGTTAGGATTGAGTTTCAGTTCTAGCCCCTATCTAGGCCATAACTGGTTTGTGGCAATGTGTGTGCATCAAATAGCAATAGTCTTCTACAGCTCTTCATCACACGTGCACATGGCAGAATAGACACTTCAATGTGATGTTGCCAACAGCATGTACATTTACACAAATTCAGTTTACACTCTTAAAACCCAAAAAGTGGTGTCTTGGGAGGGAAGAAAATCCTCAATCTGCCTATCTGCTTGATAGACCTAGGGCCAAAATATACATTAAACAAAGCTGTGTGTCCTTTCCACAAAGTATGATTTTGTTAGTTTTTTTCTGTTTTAAACAGAAAAGCAGTTCTGAGGCTGCAATCAAGAGTGGAAGAGAGATAGGGTGGCTTATTTAACCCTTGTCCTCCCTCCCCCATTCCAGAGCATGGGAATGAAGCTTGAGGGAATGGGAGAGGAACAAACACCTAGATAAAATATTAAGCAGCCCTTGCCCATTCCAACTACTTTTGCATGATCAATTGCAACCTCTGAAACTGTTAGCAAAACAAACCATCAAGGCAAAAAAACCACACAATTGGGGCATACAGCAGGGAGCAGGGAGCAGCTTAGATTGTTGGACAGCAGGAAAAACAGAAAACAAAAACAGCTGCTGTCAGCAAAGCCTTCTATGTATGATTAATTTTGTTCCTGAGACGTTTCAAGTACAATAACTCTTTATCAAGGGTTATTCATAGATTTCAGCTGTAAAGTCTCACAAGTAGCTAGTTTGTAGCTTAGCTGCAATTTCTTTCTCTTGTGATTCTACAGCAATTTGATCCTCATTCTGGCATAGAGATGCTCAGGGCTCCTCTAGACAACTTATTTATTGAGCATTCATCCTGATTTGCTTGCACAAAGCTTACATGGAGGTTAGATCATATCTGGTCTTTATTTAACATTCATTCTAAAATGTTGGCAGGGTGGTTATACAACAATGATCATTGATCCTCCTATTCATCCTGATTTGCTTGCAGGGTGTTTACTACACAACTTTCCATTAATCATTCATTCATTCCACCTGCTTCAATGCAATTTACTGCCACTTTCCTAACACAAAAAGTACATTTTTTAAAAAAGCGGGTTCGTTGCACTCTGGTGACATAGCACTTTAACCTACTTTAATTGCACAAACCTAAATTTCACGATATGTGCTTGCATCCCTCCTGCAAAATATTGGCAGTCTGGTGACACCCTCTGAAAGGCAGAGTGTGACCTTTGAAGGGCTCTCATAGGAGAATGGATAAAAAACAGCACAAAACCAGAACCTGAGGTCAAAAGAGGGGTTGAAATGTGTTAGTCATTATTAGAATATTGGTTTAAATTTCTGTGACAATTCAGTCATGACCCGACTCCACGTCATTCAGGGCAGTCTCAATCAGGCTGGATCCAGGCCTGGCCTACCAACTAGAACACTACAGCATATTCCTGCATTGCAGGGGGTTGGACTAGATGGTCCTCAGGGTCACTTTCAGCTCTATAATTCTATGATTTTATTATTCATTATGGGTGAATCTGGTTTGACTCTAGAGTGGGATATGTCAAATCTATTTTCTGTGGGATATCAATTCCAATCCAGTCCAGGATGAAAGACAGGAAATAATAAACTTTTCCTTTAGTGAGGAAACTAATGATTGGAGTTTGTGTCAACGGCCAAATGTAATGGGTTTTGTGGCTAGCTGAATGCTCCTTCTCCTGCTGCAACTAGCCCCATCTCTCCTCTCCACTCACATTTGACACGGAGCTGTGCGGAGGTCTGCGACTCGCCCGCCGTGAAAGTGATGACCCCAGCATCGTGCCGTGTTACGTGCACCAGGACCAGAAGATGGGTTTTGCCAAAGCTTCTAATGAGGGTATGGGGTGCCTCCACCAGTTCCTGACCATTACGGCCCCAACTCGGTGCCTCCACAGGTTCCCGCGTCTCCACGTAGAAGGCGGCATTCTCCCCTTCCATCACATCCAGCTTCCGCGGCAACCGCTTCACAATCAGACCTGAAGGAAGAGTTTGGACAGTTAGCACAGAAAGAAGAGCCTCTATCATAGCCACACATGACTCCAAAACTCTCCTCACCTTGCACTGACAGCTCCCCAACGCTGCGGCCCTTGCCCTCCATCTCACACAGATAAATGCCATCGTCGTCAGCCCGGGCATCCCGCACTGTCAGCCGCCGCAACAGGCCCTGTTCCTCCATCAGGTACTTGGGGCTGGGCTGCAGGCGCTTGTCTTCAAGATACCACGCTGTAGGGATGGTCTCCAGAGGTACTTGGCACTCTAAGACTGCATCCTGGCGCTCCAGCACTTCCACATCCACCAACGGTGCCTGGAACCGCAGTCGGGGTTCTGTGAGAAAGAGATAAAGACGGACCTGAATGTATGTGGAAACCTGAACATAAGAAAAGGACCATCTCCACAGAGACAACTGAAATCTTCAGGGTCCCAGAGCTGAGGAAAAGAGTCAGGGTGCTGGGATCCAGAAAATATCAAGCTTCTCCCTGACAAAGGTCCATTCCTTTGTTGTTGCCACAGCCCTCCTGCCTCAGCCCTCTGGCTTCCTTGTGTTTTGTTTCACAACCAACACAACTAATATTTTCTCCTCTCCATTTGGCTGGGCTCCTACTTCAACCATCAAGCACATTTGCAGCCCAGAAACCCCTATCTGGTTCTTCTTTCTAGAGCTTGGGAAGACCAAAGAGCTGAGCACCACGTCACATTTTCTTGGTGTTGTGATACCCACTGACCCCCCCCCCATCCATCATGAGAAAGTGTCCGTAACTAGTTAATCTTTTTGGGGCTTTGCCACATGGAATAATCAGTAAGATGAACAGAGGCGTTAATGAATACTGAATCTCAACATTTACAAATGCACAAGGCAGTTTTAACAAACATGATAGTAATCTCCCCGGCCTATGTTCTTTCTAGAATATTTTGTCATCAAACCTTGAAAGGGAATATGAATGTGAGGGTTTAAACATAATTGTTTTAACAAGCACTAATGGTTATCTCCTGCCCACATTCTTTCTGGAATGTTTTGCCATCAAACTGAAAAAGGGACTAGATAAACATGAAAGGTTTAACTCAATTGTTTGTAAAGCTGCTGTGGGGCCCTGAGGAAAGGTACTGAGGAATATTCAGCTAGTACCTGCCCTTCCTTTGCCTGCAGAATTGGGAAGCAGAATTGGAATGTAGAATTGGGGGGAGGGCAACCAGGTTCTCCTACCAAGGGTTATTCTGAGAAGTGGCAGAGTGCTAAGTGGGTGGCATGTGGTATCTATCACACTGAATCTCTTTGCTGTCAGCTATCCGGGTCCCAGTGCAAAGGGACACCTGCCACCCACACAGCAGCCCAAGGGAATGCAACACAGAGATGGAAATGTGGGAAACAGCAAGGGCAAATTGCTCTGGGAAGAACAGGCAGGGGTTGCTTTGATGGCACAGCTGAGCTCAGTGATTAATTTCAGGACAAAAAGACGCCAGGCTCAAGTCAGTCTGGAAATAATATCCTTTTGTCTGGAAGTCCTTCCCCTTAATCTCCAATGCATGGGGTTTCTATAAGGTTACTCAGTGATAAGATTAATATACTTTGCACCCAACTGGTAAGAAGTTTCATCTTTTCTCATAGCAGCACTGGATTAAGGGCGGTGTGGGTGGTTCCCTTGCACAGGGCGCCAAGCTGAGGAGGCGCAAAATAATAATAATAATAATATTGAGAATATCTATTTAAAAAGTAACTATTGCAAAAGGAATTATTGTGAAAAGATGAATTATTTGGGAGGGGGTGCCAAAATTTGTCATTGCTCAGGGCACCATATTACCAAAGTCCACCCCTGTTCATAGCTCAGTGGAAAAGTATGTGCCTTGCATCCAGAAGGCCTCCGACTCAATCACCCGGAATCTCCATGGAGATACCCCTGTCCAGTGCTCTTTTTTTAATAAAAAAGGTGCCAGAACTCACCATGAACGCCTCTCTTGTTCTCTTATAATGGCAAAGGCCCCACCTGGGAGGTGTTGGAACTGAGTTCCGGCAAGTTCCAGCTGAAATAAAGCCCAGCCCCAGTTTGAAATCCTGGGTAACTGGTTCTAGTTAGGGCAGACTGTTCTGAACTAATGGCCTGTCTCTGTATAAGGCAGCACCCTATATTCTTATTCTTATTATTTATTAAATTTGTATATCGCCCTTCATCCAAAGATCTCAGAACTGAGAATAGATGTCAGGACTGAGGCCTAGCAAAGATTAAGCCCTGGATGAGAAGACATTAAGACAGATAACAACAAATAATCATTTAAAATGTGTGTCATGTTTTAAAGGGAATTCCCCCTAGAAATAATGTTCTGGTTGGTCCAGGTCAACACAAGCAGTGAGGTGGTAAAACTAATCCTGATTGAGCCACTTCAGTTGGGCAAACCCCCACCCCTCCCACACCCAAAGAAAGCTAGCATTTCAGGGGAAATGGCAGGCTGTAACACTTTTCTATCATGTCCCATTTTCTATGAGCAAAGAGTGCTTTATATAGTTTTTATGGTTTTATTGTATGGTTTTATGGTTTTATTGCTGTAAACTGCTTTGATTTTTTTTAATGATATAGCAGTATGCAATTTTAAATAATAATAATAATGATGGTGATAAAATAAACATTTAATTCAATCTGAAGGGGTACAGTCAGGGAACAGTTGTACTGCCTCATCTACTATTTGCTTAATCTAGGCTTTAAACAATCTGTATTATGTTTCCCTTCTGTTTACCAGCATGCCACAATAACTTATTCAACTTATTATTAATGGGCCACAGTTGGCCCACTCAGTTCCTCTGTACAACTAGCCATCTCTCTTTCTCTGCTTCTTCTGAGGGGATTTTTTCTTTCCATCCTTTATCCACTCAGGCTCCCGTCCTGACAGATGTTTCAACTATTTAAAAACAAAAAACAACAACAAGAATGCAGGCACTTCAAACTCTCTGGGTAACATGTTCCATTGCGTGGCTATTCTTATGGACAGAAAAACCTTCCTGGTATTCAATCTCTCACCCCTGCTCCCACCCCCCGCCTTGTAAAGCCCATTTCTCATCTTGCCTGACCCTCAGCAGGTTCAGAGAACAGTTGGTTCATTTCTTATTAAGGACAGCCTTTGACGTATAACTGAAGCCTGTTATCATGCATCCACCTCCCAGATTCTGCTCTCCAGGCTAAACAAAAGTGCACAACTCAGCAGAGCCTTTATCATCATCTCCCTTGATCTCCTTGGAACCCTCTTCAAAATTAAGGGCTTCAAGCCATCAAAGAATGGGCCCGTCCATAAATGCTGTCACACTTCGAAAAACTTTTTTTTTAAGCACACCCTCCTTTCTCCCCCTTGTCACACTTTGCCCTCATTTTAGCCAATATGACATGCATTAGTATGAATTATCCCATACCAGTCCACAAATGTCCAGGGGTGGCCAGCAGCTTCTACAAGGAATTCTTACTTCTGCTGTGGCAGCACCAAGAACTATGGGCAGCCCAAGGCCAAACATAGCCCAATTTCCAGGTCTGACAAAGAGCGGGCTGTTGTTGACCCTGGCACTGGCAGACCTTTCCCCTCAACATCCTTTCTGAGGCAGAGGTCTAGTTCAACAGCAGGACAAAACAGTAAAAACCACTTCAAACCGCAGGTGGAAGATCACATGACTAAATGCTCATAGCACTGGATTAAACCCTGTGGAGGCCTCTAGGGCCTAGGCAGTTGAACGGGGGGTGGGGGGCCCACAAATTGTGTCCTAATATGTTTTTGTAATTTCCTTTCAAAATCAAATCAATATTATTTTGATCTGTTTTCACGGGGCCCCTAAAAGGCATAGGGCCCATAGGCCAGTGCCTACTTGGTAATCCGGCACCGAATGCTCATCCATTTTTATTTTTTAAATGGATTTAGTAGCAAGCTGGACATTAATTTTTCAGCTTGACATCTTGGGTTGTATGTGCAATAGAGGAGGACTCAGTCCTGCAATCCCCACCTACAATCCAGGAGTATTTCCACCTCATCTGCCGTTGTGTAACTAGGCCTCACTATCCTGCTAGCCAGCAAACAAAATCTCCTTCAGTTCTCTGAGCCACCAAGAGCCTCCTTCACTCAAAAAATTGAGTAGAATCCATGGGTAAAAGAGGGGATTGTGCCCATTGCCTTCACACACACTCAACTTCTATGTGTTGATCAGTAATTCTGGAGAAAAATCCCATGGGCTTATAGCTTGTAGGCACATAACTCCGAAGATTTGTCAATGTGCAGTTGTTGCTAAAAAGGCTACAGTTCAAGTGAGCAGGCACAAAAGCTGCAGATATTATCCTACCCCCCTGCCCCACCTACACACACCTCTTGATTACTTGAGTAATTTCTGCACACATTCATTGTATGTGTAAAAAGGACTATAGTTCTTCTTGCAAGATGGAAGAATATCCTGCCGAGTTATGTTCTAGGACCGCTATCTCACATGCCATGTCTCCTCCTTCCGGATGGGAAATATTTCATGTTCAGCCCTGCACTTGGCATTTGACCTGGTCTCTCTGGCTACTACCCAAACTACTCAGCACTTCATAGGCACTGTCAGTGGCGAGTGGCATACACTCCCCATTCCTGGCAAGGCTTCCAGGAATGTCCCAGAAGGGTCACCCAGACACCTCAGCATAAAAGCAGACAACAAGCAGGGAGCAGTACCCACCACGCTTACAGTGGCCTTTGAGTCTGCTACTGTCTCTCAGGCCCAAAAGAGAAGGCCATAGGAGTTCCACATGAGACCGCTTTGGCTCCAGGCCTGTCCCCCCTCTGGCAAGTGAACTGCTAACTCTGGAGCTTGTACTTCTTTATTGCATCACGGTTCTTATTTTACATAATAAGCTGTCTGTACTCTCCCAGCCTGGAGCAATTGGCTGCTTGGTTCATCATTCTCATTAGGGCAAGGGTGGATCAGAGGTCATGCAGGCATAATGGGTTCCATAATCTAAGACCAGGCCCTCCAAGTGTCCCTGTTTTCCAGAGACATTCCCAGATTTACAGAAGCCATCCCAGTTTCTAATTTGATCCCAGAATGTCCCACTTTTCTTTAGGATGCCCCTATTTTCATCAAAGAAATGTAGGAGGGTATGGATATATGCTATCCCCATAGGCAGCCCTGTATAGGGAAGGGTTTTTTTTAATGTTTTATGTTTTATTATGCTTTTATGTATGTTGGAAGCTCCTCAGAGTGACAGGGGCAAACCAGTCAGATAGGCGGGGAATAATGATAATAATAATAATAATAATAGAATAGGACATCTCTATTTTCATCAGAGAAATGTTGAAGGGTGTTTTTTTTTAATGTTTTATGTTTTATTATGCTTTTATATATGTTGGAAGCTCCTCAGAGTGATAGGGGCAAACCAGTCAAGTAGGCGGGGAATAATAATAATAATAGAATAGGACATCTCTATTTTCATCAGAGAAATGTTGAAAGGTGTGTAAGAGGAAGGGTTTACTTTTAACTCAAAACTCAGAATTTATGCTGTAACACCCACCACTCCACCCTGTCTCTGCTTTTCTACAACCTCAAGGGGTTGTCCTGCCTCTAATACTTTAATCCTGTTGAAAACAGGCTCCCCTGTTTTCAACTAGATCAACTCCTTCTTCTGTCCCTTAGAGGCGCCCATAATTGTTCAGGCTTTGCCCTCCCACATGCCAAGCGCCCTTCTTGTTCTGACTCCTGGATTCAGACACCCACCCCTCTGTCCCCCCTCCCCACAGTGTACGCACCTTTGACATGGAGGCTCACAGCGCTGAGTGTCTGGCCAGCAGTGTTGCAGGCTGTGCATACATAGAGGCCACAATCCCGAGCTGTGCAGTATAGCACCTTGAGGATAAAGTAGCCCTCCCTGTCCTCGTAGAGCAAGTGTCTCCTTCCAGGGGACAGGACCATCCCATCCTTCTGCCAGACGATCTCCGGCTTGGGCTTCCCGGTTACATAGCAGCGAAACTTGGCGTGCTTCCCTTCATTGACGGTAAAGGCCTTTGGCGTGGGTGGGCTAGGAAGCACTTCTCCGTTTTGCCTGGATTCTGACGACACCTTTTGCCCAGGATGATGCCCCCTCCACTTTTCATCTTGTGCCTCCAGCTGCTTCTTGAAATGGCTGTTCTGGGGTGTAAATGCGTCACTGTGGGGAACACATGCTACAGAATCCACCAGGAGCACAGCTGCAGCCATGGTTTCTCCAAAACTGTTCTGTGCCCGGCATACATAAACACCGGCATCTGGGAGACGGGTGTTATAGATGTGCAGAGAGTGCCAGTCACCAGTCTCTCTGCCCACTTTGTAATGGCTGCTCTCAAAGATGTCTGACAGTTTCCACCCATCCTTTTCCCACTCAAGCTCCCCCGAGACCCTGCAGGCAAAGGTCACATCCTCTCCCCTGGTCACGCGTGCAGAGACCGGCCTATTCAGGAAGACCGGAGGTTGAATGTCAAGCTCTCCTTTGGGTTTCAGCTCTGCTGCCTCCACTTTGAGAGTAGCAGCTGCGTAGGTTTCACCCACACTGTTCTTAGCTTTGCACACATAGCGCCCGCTGTCCGCTGGACCAGCCTGATACACCAGCAGGCTGTACGCATCCCCATCAGCCTCCACCAACATCCGCCCTGATGGCAGGTCCAGCACAGAGCCATCTTTCTCCCAGGCGACGCTGGGACGTGGCTCACCAGCTACCTGCCATTTCAGGACCGCATTGGTGCCACTCGGCACTGTAAAAGTACGGGGGTAGGTGAGAAATCGGGGAGCTCCCCCAAAGGCATCCATGGTTGGCACACTCGGGATACAGCTGAGGCCAGGGACCTACAGAGATGAAGAAAGAACCATTGCTGGAGAAGCTGGGGTGAAGGACGGGGAAGGAGACCTTCCCTGCGATTCAGCTCACTCAACCCAATTGTGATGTTTAAGTGGATCAGAACTCAGTTTGGCAAGCAGGCAAGTGGCCATGCGATCACTTATCCTACCCATATTTTTATCACACTGCTATCCAACCTTTCTTCAGCAGCCAGTGAAGCTATCACATGGCAGATGGAGGCCAGAGGCATTCGACCCACCCATGCTGCTCTCACCACCACTGGCTTCCTTTGGTTGTGCCTCCAGGCCAATCCCACCAGATAATCCCATTTTGTACCAACCTGCTTCAGTGATGCTGGCCCTTTTGTGCCCTGTGCTAGGCCTGTATGGTTTAGGTTAGCCTGTAGGGAATTAATGAGCAGAAGGTTTCTGCTGTAAGTAGGACAGGGTACTGGACTACCTTCTGGCCCCTATGATCCTGTGGGCAGGTCCTCTGGACAAAATAAGATATCAACAAATGCTCTTTGGGCAGGCGGAGTCCATCAAATTCTCCCCTTGCCCTAATCTCAGCAGCTGCTCCATGCTGGCAGCAGGCCAAGGTCAGGGGCAGACACATGGTCTCGGTGTGCAATTCTACGCCTCCTGAAGAGGTGACCCTTTTTCCTTTCTGCAGTTGCACCCACCATGAAGTGCTGTCCTATCAGACTTTTATTCTGCTCTCTCTTTGGACATCTCAAGATAGCTCACACATACCGTATAATGTATATGTGTCAATCAGAGGGGAATGAATGGAGAGACAGGGCTTCATTTTGTGGGTATTCATAGAAATCTGGGAAGAAGCATCATGTATACATGCAACTCTATTCTGCCCCCCCTTCATGACCCCAAGACACACAAGTCATGGGAGGGAAGACCCAGGATTCCCCACTCTGGTCCAGGATGGCTATGAGACAGTTCCAATGCCACCAGTCCATGAAGATGGGGATGATCATGTTAAATGAGACTGATTATTCCTTCATCCAACGTATCTCTAGTGTTTTTGCCATCCACCAACTATAAAGTAGGTCAGTATTATCATCCACACAGTGTGGGAGGGGAGGGGGTGGAACTGAGGCTAAGAGGATAGTGGATTCTCAAGGACCACTCAGAAAGAGCATAGAGTCTGAGGCGAGATTTGAACTGGGCACCTCACAGCTTGCTTTCTGTGCCCAAACGCCACGCCAGCCCCCAGAGGGCCCGCAATATGCATTCCTGCCCTATCCTGTTCTGTGTAATGTTTCACTGATAACAGGCTGACACCCCATGGAGGGAGGGAGAACATTCCAGAGAGCCTTCTCTTTTCCTCCAGCTCTCACTCAAAAGGCTCCGGTTTTCTGTGTGAACATCCTCTTCGCACAGAAGAAGCTGGGGGATGAGAAGAGAATGTCTGTGTGCTGTGTACTAGAGTCAGTGGCAGGGACAGGATGGAGAGAAAGGGTTTGCTTCAAAGCAAGGCTCTGGGTTATTATCATCACCTTGAGCATGTACACACACCACCACCATCTCCAGGCTTCAGGTTAGCCAGGCTCTTGGTGCTGTGGTTTGTGCTGGTATCCCAAAGCCAGCCCCAATACTTTCTCATCTGATTCATCCCTCAGTAACTAGGATCTTGGAGGAGCCATCACCACTCACAGCAGCTCCAGAGTACCACTGCCGCCACCATAACTTTGCCTCCCTCCAGCTCCTTCCCCTTTATCCCCACCATGACACTTACCTCGTAAGGGGCTGTGAGGGGACCGGCCTGCCTTCCTTCCGGCATCCACTAACCTCAAGCCACCTTGTGCATCCACTTTATGACTGCCCCACTCTGTCAATCGATCAGCTCCTCCTCCTCCAGTCAGACGATTTCCACTTGCCCATCCATCCATCTATCCTCATGCCAGCTGCTCTCCTTCGTTCTTCTCTCTCTTTCTGTACCACGGCGCCTCAGACTGGGCATCCCTGCTGCCAGTCTGCCAATCCTGCACCACTTCCCCACACACCTACCCTCTGCCCCTCACATACTGTGGGTCCCTGGCCTCCTCCTCTGCTGCCCTGCTCACCAGGCGTCTGAGAGCAGCGACTCGACGTTACAAATGCCTGCAGCTGCTGTCCCCAAAAATACCCTCTGATGACATGGCTGGGCTGATAAGCGGGGGCTGGGGCTTGGCTAAGTATAGAGCCCAGCAGGGAGGAGCACAAAGGCATCCCTCAGCCCTGGAGCTGCCTCAGGCAGAACCCACCTCAGGGGACAGGGAGAAAAGGGTCACCATGGCCTCAAAGCAGGGTAAGCCACCTCTCAGGATAACCCCTTCCCCCACAGGCTGCCTGAAATTTTGGTTCTTGTCACACCGCAAGAGTGACTGGCTTAAAACACTGGGCAGGAGGTCTGGCATCAGCACCTGGTACTCCAGGGCAGCTGCTGGGACCCCAGAGCCCTTATAGGGCCCGCCAGCATCAACACCTGTCCTCCACATGAGGCAACTGGGTTTGCCAGCCTCCATCTTAATTTCCCCAGTGCACCAAGGTGACACTATGTTGGACATTCCAGGGCATTGTGGGAAATGGAAATTTAGAGGGCTGTAAGCCTGAAGGAGCCTATCAGCAAAAAGCGGGTGGGGGCACAAGAGGACACTTCGACTGGGGACCCCTTTAACCTGGAGCCGTCTCTGCTGCTGGATACTACTTTGGAAGTAAAATCAGAAACCAGGCTACAGCGCTGGAAAGTATTTTATCACTGAAGACTGGAATGGGGAGGTGACAAAGGATATGGCAACATCAGCCAAAAGAGAAGCAGAAGGTCACAGGAAAATTCAATATTCTCTCACTGCCACCATTTCAGCAAGTACTGAGCTGTTAAGTTGTTTTTCTCCCCATAAACTGCATTCTTCATTTGCTTTCCATGTTACAAATATTATCAACAAACAATACTGGTGCCATTTAAACGCACGCATCATTTTCAGGATAATTTGCAACTTTCCCCATTTCCCAAGAGATTGGCTTCCTTCTTTCCCAGGAGGGAACAACTGGCAGCCTGCTCTCAGCTGAGAGGTTAAAAAAGAAAAGAATGGAATCCAGGGTGGGGGCCTGAGAAGGAAGGAGCCATAGATCCTGCAATGAGGAACACATAGCAGTGGTGGAGAGGTCAGTTTACAACAGCATCTGCCAACCTGGTGCCCTTCAGATGTGCTGGCTAGGGCTGATGGGAGTTGTAGTCCAGAACATCTGGAAGACATCAGGTTCGTAAAAGCTGGCTTATGCATTTGACAGAATTAAAGGGGGAACTTCCCCCCTGAACTGTGCTATAAAAGGCTCAAGTTCGGGGCTTACATGTCGTAATGCAATTCAAAAAATAAACAAATCCCCATGCTTAAAAAACAAAGCAAAACCTGTCAGCATACTGCTGAACTGTAACAGAGATGGGGATGAATTCATTAGCTTGCTCAGAATGCCTTGGGATGTGGCAGACCCTCCTTCCTTAGAGATTTTAAAGCATAGACTGGGAAAACAGCTGTCAGGGATGAGGCAGTGGCTTTCCTGGATTGGCTGAGGGTTGGACTAGATTATCGCTGAGGTCCCAGCTACATGATTCTAATACCTACCTGTACTTAGAAGTGAGACACTATTTATTCTGCTTCATGTAAACTGTTCCAACTGATGCTGTTTTGTTGAGCACCGGGAAGTTAGGCCTGTACAGGGCAGAAAGGGTCTTCCCTGGATTTCTGAAGAAGGTGAGAGGGTTTTGTGATACAAATCCAAGATGACCCCTGGGCTGTTTGAACATGAATACTGCCAAGGGATTGAGCTACTTATTCTATAACACAGCATGACACCCACACACCCATTTCAGTTGCCACCCTCTTTCATACATCACTAGAAACAAAGTCAGATGAGATGGCATTGGCAGCAGTTTCACCCCACCCCAGAAAATGTCCAGGCCAGGTTTGCTTCCTTATCCTTTGGGTCCAGGAATCATCCCCACCAAATCCCTACTGCCAGTGTGAACTGGATCGCACCAAAATTTGAGAGTGCGTTGAAATTTAACCTCAGCCAGCAGATGCTGGCGCAGCAAGATGTTCTGAATTCTTTGATACGTGCTTGAAAAATTACATTCTTTGTAGTCTCTCCCTCAATCCATGAGCTCTTTGTCTGCGTTTGGATTCCGGTCACCACTTCACATATCCTGTGCTCCCAACCCTGGGATGTAGGGAAGGGGTTGAGTTTAGCACTATGAGCAGAAATCTGTGGTGTTGGTTCCCGATTCACTCGGCTGACCAGCTCTAGCTGGGACAGGGCCATAGCTCAGCAGTAGAGCACATGCTTGGCATGCTGAAGGTCCCATGTTCAATCTCTGGCATCTCCACTGAAAGGGATGCCTCTTCACCAAGCTGAAAAGGGGTTTGAGAGCTCCTGCCAGGCAGAGCAGATGGCACCAAGCGAGACAGACCAAGAGTCCGATTCAAAGGCAGCTTTGCCTGGCTCACTGGGCTAAGAATTTTTTCCCGGTCTGAAGGGGCAGGGGCAGCCATGGATTTAGTTTCTTTAGGGTTAAAAGCCTTGTAACCAGGCAGGCTGGGCTCTGGCAAGCCCATCTCCGAAATACGATCCAGGACCAAGGAGCAGGGAGCAGTGGGTGGACCATCCTTCCAGGTGGGGACATTGTTTAATCATCCCACAGTACTCACAGCTAAGCAAAACGCAATTAGTTACCCCTTCTCACCACCCACACACTCTGTAGTAAAAGGGTGCGACTTTTTAAAAACCTTTTTAATGCATGTTTAAAGGTCATTTTAATCCACTCCAATAATTCTAACACATCCTTTTGGAGACCTCGATCCACTTCAGCACCTGTGAATACCGAACCGATGGGTTGCAAGGTGAAATGCGGTTGTGTTCTTTTGTATGCAATATCCATGCAAGCTGCCTAGTGAGGCCTTTAGGAATGCAGGATCCTGGGTTGCACGGCAATATTACAGGGCAATCCAATACCTGGCCACCCAGAAGTAAGTCCCACTGAGCTCAAGGGAGCTAAATCCCAGGCTAGTGGGTATCGGATTGTAGCCTGAATCTCCCTAATGATTCCTGGGATTGGTCAGATTGACTAGCTCTGACTTTAGTAACTCAAGAACCAACACGGATCTCCAGGCCGTTATTGAGGGGAGGGGGAGAAAAACTAGGAAGCATTTGCCCTCTTGGTCTCTGCTGTGCCCCACTGCTGCCACCCCAGCCCTCGATTGCCTCCCTCTCTCCCTCAGAGTACCCTACCCTAAAGCCCTGTCCCCGGGGCAGCCCTGTCCTTGCATTCCAGACGTCTCCTATGTTTTGCTGCCCAGGAGATAATATTCATGGCTGGCAGACACTTGCGTCAGTGTCAGATACAGTCTCAATGCCATCCTACTCCAGCAAAGGAGTCAGGAGGCAGAAGGAGTCCGGCAAGTTAGATGCACAGGAGGAAACGGAGGAGCAAGACCACATCAGAGAACCCATAGGACCTCTGTGCACGCACAAACACACACGCATCCCTTGGACCACGAACCAGCTCCTGGCCACAGAGACTCAGCTCGCACCCTTACATCCATCCAGCAGCAATTTTGCACACCCTGCACATCCTTCTATTTGCACATGCTGGATCAGAGCTCTCTGCGCACACGGACCCTCATCAGCTCCATGCTGGTCCTGCTGCTGGCTCCGGGTGCCGTGGCTGGCTGCAGCAGCGGGGAGGTTGACAGGCAGCTCATCCTGGAGAAAGTCAGGGCACATTTCCTGGAGTCCCTGGGTCCTGCTTTTCAAGGGGAAAGGGTCCAGGTGGGACGAAGAGGGATCCGCCGGCGCCATGCCTCGGACACACCAGCTGCTCAGAGGTGGGAGGAAGAGGACACATCCCAGGTGATCGCCTTTCCCTCCAGAGGTAAGCAAACCCGTTACTTGAGGGCTTACTATGGGAGTTAAGCCACATTGTATGGCGTCTTAAAAATTGACTGATTTCTCATGGAAGGAATTTCAATCACCTAGCACCCACTGCCTCAGATGCAGCCCTCCCCAATCCAATGCCCCCCAGATGCTTCAGAGTACCAACTTCCATCTGCCCCAGTTAGCAGACTTTACACCTGACATATTTGCTTCCCCCAGCTAAAGCATACCTCTCCAGCTCTAGAAATCCAAAACCTCCCCCAAAAAACCAGAGTCCTTTTTGTTGGGGATAACCCAGACTGAAATTCCCAGGTGCCAGAAAAGGTTATTTATGTATGCAACAACAACTGCGGTCTGTGTTTTGTTAGCCCCAAAATGGAAAGTGAGCCAGGTCCCAACTTAAGAGGATTGGCAACTTAGGTTGACAGAATATGCACAACTTGCAGATTTAACATATAGAATAAGAGAACAAGAAGAACAAACATTTAAAGAAGATTGGAAAACATTTATTGAGCATATGGAAAATAACTGTATACGGCGGAAAATGCTGGCAGCATTAAGATAAATTCAACAGAGTAAATAATTTTTAATGGATGTAAAAGTGGAAAACTGATTTGAATGGTTATAATAAAATATGCTGGGATGTATTATATGTAAAATGAACTATGGGAAGAGAAGGGAAGTTCCTGGATATTTTAAAGTTTGTAAAATGTTGATTTGAAATTGTAAAATTGTAAAATTAACACAAAAATTATATATATCCACAATCTGCAAATGCTACTGAGCCTTAAGTGCTTACCTCTGTTCCTCCAGTCCAAACTGGGACTCCCACTGAAGTTCAGTATCATCTGAACATCCCTTCCCTCTTGTAGCTGTGCAGCCCAGTTCTGAGTTTGGATATCCAACTGAGTTTAAAGAGACTTTGCAGTGCAAAGTATGCAATATTTCCTGGAAGTAAGTGAATTCAACAGGACATACTTCTGTGCACACACACCTAAGGCTGCAACCTTGCAGCCCAACCTAGCACATATTAATTTAGAAACAAGCCCCATTGTTTCAGGGTGTTTCACTGGCATTGTGCATAGGACTGCAGTGCTTATTGAGCATTCTTTGAGACAGATACGGACTTTCCCTATTCAGGATTGGCAGACTGGGGAGTTTCCAGTTGTGCATGAAACGGGATGTACATAAGAAAAATGGGAAATTGGTAATTTAAATTCTATGAAATATAGTAATTATTTACAGGAGGTGGGGAGGGGACTTTAAAAATTATGTTGTTTTTTTATGGCTTGACTAGCTCTTCTGCAGCAACCTAGTCTTCGTATACAGATGCTGGCATGTTAAGAGAAACAAAAATAAGTCTGCAGTCTTTTATTGGACCCAACTTCCGCTGGCGCAAGGACATGCAGGCTCTCATGTGACACTGCCCATGAGTGTTTGCTTACCCTCATCCCAACCAAAGTTAATTGGTCTAATAAAAGAGAACACCTGACTGAATTTTGTACCACTTTCCCAAGTATGTATAAATATATGCACCAATGACATTTGCCAGGATGGAGCGAGGCATGCGGGAGACAGGATTGCATGCATACCTAGGGCAGGGTGGAAGCAGCCAACTGGATTTCAAAAGGAAGGGTCAGGAGGTCGCACACTGGGGTGGCATTCAGTGTGTCCCATAAAGGAAAATCCAACCCAGCCACTAGGGGGTGCTGCTCAAAAGCCACACATTTGATATGCAAATATCAGCACATTTTGCTATGGCGTGTGAGTGTAATCTTGACCCAGGTATACTCCAAGTCTCTAGCAACAGATGTGATAACGGCGATGAGATCTATCTCCAAGCTACATCACAGGCACATTTATTTTAGAACAGGAAAGTGGGCAAATTGTAGGCAGATTCAGTACAACAGGTACAAACATTAAGGCTGGAACTAGGAAATGCAAGCCCAACATAAACATGCTAATTCCAGCTCTTTCAAGCTCTTCAAAGCCAGTGTTCCATTTTAAAATCCTAGCCCACGGTTGCAGGGTAAAGATTAAAATGAGGACCCCACACTTTTGTTGCTGGGAGGAGGAAAAGCAAACATTGTCTGGGGACCAAGATCTCATGCTTTTAAAAATCTGTTTAGAGCATGAAACAAGCAGAAAGTGTGTGTGTGTGTGTGTGTGTGTGTGTGTGTGTGTGTGTGTGAAACAAGCCAGATGCTGGGAGCTATTATGAAGATTCAAAAAATAACAGCCAGAAGGGAGATCTGGAAACCAGCATTTAACTTTTCTGCCTATAGGTTTGCCTATATTAGGGGTGGGGAACATCTACTCCTCCCCCCAATGTTATCAGACTCCCGACTCCCATCATGGCCAATGATCAGTTACAATGGGCATCGTAGCGCAGCACCACTGGGGAGGCCACAAGTTCTCCATGGCTGGTCTATACTGTTTTCTGTTGCCTTTCCAAGTTTGGGCCCGCACAGCAAGCAAAGCCCCTGCTGACCTCTCTTGTCCTTTGCAGACGTGCCATGTGGGCCACCTCAGCCCGATGAGCTTCCGGAGGACGCGGGAGTTTTCACCTACATCTTCCAGTCCTCCAGCCACACCCTGAGTCGTGTGGTGACTTCAGCCCAGCTGTGGTTCTACACAGGCCCCGTGACCGTTCAGAGCAGCAACCTCTCAGCAGCAGCATCAAATGGCTCTGAGACACAGGTAGAGATCCTCAAGCTCTCTGACCAAGGCCGGGTCCCTGTGGCTACCATGGCAGTGCCAGCCCCCGAGGGCTGGACCGTCTTCCACTTTGGGGACTCCTTCCTGCCCTACATTTCCCAGAAGATATTTGTGCTGTTTGTCCGTTGCCCTGGCTGCCCTTGCGTGGTGGATGCCGAGAAGATACCCTTCCTCGTCACAGCAACCAAGCCCAGAGGACGTGACCGGGCCAGGCGTTCATCCGTGGTGCCCGGGACACCAGCCGCTTTCAAGTTACTTAACGAACCTTCAGGTGGCAACTGCCATCGGGCCTCCGTCAACATTTCCTTTGAAGAGCTGGGCTGGGACAAGTGGGTCGTGCACCCCAGCAGCTTCGTATTCCACTACTGCCATGGGACCTGCTCCGATGCCCAAATGTTCACCCATAAGCCCAACTTGCAAATGTGCTGTGCGGCTTTGCCAGGCACCATGCGCTCCCTGCGGGTCCGCACTACTTCAGATGGTGGCTACTCTTTCAAGTATGAGACATTACCCAACATCCTCACCCAGGACTGTGCCTGCCTGTAGCAAGGACCTGTCTTCAGAAGAAGAAGAGTTTGGATTTGATATCCCACTTTATCACTACCCGAAGGAGTCTCAAAGCGGCTAACATTCTCCTTTCCCTTCCTCCCCCACAACAAACACTCTGTGAGGTGAGTGGGGCTGAGAGACTTCAAAGAAGTGTGACTGGCCCAAGGTCACCCAGCAGCTGCATGTGGAGGAGCGGAGACGCGAACCCGGTTCACCAGATTACGAGTCTACCGCTCTTAACCACTACACCACACTGGCTCTCAGAAGAACTCCTCCACCCCCTCCCCATGCACCTTAAGCTGCTGAGCAAGTTTCCTTTCTGGTTGGAGCTGTGACTGAGTCCATCTGTCCAAACCCAAGCTGATTCCCTTTTAAGTGTCGTGTTTAGATGTGTTTTGTTTTAATGTGTTGTGTTTAATGCTGTTTATAATGTGTTGCAATGCTGGGTCTGTAGAGTGATGGGAGGGTAAAATAGTAATGATGATTATTACCTACCCACTGTAAAGGTTCTCCAGCCAGCCACTGGGCTTGCAGGGGGTGGGGCGGGTTCAACAGATCTCACGCAGCTGAAGTTTTAGTCCCATGTTAATTTATTTTACTGAAGAACATATTTTGATGTTACAACCGAGAATGGGAAAAGCAGATGTTGGGCAGAGATGCTGCTTAATAGTTTCCTTTCCTGCTTCCCTCCTATCAAAAAGGCATCCCATCTAATTTCCCTCGCAGGAGGAAAAGCAAAGTTTTAGGGAGGAATTTAGAGCAGATAGGCAACAAGAAGGGGGAAATGATTAAACAAACCCTCGCCCTGCCCCTTGTGTTCTTTTGATTGTAGCCGCCAAGGCTGCTTTTCAGCAACCATGTAAATTAGATTCCTGTGGGGAAACAGATAGTTCTGGATCCATTTCTCTTGCTAGAGCCAGAAACCGAGCCTTGTTTCCCAATGCCAGAGCACTATTTAGGGCAGGGATGGAGAACCTGATGCTGCTGACCATTCGGCCCAGCTGGGTTAGCATTGCAAGTACAGACCACTTCTGTCACAAAAGGCATCAGGCTGGGACAGCTCTTTGGATCTGCAATAGCGTTCCCGCCTGAAAATATAAGCAGAGGCTTGTTTAGCCTGCCAAGCCTGCTCTTCCCTCACACAGGTGATCAATCTGGCCCTTGTAGCCAACTTGCCCAGCACGTTTTCTGGCCTCACCCCAACAAAAACAATGTCAGGAGATCTTTTTAGTCCAGTCTGAGCGATCCAAAGTCTACCCATTTTTGTTAAAAGTCCTCAATCCCAATACAGTGGTACCTTGGCTTTAAGTACTTAATTCGTTCCAGAGGTCCGTTCTTAACCTGAAACTGTTCTTAACCTGAAGCACCACTTTAGCTAATGGGGCCTCCTGCTGCCGCCGCGCCACCGGAGCACAATTTCTGTTCTCATCCTGAAGCAAAGTTCTTAACCTTAAGCACTATTTCTGGCTTAGTGGAGTGTGTAACCTGAAGCGTATGTAACCTGAAGTGTATGTAACCCGAGGTATAACTGTATGTTGCCCTCCTGCTACCCCAGCTCTTTCTAATCCAGTATCCTTCAAAATCTAGCCACATTGCAGAATCATAGCAACATAGAATTATAGAGATGGGAGGGTCCCCCAAGGATCATCTAGTCCAACCCCCTGTAATGCTGGCCCAGGGTGATCGAACCTGCAACCTTGGCCTTAGTAGTACCACATTCTAACCGAGTTGCCTTCTCTGCAGGGATCAGGAGGCATGGGCAGCCCAGTCCTTAACCTAAGCAATCCAAGTTCAGGGCCTTCCCTTTTAAGTGCCGAGATGTACAGGGCGGAGGGGAAGGTGAGGAGAAGTGAGAGGGGTATACTGCACTGTGGGATCAGCAGGGTTTGCTACCCAGCCTCTACATTCCTGATAGCTCCTACCAAGAGGAATGCTCAAGGGAGGACCTAGGAAACAAAAAAACTTATCCGGAACACAGCCCCCAACAGCAATAAGCATAGCCCTGCCTGCTCGAGGATTGGGGATGCCCCTTGGCCTGACATCGACAACCAGTGTTTAAGCTCCACTATTAGAACTGCTGCAATAAGGGGAAAGCGACTTGGCTCCTCCTCTTGCTGGCCAGAGCATCTGGGGGTGGGAGCAGAAGGCAACCCAGAAGTTTCCAAGTCCCGCTGCCTGCAGCTGTGGGATGCTTGTAATCAGAACACTGCGTGGCAGCCAAAGTGTGGGAGTCTCCTTGCTTTGTTGAACTTTGTATTTTAACATTAGCAGTTGAGCTGTAAAAAAGGCTACGTAGGTGTTTCTGAAACTGTGCAAGATAAATAAACTTATTAAAAAAATTCTGCCTGAAACCTCAATGCTATCTTACACCTTTAAGAGATGTTTATCTTGGGATATTCTGGACTCACCCACTTTACTGAGCAGACTGAATAAACAGTATAGTGGGGAAGGACAATGATTCACTTTTGGCTTCACGTGTGGTTGTAAATAACTTTTTGCACGTGATGTAAAGTACACAGCAGCTAGGTAGAGGACCAGGTTGGTCTCCAAGATAGCACAGGCAGGGTGAGAGCTAGCAGCTGTGTGAAAACAATCTCTCTCCACACCACACAAATCACATACAGTGGTACCTCAGGTTAAGTACTTAATTCGTTCCGGAGGTCCGTACTTAACCTGAAACTGTTCTTAACCTGAAGCACCACTTTAGATAATGGGGCATCCTGCTGCTGCCACGCCGCCAGAGCCAGATTTCTGTTCTTATCCTGAAGCAAAGTTCTTAACCTGAAGCACTATCTCTGGGTTAGCGGAGTCTGTAACCTGAAGCGTATGTAACCTGAAGCGTATGTAACCAGAGATACCACTGTACTGTAGTAATTTCTGACTGCAACACAAGGTTTTGGTCAGCAGAGGGCAGCAAAATACTCAAGGTAGCCAGCCGGCAGCACAAAGAACATGGGTCAGGGCTTGCTTACTTCCAGGCTGAGATTGACTTTCCTATTTAAACCAACTCACCTCTCCTTGAAGGACTTCAAGAAGAGAGGCAAACCTGACTGCTTGCATTGAACTGTTCAGAAATGTTGAGGGAGGAGAAAGGAAAATTCTCTCCCCCTTCCTCTTGTGTTTCCACATACTAGTCATTACACAGATTTGAAGAGGCCTCTCTGTGCATTCCTTAAAAGGGTAGCTGGGAGGCAAGGAGTGTTTCTATTCCATTTATCAAGGTGCAGGGGTCAGTATGAAGGGGATGGAGAAGCCCAGTGGCACAGTAGGCAAAGGCATCCCACCTCCCCCAAAACCAACCAAGCCCTTAGCCATCCTCACCACTGTCCACTCCAACCACCAGAGACTTTCTGCTGCACATGGTCAGAATGAGATGCTCCCTTACCATGAGCACTAAGCAGCATCCAGAAGCCATTTCCTTTCAGCACCCTGGTTCAGCTCTATCCATGCCCAATGTGGGTCATTGCAACACAAATTTTACTAATTCAGGAAGTCCACCCCACACTTCACAGAAGCTTTTCTCAGGGATGCTTTACAAGATGGGGATCGCTCAGGGGTTCAGCATCTGCTTTGCATAAGGATTTGATCCTGGGCGCCCCTTCAAGAAGGGCTGGGAGACCCCTCTGAAAACCTAGGAGAGCTGCTGCCAGTCAGTGTATAACAAAACAATGAACAGAATGGTGATACGATGACTACTGCAATCGACCCAAGATAATATCCTCCTGATGGAAACATGCAGGTAAGTTTCTATAGAGTGTTTTTGTATTAGTGGGACTGGGGGTATTAACTATGTATGTGCGAATAAACTACTTTTATTCTTGTAGAGGTATTCCTGCTTTAAGTCATTTACATGCTGTCTTCTTTTGTATATTATTTACTACAAAGGTATATCTTAATTATGCATTCTCAGTGTATTTTTAATTTTCCTTATTCTACTTGTTAATTCAGTGCAATTCTGTTACAATTGATTTTGACAGCTCGATGACTAAGCTCTTTAGCGGAACGATGTCTGAGCACTGAACCGCTGGTATATCACAAGTGCACTCTTTATTTACTGCGTTTGCAATTAATATAAAACCTATTTCAGAAGAAAACTACTTTTGCCATTTTTTGGGGGGGGGAGCATTTATTGTTTGTTTACAGATAGTGGCCTTGGTGATATTATCTTGTGTCCATTGCGCAGCCAGTCATTGTAGGCAATAGAGCTATAATGCTGTTCCTAGAGTGAGAGGACCAAGCCTACATCCTCTCATTCTTGCCTTGCCTGCACAACCCAAGTCCACCAACCCAACCCATTTCTGAGGATGTGAGGATACGACTGTTCAAACAACCCTTCACAGGAGAAGTCAGTGCTATAGAACACGGCATGAATCAGAACAGTGTTAATCTCTTAGGGCTTGGCTGAGCTTACAAACCACGCAAGTACAACAGGATGTGTTACTGGAGAGGCAGGGGAGAGACAAGAGGCCACAGTAATGTTGCAGAGCAGTCAAGATGGGAGTATATGCTCTGCCATGTATACAGATCCCCAGTTCAGCTGAGGAACCCTTGGCCTTCCAGATGTTGCTGGACCAAACCATCCATCATCTCTGCCCATTGGCCATGCTGGCTGGGGCTGATGGGAGTTGGGACTGGAGAGTCACAGCTTCCCCAGCCCTGGTATAATCCCTTCCCCACATACAAATGTGTAGGACAGTCTTCCATAACCAAGTGCCCTCCAAATGTTTGGACTACAGCTCCCACCAGTCCCAGCTAGCCAGCATGGCCAATGGGCAGGAATGATGGGAGATGCCATTCAAAAACATCTAGAGGGAATCTGCTTGGGGAAAGCTGGTGTACTGAATGTGTATCCAACATCTGAACCCTTCACCTTAAGCCTGAGGTGGTACAAACCAGCAGCAAATACACCATCTGCCTCACAGTGGGGGGCAAGGCTGGAAAGAAACTCATGTGATAGACCGGAGGTGTTGCTGCCTGTGGGGATGTGGTGAAAGGACTTCCTAGGGACTGCAGGTTTCAACCTGGGCTTCCTGCTCAGAGGTCAGCTTGAGGGATTAAACTGTATCATTTTTCCCTTCCCCTCCTACCCAGCCTCATCTTTCAGGGAAATTCTCCCTGTCTGGCCACTTCTAGCCTTTAATGCTTGCCTTTCAATCAACACCCACTTCCTGCTTCCTTCTCAGTTCCCTTGTTTTCACTACTGTTAACTTGAAGGACTATGGAACACTTCTCCAGTGCCTGGCAACTGGACCCGATGCCCCTCTGAGAAATCTCCTGTGATTGGTAGAAACACAAGCGAACACACCCATGGTTGTCATGCCAACAGGGTGACTGGCTCCTGCCTTTCCTTAATGGCCTGGTCTTTCCCTGCCTTGGCTCCAAGGCCATTCATCCAGCGAGACACCCAGAGTGCTAAATTGATCCCTTCCTAACCAACTCGCCCAGTCTTGGTTTCATGTGGTCAGTGAGGTTTTTAAGACTGCAGTGAAGGATTCATACAGGCACATCACTGTCCAAACCTCCCTCCCCTCCATGGACGCAAAAAAAGAGTCAGGAACTCAGGATTCCTATAAAACAAATCTCCTGATTTATACCAAATATATATATATATATTCATATAAAAGAGCAAAAAAACACAATTTCATTAACTATTTCCGCAAATTATAAAAAGACAAAAAATACAAACACAATTCATGTTGATCGCTGAGATGATCAAAACGTGACTGGGGACCCAATGCAATTCAGTGGGGAACCCAGCACGGCACCCCATAGAGGGCAGGAAGGCAGATGCCGTTTAGAAACTGGCATCTTGGAATGTAGTACAATTATCTTTGGCCCAACCACCAACTGCTTGCAAAATCTGGTGTCGGGGGAGAGGGAAAGAGAAAGAGATGACCAGGTTGTGTGCGGCTGTGTAGAGAAGACAAGAAAGTTGTGGACATCTCATTCCTCTTTCTGCTCTCCCCCCTATACAGTAAACCCCAACAAAAACAGTGAATGCTGCTATATAGCTGCCTATCTCTGTCCCACTAGTGCAGCCTTTGTCACCTGGAGTCTTCCAGATGTTTTGGACTATCAACTTCCATGGCTGTGCTGGCTGGGGGCTGATGGGAGCAGGTAGTCCAAAATACATGGAAGACTCCAGGGTGATGAAGGCTAGACTAGAGAAAACATGAAAATCCCTCCTAAGAGGAGACAATCAGCACAGGAAGAGAACAAAATAGTACCTTTACCACATGTATAAAAGTAAAAAAAATAGTGTCCCTTTTAGAACCTTTTTAAAAAAAGACACTCGTACACTCACATACATACATACATACACGGAGCTAGACTTCCAAACGTGCCCCTCAGGAGGCATGGATGAGGAGGCTTCCATCATTTCCCTTCCTTGCCCTCAACCCAACAAAAATCAGAGAACATCCTCGTCCCTCCACCCACTCTGTCCGGGCGTTTCCAAACTTCAGGCTAGGAGCAGACATTCACACACTGCCAATTCTCCACAGACACTTCCTGTTGTCATCTGTGCAGCTGCCCAGTGAGGCCCAGTACTTCAGAGGCCTGGAAAAAGGAAGGAAAAACATGTTAGCTTCTCAGTCCAAACCTGCACTTCACAAATGTGTTTGTATCCCAAGAAGGGTGGCTGAGGTCCATCAGTGAAGACAGCTGTGGGCTAGAGAATGGACAGTGAGCTTAGTTCAGTTCTAGCACTCAGGACCAATTCCCAGGCTTAGAATTCTTTAATACTGTGTGGATGTGTTTTGTACCTGCCTCCAGGTAGTGGATCTTGGAAGTTCTAGCAAAAAAAAAAAAAAAAAAAAGGTGTGGGTACAGTTTGTCTGTTTTAGGGAATTCCCCAATTGTTCCCCGAGCGTCAAATTTCCTCACTGTTGATGCTTGCTACATCTGGATGCTAATCATCAACTTTCACTTTAATCCAGCCTATTTTCTCGTTGTCTCTCTCAAACACATTGCCACAGGGCAGAATCCTTAACCATACTGCACCTTGATGTAATCCTTCACAAGGCTCACCTCAGAACCTACAGGTGGCAGCGGGAAACCCCAGCCCTCCATTCTACACTAGCAGCTCTTTCAAGCTTAACCAGTCAGCACCAGCTAGACGGCATCATGATTCCGGCTCTTCCAGGCTGCAACAGACAGCCTTTGCTGCCATCCTAGGAAAGCCTAACCAAGGCTTCACTTACCAGTCGGTCGCTCACAGGCTGCGCCTTCCTTCTCATGTGCGGAGTTGAGGCGGTTCTGTTCTGCAGCCAGCCCGTTGGACTCGGGGCTGCTGCTACGAGAGGGGCTGGCAGTGTCCTCCGGCTGCAGGTGGAAGGCCATTTCTAGGTGCTCCTGTGCCATCCGGAGGTGTTTGCGCAGTCGCTCCAACTCATGGCTCGGGACGGTCGGTGCGACAGCATAGCGGTCGGCAGCCAGCCCAGCCAAGCTCTCTCCACCGTAGCCCAACTTGTCCTTGGCTACCTGTCTCTTGGAGGTCTCCTTCTTGAGAGAATGGTAGGTCGGGGGTGCACTGGGATGCTTCTGGACATACTGGGACCTGGGGGGGTCACCACCGTCCTTACTATCAAGGCCGCGTAGGGCATCCCGAATCCCGCCGAAGCCCAGGTGAAACAGCTCACAGACATTGAGCAGGAGACAAAGGCAGCTCACGGCGTACATGATGAGGAGGAAGATGGTTTTCTCCGTAGGGCGGGAGACAAAGCAATCCACTGTGTGAGGGCAGGGGCTGCGGGTGCAGACGTACGAGGGCATCACCTCGAAGCGGTACAGCACGTACTGCCCCAGCAGGAAGCCCACCTCAAACACCGAGCGGCACAGCAGCTGTAGCACGTATGCCGTCATCAGCCCGTCCTTCTTGATGCGCCGGCGGCCGTCGTGCTTCTGGCTGTCGGGCTCCTTCACCTCCCTCTCGGGCTCCACCTCCTCAAAGATCATGGGGTCCTCCTCGCCATTGTCCTCGGCCTCCTCGTAGTCGCGGCCTGCGCCTCGGTGCACCACGGGGGCGCGGCTTTTCCGAGGCGGTTGGCGCGAGAGGCGGTGCAACGCAAAGCCCAGGTACATCACCGAGGGCGTGGCTATCATGATGATCTGGAAGATCCAGAAGCGGACGTGCGAAAGCGGGGCAAAGGCGTCGTAGCAGACGTTTTCACAGCCCGGCTGCTGCGTATTACACACAAACTTGCTCTGCTCATCGTAATAGATGGACTCGCCGCCCACCGCCGTCAGGACAATGCGGAAGACAATCAGCACAGTCAGCCACACCTTCCCCACAAAGGTCGAGTGCTGGTTGATCTCCTCAAGGAGGCGGGTGAGGAAACTCCAGCTCATCGTGGCTCAGCACACACCTGCAGTCAACAAGCACAGTAGGCAGAAGGTTAAACTGAAGTAATTTCATCCGATTTCCCCACAAGCTTCCAAGTGAACTCCCCAAGACCCCACAAGGCGGAACGCACAGTCTCCAGTCCCACAAGATGTCTAAGTTTGTTTGTTGTTGTTTATAAAGTGAAGTCATGGGAGGGAACCACAATTTCTGGTGATGATGAGAATTGGAATTTTTTGGGGGAAACTAACAGACATTATTATAATTTGGTGCGTTAAAGTGTCCTGTTATATTTGTGAAACGTATCCACATGAAAACCACATCATGTCAATTAAACAATAAATAATACATCCTTGAAAACATTGCCATCTCAAAACAGATTTTCTAGTAAGGATCAGTTTCAGACAAATCTAAAGCTTCCTATTCTCAACTTTCATTTTTATCCCCATGGACTTCAGAAAGTTTGCATGGATTGGTGGGGGGGAAACACTCTACTGTTTTACTTGTTAGCTTGTTTCTTAAGTTTTTTTAGTTTTTTTAAAAAAGAAAGAAAACAGCCACAGCCCTTTGTAAACACTCCACTCTTTATTCTAAAAGAGAAAAAATATATTAAGGGGTTTTTGCGGGGTTATTGTCAATTTTTCCACTTAGAAATTGACAAAATCCTCAGGCAGGGGAGAAATGGGGGTTCCCTCCCATTTCCCCATGTAATTAGGTAATAATGAGCTCCACAAAAACCCTGGAGCAGGAGTGAATCATAGCTTAATTCCACTCACTTTCCACTCACTACAAAATGACTTGGCTTTTGCCATCATACCCATGGTGACCTCCAACTGATAATCGCATAGCCCCTACAAAAAGCAACAACTGAGGACCACTTAAGAAACTGCTCTTTTAAAGATGTAGACGCCAACTATTTTATGTATATACATACCCAGCATGTGTGCAACAAATACATACTTGTAAACACATGGATCATACAGGTAAACAGGCAAGAGAACTCAAGTTTGGTGATGGGTTCTTGCCACGTTTAAATACATACACTTCCTGCTTACTGTTAGAAAGCCAACCAGTGACTCACAGCCCAATCTTTCCATACCCAAAAGGCACAACACAAGTTTCTAAGACACTTGATACTCCCCCTCCCATGTCCAAAGTCAACTCAGGGCCAAACTAGACTCATGTCCGAGAAGCGTGAATGCATCTCCCAAACAAACTTTTTGTGTGTGTACTTGGCCAAAAGCAGCCACAGGGGAGACCATTTGGGTTTGAAATGCAACATAGGCAGAGGGAGGGAATAACCCTTTCCCTACACTGTGGTCTTGATCCAAACCACTCACCGCCAGAACAATTAGCTGATAAAGTAAAATGCAGTGTCTGTATGTTCCACCACGGGGTGGGTGGGTGTGTACTCACAAAATTACCCCCCCCCTTTTAGCCCTACCTCATATAAAGTGATGAATTTTACGGCTTGCTGACATCACATTTCCTTTGACCCTCCTCCTGAGAGGAAACCCAATTCTGCTTGACTCATTTCATACACATATTATAACAATGACGCGCGCGCACACACAGTGACAAAGCTGAATGGAGATGAGGGCTGGCATGGGATATGAAGCCAAGTATTTGCCTATACTACTCATGGGGAGGGTTTATTCTCCCCTGCCTCCTAAGAACACTCCCTGCTGTCAACTTAGCCCTGAGATCAGTGCAGGAGATTTGGCAGAGCAGCTGCTTCTGGAAGTCAACTCAAGAGGTTTGCCTCAACCTTTGGATGGATGCCACGTCCTGGTGCGCCTGGGGCGGGTGTGACGCCCCAATGCTCACGTACAATAAGCATCCTGGAGTAAAGGAGGCACCCCAGCCAGCCCCGGGGTAGAAGTTTGTGCTATGCTCAGCTTCTCCAGGGCAAAAGTTTAAGGGTGCTCAATCACCTCTGCTTCCTGTTTCCATCACCATGCCAGGGGTTAGCTAGCGAGGTCCTCCTCCCTCTCTTAGCTGTTTGAACAGTACATGCACAACACACCCAAAGGTGCTGAGGCTAAAGTCATGCAAAGAGAAGCAAAGTGTTTCATTTCTCCAGCATTCACACGCATGCTGTAAGCAGGGGAATAGAATATTGTTTTCCCTCCCAAGCAGAAGATTGCATCAGTGATGCCGACAAGGGAATGAAGATTCCCACCCACCCACTTTGCTCTGCTTCCTACACCTGCTATCTCCATTCAGAGGTGGGTATCACTGGAAGGAAAAAAGCAGAAGCTACTCCAATAGCCTTCTTCTAACATATGTGGCAGGCGTTTGTTGTGATCTAGGAAATAGCCTGTAATACCCAACTTTGAGCTGTAAGGGGAACGCTTCTTAACTAAACCACCAGTACTTTTAAAAGTTGTTAGAACTGCAACCTGCAGAACAGCCTTGTGGGGGCAGACATCCTTCTCAGTTATCCCCAAAGGTGTTCTCTGAACATAGTCAAGAGTTCAAAAACCATGATTGCCACAAGTAGCAACATGGGGAAGAAAAGTTTCATTAGTTTTCTTTTTCTGCAGGATATTTCCCATTCCCCAAGTTCATTAGTAGCAATAACTCAATGTGAACTGGAAATAAATATTAGGAAACCACAGCAATTTCAAGGTTTTTAGCAGGTGTATACAAGGGAAACAAAACATGCTACATCAGATCACTTCCTAGCATATCAGAAAATTTTCCAAGCCAAATTGAAAATTTCCTAATGGAAATTCCCCTAATTTTCATAGGTTTTCCCAGAACCTTTTCCAGCTCACAATTTTCACTGACCACAAGCATTAGTTTGTTTTCTACTCACATAAAGGAGAAAATGGTTATTTGCACACAAGCATCTTGTACTCAGTTGACTAAACTGACATAAAAAAGACATGAGAAACAGCCACTAGTGTGCACTGTAAAGCAGTTTTAGAGCACCAGTCAGGACAAAGTTACTTCAGTTTAATAACCTTACTCAATCTCCAACCTGCCTGACACACACACTTCAGAGCCTGATAAACTTTAAAGGAGACCTGTGCTCAAGGGAACGCTGCCATCAAGTCAATTCTTTGCAGCTGAGAGGACTGAATACTTTGCAGGATCGGAAGGTCCACACCCTGGGGAAGGTGGTATGCAATTATCACACAGGTGAAAGCAGCCTAGACCGGTCTTTTTCAACCTGGAGCCCTCCAGATCTTGGAGACTACAAATCCCATCAGCCCCAACCAGCTAGACAGTTTATGAAAGATTTTCACCCTTTTCTCTAAAACTACCTCTTTATTCGCATTCCCAGCTAACGGCAGAATGCCACAAGGGAGGGCACAGTACACTCACAACTTACACACATTTAACTTGTGCACATTCTGTTTTATGCGTGAAGCAAAAAACCAACAAAAAACCATTTTTTTAAAAGGGAGTAGAAAGGGGGCGATGTCCCAAAAAGAACTTGGCCAATCCCACCCATCACTGCACCTAATGTGTTTTGACTATGCACAATTTTGGCTGTAGGCACTATCCCAGGAAAATCCCCACTCCTTGAGGGCTTACTGTAGTAATCTTAAAACTGAATGGAGGCAGCCTAATCTCGTGTGTGTGTGTGTGTGTGTGTGTGTGTGTGTTTTGGAGGAGTGATGTAATAGTTGTGCTAGCAGACCTCATCTTACCCATTCAAAGGTTTGGAAATAAATTCACAAAAATTACTAATCCATATGCTCTTCTAGCCTTTCCCTCCCATGTAAGGATATTTCTGGCACAACATACTGAAATGGGGGTGGGGGTGGGGTGGAGGACAATTTTCTTCCAACTTACAAAGGCTCCCTTATCTGGTTTCGAGAATGCCATAGGTGACAGAAATTTACAAGTCTGTATTCAAAGGGAGTGATAAGAGCAGTTAGAAGGCATGCTAGGAGAATGGGGGATTTACTTCATTCTTCTGGGTTGGTTCATTTCAATTCTATTCTGTAATGCAATGTGAGTAGCAATGCAACTGAGCAACCAGGAAAAAAGTTTTGCTACCTAATACCATAGAAGTTATTTATTTCTAATATGCCATTTTTGACTTGTGTTATAAGAATTCTAAGGTCTCAAATATAGAATGGTCATAAATGTATAAGGCAAACACATACATAAGTATACAAACCACGTGTCTGAAATAGTACAGGAGAGCAATCCTGAAGCCATGTTGACTCTCCCAAATTGACCTCAAATATTTCTCTGCAAGGAGGAAGGAAATGGGGAAAACTTTCCAATTGACTTTGGACTGTAGGGCTTACACATTCCTGCAAATACAGTCTGGCAAGTATCTGTTAAACTGAGTAAACTATCAATATATTTAGGAACTAAAGTATTTACTATCTCAAAGAAATGGCCAGGCTACCCAGAAAATGCAATGAAGCAAGGCATTATCAGGTATCCTGGCAGACAGGAGAGAAGCAACACTCTCAAATTTCTGCTGGAGAACACCTCCTTCTGTGATGTATGAATGATGGGGTTTTTTGGGGGGGGTCTTGCAGTACAGGGTGGGCAATTTCAAAAGTCTTTATAGGGGCTTAGGCACCATTTTTCTATGGATCTTGCCTCCATCCATTCCTCTCTGACCAGTCATGGACTTAGGGGACTCAGTCCCTTGGGGAGTTAGGCAGCAAAAGCCAAACTCCCTATTTTTTCTATAACACTTGTCAGAGAGATAACCACAAAGCTCAATTACACACTAGTTTTGGCACCTCTACAAACAGTGCAAAAGTTGTGGAACTCCTTTGAATTGGAAACAAGACTGCCCCCATCATTACCTGCATTTTGCTGCCAAATAAACAAGTTTTTCTTCTAACAAACACTGAAAGGGCGGATTAGCTAAGAACTGCTTATTCATTGTGGTTGTATACACTGAAGTTAAAATTTTTATGCCTATATATTTATTAGTTGTATATCTCTCTCTCCTAAAATTTATACACTGCTACTTTTTTTAAAACCCTCAAAGAGGTTTACAAAAAGATAAGACAATAAAACAAAGGAAAAAATAAAACTCTACTTTAAAACATATGAAATTTAAAATACTACACACACACTACTATATTTTACAGGTATTGTGCCCCACTCTGGGATCCTTCTTGGGATGAAGTAAGCTTTATTATATAATACATAAATAATGATGGACTAACGCTACCAGAACTCCAGGCAAACAGAGCACCAGGATTGCCTTTTGCTTACAGTTACAATTTTCAACACTGGCCATGTGCTTGGAGACCACATGCAGCACAAATCAGGGAGCCAAGCTGACTTGGATGCTACTCAAAGGAGAATGGACAATGGAGGAATTCACAGGAATTCCCTACCAAAGAAGAGTCAAGCTAGACAAATCCCTTGTTGGGAGTTGGTTGTTTGGGTCTATGTCCACCCCTCCATGTTACACTCCGACCAATACCAAGCCTGTTCCTTTCAAAGGACTACTGACCACAAGACTACTTGGCACAAATGTGTGTTTACCAGCAAAGGAGCATTTCCTGGGTAAATGGGACAAATATCAGCTGCCCAACGAGCACACCTGAATAAAGCATATGCTTGAGCACATAGGGCACTTTAAAATATCATGGCCAGCCCTAGACCCTGGGGTGTGTTATCCCTCCTTCAGTTAAGTACTGTACTTCTGTCCCTGTATTATGCCTCAAAATCCAACTTTTGCCTCAAAGGGGACAACTGGAACAAAAAATGCGAGTCTGTACAAGCCCGCACGGCCTTATGTAGATGCCCCCTTGGCTCAAAACTCTTCTACTTCGCTAATCACTCAACACGGTCCTCGCTATACACACAACCAGGGCGACCTGAAAATGGACCCCCTCTCCATTTTTTGTCTTGTTGGGGTGGAGGGGTGGGCTTCTAACCATTATTATGGGTACACCATATAAATCACGGCGCGGTTAATTAATCCGCAATCAAGACAGAGTGCTCTTGCGGGCAGCGCAGCGATAAGCTATCGTAGCCCGGAACAATGGGCAGCTCCGGGAGTAAAAAAGATAGCATTACCTATCACAAAGAAACCAAATTCCTCGAAATGCATAACGTGAGAATCTACTCTTAGCTCTTCCTCCCTCGCAGGGGCTTGCCTGGAAAACGCTCACATCCATAAGCTTAGGAATGGGAGGGAAGGCCATGAAGCGAGGATGCCTGCCCTCCTGGCCCTGCGAAACCCTTCGTGTGGCCCCCTCAAATTCCAGCTGCCCCCCACCCCAAGTCAGTCACCCAATCCCCGAGCCATTTCTCCATGAGCTTCAGAGGGTTTCCGAAGGCTCCCCACGACCTGGCGGAGCTCGCCGGGGAAGACGCGCGCCCAAGGGGACAAGGCAAAAGAGCCCCCAGCCCCAAGCAGCCTCCCCGCCACCCCAGTCCCTCCTCACTTACTGTACTCTCGTCCGGCGGAGCTCACAAAAGACTCCCGCCCCGCTGCACTCGCTCTTCTCCCGCCCGTCCGAACAAAGGGGCCCCAGACCGTCGCCGCCCCCCGCCCCCTTCGGCCACGCCTTGGGAGGGACCCCCGCCCCTTTCCCCTCCTCCTCCTCCTCCTCCTCCTCCCGCCTCCCTGCCGGGGGAAAAACCCAACGCTGACTACTGTAAAGAGAGACTGGGGATGGCGGGCAAAGAGCCCGCGTGTCCGAACGTGTGCATTACACGTCGACACCCATTCTCCCCGGCTGGGGGCGGGGCGGCACACGGTCCGCCTGCCTGCCTTTCTCCTGCCAGTGGCGCGGAGGAAAACAAACTTTCAGCGCTAGGAGTAGGTCTTCCGAGCCGAGAGAGAGAAAGACACGGATCCGCGGCCCGATCCCAGGCGCGTGTTTTCTCGGGAGAAAACTCCGCTTACTTCATATATTCGTGAATCCTTGCAGTGGAACTTAAGTTCCAAGGAGCACGGAAACATTCAGAGATGGGATATCCCTGGATGTGAATCATACCAGCCGCTCGCCGGTACGGACTAAATGATTAAACTTGGGCGGGCGTCACAAGACGAGGAGTCATTGCAACAATCAGTGAAAGTCCTCCCGAGAAATTAATCAGAGGAAATTCGTCTATCATCGTCGTCAAAATGCTTGTATGGTTTGGGCGTCTGTCGGGGGTTCCCCCCACGCCCCGCAAAGCCTTAGGAATCTCTTTCCACCTTAAAAAGAAAAAAGCACAGTAAAGTAGTGCGGCTCGGGGCCTTTTGCTCCCCACCCTCCCCGATTCATTGGTTTGCTTGCCGCCCATTACATTTCCTTACTGCTTAGTCAGAGGCGATCCCTTTTGGATTGCGCGCTGCCCTATCGATAGACGCCTCGCATCTTAATGGGTGGAACGTGCGCCAAGCTATTGCTTGAAATTTAGAGATGTGGTCGGGCCTTGAACCTCTTCGCCTGCCTGCTTCCCTGGCGCAGCGGGAAGGGAAAATGAGAGCACCCAAACCCCGGTCTGGGTTACTTGCAAGGGTTAATTTGAGGCGGGGTTCAGTCCCCACCCTATTCCAAATGCAAAGTTTGGTTCTGAAATGTACTGTATAACAATAAAAATGCCTCTCTCTGGCCACGTACAGAGTGCATCCTACCGGCATTGCATACCTGCAGCTGCTCAGATCCATGCATCTAGGATCAGAGGGCAAGCATTTCAAACAGATTTGAACTCCCAGACTTATCCCCCCCCTCCACTTTGTAAATTGACCGCTGGTTACTTAAGTGTTAATCCTCAGACAGCCTGGAAATTAAAAGTAATTTATCAACATTCCCTCAAAATAAATCCATCTAACACCTTCCTCAAAGGGGCCACAGATTTATTAAGAAACATGAGGGAGCCTGAGGGTGTGACTCTTACACCTTAGTAACCCGCAAAACCTGATGCCCAGGGTCACAAGCAACTTCTGGGGACTCGTGGTGACACAATTATGTGGGCCCAAAGAAACAAGGCTGTGTGGTCAGGGCCTCATGTTGTCTCCATAAACTCCAAAGGATACCAAGGCACTCCACTCAACTCACATAGAGGCCCCTGGGTGCAGTCCCCTAGCTTTCATTTGGTATAAGGCCTTGCACTTCTGTAAGCAAGGCCATCGCATAAGGACGGTGAAATTGAGAAGTTAAGTCGAGCACAAGTTCAGTTCTGCAAGATACTCCCTTTGAACAGCAGCACACAAGCAAAAACCATCTTGTCAGCTGAAAAGGCATGCCTGCATTGCATCAATGGTTAAACCATGTGCATGTTGACTCAGATGCACGTTACCCGAGTCCACTATAGCTGACTCCGAAATAAGTTTGCATGAGCATGCAATAACTTTGACTTATTTTTCTCCCCTGCCCCTGCAAGACCCTGAGAAAGTGTACTTTGCAATCTAAAACACTAAGTTGTTCACTGAGATTCTACAGTTTTCATTACCGTGCCCCTTGCATGCATGTTCAAAGACTGCCTTCTCCCCTCCCCCAGTGCAAGCTGACATATTTCAAATTCAAAGCTCTACGGACCAGTTTGTAAACATTAGCAATTTCCACATAAGTGTGTAAAACTGTTAAAACTATTGCCTCACAATGGCCTGGAAAAGTACAGAGCTAAAAAAGAGACAAGATAAAACTGTAAAATTATGCTCAACTGAACTGCTTGACAGTGGGATGGACTCCCTCAGGATATTGTTGGCTCTCTTTCATTGGAGCTTTTTAAGTAGAGGTTGGATGGCCGTCTGTCATGGATGCTTTAGCTGAGATTCTTGCATTACAGGCGGTTGGACTAGATGACCCTTAGAGGCGCCCTTCTGACTATGATTCTATGAATATGTGAAGGTCCCATTCATTCACACTTGAACACAACACTGACCTAGAACATGGTTATGGCAGTAACCACTGCAGTAAAAGCACCTGATTATTTAATGGGCTTATAAAACCAAGGTTGACCCCACTTTTTGATGAAATTAGTTTGTCCCAGCTGAGAAGCAGGGGCAGAAACGGCTCTTTACCTGCAGCAATCCTAAACACAGTGAAATGAGATTTACTCTACAGTAAGAGTAAGTAAAGGTACCCCTGCCCGTATGGGCCAGTCGTGACCAACTCTAGGGTTGCGCGCTCATCTCGCTCAAGAGGCCGGGAGCCGGCGCTGTCCGAAGACACTTCCGGGTCACGTGGCCAGCGTGACAAAGCTGCAACTGGCGAGCCAGCACCAGTGCCGCACACGGAAACGCGTTTACCTTCCCGCTATAAAGCGGTCTCTATTTATCTACTTGCACTTAGGGGTGCTTTCGAACTGCTAGGTGGGCAGGAGCTGGGACCGAACGACGGGAGCTCACCCCGCCGCGGGGATTCGAACCGCTGACCTTACGATCAGCAAGTCCTAGGCACTGAGGTTTTACCCACAGCACCACCCGCGTCCCCCTACAGTAAGAGTAGAGCTGTATAAAATTATGTATGGGATGAAAAAAACGGACAGAAGTTGTTGTTTTTCTTCTTTTTCATGCTAGAACCCAAAGCCACCCAGTGAAGCTGAATGCTGTGAGATTCAGGGCAACCAAAAGAGAATGCTTCTAATCAGACTTTCGAATTTGCTACCATGAGGGGATTAGACAAGTTATTGGAGGATAAGTATCAATGGCTATTAGGAATGACAGGTATGTAGTTACCCTCAGTATCAGAAGTGGTAAACCCCTCCACATCAAGAGTGGAAGAGAGCTATTGCACTCAGGTCTTGCTTGCAAGATGCCCCTAAGCATTTAGTTGGCCGCTGTGAGAATAAGATACTGGACTAGATAGCCTTTGATGTGATCACTGGGTGGTGTGTTTTGTTTTGTTTTGTTTAATCTTACAGAATTAAGCTGCCAATATAGAGATCTTTAATTTTATTTCCACGCCTTGATTTTTGATGTATTTTATTTGTTTTGTACTTGTGAACTTTTAGCTATATTTTCAGATGATTTGATTTGGGGTAGGGAGGACATTCAACAGTACAGTACTCCTTCCACTGTAGTGGCATGCTCTGGTCCACGGGGTCATGAAGAGTCAGACACGACTAAACAACAACAACTCCTTCCACAGTTCTTGTTTAGTCGTTCAGTTGTGTCCGACTCTTTGTGACCCCATGGACCAGAGCACGCCAGGCACTCCTGTCTTCTACTGCCTCCCACAGTTTGGTCAAACTCATGTTGGTAGCTTCGAGAACACTGTCCAACCATCTTGTCCTCTGTTGTCCCCTTCTCCTTGTTCCCTGAATCTTTCCCAACATCAGGGTCTTTTCCAGGGAGTCTTCTCTTCTCATGAGGTGGCCAAAGTATTGGAGCCTCAGCTTCAGGATCTGTCCTTCCAGTGAGCACTCAGGGCTGATTTCCTTCCACAGTATCCTGGAGCTATTTGAGACAATAGGCCTGATTTCTTCTTTGACACCAGATTATTATCATAGAATCATAGAATCATAGAGTTGGAAGAGACCACAAGGGCCATCGAGTCCAACCCCCTGCCAAGCAGGAAACACCATCAGAGCACTCCTGACATATGGTTGTCAAGCCTCTGCTTAAAGACCTCCAAAGAAGGAGACTCCACCACACTCCTTGGCAGCAAATTCCACTGTCGAACAGCTCTTTCTGTCAGGAAGTTCTTCCTAATGTTTAGGTGGAATCTTCTTTCTTGTAGTTTGGATCCATTGCTCCATGTCCGCTTCTCTGGAGCAGCAGAAAACAACCTTTCTCCCTCCTCTATGTGACATCCTTTTATATATTTGAACATGGCTATCATATCACCCCTAACCTCTTCTCCAGGCTAAACATGCCCAGCTCCCTTAGCCGTTCCTCATAAGGCATCGTTTCCAGGCCTTTGACCATTTTGGTTGCCCTCCTCTGACACGTCCAGTTTGTCAGTGGTCTTCTTGAACTGTGGTGCCCAGAACTGGACACAGTACTCCAGGTGAGGTCTGACCAGAGCAGAATACAGTGGCACTATTACTTCCCTTGATCTAGATGCTATACTCCTATTGATGCAGCCCAGAATTGCATCGGCTGTTTAGCTGCCGCGACACACTGTTGGCTCATGACAAGTATGTGGTCACCCAAGACTCCAAGATCCTTTTCACATGTACTGCTCTCAGGCCAGGTGTCACCCATCTTGTATTTGTGCCTCTCATTTTTTTTTGCCCAAGTGCAATACTTTACATTTCTCTCTGTTAAAATTCATCTTGTTTGTTTTGGCCCAGTTCTCTAATCTGTCAAGGTTGTTTTGAAGTGTGATCCTGTCCTCTGGGGTGTTAGCCACCCCTCCCAGTTTGGTGTCATCTGCAAATTTGATCAGGATGCCCTTGAGTCCATCATCCAAGTCGTTGATAAAGATGTTGAATAAGACCGGGCCCAAGACAGAACCCTGTGGCACCCCACTAGTCACTCTTCTCCAGGATGAAGAGGAACCATTGATGAGCACCTTTTGGGTTCGGTCAGTCAGCCAGTTACAAATCCACTGAGTGGTAGCATAGTCAAGACCGCATTTTACCAGCT